ACCTTCCTAGCATTCAAAACCAGCGACCAGGCCTGTGAACCGATCGATTTCCATTCTCCCCCTTTTACCGTGTGCTTATAGATTTGCAGCACTTTCCTCGTGCTCTTTTCCATTCGATTCCTGCGCCCTTCAACACTGCCACACATGGCATAACACTGTGCACACTCTACGGGACGGGGGGGAATGGAAAGGAGGGGGCTCTTCTCTCACCAGCGACCCATTGTTCCCCTTCAATACTCAAATGCCGATAGCGCCCCTAGCCGATACGACAACACGCCTTAGGTGGCGGTCACCTGGACACCGTATTTGGCTGTCAAATTTTGGAATTAATATTGGTTTTCCTGTTGATTTTGGCGTTTTCGGCTTTCCATCCATTTCGACATCGAAGTTTTACGTCTTCTGGTCGGAGCTTCAATTCGAATCCGATTTTTACGATTTAACTATCTATCGAAAGCTCTCGAAAAGGCGAGAAAACCAGCGGGCTTCGTTTTTAATATTTAATCTCTATAATTACCTAATCGATACTTAAGGTTTTCGTAAAAAACCGGCAGTTTTTCAACAGGAATTTCGCAATCAGCATGCTAACCTTGCACAAATCAGCCGTTTTCGTGGTTTTTAGACGTAAAATTAGCAAATAAAAATACATAATCAAGAAAATGAACCCACAAACCCCCATAAAATATGTGACTCGGCTCTTGTAATTCCACAAAAAATACTTTGAAAAGGAATTTTGTCTGAGTAGTAGACTGAAATCCAGCCGAACAGCTGAGGAGCATTAATGATAGATATCGACCGATACCTTTAAAACATCTTCCGCACTCTTCTTGACCGTTGCGCTCCCCCACCCTATGATTGTTTGAACACAACCCCCAGGAAATTCCCAATTTAGAGTCAACCCATGGGTTGAGGGGTGGAGGGATGGGGTAATAGAAAGAGACGAAATGGTAAGAGATCTCACTTTTGGTTGGTAAGACACGGTCACATGACATGGCCGGGGCAAAAGGGGGCGAACGAGCGTCCGAGCGTTTAGGGGTATTGTTCGAGAGAGAAACTTATCAACTGAGGGTTGGCAAGGGGTTGCGGCGAAGGGATAAGCGGAAATTGAGAGAATTTGAGAATATGAAGGGGTGGGAAGAACTAAAGGAAAGGCTAAGGCAAGGCGACCGGGACCGAGGTGGCTGGCACTTGCCACGCATCTTCTTCATTTGCCTTTGCCCGTCTGAAAAGGGGGGAACTGTGTGTGTGTGGGTTTCCCCCCTTTGCCCCCCCCCCAATTCTCTTTTAGGGAAAAGTGGAATGGAAGGGAAGGGTTTGGCTTCTATAGTACGAGACAGTCCGCTCCCGTGACTATTGTCTGCCGTCCTTTTCATTTCTGACAAATGACCCTTGGGGGGTTTGCTTTCGGGTGCTAAAACTATTCCAAGAGGCGGATAGAATTTAGAAATTTTTGTGTAAATAGGTTGCAGCTTATAATAATGCTTAGAAATATTTTGAAGGGACTGGGAAGGTAGATTTCGACTGTAGACTGTAGATTGACGGTATATTTTACAGTCAGTTTCGATCCAATTTTTCTTCTGCCGGGTTTTTCTTTTTTTACCTAAAAAGTTTGATAAGATTTGAAGTTTAGAATTTTAAGCCAACTATATTGATTTTTCTGCGAAATTCTGATGTAAATAAAAAAATACGTTTAGATATTTTTTTTGTACAGCGCGGTGTATTCAAATCTTTTCTATTTTTTATTTTGCCAACGCTTAGAATACCACACCTTACAATAACGTCTCTCCCGTAGTTTCTAATCGAGATACCTAGCAGCATGATTTTCAGGACCCACTTCAACGTTCCTTAAACCAAAAATTTCCTCCCTTTCTGGCAACCCTCCAACATTCTCCCACCCACCCTTCCCAATCCCTTTAAACGTGATAGCCTAGCGATAGCGACAGTGCTTCCTCCTCTCCCCTCGATACCGTTAACCTCCTCGCTGACCTTGGGGGTGCCCCTCCGAATTCTCGGCAATTACACTTGACAACTAGCGACACCTTTCCCTGTCGCGCGGATGGTGGCAATGCCCTCTGGGGGGAGGGAGTCTAGCTTTGGGCTTGGTTGATTGGGACGGGGAGGTGGGTGGTTAGGTTCAGAAATCGTTTTTTTCGCTGACCCTTTCTGGCTAGAAAATTGAATTCGTTGGCATTTTTGTGGCTACGAATTCAGCTAGACGCAACGCATACGCGACGCGTACGTCCGTTGATTTTTGCTTCCAAAATTCCCAGGTAGACCCTGCTAGCTTCACCTTTAAATCGAGATTTGTAAATTTAGGGTTTGTAATGCCAGTTTTTTGCTATTTTGTGTTGAGGTTGTGCTGGTTTTTAAGCCGCGGATTCTGCCGCGCCGCGACACGCAACGCGCGCTCCCGCTTTTCGATTGTTCAATGGATTATCCCCTTCCCCTTCACGCTGCGCAGACGGAACGGGTTGCGAGTTGCGTGTTTTGCTATATCCATAAAGAATCTAAAGTCTTCAAGAACCTCTTCCTGGTCCCTTTAACGGCTGAAAATAAATTTTTGTTTTTATGGATTTGTTGTGGATTTCGCCTGGGTTTTTTCCATGCCTACTTTAGTCAAGCGGCGCGCGCGTCGCGTGTCGCAGGTGCGGGTTTATCTAGAATCCATAGCTAGCCCTTGACTGCCCCTTTAAAACATCGTAATTTGCTTGCTATGTTACAGTAAAAAAAATTGTTTGCTATGGATTCCCTCTAGGTTGCCGATTAGCGATACAATAGGCACATGCCACCCCATTTCATCACGCGACAAATCCTGACTATTTCACGCGCGTTGCGTCCGGCGGTTCCGGCATTATCCATTATTCTAAGACTAAGTCTAAGCCTAAGCCTAAGCCTAAGCCTAACCTAAACCTAAGCCCGAACCTAACCCTAAGCCGCAGCCCCCCCGCTTCCTCCCCCGATACTATCGACCCTACTCTCACATTTGATCGGAAAAAAGCGGTGGTTGGGGCGGAATGTTCTTGGCCTGCCACACACAGTCCGTTATCGACTGCCATTCCGAGGGGCTATAGGGGAGCGGTGTGGAAGTGGGGTGTAGGGGGAGAGGAGGGGGGCTTCCAAGCTCTGTGCCTGGGCCTATACAAACAGTTCCCTAAATTGGGGCGTCTGCCTGGCCGGGCTTTGTGCACCGCGTGTCCGATCGCTTATGAATCGGGCTGGCTCACCTAAACGCGGGAGGGGGGGACTGCTCGCTGTCCGTACCGTTCGTAGGAATCGATTCGAAACTTTTGTACTTGGGGTTTGGTTAAATTTTTGTAGTGTTTTTAAAGCTTGGAAATGCCTTAAGCTGCAGATGTTCATGAATCGAATTTTCTGTATTTTGAACTTTGTCATCGTTTTTGACCTGTCACTGTCCCTTTAAATTTTCGCAATGGCATTAAATATCCTCAACTTTTTAAAATTTTTTCATGCCGGTAAAAAAAATCGCAAATCAATTTGTATTTTTCACTTTTTAATGAATTTTTTAACCATGTTACTACTCCTTTAAAATGTAAAAATATCCTTAAATATTCCGGGTTTTGTACTTTAATACCCCGAATCGTGGTTTAAAGAATTTTAAATAGATTAAAAAACTTATAATTTCACGATTTATACGCTTAATTAGCCTGTCACTATCCCTTTAAACCCAAGGCTTTTACAATGGCTTTGAATATACCACGTTTCTGACTTTACAAACCCTTGAATTCCCGCGTGACGAATTAAAAACACCTCGGAAGATTTCGTACTTATAACTTTTTTCTAGGGTGTACTTCTCTATCTGTCGCTATCCCTTTAAAATCACTACCACACCACCCTTCTCCCTACTTCACAATACCCACCCCTTAATCCCCCTAATCCCTTCCCCTCCCTACCTATGGCCAATCCCACAGCCCTATAAGGCAACCACCCACCCCCCGATCGCACCGCCGGGGCCTGTATGCAATCGATGGTCGGCTTGTTCGTGTATGGGCTCGTTCTCTATATGCCCTTCCTGCCCTTCTCCTCCCCCCCCTTCACCGGCCCTTCCTTTTTGCCATTTACCACTAACGGCACCAGCAACACCGTGCGCCCCTTCACCCCCTCCCCTCTGCCACGCCACCGCATCGATCATCGAGCGGCGTGGCCGTGGGCTTACATCCACAGGTCCGCCGATAGTTATTTCGGTACCAAGTTGGATCGGCAATGATTTTTACGATTTTCTTTGGAAATGCTGATTTTAATGACATCATCTTCCCATTCTCTCTCCCCCTCTCTCTGTCTCCCTCTCTCTCTCCCTCTCGCTCCCTCATGATCTGCCTCATTCACTCTCTCACACTCTCTCGCTTTGCCCTATACGCTCTCTCTCTCCCTCTCTCTCTCTCTCTCTCTCTCTCTCTGTCTCTCTTGCTGTCTCTCTCTCAGTCTCTCTCGCTCTCTCACTCTCTCTCTCTCTTTGCTCTCTACCACTCTCTCACTCTCTTTCTCTCTCTGTCTCTCTCACTTACTCTCTCGCTCTCTCCCTACCTGTCTCTCTCTCACTCTCGCTCTTTCTCCCGCTACCTAGTTTTTCAAAAAAAATAAGGAGCCCGTAGTAACATTTAACTTTTTTTTAAGAAAAGATCAAGCCTCATCGTTCACATCTACCTCCACCGCCCCAACCCAAGCACTAATGATCTTTCCGATCCTTTTGTCCCACTCCCCTCAACCTAAAGTTCACTCCTCCTCCCCCCTCACCGTCCCACCCCTATTGCCGTCGACATTTAACGATTGATTTGACCCTTTCTCAACCCACACAAAAAATACCCAAACGAACCGCATCCATTCGCTAATGGGCCTTTTAGACCGTTGGAAATGTGTTTTTTCGCGTTAGGGAGAAGCTGGGGGCATTGAAAGCCGCGATTTCCTCTTAAACCCTTCGGTTTCTCTATTTCCCCTCTCTTTTCAAAATATTAACGTTTATGATCGATATTATAAACCATTTCCAGATGGACAGGGTGAAATTTGCCGTAGTGCGGGTACCAGAGGCGAAGGTCATCGAATTCTTCGCCACCATTGTAAGCCCAAGGTCTATGCTACTTTATCTGTGCCCTAGGCATCGAAAGGCTTCACCGACGTTGCCTTTGTCAATAGCCTACAACAAGCCGCATTCACCAGCCTTGCAGATGAGGTCTGTCTTGAAAATCGGGGAGTAGAAAAGAATTAGTCGGATTTTCAGCCGCCGGTTGGCTCGCCAAGCAGTCATAATTCAAGTGCGGATAATGGGATGCCAATGTTAAATGTGAGTATAATTATTTGGGGTTTTCCTCGAATTTTCTTTTTATCGCTCTCTTTCCCTTTCTCTCACTCGCTCTCTCTGTCTCTCTCTCGCTCTTTCTCTCTCTCGCTCTCTCTTCCTCTCTATTTCTCGTCCCGATTTCGGTAAACTGTCACAAGCTCTTTAAAAATATTCAAGCGGATGTCCAGCTTGATCCTACTCCTGCTCTCTCTCTTGCTCTCTCTGCTCTCGCTCTCTTCCACTCGCTCTCTCTCTCGCTCTCCCCTCCCTCGCTACTCTATCTCCTCAGCCATTAGAACCAATTCTAACCGATTTTCAGTTTTTACAGACGCCACCCTCACCTCCCCCTGCGGCCACAGTATCAACAAACCAAACGATGCCCCTCAATCTATCGGATTTATTCCCAGCGGTATGCTAATTCCGCCCTTCCATCTAATCTTTTGGTATTCTAGGTGTTAGCCCAAGCGAATGCCCTTCGAGACGCTTCCCCACTTGGCGAGTTGTCATTAATCCCCGGTAGTGACGGCGATGATAATACAGGACGGGTACGGTTCTATCTACTAAAAATTCTTAAATTTGTAATTTATCCTACTATATATAAAAAAATAGTGTCTTTGTGTGTGCATTTGCATGCCACTTCCGTGAGGTTGTCTCTCACCTACAGCCTCAGGGGAAGGTTTTTTGGGTACGTATGATACGTCATTAGGTTCGTAATGGTGCCGAGATGAGTGCACACATATCAAAGTTTTGAAAAATTACGGTTTTCACAATTAAAATCGGGTTTTTGTAAAGATATCGGAAAATCTCTTTGTTAGGAGCCAATTTGCATGCACCGGAAGTGGGGAAAGCTTATATAAGGGGGTAGAGGGGTCTTTTTCATTTTTTTGCAATCAAGGTTCGGGAAGAAATATGTGGGCGTTAGACGGGGCCGGGGTTGAAAAGTCGCGAAGCGGTTTTTCAACCCTGGTGATTCTTTAATTATACGATTTAGCCTTACCATCAGCGAATGAAGGGGTGGCAACGGACATATTTGAGTGAGATGCTGAAAGATGGGTATCCGACGGATGAGAAGTTGAATGAGGCTATGCATAAGTGTGATTTGTCGAGACGGCAGGTGAGTAGAGAGAGAGAGAGAGAGAGAGAGAGAGAGAGAGAGAGCGAGAGAGAGCGCGCGCGTGTGACCGAGAGCGAGTGGGAGAGAGAGAGAGAGCGGGAGAGAGGGAAAGAGAGAGTGAGAGAGGGGGAGAGCGGCAGAGCCTGAGAAACCAAGAGCGAGCAGGAGAGCGAGCCAGAGAGAGGTAGAGAGAGAGAGAGCGAGAGACAGAGAAACGGAGAGAATTGATGCTTTTTTACAAATTTTACATCTCAATTCCAGATCCTCCGATTTATCAGCAAACGTGTCAACAACCCCAACAAAGGCTTGAGAGCTGATTGGCGAGCTGCCAAAGCCCACGACGTCGAGAAAATGATCGGCAACGACGAGGAGCCGAAGAGCATCAAAGCCGAACCCGAACAAATCGAGTTCCCCGACTTCACTGAGGCCTAGGCTATCATTAATGCGTTTTTGGGTCGATAGCCCTATGTTGCACTCCAAAGAGCGGCCCCATGGGTACGGTTCCGGGCCAAAACTATTAATTGTAAACTGTGGGTTGTTCAAATTTTGTTTGTTTTTCGCTAGTTTGATTCTAAAGGGATTGTGAAGTCTATATATACGCCTCGTAATTAAATTTTCAGTTTTGTGATGGATTCCAGGTTCCTTTAAGTTTTACTGTCATTTTGAAGGCTATATAAGCTGTCCAAGACGGCCGAATTTCTTTAAAAATCAATTTCATTTGCATTCTCTTCCTACGCATTCCATTTTGCCTCCAACCTCTCACATACCGTAACCAACATTCCTGCCTAGCCCCAATCTAGCCATCATTACCATCTTCTTTCCCCCTCCTACTATTCTCAATTATTCTTTCGGTGTGCCACCCCCAATTTCCTAGTCATTATAGCTATTGACTAGAAATCATATAAATATTTATCCCCCTCTACCTTATCCTATATCTATATCAGGTTCCCACAGCGGCATCTACAGCACAAACTACCGTAATTTGTCCAAGCCCGTCGTGGCCCACCCCGAAATGTGATTCATTCTCGATGCTCCGAGTGCCCCCGCTTCGAATTGATTTGAAATTCTATATTTGCCTACATATCTGTGAAGAATATATATATCGTTGCCCCCCTACCGCCGGATTCAATTTATCGGGATTTGAAAATAAAGTGATGTATTTTTGACATTTATACACTTCAAATCGATATGAGTCCTAGAAATCCGCTTAACTTTAATGAAACTCACTAAACAACTATACTCATATTTTAATGCAAGTAAATTCATCACAATTATTTTAAAAATATTAAAAATAAATTCCTTAGTTAAACCTTAATAAATTTTGATAACAGGGAAAATTCGACTAAAAGTATTTAAACAAAATTACGATCAAAATCAGAAAACCGATTTTATTTAGCTTTTTAATTGGCCCCAATTTCTGATTTGACAAATTCCAAATACTTTATTCTTTAAATTTATTAAAACTATACAAAACCCGTTGATTTCCGGCCCATACCGGCCTCCCGGCACGTATTTAGCACGATACAGTACATTACAATACGGCATGGCACAGTACTGTACTATGACCGCCGCCACAGAATAAATAGCAACACCAGAATAATAGAAATCAAAAACAAGGGCTGCGTGGCGGGATTACAGTAATCGTGCGACTGACAGATGCAGGTGATGGTGAGACCTTGGGTGCGACATCCGTCTTGCTCGATTCCACCGTATTCCCTAGAAATTAGATGTAATTTTAATCTAAGGAATTACTCTAGGTTTTAAATGATTGATAAGGGGTAGATATCGACGCATTAATGATATTCCGATTTTTTATGATACCTTAAAGGGTTTTTGAAGGCTATTCACGACACATTAATGATACTAAAACGTTTTAAGGGTCTGCGAAGGCTATTACTGACGAGTTAATAATATAATAATAATTTCAAGGTGAAATTAAGAAGGAATTAAGAATTGCAGTAACGTTAATGACTCGTGAAGCCAATATCTCGCCACACTAACCTCGTATCAAACGGTAGACATGTCAGCGCCAAAACACCATTACTCTCCGGATCCAACGTCGTTACCCGTGTACACGCAACACCTAAATACGGCTTAAATCTTGGGTCTTACCCGTGCTAAAGACTTTTTAGGGACACACTTACCTATACATTCATTACAGCTAGCGTTCTCCTCGCAATCCAACCCCTCAAAACATCGCATCTTTTGAGGGGCGTTTGGTATTTTCTAAAAAAATTTCATTTAGACGAGCTTTAAGAAATAATCAGGAATCAATGAAAACATTAATGAAATATCCTCCCAAAAATGCGTTAAACCCATCATCCATCAAATTTTCGTTAAGATCTAAAAAATGGGAATGGCTAGAGAGAAGCGGTGGCCCCTGGAAAAGACAAGATGAAGATGATGGAGCGGGGCATCGCGGGGGTCTCTCTGTCCCAGAATTGACCATGAATTCAAAATGAAGGGGGGTTAAGCTCAAAAAATGGGTGAGCAGGGTCAAGTTCGTAATGTGGAATTGGGAGGGAATTGGAGTTTATGGTTGGCTGAAGTAACACTTTAAAAATACACTCTACATTCATACACATACATTTTTTTAAAGATACTTTATTTTCAATATGATATGGGTAGTTTAATTCAGTATGATCTGGTATTAAGAACACAAAAATTATCCGCATAAAGATACCAATATCTTGACACATCTACATTTGAACAAAAATATCCATAATAACACTGAAAATCACGCTAAAATACTAATAATAGGATCATTAAATAATTCATAAATCTTTAGTTATAGTTTTATTCTTTTATGCTTGAGTTTAAATTTAAAAATGGCAGTAATTAGAAATATACTTATTTTGGAATTTATCAAGGTTGAATTATTATCAAAGATATTATCCTTATCTTACGATTCTAAGGTAAGTAGCACCGTTTAACGTGAATTAAAAGAAATACAACTTTAAAGAATGTAGACCTCATTCAAAATAACACTTAAAAAATCCCAGCTTCTCCCAGCTTTGCCCCCCGAGGGCACACAGGTGTTATCGGCTCGTGGCGTCGGGGCGTGAAAAGATGAATATAGAGAAGAGGAGGGGGAGGGCCAGCTTGAAAAGGCTCAGGTTTCAATCCCCCCAACCCCCGAGCTCCCCCCTTCAATCAACTGCTGGTAGGCAAAAGTTTTTTTCTGCGACCAGGTGCTACTCTAAGGTAGTTAATTTTCACCTGATGAGCACGAAAACTGAAGCGAAAAATTTCATGAACTCCAGATTAAAAAGCGAAAATTTTGCCTGTAGGGTTCGAACCCGGACCTTCCACCCGACCAGCTAGCACACTACCATTCAGCCAAACCACGAATTCTCGATCGAAAAAATAACGCAATAAGACCGGAGCCGAAATGGACAGCAGCCGACCGCCAGAACGGATGATGGGTGGGCCACCCTAGGCTGTGGAGGAATAATTCAGCGGTCGGCAGCGGACCCCCAGAAGGGCCCACCATGGCCCAACGAATCATCATCGTCCCCAAGCACGAATCCCGATTATTTAGATTAGTCCCCTCCAGACGGACAGGTGCTAATTTAGGAGCAGGAAGTTTGGGAAAACAGCCGAATTTGGGAGCGAGAATATGGAGTGGGAGAGCGAGAGAGAAGGACAGAAAGCGAGGAATAGAGAGAAACCGAGTGATATGGCGAGAGGGGCGAGTGACAGCGAGCGCGATACAGCGAGAGAGAAAAAGCGATAAATAGATAAAGGGAGAGAAAGAGAGAGTTGTAAGACCTTATTTTCACAATTTCTTTAAAACTGAGGGAAATAAGGAACAGTGGAGAGGAAATGAAATGTAGAGAGAGAGAGAGAGAGAGAGAGAGAGAGAGAGAGAGAAAGAGAGAGGGAGAGAGAGTGAGAACTAAAGGGGAGAGAGAGAGATAGAAAGAGCGAGACAGAGAGAGGGGGAAAAGAGAAAACTAAAAAAACAGGAAATCATAAACATGTCTTGCTTCTTTTATCCTAGAAATAATGGAGATGTTGATAAAAACAGACCGGAAATGCATTAGGATAGAAGCAAAATAATAACTCCAAGACTCCGCCCCCAAGAAATTTGCTGTCCCAGATTTTTAAAGGGATAGTGCCAGCAAGCCCTGCCAAAAACGGCAAACTTTAAAATTCATCTCCCGAAAATTCGACACTTATCCACTGAATAGCCCGAGTCAAAACGCATTGAAAACTGGGCCCTGTGTGTCGCGAGGAGGTTTGAATGATTGGCCCAAATGGAAGGGGCGAGTTGTTGCCCTCCACGAGAGCACGAAGAATGAGACACCAGCCCTCAGACTTTTCTACTCCCCCTCCACCACCCCGGACTCAATTCATCCCAGTTGGGCCCTAGGGCCAAAAATGAGCGAGCCCAATTGGGGGGCCCACCCCCCAAACTGAGGCCACCCTCCCCGCCACAATTGGCCCCTACCCAAGGGCGCCTCGTGGACCCGAGTCCCACTCAGCTCAACTTTTCGCCTTTTTTCGACGCCCCGGAAATGGGTGGCGGGGTAGAAAATGAAGAAATTGGGGGAAGGAGATTGGAAAATTGGTTTTTTAGGTATTGGTTGGGTTTGGCAAGGTGCCAAGAGGTGTATGGTGTCACACTCCCTTTAAGCCTGATGAAGTAGTTATGCTCATGAGTTCGGCAGTGATCTGGGTGTCACGCTACATTTAAAGCTGGAAAATAGAGATAAGGGAACAAGAGCTAGGACATTAGGAGCTTTCCGGCCCTCGTGCTCCCTATAAAAGTAAGAATAAAGCAAGGTAAGCAAGGTCAGCGCTAAAATCGTCTCTAAAACGCTAGAATTCTGCAGTTAAAATTGGGACTAGGAATATGGAGAACCAACAGCAAAAGCCGTCTGGTCGTGCTCCTTTTAAAATTGAGCTAAGACTCTGATAATTTACTTTCATGCTCCTCTAAGACTGAGCAATAGAAAAATAGAAAATAGAAGATCAGTCCAGGCTCCGAAATCCTGCTCATGCTCCCTTGAAAAAGGAGCAGCGGTGGGGCCGAAGCATTGCTGCTCAAAAAGGATCAAAATGATATAGAAAGAAACCACCTTCAAAATTTACAAAACTAAGGGAAAGGAATTATACAGAAGAAAAGAAAAGCAAAAATATCGAGAAGTCAGACTCCTCTCTAAAAAATCGACCAAACTAGGGCACAAAATGGGACGACCACTACCCTCTCCTCACCCCACAGAATACATGTGATGTCAAGCGAGCATTCAGTACATTTGCCCAGTCAGTCTCAGTGTCTCTTCTCGACGACTCTATTTTCCAATTAACGCCCTCCTCTCCATCCGTCCGCTCTGCTCCTCCAGCCATCATACACTACCCCCCTCCCTGTTGGACAAGCTTCACATTTCGTGGGGTGGTGGTGATGGTGCTGAAGGGAAACACTCACACACAACCTGCCAATTCCATGCGCCAAATCGCAAGCCCGCGGCGACAAAACCCAATTAATTCGTGTGGAGGGCCTGTGTTGGAAGGCGAAGGATAAAGTAACGACTAAAAAAAGATTTCTAGGACTAAAATTTGGTTTGAAGGGACTAGGAAGTCATCTGTAGCCAGTCATTTTTTTGCATCTAAGCCCCGCAACCTAGCCGAGATGCGTACACACGCGCGTCAACTTGCGTACTAACACGTATTCCAATTTCTAAAAGTTGATTTTCCGAAAATCCAGTTTTTTTAAATTTACAGGTACGCTGACAAAGCGGATAATTCTGCATTTGTTAATATGCAAATTTTTGGCAATTTCGAGAAAAAATTTCGAAAAGTTGCCTACGAAAATATGATTTTGGAAAAATTACTTTTCATAAAAAAAGATTTTCGCAAAAAAATTATCTTCAAAAATATTCCTGCCGCGCGGCAGGAATTGCAGCTAAATCCATAGCCTACAAAGTCCATAACTATACCTTACCAGCCCCTTTAGAAGCGCTGAAAACTCAAGACCAACCCAAAAATCATCCAAATTCAAAGGCGACCCATTTTCGGGCATACGCCAAACACAGGCCCCACCCGAAACTAGCCGGAGCTCCTGGCCGCAGATATTTCATCGGTGGGCCCCAATTTTCGGTGGGCCCTTTGGCGGGTGGTGGGGGCTCCTTTTCAGCCACTTCTCTAACGAAAATGGCGCGTCGTTAGTCATCGGGCGGAACCAGGGGCTTTGTGCCGTCAACGCGGAACGGTTTGTGGGCCGTGGTTTGAAGCACATGAGGAAGTTTGTGGTTTTAGATTCTCATAGTTTTTCGCAACTTTCAACTTGCAGTTTGTAGCCAAAGGTAAAATTTTGTAGACTGCGAAATTCAGGGCTTGTAGCTTGTCCACGGATAGAGTTTGTAGTTTAATATTGCCATGGATACGGCAGTTGACGCCATCTTGTAGCTTGTAGTTTGTAGCTGAAAATTCGTAGACTGTCGCTCTGACGGCTTTTCTTCTTACACCAGAATGTATGTCGTAGTTTCTAGGCAGAGACGAATTTTGTAGTTTTTTTTGACGTTTTTAGAGCTCTTCGAAGCTTGCCGGCATCTTGTGAATTGTAAAGATTGTAGTTTGACCTTGTTGAGGATCGTCGGGAATTAACAGCGGCCTGTAGCTTGTAGTTTGTAGTCTCTAACGTAGTTTGTATTCTTACGGCTTGAGAAATTTGAAGCCCGTAGCTTAAATTTTGTAGCTTAAAGTTTGTAGCCCGAAGTTTATAGCCTAAAGTTTGTAGTCTAAATTTTATTCAAATATTACCATATTCTACAAAAATATTAAAAATCCAAATGTTTTAAGCAATATTACTCCTACCCGAAAATGCCGCCCCCACTTTGAGGGAAATTTTAGGCGGCCGAATGGAGACGAGCAATTAGTGCCGGGGAAGCACCTAATTGGAATGAGTCGCCCCGGGGGCATATTGCTGCTGCCTCAGCTGAGGTCGAGGGCAAAAGCCGAGGGCAGACCCACGGAATTCCGAATGCCCACCCGCTTTTGGCTTCTGTCACAAAAGCAACGAGCTCACACTAGACCCCCAGCTGACTCTGAAAACCCCAAAGAGGAAAAAGAAAAGAATAGAAACTAACGAAACGGGTTCTGACTCAGCCCGAGGCGTACATGTTTCATTCTGTTTTTGAGGCCTAAAAAAGAAAGCGCCAGTTTTTAACGAAAATTCTTTAAATATCATTTTATTTAAAAACTCGGCATTTTCAAAAAATATTTTTGAAAACGGGATTGAGTAAAAGTTGAATGTTAAAATGGTGTTGCTTAAAAGCTTCAAAATGCTTCAAAAATGACATTTTTTAACCAAAAATAGTGATTTAAATGATTTTAGTTAACTCAAAATTTGGTTGCTAAAAATATAAATTGAAAATCTTCAGGAACAATATTTATGAAACCGCTATTTTTTGAGCATCTAGCATTTTTAACTTGCAGTTTTGAACGTTCGGGATCCTCAAGTTCGGATCGATTATGCTATCTTTACAAAAATTCAGATTTTTACCTCATTTCACAGTATGAAAGCCCTTTTTTATCGCAAATTTTTTAAAAACCAAAAGCCATTTTTGTTGTCATTTCCCCCACATCAAACTCAACATTTATTATGCACACTTCATTGACGTTGACAATTTCATAGTATTAAAACGGATAGGGGAATGTGTCGGGGTTTTGAGATCATGCTTAGAAGGTATAATATGAAAAAAGAGAGCCAGATCACAGTTTGTGGTGCACGCGGATCAGTATGACGCACGGCGCGCGCCTCTCATCGGCCCCAGATCGGCGCTATTCGTTCCCAGTCGTTTTCGGCCCTAAAACGTGGTAATCACAGTGTGAAATACCGTATTTCCTTGACCGTAAGCTCAGTACCTCTAAGCCCTAAGCCTAAGCCTGTGCCAAGCCTGAGCTTAACCATAATCATACGCTTAAGCCTAAGCCTCAGCCTAAGCCTAAACCTAATCCGAATCCCAAGCTCAAGCAGATCTTAAACCTAAGCGAAATCACTAGCCTAAACGTAAGCTGAAAAATAAACCCAAGCCGAAGTCTAAGCTTGATAAGCCCAAGCTTAAACTAAACCTAAGCCTAGGCCGAAGCTTAAGCCTGAGCCTAAGCATAAGCCGAAGCCAAAGCCCAACTCCCAAATCTAACTAGGGAAGTATCTGAACTTGCCATCGAACCTTGGGAAGTCAGATACACCATTCGACGCGCCGTGACGCGAGGATTCCAAATATGTAATAAAATCAACGGGAGCGCATAACGTCACGGCGCGTCGAATGGTGTATCTGACTTCTCAAGATTCGATGGCAAGTTCAGATACTTCCCTAGTAAGCCCAATAAGCCCAAGCCTAAGCCAACGCCCAAGCTTAAGCCTCAAAGCCTGCAGCAGCAATGAAGCCATGCCGCGGCTTACCAGTCCCACCTTTTCTCTCGCTCATCTATCCCATTCAACCCTAGATATCTTCTGATCCGAATCCGCTGGACGGCATCTTCAAGGGCTTCAGCCAATTCTCTGAAGTTCATAGTTTGTGAGTAGCTCCTATTAAACCAACCTGAATGACGTGGAATGTGATAGTTGTCTGGCGAGGGCCGATCCCGGTCTGCTTTCAGCGAGGACGGCGAGGGCGCACATTAGCACAAGGCAAGGGCCCATCGCCGGCGGGGTACGGTAGCCTGGGGTGTGATTTAGGGAGGAGGAAAATGGATAGAAAGTACAACCAATAGAAAATAATAAAACCGAGGTTTTAAGCTATGTATGATTTCTGCGTTAATTTTTGGTGCTGCGGGAGAGGATAAATTTGGCTTGGTTAAGAAAAAATAGACTGGAAAATAATAAAAAGATTGCTAGCGCTAGTTTAAAGAATAGTAAAGACTGGGCTTAGGACTTATGCTTAGGCTTAGGCTTAGGCTTAGACTTACCTTTCGATAGAGCACAATCGTTGAGCGTGTTTTGGAACGGAGGTAAAGCTATACAAAGAACGGCATTAAGAAGAAATTGTAGCCACCGAGTTCTTTGCGTCATTTTTAGGTTCGGCGGGATACAATAACCTAGTGCATGTCTTAAAAATAACACAAAACACTTCAAACTATGCCCAAAACAATCTGCTCCTAGCAAATGGTTTGTGCTTATTTGCCCGGGCGGCTAGCCCTGAATTAAGGAAGTTCCCAGGCGCCCTAGAAAAACCCCCGGACCATTCCCAGCACCATTAAAATTCACTGAAAAAATGAGGTGAGGGGGTACAGCACTGGGAAGGGGGTGCGGAGGTGGGATTCGGAGAATTTCCCCCGGGTTTTCTGCTGATTTCACGCAAAACAAGCGCGTGCCCGCTTAGCGGCGGTGATAAGGGGATTCGTGATAGGCAGGAGAGCTGCAGCAGGATGCAAAAATTGCAAATTTTTAAACGGTGTTTCTGAGAAAATTAGGGCCTTGAGGGATTCGAGGTTAAAAATATATTAGTTAGATTTAATAAACGATTTAACGAAAGCTTTTGATAAGCTTTTGTCGAAATTACATCTTGTACAAAATTGTTTTGTCGATCTTTAAAATTTTTCGAAATTTCATTTTGTCGAAAGATCATTTTGTCAAGATTTTCAAGCGTCTTCGTCTCGATTACTCATCAGAAAAACTAAACAAACTGACATTTTAGGGCATTGAAATTTGCACCAAATGAAATTTGGACAAGATGAATTTTACTAAATACTTTTTATTTTTAATTTGTTTAATACTGGCATTTTAAAGGAACGGACAAGGTCCCGTATAGCTGTCCATAGTCAACTAGTTCCATAGCTGTCTTTAAAAATGCCCCCAGTTCAACAGGTTGACAAAATTCTCCCCTCCACATCCCATTTTCTAATTTAATAAACCCATAGATATTTATTTTCATCAAAAATAAGCAAAATGATTTCATAGCGATCCGCGCTTATCCCTTCGAATGGCCACACCACACAAATAGCGCCAAATCGGCTTTGAATCCCGGAATTCAACGGCCAACCATTACAGCTGAAGGCGGGTTATATTTATGGGCCCTCACGGCACCCTTAAACCCCGGACACACATAAGGGCCAAAAAGGGCCCTGGGCCCTGGGAATTGGCTATCATCATTAATGCACGATAAATCTGGGTGCAACCGGGCAGTCGAGGGAGGGTTAAATAATGGTTATTTGGAGGTTGGAGGGTACGGTAGAATGGCAGTATTGCTATTAACATAGAAAGATAAATAAATGAGTATTGTTATAATAGAATTTATGCCTTTGTCAGGGTGTAATAGTGAAAATTACCATACCCCTCTAAAAAGCTAGACGAAAAAGGGTTAACAAAACTGAATAAAAGAATCATTTTTACAAGATAACTTCTTTTGTAATGTTTTTTGCAGTCTATAGCTATTTTAAACTTCTCAATTCCTTTAAAAAAGCTAGAAACCCTTAGTGTCACGACCTTAGTGTCACGAAACGGTCACAAAAATGTCAGAATTTCAGAATCTCTGACCCCTCAGAATCTTGGCCTATTCTTTGCCCTCCCCATCGCCTTATTTACCCACATTTCCGAGAGCATACCGATAAAAAACGGCGATAGCAATGCAACCCTACGCCAGAATACTCCAAACCCCGACAAAAAAGTACACTAGTAAAGCTAAATACGTAGCTACAATCAAAAATGCCTACAATCTAGGCCATGAAAAATGGCCCCCGTCACAACTACCTGCACCTTACGCAACACACCTCTGAATAATTCACCACGGTAATTTTTTAAAAGAAAAAAAAAAAAAATAAAGGTAAAATTAAAAATATTTAAAAAGTTTTTTTTTAAAGGGGTAATTAAAATTTTATTTTTTTTTTAAAATTTTTTTTTTAAAGAGGGAGGGGAAAAAAAAAAATTTTTAATAAAAAAAAAAAGTTATTTTTTTTGTTTTTTAAAAAAAAAATAAATAAAAAAAATAGGGAAGGGGAAAAAAAAAAAAATTTAATTTTTTTTTTTTAAAGATTTTTTTTTTATAAAAATTAAAGAAAAAAAAAAAAAAAAAAAATTAAAAAAAAAATAAAAAAAAAATATTTAAAAAATTAAAGAAAAAGTTATTTTTTTTTTTTTTTTTTTTTTTTTTTTTATATTTTTAAAATATAATATATAATTGAAGGGGTGAGAAAGAAAAGGGAAGAATGGGGGAATTAAAAAATAAAAAATTTTATTAATAAAAAAGAATTAAAATATTTAAAATTATAATTTTTTTTTTTAAATTTTAAATGGGGAAAGTAAAATATAAAAAAAAATAAAAAAAAAAAAGAAAATTTAATTTAAAAAATGAAAAAAAAAAAAAAATTAAAAAAAAGGATATTAAAAAAAAAAGAAAAAAAAAAAAAAAAAAAAAAAAAAAAAAAAAAAAAAAGAGGGCAATGTATACACCACCCCGAATCAGGCAACAAAAGGCGCAATATTTCATTGTGCTGCTACATTGTCAAATCCCTCGTCGTCCCTAGGCTAGGTGGCTCATTGCCCACACATACATACATGCTCTCCAGCTCCCCCTCATCCTCATCCTCAAAGAGACGACGACATCCACTAATGAGACCACTAATCATCACCCTCCACCACCAAGCCCACCTCGGCCTCACAACCCGCGCAAGAAAGGTGCTGTGTGCAATTTGAGCCCGCAATCCGGAATCCAGCCCCTAAAAATATGCGCCCCTATCGGCCGGATTTAGCGCATCGCAATTCGCCGGGGACGTGACCTTTCCGGTGGGTGGCACGACAACTAGAGCCACGTCTGAAATAACCCTGAAGAACTCGGAAAAGTCTCGTCTTTTGACCGGTTACGCGAGGAAATTCGGAGCTATTAATAGACTTTAAAAACCTGTTTCTCGGACTGGACCCCCTATGGCCATTCTTAGCTTTTAAATTTCTTTGCCTACCTCGGCAAACCGACAAGACTACACCCTCCCAAGCCATTTAAAAAGGTCAAGTTCAGGCTCAAACCCCCGAACAAAACAGAATCAAAAATCTGGCAGAATCTCACAAAATCCTTCCCCTTCCCGCCCCCACTACTTCTTAACCACCCCATTGTCCCGTATCCGAGACATGAACGCCGTTAAAAAACAGGGAGTTCATTTTTGAAATTGAGGCCCAGTGTGCCTTTGAGAACACTCCAGCCCTACCGCCCACCTAAACGTCAAAAGCTCGATAATAAACACCCAAATCGTACAAGTATTGCTTGGCTCTAGGGCACTGTTTTCGTGATGCGCGGCATTTTTGGGGCGGCAGCAAATGGGCCGAACGTGCTCCAGTTTACTCCCCGCATCGGCTCAAGTGTTTTCTAATGAACGGATACGAAATGCATTCACATTCCCGCGCGAAGATGCTGTGCTTATTTTGGGGGGTGTGGGTGGTAAATGGGGATGTTGCAAAATCCGGGGGTAGGAGGACGTGAGTTTGCTAAATCGGTGTTAGGGTGTTTGGGGAGGTAACCTTAAAAGCTGACGACTAATGACTAGGCCACTAGAGATGCAAGGCCTGGCAGGAGCATTTCTAGGCCTCAAAATTACAAAACAGATACGCGCTTTTCCGGCGAGAAGCTAGAATTCTATCCTGGGGGTGAAGCTACCGGAAACAAACTGCTCGCTGTAGGGCTTTCTAGTTGTTTTAGGCCCCATAGGACGGCCAAAAACCTGCTGACATTTGCGGCAAACAGGATCGCATTGAAATACGCAAGACGCTTCTCGTTGCAATAAGATTTGCTCGGAACGAAAGGCATACCGCGAGCATCGTCGCTGGCGGCTGCGCAGTAAGGCGATGGGATTATGCGGATAGAAATCCGTCACTCATTAGCGCGCAACCATCACGAGATGGGGGAAAATCAACGAAATTGAGAGGATGTACCAGGGTATGGAGAGAAGCGTAGCTGCAGCAGAACACAGCTTTTTTGCGCCGAAATTCCAAACCCGGGTCGAAAATGTGCGAATCGAAAAGGCAACGATTCCAATTGCGCGTCTGGAGCGTATTTTGCTATGAGATTCCCACAAATGATTATGCGCGGTGTCGCGATGACGTTTCTTGGCAATTGCAGCCAGCCTTCAGTGTAATTAGCGGCAGGCGGGGGAGGAGGAAGAAACACGGATCTCCAGGACATCGCGAGAACCTGGGCCTGCATTCACTAGACTCTGAGTTGTGGATTCGAATGTTGTTCGTATTTATTAGTACCTGTCGAAAGCGACAGCCGCAAAAGAGGCTCGTCCTCTGGAACGCACAAAACAGACATCAACAAAAACAACAACAACAAGTGATAACAATGCAACAAAAACAAGATAACAGTAACATCCACGTTGGACACTTCGATCAGAATGGCTTGTAGCGTCCACCACCAAGGGTCGAGGGTCCTGAGGAGCCGAGTGGCATGGCATTTGCACCTAAAGAATGCAAGGGCGAATGTCATATGCAATAAATAAGGCATACCTCGTCCAAATTTCCTAGTTGATCCACCAAGACCACGGCCGGCTTTCGGGCCGTCGGAAGAATAAGACCGCTTGGCGGGGCGTTCGGACTGTTGGCCGTTATCGTAGCTAAACGGAAGTCCAGTTCAGATTCCCTGGGACGTACCTATGATCAGGCTTGGCATAAGGACGCTTGGCCGGGAAAGAACGTTGCGCCTGACTGTTGTTGTACCTAAAGAAGAGTTTACTCAAACTTCCAAGGACACACTTGTTTTCAGGCTTGGAATAGGGTCGCTTGGCGGAGAAAGATCGTTCCTGTCGCTGACCGTTGTTCTCGCTAAACAGACGCTGATAATGAAATCCATGAAACACACCGTGGCTCAGGCCTTGGGTAGGATCGCTTGGCAAGAACAGGCTGTTCAATCGGCTCGCTGTTGTCGTCACTAAACAAAAGTTCACCAGCAATGCTACGTAACACACCTCGGTGCAGAAATAGGAGCACGAGGATTACGGAGCTTGCCCTTGTGTTCACGTCTGGCGTGCTTCCGCGCGTTGGCCGATTGGAAGCGCTCGTGCGAAAACTGAAAAGCCTATACCAACTTCTAATTCATCTTCCAACGGTAATTACCTTCTTTTGCTGTACTGGTGGGACCATTGTATGGGAATCTTGATCCATTTGCGCCGGATCTGGTTTTTTCAACGCAACGTCTTCGTCGTTATCCTGAACATTTACGCGTTTCCTATTTTCAATAACAAGGTACCATCGATACCTGATTCATTTATTTTGCACGTTTTCTAAAAACCATACCGCGTTCTGGTCATCCCTCGTCACGTTAAACGCCGAAAAATTGTTGTCATCGTCAACCAAGCAAGCCACGTTTCCTTGGAATGTAGCCGTACGGATCATCTAAATCATTTTAGCTGTAATCTAAGCATTCAACTTTACCTCAGTATGATCATACGTTCGGATCAAAACAGCGGAATCCTTGCCCATCTCATTGTAGCCGATGATTGTCGTCTAAGAGAAAGCGCGGAATAATGAGATCTATCCGAAGAAGCAATACCTCAGAATTTGGTCCATACTCGATCGCTGCGACTGGTGTATTTGGTGGGCCACGAACAATATCGATCAGGAAATGGTCCCGCATAGCTTGACGTCTGAACAGAATAATCAAATAATGGTCGATCTACCTATGAAGAATTTCGTAATCCTGAGGAGAGTCCATCCGGAATACAACTTGTTTGTTATCATCCGTCACTACGCCAATCAGGTTGTTGTCCAGCTTCACCACTCGTCGAACGGAGCTTTCAATCTAAATTCGCAATTTTTGATTTGGCTAAGTGAAGTTGTTGTTTAATACAAGATTCCATGAGAGTTTAAGCTATTTTGAAGTCGGCTACACAATGCTTACCGGGATCGTTGTTTGGAGGGCTTCATCCTCGTCGACCTCGCTCAGGGCGAGCACGTTAACAATCCCGTCCTCGCCTCCCGTCAAGAGGACACCCTCAGATTCAAAACACATCGTGTTCACCGGCTCCGCATGACAGTCCTCGAAAAAGCCTTGGGAAAGGACGTTGTATTCCTTGTTCAATTGGAAAAATGCCAGCGCCACTCTTTCGTCGAACTGAAGCACTGATAAGGAGATAACAAATAATCAATCACCTCATCATCAGTGTTATCGTCATTATCGTCTCCATCTTGCTCCGGGTTCTTCTTCTTTTTCTTGTTCTTCTTATAGAGATCAGTACCCGATTTGATGGCAGACTAAATGAATAAGAGTACAATCACAGAATTGAAAGCCACAATACCTTCACGATGTCTTTGGAACATTTGACCGCTAAAGCCACGTACAACCGGCAGTCTTCTTTAGATTCCTCTATTTTCTGGATCTCGGCAGCAGTGATTTCCCACTCCCTCTCCTAGAAAAAAAATGTTACGTATTTGCAAGCAGTTACCTTGAGCTGCGACATGTCCAAGGTAGTCACTTTATTATAGGTCCCGCTGATAGAGAATTCGTGTAAGAAGAAACCTTCGGTGATCACGAAGACTAAAAAAGGGCGGTTATAAAAAGGACTCGAGGGCACCGGCTCCATTTGACTTCCATTGGATATGCACAATCTTCCGGTCTATATCCTTGCGATATTTCGGAATCCCACGGCCACGCTCTGAACAATGCCATTAGAGAAGGGGACCCATCTACCTTACCGAACTTGTAGATGACCACTTGGAATCCATTCTTCGTAGAAAGCGCCACGGCTAGCTTGCGAAGGTGATAAGACACACAAAGGACTGTAGAATCATCCCCTTTTTCCAACAGCGCACCGCGAGCAACAACCATTCTGTTCAAAAAGTGCGTATTAGTTCATAAATTTGTGGATAGAAGACTGGGATACGAAACGTAGTAATAATGAGCTGGTATAAAACCACCTGGTTGTACAAAATGTTGGTAAACAGTACTTTATTTCAACCAACGGGTAAGTAACCAGTAACAAAAAACGGTATAAATACCAACAAAAACAATCCGAGCGTTAATATTTCTATCGGTCCTTGACTTTGACAAATTCAGCGCGAACGTTGTTAATCTCGACCGGCAACTGAGCCTTTTCATCATACTCGGCCCAATCCTAAAAAATATAATTAAAATTGGAAATAAGGACAGATACCTAACTTGGAAACGAAAAGTTAATAAAAGTTTGGCCAAAGCTCATTAAAAACCATATATACACACCTCAGACAGATCGATATCATCAAAGTGCGTATCCGTCTCCTCGCCGTAACAGTGCCAGCCATCCTAAGAAAAGATTTAGGTGCTAGTGAAAAATACCGATGGCTTAAATTCGATGGGCACCATGCCCCGACATTCGAAGCGGGCAATATGCTGGAACTGCCCATTCTTTTCGATCGAATATTCCTTGAACGATTTTTCGACAACCCCTAAATTTCCTGATGTAAATTTGTATAAAATTACTCAGTGTGTTGACCCTCCCACAGCCTGGACATTTTTCGGCGAACTGTGCGGCACCTCGAGAGGACGACAGATCGATAGAAGACCCTTCCTAAAAAAAACATAAAATTGTTGAACAAACACCAACGGTCAGAACAGCCCAGTGCCACTTCTCCGACACTTCCTCACAACTCTGGCAGCGAAACTGAACGTTCTTAGCTATCGCAACATACATGATAAACTGTTACCTTCAGATGCCAGCGAAACTCTTCAATGTCTGACGGGCCAAGCCTCGTGACATTGCTTAGCTCAGCGCTCAGAGCAAGCGCAAAAAATGGCATAATTGCACTAAATTATAGAATTGCTTACGAACAAATTGTACCAACGTTAGTTAATAAAATGGACTCTCCAGTATCCATATATAATCCAGCCAACAAAATTTATTTCTCTTGCAGTCCAGAATGAATCAACTTCTACGCATTTTCAATCCTGTATGTTTTTGAAAGCGGATCATTTCATCGTCGGTCATGAAGATATTAAAGATCAATCTTTCGTCTTCCGAAGATGTAGGCTGCTGGAAATAAAAAAAATCAATTTATCAAAGCAATAAGAACCTACCACGGTGACCAGTCCTTCGTTATACAGCCATTGAATTCCTGGCGAGCCTAACTTCAGAGCAATTCGTCGCAACCTGCATCCAGTATTTTTGATGACTTGCTGAACAAAACTGTTGGAGAAAGTATTGGTCATACCTCTTCGATACACTTGATCAGTTGCTCCACTCCTTCACCCGTTTTGCAAGAAACCGGAAGCGAAGTCGGGATGTCGCTTAGGAACGCCTTGTCTTGTTTGTCGATCTGAACAGATGCGTAATAGAATGGCGAATGTTGCTTGCCTTATTATCGACATGAATTATGCGCTGGATGCGTTCTTCGGTGACACCTATTCGTCTCAGAGTTGCGATCACCTAAGAAAACCCCACATATTGTATAAAAACAGAAAGTTTCTACTCACCTCTTCGCTCTGACACTTCCAATCTGGATGCGATACATCTCTCATATGAACGATGACATTCTAAAGATGATAATATAATTGTAAGACCACCAATACTTACCGCCCTCTTCAAATGTCCAAGAGTCGCCTCGAAGGCCGCGAGTAAATGCATCGGGAGGTCGGAGAGGAAACCTAAAGCAGTTGAAAACAACCCAGAGAATTCTCACCGATTGTATCGGTTAAAATCACTCTTCGCCCAGACGGTAATCTGGCCGCATGGCGCGTGGTGTCAAGGGTAGCGAAAAGACGATCCAAAGGAGTTAGAGATGGTGACCCTGTCAACCTAAACAAATCATCATAAAAAGGATATCTTTCCGACCTTTTCACAATGCTTGTCTTTCCAGCATTCGTATAGCCAACAACCGCGACAAGCGATCCTGCGGATGTCTGAACAATCGGTTACAAATAGCGGGTTAAAAGCACCTCTATAGCAATTTCCCGTCCATCTGCTTGGTCAAGTTCTTTCAACTTTTTGCGAAGCCATTGTTCCCGCAATTTCAACACCTGGAATTTGTCCTCACTGAGGTGTATGGAAAATTGAGGTTGGTCAAACCCATTTCCATCGTGTGCAGTGTTAACGTGCATTCTCGAGGCTAGATGACCTTGATGGCTGTGGAGGAGATAATGCAATCGATGCCTAAAACAAAATTGGCGCTGCGAATTGACTTTACCTTATGTAAGGAATTTCCGCGAGTTGAACTTGCAAGTTTGCTTCCTGAGTCTTGGCATATTGTTTGAAAATGGAAACCACGATGTTGTACCGATCGAACACTGGTATGCCAAAGACCTCGAGTAACGCGCTCTAAACAGTTGTTGCCGGTGTTCAGAAACTCACCTGCTGCGCTGGCTGTAGCTGATCAACATTGACCATCAAAGCCGACGCAGATACTTGTTTCTGAACCAATTATATAAACAGCTAAATAAAAGACTAGAACCTTTATCCGTAGCAATTCCTCCAATCTGCCCGCACCCCAAAGAACCCGACGTTGCGTGGAGTAATCGGTTCCAACGATCTTCGACCTAAAGCACGCTACAACTTCAGAATATGATAAAAAAACCTACGCGGCCACATTCATTGTTGGTAACGTCTCGACGAGTGAGATCGCTTCTTCTAGCTGTAGTTCGGGCGTCGTCCATTTCGACGCAGAATTTTTGCCCCAGCGGATATGTGGGTGTACTACCGAAAAAGAAATGTCCAGGAACACCAGAACGACCAACCAACACGCGCTGGCCGGCGTGAAACGCGGAAGTAGATTGTAATTCGTAGTGGCCCGTTTCATCAAGAATGGCCTTGATTCTAAACTCCAAACGTAAAAATTCGAACTGAATAATATACCTCGCTTCAACACCCTGCTGATCCAAAAAACACCTTCTGGTTTGGTACCGCCATATAGACGTCAAAGAAAGTCGTTTCATGGCCATAAGACCGGACCTTCTGTAAATAAGATGCTCTGCCGAAAAAGTTCACTAGCGCGGATTTTCTTTGAAAAATAAAAACCTTACAAATACGCGGTTTTCTAGGCGTTTTCGCTCAAAAGAAAGAAAGCAGGTAAAGTAAAAACTAATCGACGAAGATTCGCAATTCCTATATTTCGTTTAATTCAACGTTTTTGCTTGGTTGGCGGTTTTTCGCTGATTTATCATAGCTTGTTAGCTTTTGACGCGTTTTCTTCCGATTGCACTATCTGGAAGCAAAAACTATTGTACAAAAATCCATCGCGAACTTCACTAACACGCCTGTCTATATTTTGGCTGATAATCGCTGGAACGGGGTTTGTTGGTATATTCATTACATTCCAAAACAGTTTCATTATGATATTTGAGTTAAAAAAACCGTATTTATACAGAAAATTTCATTTTACCAACGAAATGTACGAAAAAAAGTATTAAAATGCATGGTTCCTGGACAGGGTTCAGTGGAAAAGGGCCGCCAAGCGGTCTTTTTCCACTGGTACGAAATATAGCCAGCCGGAGATGCGAATTTTCGTCTACTAGTTTTTACTAGATGTATTCGATTTTATTTCAAGAAAAAACCGGCTGAACCACGTATTTTTAAATTTTTCTTTTCTTGCCAAAAGTTGCCGAAGGTTCTTTCGCAAGTTGTCGAAAATTCGTCTGCCGACTTCACGATACCGGCTGATTATTGAGAACAGCGATTAAGATACTCGTGACGGTAGAACAATAATTTATTTGCATAAACAATGTAACAATCAGAAGTCAATTCGGTTTGGCACCGCCGAGAGAGTTGTCGGAGTCCAGACTGCTTCTCGAGTATTCGCCTTCCTCATATACCTAAAATGATAATTTCCATATGTCGACCAAGTGAACCTTGAAAACAGAGAAGCCCCCAAGATCGCGAGGAGGGGCAGGCAAATTCCTTACACCCTAAATCCGTTTTGGAAAATAGCGTAATCTTACGAACCGTGTGATTTTCTTCGAGCCGCGGATCTCTTGGTTTTCTTGACACGAGCGAAGGGTTTGGCGCGCTTGTTGACGCTTGCTCGGCGGTACCCGGTTTTTTATTGCTGGCATCGATTAGCCTTGATGGAACTAAACCAATAATAACGAGTCAATTCTCAAAATACTTACGCGTGTAAAGTCCCAAGTTGGATTTTGCAATCATTGATGACCTCGTCGTGTAGCCGACCGAGATATCTTGGTAAACTTCAATGGGGATGTTGTCGCGGTCAAACAGTCTCACCATTCTCTTTCCGGCTCTCTTGACGCAATGGCGGCGGTTGCAATAGCATCCTGCTACGCCTCGCTAGCTCCTCTCGAGCATTGAGGAACGGCTGTTTCTCGGTCTCTTTCTTTTGCGAGGCGCTATGCTTCATCGGTTGAGTCCTTAATCAAAATCAATGCGAAACTCAATGGCATACTTGGAAAATTCGTTCAGCGCCTTCAACAACGCCGCACTGTCCCTGGCAGCCCTTTCTTGTTTCTTTTGCTCTAGATCGGGAGTAGTCGGCTCCTGCATGTTTACGCGGCGTGGATCTCGGCCTTGTTCTGCCTCGATACTTCCACGCCTGCTCGTCTCTTCGGTATTGGAAGTTGCATGATTCTGCGGGTGCTTCTCGGGGACGTGGATGGTTCTAAAATTTTCATAGTTAAGAAGTCCATGTATGCATAACAAAGGAAGAACATTTCGTATTTAAACCTTCGACTGTCTCGCGGGTCTGCCGTGGTTCGACCAATCTCATTCCTGTCCTTCGAAGTCGATTCTTTCTGGTAGAGGCCATCTGGGCGCTTTCTAGAATCATGGACTTGCAAGAAATACATCTACAACCCACGGATTTTCGCGCGAGATCTCATTTTTGGAGTCTCCTGGTCGAATGGGCGTCCTATCCTTAACAGCGACAGGAACATGGGTTGATTTTTCGGCACCATTCGTCGAATTTCTCTTGTGAGTCGAATCCAGCGGCTTGGGAAGTGTATCATTCGAATGACCGGCCTAAACGTAATACGCGCATCAAAAAGGCTCCAAAAATTACTTTTTCCCGTCCAGCACCGGCTTCCACGTGTTCCCGGCGCCTCGAAGAAGACGATCCAAGCGAAGAACGACCATCAGAATTGGATCTTGATTCACTGGACCTTGATGTACTGGCTGAGGTTTGGCTAAAAAGATAGATTCTAACGCCCAATTTCTCAGATGTACCTTCGTGAAGGTTGGCGACTGGGCGTCGGCGAGTGCGGACGGTTCTTCGAGGAACTGGGCTGATTCTCGGGCTTCCGGATAGGACTATCCTTCCTTTTCTGGCGCTTTGGTGCGGCTGACAAGATGGCATCGGCGTCATCGTCAGAAGAGGGCAGGAACTGAGACGTTTCAACGATTAAAACAATTACTATCCCTTACCAAATCGTTGATTTCGTTTGTACCGGTAGGCGGAACGCCGCGTTTCAGCAATTGCTCCTAAAAGGTCATTAGGCATTAGTCATATAATACCGGCTTGTGCTTTAGAGCCGTTCTATCCGTCGACCGGTCCCAAGCTGGGATTTCTGCAGGAACTTCGACGGCGTGTGTAGCCAAATGGATAGCAGCCGTTGGGGCCACCGAGCTCTTCGATGTTACAACGGACACCGTCGGATTGCTGGCGCGGTTCTGCAGTGTATATTAGTAACCCGCCTTGAAATATTACCGCATCCGAAGAAGTAGGATGGTTTGGCTTGCTGGGCTTCGCCGGGACATTGGAAGAAAAGACTTCAATCGCGGTGGGAGGGGTAAAATCTTTCTTCGGGTTGTATACTGTCTAAAATTCATTATCGCCATTAAAAGTTTCGCAATCCAAACCTTACGCCGGCGTGACGTAAGAGCTGTTCCCAGGCCCTCTTGGACCTAAAGAAACGATCAAAGGCCACGATTGAAAAAGTACCGGTTGATTTTTCACAAGATCCAGCATCGGATCCCTTATTCCATTGCTCGTTGTTGTAGTAGTAGCGGACGACGGCAAGATGACCACCGCCTAAATGTGAAGATAAAATCAAAGTTTAAATCCCCACCTGTGGAGTTGTAGCAGCAACGGGGGCGCTCTGTGTTGGAAACTGGCTTGAACTGCATGGTTCATCTCGCAACGGAATGTCCAAATCAATAGCTGAGGTGACCATCTGAAGTGATCAATCATTTAAGAAAGTCGTCCCTACCTCCGTGTCAAAGGTAAAGTCATCCACGGAAGCGTTCTGCAGAAGCTGAAAAAAGTCGTTGAAAATTGATTGCGCTCATGGATTAGGTTCCCGAAAGCCAAAATGACGGACACACATCCATACAATCATTCACAACCCTGTTTTTACGCAGGTCCCACCCACTGACCACGACCAGGGAAATCGCAAATTCCTACTTGATCCTCCAGTTCAGGGTAAGCCAATTCGTATAGATCTAGGGTCTTCTCAAAATCGCCCACATCAACTCCCCGGTTCGCTTGGTACTTTTGCGCAAGCCCTAGTGTGTTGCTTATGACCTCGTTCACCAGTGGGAGCGATATTTTCGGGTTTTGCTGCAATCCGTTGTCGGCACTTGGTGGGTGCCCTGACGTGCCGTCGAGCTTGACAACATCGCTGCTAAAACTAAAAACTGAGAAATAATGCTGACAAATTGTACCTCAGTGGATGAGAAAGCGGGAGTGCTACAGTATCTGCATCGGGGACAAGCTGTCTTGAGGAAGGCCGGGGAGGCTGAGGCTGCAAAACACAAATGTTTTACTGTAGTTACAAAATACCTTTCCATAAGATGTCACGACGCATAGAGCATCCATCAAGTGTTTCTGCAACTCATGTAACGATGACGGTGCATTCTTGGCGATATCAATAGCAGCGGGGCCGATCGTTTCAAGCTCCTGGAAAAAGGATTCATCTAAGCTTAATGAAATTCTGACCTGAATCAACGATTCCAATGTGTGTCCATGGAGCTTGTCGTGGACAAAAGTTGTTTTGACGCCGGGAACTTTTTCAGAGAAGCACGGCGATTCTTTCAGGAATGCAGCCAAGGTTCGGTTGTACTAAGAATAATCAAGATATATATCGATAACACCGATGTTACCTTAGACCGTTGCAGATATCCGCAAATGAGGCCGTCGACTGTAGAAGACAAATCGCTTGCCATCATCAAGCTCATGCACGAAAGCAGTGCAAGGCAGAGATCACCGGAATGCTGAATGTTCGTAATCTTTGCAGCCAACACATTTTTTTGCCAAGCTGTTCGTGAGCCTCTAAGCCAGAATTCAATACACTTCGAATGTGTGAGGCTGCGTAACCATCAATAACTATGTACCACAAAACAGCACCATTTTATTGACATGTGCAGCACCAGATTGATTATACAAAATGTGAAAATGGAATCGATAAGAGTACTCGTTGTAAATGGGGGTAACACATTGGATATCACAGAGGGGCGAAAAGCATAAATTAAATCATATTTTAAATAGCTGGGCCACAGGTGTGGGTGTTCGAAGGGAGATGGACAAAATCACGCCATATAAAAAAGGCAGTCATGTGCTGGAAGAGCTTATCGTCCGGCGATCTTCATTTTTGGAAGAGCAGTTTTCGGGCAAACTGAAACACGGGAATAAAATTGAACAAAAAGCACCTACGCCCCCTCTCGACGTGCTTGATTCATCGGTCGGAGTGGTTGCTTCACGCCCGGCAATTTTCTTGTTAAGGTCGGCCATATGTGAGGTTAGATCGGTCATTTGTGACTCGTAACCACGGCGGACAGTCTCCAATTCATCCTGAATCATGTAACAGTTATTAAGATTAACTCTACATTTGCCAGCATTCTCAGCGCCTCGGAAGCATTCAGACGATCCTCGATCAACTTCCGATCGGCTTCAGCCAAACTGGCTCGTTTCAAAAGCGCAGCACACTAAATTGCCGCATAGAAGTATCAACACGCAATAGTACCTCGTTACTCAGGAAGAGCACCTTGTCCTTTTGGACTTGGAGGTTGCCAAAGGCTTCCCGGAAGCGGTCAGTGAAGAACTGGCGCAAAGCCGTACCCTCCACCTCATCGGAGAAAGCGGGAACTTTCCTAATAGGGAGATATTTGTTGCTTACATATAAAAATTACCCATTCGAGTCGGAAATTCCGTGCACGACCACCATTCTTGCTTCTTCCACAACCATTTCAGCCTTACGCTTGAGAAGCGCGATTTCGACCATTAATTTCTCTCTATCAGCTTCGAGCTCCGCAATTCTTAGCCGTTGTTTTTTACACTAAAACCGAAATTGAGCAATTGCAATGCTGATCATCTAGGCGGATTTGTCAGTGGCATCGGTCAACGCGCGACTTTTTAACTTCAAGACAAAAAATTTACCGTAATCATTGAACTTGAATCAGTGAAAGCGATGTCATTATTATTGCAGGCAGGCGAAGGTAGAACCTTGCAGATCTAGACAAAAGTTAGGATCGCTGATTTGTGCATACCAATGTTGGTTTTGAAAGAGTTGTGATCGTGTCTTGGCCAGCTTCGCTTTTGAGCACTGGAGGGTCTGAACGAAGTATTATTAAACAGCGAATGACGAACAAGTACCTGAATCGTTTTCATTTTCCGTATTTTGTTGCTCTGCTTGCAATATCGGCATCGTAAGTGCCGTCTCTGTTCGAGCCATTAGACGAGCGCTTTCCTGGTCCAGTTGAGATAGACAATCACACAAGGCGCTTCCGATACACTGAACACATTATTTCACAATTTAAAAACTAATTCCAAAAATTACTTTAAATTTCTTGCTCGCCACCGGCAACCGATCTTCAAACCGCCAGCGGCCACAAAAAGCATCACGCAGTTGTTTTACAGCCTCACACGTTTCCCGGATTTTCGTGAAAACCTTCGTGGTTCCATCAGCAGAAAATTCCGCGAGCAATTGGGAATATTTCTCGGAAAGCGAAACCCATGCCATGGTGAAACATCCAGATAGGTTGTCCAGGTGACCTAAAATTGAACTTTACTGAGCAGAATAACCTAACCATTGCTCCAAGGACCTTGCTTTTCGGCCCTCTCTAGCTCCAGGATTCCGGGTTTCAGAGCTGCAAAATACGTGGCAAAATCTTGCAGTGGCGTTTTCAGTTCACTCAACTCGTCAAATGTCTAAAAACATTGCAGAAACTGAAAGAAACCATACGTCAAACTGTTCGCGAATCAGAATCTCCTTGAATGCCTCGGCGACCCGATGCGCCTCCACCGAGCAGGCGTTCAAATCGATGGATAGCTATCAATGTGAACAAAAGTAAATTGATTCGTCAAGAATATTACCTTTCTGATGGCAGGTGGAAGTTGCTCCAAATTTGAGTCAAATGGAAAAAGAAGTGTCCGTTCCGAGTACAAGTGCAGGAACGTAGACATCGAAGTCGCACAGTGCTTCGCACTTTCAAAACACTAGGGATGGCGCCGTTTCAAAGAATGAAAAAAATCGTTACCAAGCGATAAACTTCTGGTTTGGGAGGTGGCGCTGTGGAAATCTTGATGTCAAGAAGTGCGTCTTCAGCAATGGGTCCAGGACTTGTAACTTCGGAATCCTGCACAGGGTTTTTACCTATAAGAATCGGATGGCCCACACAACTCTTCCCAAACCTTGCTCGTGTAATTGCAAAGCAAATTTCTCCGATAGTTCTACAATCTCACTTGCATGTGCTCGTTCGATTTCGGATATCTGCAACAAGACAATGAATTTGAACAGAAAGTCACCTTGTCGACCAAGGATATGTGCTGGCTCATCTTGTTGCGGATTTCTTCTTCCAGCAGAACTATTTTAGACTGCAGTTCAACCTCATTAGATGATGGACGCTCTTTCTTGGCGGGCTTATCTTTCTGAAAGCGAAGACGTCAGTTTGAGATCCCGCAGACCCAACCTTATGCGTAGCGCGACCATCAAGTTCACTTTGAAGCGTTTCGACTCGTTTAGATAACTAAAATAACATACGTGCTAAATTATATATTATACCTGTTCATTTCTAAAAAGTAAGCTTTCGTTTTCCGACTTCAGTTTCCGCATCGCAGTTTCAGCCTCCTTCAAACTTTCTGCTGCTTTCTTCGCCTTCGCTCGTTCTTCCAGGACCCCATTTTTTAGGACAGCTGCATTTGCGCGTAACTAAAAGTTGTGTAACCGAAATATCAACGGTTATTTGCGCCCGTACGTTCCAATTTAGCCTCGATCAACAACCCTGCATAAAAACACGGAATCTAGCCAGATTTTTTCCTCCCCGCATTGCTAATTACCTTAGAATATTCGGCCGAGAGCCTTTCATATCGCACAGATGCATCAGCTGTCCATGAAACGGAAGATGCCGACATAGGCTGCGCTGCCAACGCCGAATTTCAACTGTATTTCAGCACGCTCAGCCCGGGAAAAACTGTTCTAAAACCAGGATAATTTGAGAACGTCGCTTGGCGTAGCAATCGCGCTAAAGCCGTTCAACAACATTTGCCAATACACTGCCTAGCAGGATATTATAGTATTTGAACAGGTTATGTACCTTGAAAATCGTAAGACATTATACATAAAATTTTTACCCGTAACAACACCATAATCCAAAGATATGAATTTACGAAAATAACAAAGTAACAAATGGAAAGTCTTAGGCGGATGGCTTGATCTCATTTTGGAGGGGCAGCTCCTTGATCGGGGTTGTAAAGACGAAATCCGTCGGGAACAGATCAGCGGCCATCGGGAGCAAGAGTTTGTAGGCTTGTTTGACGGTTACCTCGGCGACACCAGCTATGTCACCGATTTCTGGAAAATTAAGTTACAAGAAGGTATTTTCTACAAACCTTTCGCCGTGCATTTGGTGGCGGATGCCTGTGAAGCCATGTAAATAGCAGCTGCGGCAATAGAAATCGGGCTCCTTCTGGAAATCAACAAAAGGGTGAATCAAAATCTATATATCTTACCCGGCCACCAAATCCAGGTCTACAGCTTTCTTGGCAATTCGGGTGGCGCACGTCTAAACGATCAAGTTGAATTTACAACTGCTCTGACCTGAACGGGCATAGGCAACCCCAGATTGCCGCAAAAACGCGACATGAAGTCGGCCGACGTGATCTGGTCGAGGTTGGTCTCCATCGTCTTGACAATGGTCTTGAAGCAGCGACCGATTTCTTTCTTGGACACCCGTGAGACAGCGCAAATCTCTGCAACAAACACTGGTTTGACTATATATCTATCACCTTTGAACGAGCGCGGCACATTTTCCTTGCGGCAGGCGATGTAGAGGCATGCCGCGGCCTGTGCTTCATTGTTCTTTCCTTTCAGTGCCTTGGTATCCAAAACATCCTTGAACATCTTGGCCGCAACATCCTATAAAAAATTATTTATGCCAAGTTAGCCAGAGCTTTCAACCCAGAGGGGGTGATGGTTTACCAAAAAAAATCTTACCTGAATAGCCCTCGGAAGATGAATGCGGTCACTCATGTCACGAATGACGCCGATCGCCACGGTCATCTGCCGATCGGTGTTGTTCAACGTCTTGCGCTGCGCATTGGCGAGACTAAAATTTGTTAGCTGCTTATTTTAAATCTATAAATACCTCTGATCGCTCTCGCTGGAGCCGAATCCAACGGCGATATGCGTCGACAGATCGCCGCCGGAAAGCAGCAAATTCTCCGGGGCACCAACACGGGAAGGGTCGTTGCCGCTGTTCTCATTCGAAAAGGAACGCCATTCCGTTCCGACGTCGACGAGACTAAAATCGTCGAATCAGCTTAAAATTAAAAAGTGATCATACCGATCCCCCACAACAAGGCCGCACTCAGGGCAGATAACGTCGCCAGCGCGGTGGTCCTCAATCAAGTGGGCGCTTGGATGCGTGGGGCAGAACATCTTGGGATTCTTCCTGAACAAAGGTTGTTTTCAATTAGTAATTGAGCATGCAACACGAGATAATAACAACGTAAGTATAATATCGGGACCATGAATTGCGCAACTCGGGCAAAACGAATTTTGCGCAACATTTGGCGAAAAAAAAATATAAAAGGCTTACAATCATAGATTTGTCAATTGAAATCTTCTTGTTATCGATGATTTTAGCAAAAAACCTAAATTTTATACGCAGCGAAAAGCTTTGAACAATCTATCTTTGCAAACTTTTTATATTTTTTCGCCAAAAATTGCTCAAAATTAGCTTTTTGCGAGAAATTCGTTTTTCGCACGGCTCGTCAAAGCGCACTTTAGTACGGGGCGCGCCTTTTGCCACTCGTCCCTATGCCGCGGCGCCGCGCATATTAGAAAAAGCAAAGTTAGTAGTTTTCTTGCCATAACTTTTTTGGCATGATTTCGAAAATTTGGGAGGCTTGACGAATCGATAGAGAAAAAATTCTCTATCGAACGGTGACGGGTTGCATAGGGCATTCTCAAGGAAATAAGGAGTTATTCGAGCCTAAAGTTTCACAAATTTCCAAAACAGTGGTTTTACAACGAGCTTTTCGTCCTCTAGGCATAAGATACCGTCAATAAGTTGCTAATGAGTTACGCGAAGTACAAATGTACTATTCTGACTCAAATATCAAAGCTTTTGGAAAGCTAAAGTAATTTTCCTAAACGATAATATGGAGCTTTGAATAATCGGGCTTTATAAGGCCATTTTCTACATAATTTTGTCAAATCAGAGAGCGTAAATCGAGAATTACTAAATTATCATGTGTCGATTCTGGAAACGAGTTCAAACGCCAAGTTTTTTGAAAAAGAGGCGTCAGCCTTGTAAGAACTGTCCTAATCTACTAAAGTAAAGGCCCCAACTGGAAATACATCTCAAGATTTAGTAAAAAATTGACCCGCCGCCTTCAAAAACTGATTTGTTAACGAATCCGCGACTGTTTTGAGCTCCTTTCCGGCAGAAATCCTTCTAGCCGCTATTTTCCGAATTCTAACGGTAAATCGCTAGTTTGATTTGGCTTACTGCCTCCCAGAGTCTTTGTGATACTATTGGAGCAAAAAACAAAAGAATTTTTATGAAAATTGAGGGATTTTTACCCGAGAGGAATCGAACCCGGGGGGTACGGGGGGCTCGCCGGGGAGTTAACCCACTATCGGCGGGGAGAGAGCCGCCGCCCCCCCAAAGTGCGTTTTTGGTAAGGGCTGACGAGCCGTGTTTCCTGAGTTGCACAAAATGCATGGTCCCACAATATCGATCGGTCGTAACCGTAGCACCCTGGAATTAAACTATAAAAATCAAATTAATATTTTATTCATCCATTTATTCAGTTCAACTTCAGAAAAGTACTGTCGAAACACGTCATAATGCAAGGGATCTATAGGCGGGAAATGAGAGATGTGATAAGGCAGAGATAAAGGTTCCGGAGATCAAATGGAGCAACCGACAATTGTCGTCGACACGAGGAGGTTGATTATATGAAAAATTATCGAGGGAGATACAAATGTAAGAACTTCATTTTCCGGCAGTCTTCCTGCGCGGTCGACCGGAACCGGTGTTGGCAGACTTCTCGGCTTCACAGAATTCCGTGCACATCCAGGAGCCTAAAATTTGTGTCAATTTAAAGCCAAAAGCCGGTACCATTCGGTGGTTTCTCGACGCCTACACAATATGTGTGATAGCCACGATCACATCGGTCGCAGATGATCAGGGCGTCCTGGAATTTGTATAAGCTGGGTCGATCACCCCCTCCCGACTTTTGTTCTACATAATTTATGTGGTTAAATCTTGTTGACTTAAAATTTCGGTGAAAAGCCAATTACACGTTTTTTTTCTTGTACCGCTTCTAGTTTTCCAGTGTCGTACCCACCTCATTGTCAGGTTTGTGGCACATGGTACATAATTTGCACTCCATGCAATGCCACGGGTAAGTCAGCACCGCGGCAGTCATCTGTTCGTCCATTTCGGCGCATTCTGCATGCACAGTCATATGGCAAGACGCGCAACTGAAAATGTCATCATATTTTACCCACCAATCGGGGCTGCGTCGAAATTTTTTAAGATCGAGCTTTTCTAGCCCAAAAAATGGTAATAATTGCAAACCGGATCATCGTCAAGTCGGCTTTCGGCGCAAGAAGGCATTGAGAGCACTTCTAAAACGAAATAGAAAGAATCCTTCGTTCGTACCGTCTTTTTCAGATCACTTTGCTTCGGAGTGGGTACCTCGACCTTCACGCGTGGCTGTGTTTCTAAACATATAAAGTCTACCTAAACGATAAAAATTACCTCGTTGTGGTGTCATAGCTGCGGCGATGGGGCCAGATGTAGCAAAAACATTTTTGAAATCTTCTTCCTGAAAATCTTATGGTTGTTATGATGAAAAGCGCTGAAGTTGAAGCAACATGGGAGTAGATGAGTTAACGCCAGTTAAGCTTGGGGGAATGGCACACAGATTATTCCTAGTCACGCGTTCTCTACCTTGTTCGGAACCTGCACTTCATCCTTCAACTCCTCCTCCTGAGAGATTACTCAATGACTTTTGAATTGATTACCTTGACATTTATCGGCGGCGGGCTTTTCCCGCGTGGGACGGTGAACAAATTGCTACCATCCATCACCGTTCCTAGGGGAAGTCGGTTCAGCTCAGCGGGTGTGTACCTGAAATCGTAATAATGGAGCACGACATTGCTCACTTTTTGTAATAATCCTGATATTGTCCTAAGACGAGGGCAGCCGGATAGCGACTCGGCTTCGTTAGGCTCGGATGCATCCGTTTCCAGCCACCACTTCCGGATTGGATGACCTAAATTGCGATTACGTCACAAGGCAAATTATCACCCCAGTCTGCAGATCCCAGTACGTCTTCCGCTCGTACTTTCTTGTATTTTGCAATTCTTGGTTCCACGCACTGGCGCTAGCGATGGCCTTCTGACGCATGTCCTCCAATGCCTTCGGGTCCTTTTTCAACTAAATCGGCTTAGGGTCATCAAGGATCACACCGCCTACTCTATCCATTTCTTTTTGCTGCTCGGCCATCTTCTCCTTGATCTTTTCCGTCGTAAGGCGCTGATACTCCTGAAACAAGAAAGAATGAAGTATGAAAATGTCCTACAGCAAATAGATCCGGCTTTTCTCTACATAAAAGGTCATGCACCTCGCTGGCACGGATCGCCGTCATGTATTGCATATCTGAAAGATCATTTTACGAGAAAGCGTAACACTTACGCAATTCCGACAGCAATGTGTTGACTTTGTGAGTGTTAATCAGGTACTCCTTTTCTTCTTTTCGGATCTGACGCGAGGTCATTTCCGGAAATCTACGCTTGAAGGCAGTAATCTGCATTAGCTCGCTGATTTGTTCCTAAAGCAAGGAATTAGACAACCGATTTGAAAGCACCTGTATCATCCACTTATCGCCACTCTTCGCTGGCCATTCGTATTCTACCAAATCTTTCGGTTCGGTAAACTAAAGGGTAAGCGGTCGTCAGCTATTACGAGTTACTGACAGCTGAATTAAACTGTACTGTACCTTGTAAGTAACATCTTCTGTAATTAGCCGGCTGAGCGACTTTTTGTCAGCTTGCGAGTTCGAGCCAGTCGAAGCCAGAGAATTATCACGTACGACGGGCATTGGCTTGTCTAAAGACGTCGTTTATATTCTGTTTGCGAGCACCTACCGAGAGTCGCATCGCTGTCGGTCTCCAGGATAGACGCAGGGTTGATAATCGGTAAACCATCGTCGATCTATGGAATATAGGCCATGATCAGCAATGGTGGGTTCACTTACCGAGTCACAGGACATCATCGAGTCCTCATTTTGGTTGATTATTTCCATCACGCACCTAGAATTCGAATTGGTTTAGAACCGCCGTCTGGGCGAGAGTTTAAAATTAGAGAGCTGCCATAAAGCATGCTAATCGGTAATAGATTTCAAAAATTTAAAGATGGGAATCTTTGTGCTATGCGGAACGTGTTCCGGCAATAGTCGATCCCCTGTAGACGTTTCGACACAAGCAACTTGGTCTTAATAATACAGGATTCGTTGCATGAAATCAATTTTTATCCAAAAAAAACTTGGCAGATGGGACTGTCGCGGTCGCCCACGGCTCGCAAGGCGGCACAGGCAAAATTCATTGCAAATGGGGCGCGTTGACTGGGCGTCATTTGGAGCGCTAGGTACAACCTCCAACGTTGTCAAAAATTTGTGGTGCACCAAAGTTCCAAATCCAAGCCATGATAAAGTTTTCACGATATTTAGTTTTTTTTTTCAATGTTATAACTTATGATCTATTTTTTATCGAATGTTCTGGCGTTTTATATTGAGTTTTTTAGATGTCCCAAGACTGGAATTCATGGGACGATCAGCAAGGATGGGGACAACAGGGATATTCTCAAGGATACGGGTATTTCCGCTTTTTCGGATTTTTTACGACTCTTTATAGAGAACAGTCCCAGGGAGGCCAAAACTACTATGAGCAACAAGGCAACGCACAGCAGCCGCAACAAGGCTTCAATGGGCAGCAGCAGTACGGCGGTTATGGTGCGCCTCAGCAAAATTACTACGGGCAGCAGCAACAGCAGAGTGGGTTGTTTTTTGTTGGAAATGGAATGCGTATAGGTAGCTTAATAGGTTTAATCAGTATCTAGCTTGTTTGCTTTTATACAACGAAATTTTAGATATGTACATGCCGCAAGCCGCCCAACAGTTTATGTCCGACCCGCTTTTTGGGGCTGCGACCCAGATCGGAAGCAAATTCGCTGAGGATCAGAAAGAAAAGGTATAAAACTGTGTTGATTCCATTTTATTCTGATTCCAGTTGACGAAATATCTGACCGGATTCCAACTCAAGTACTACTTTGCCGTCGACAACTCCTATGTGGCGAAAAAGCTCGGCATTTTGCTCTTCCCGTTCTTCCATAGAGTGAGTTTTTATCAAGGACTAATCCCTTTTGTTTCTAGGATTGGAGTGTGAAGTACAGTGCCTCAACAGATCCGGTGCCTGCGCGAGACGATGTGAATGCCCCTGACCTCTACATCCCGCTGATGGCTTTTTTGACTTATGTACTCGTTTCCGGTTTTGTTCTTGGTACGCAAGATAGGTGGGAGTCATAGTCTAGCGATTATTTCGTTCAGGTTTTCCCCAGAAATGCTTGGAATCCTCACCAGTAATGCCTTCATCTGGATTATCATTGAAAACTTCGTCATCACAATATCGAAGTACGGTTTTCGCAAAAAAGCCAGATGCCGACATTTCGTTGGACGGCTGTAATCTTTGTTCAGATATGTGCTCAACATTAGCCAGTCGCTGTCCGTATGGCATTCACTGGCATATAGCACCTATAAATTTGTCGGGTACCGTTTATGAGCTATCAAGGAACCCTGTGTTTTTAGGATGATTATCTGCCTGCTGCTCTTCATGACTGGTGGAAAGACACTCTACTACTCGGCACTCGCTTACACCGCACTGGCCCTCGTCTTCTTTTTGGTATCATCCCGGATTTTACTGACATGTCCTTTCAGTTACGAACAATCAAGAATTTTGTCCTGGACAATCACCATGCTTATAACGCAGCTGACGATGGGCGGAAACGAAAGCTGATGCTGATTTTGTTCATTGCCGTCTCACAGCCATTGATCATGTGGTGGCTCACCAGGTAAACCACGAGCGCTGTTAGTACCTTGTTTTAGTGGTGTGACCAGCTACGAATATGGCAAATACGACTTTGCTCGCATGGCGATGAGTCAAATGGGCGTTGGCGCTAAGGGCTTGAAGGCCGAGGTAAGGTCTTTTTTTACTATATGGATGATGAGTATTTACGCATGCTTTTGTTCCGCGAAGGTTCTCATTCGCCTATCAAAAAGTCTTATTCCAGGTGCCGATAACTGCTGATGGTGACGTTGATTACGAAGCCCTCTTGAAGATGCCGAAGTGATACCGAAACTTGCCTTCCCGCATCATACGATGTTTTTTTTATTAATTTATTCGTCCCATTCCTCGTCTGTGTTTTCTGAATAAATTTTTATGTACGGGCTACACCCAATATGTGGATGCTTAGCCGCAATTTTGTCGACAGTAGCTGGTCAAAAATTTGGCATTCACTTGAGCAATCGACCAGTGAGATAGGCGCGTGCTGACTATGCTCCCACGCGTGTGTGTCTTGAGACGGGTTCTTTCCGCAAAGTAGCACCTCCACCCAATTTGCCCTTTGACCGACCCCAGCAGCAATCAGCACATTTGGTCCACGTGACCTTCGTGCACTGAGACGATCAATAATAGACACCTTTTGTGAGAATGCTAATCGGGTCCGAAACTGCTTTTTGAGTTACTTTGTTTGATTTAAGCCAGTTTAAACGGGGGCCGCGTTGAAAAAGACGGGTTAAAGACGATTAGCTGATTGATGTATTGAGATTCCTATTGTTTTCCATTTTCTCAATAAAATGTTGAGGATAGAAAACACAATCTAATTTTAGCAGATGGAATGCGGCTGCTGTCTAGGGGCGGCAAGTATCGTTTTTGCCGTCCTCTTTCTTCTCTACATTTTATCGGAGACATGCCGATACTATTTGAGGATTAGCTTCTTCTACATCACGATTCTCTTGCATGGAATGGAATGTACGATCACTCAACTGCCGTTCTACTTGATGGGCGGTGTACGTTTTTTTGAAAAAAGACTTACTCCATTTTCAGGGCGCCGATTATATCTTCTACTCCTTCTATTATTGGTGCAAGTGGACAGGAATTCATGAAGAGGTTGGATATGCTTTTTATGCTATTAAGTTTTTAAGGTGCGGGATTACGATAAGTACATGAAGCCATTGAAAGGACCAGCGATCATCGTTTGCAACCATCAGGTTTCGGTGTCGTACAAATATCTTATTCGTATCTCTAGTCAGCGATTGACGTTTACGCAATGTGTGCCGCTTTTCCGAAACGTGGTACGGTGATGATGAAGAAAAGCCTTCAGTGGATTCCGTTTTTCAACATCACATCTTGGCTGGTATATTTTATAAATAGCTGTCTAAAACAGATTTTCTGCAGTGCCGCTCGATTTACATTGATCGGTTCAACCGGGAAAAGGCCATCGAACAAGTGGATGAGTGTGCAAAGACGATCTTAGAACGTAATTTGAAGGTTAGAACTATTAGAAATCTTACACCACGCATTTTAGGTATGGGTTTTTCCTGAAGGCACTCGGTACCGTGAGCATGGGATGTTGCCTTTTAAAAAGGGCGCTTTTAACATTGCGGTCAAGGTATTTCAAGTCACGTTTTTTTTTTCTAAGAAAATATAGGCCCAGGTTCCAATCGTCCCTGTCGTCGTCAGTTGCTACAAGCCGTTTTATTCAAAGAAAGACCGGTAATTTACTACGTTATCTTCATTGTGTTTATACATAGGATTGCTCGGCCCACAGACATTGCGTAAATTTAGATATTTTCACTCCGATGGTGAGGTAATCATCCAAGTGTTGCCGCCAGTGGAGACGAAAGGGGTATATTCGTACGCTTTGGTCGTAAATTTGGTTTAGATTCCATTGGACGAGGTTCCTGAGCTGGGTGAACGGATAAGGAAGCAAATGTTGGAGGTAATTTTGGCATTGTAATATGAACAACCTGTTTTCTACAGGTCTATGATCGCATCACTCCCGAGGCGGCCGCGAGAATGGAAGCCAAAAGAGCCAAGAAAAGTCAATGAGTTATCTACCGCCAATTGCGATACGGTGTACAGAACTGGGTCGACGAATTTATCTAATGGTAACTTCTAGTTCTCAAATTGTAACTTTCATTTTTGTCCAACTTATGCTTATCACGTTGCATTTTGATGACATTTTTATCCAAATATAATATTTGTTTGGGCATTCCGTTTGCACGAATAAATAATGTGTTCGTGATTAACACTAAGCAGGCAGCTTGCGGTGCTAGCAACAAGATCGAATGTTTTCTAGGAAATCGAAATCTTTAGCCTTCTAGAGCTGCGCGGGGTTTCGCACTTTGTTGTTTTTCGTGAGGATCCTTGGCATTTGCTGCGAACTGTCTAGGTTTTGGAGATAATACTATTCCGCACAAGTTTGATCTCGACATTTAATTGAGGTCATTCCACGCGAAACCTGTTGATCCGACCGTTTGATGCACAGGGGCTATCAGGCGCCATGCTCCGATTTATTGGATCATCGGTTGAGACGGATCCCCCGGGGGGGAGATTTGGCAAGGAGTAGAACAAAGGGGCAAACTGGTATCTTCTCTCTGGCTAGGCCGTGAATGCGTGGCCAACCCCCAGCGTACCATCCGAACTGGTTCCCGGCCCGCCTTGATACGCGCCCACCCGCGTTGGCGCACTCGGCTTGGATAAGCATCCGAACTTCGCCTACAGCCGCTACAGCAGATCCGAAGAACTTATTAAATGATGAAGCTACTGTGTGTCGCGACCCTTTTAGCGGTGGCTCATGGAACACCACAGGACCCATGCTGCGGTGTGCCTTATCCGGATTTAGCGAAAAAATTTTTAAGGCGGCGGATCCTGTGGGCAAGCTTCTTCTGCATGTGGCCCGACCGCCGTGACGATGGCCCCATTCACTTTCCCTACACACAATTTCCCAACCCTTCCAACCCACACATTCCCGCCGCACTCCTTCCCGACGTTCGGCACGTTCGGCACACTGCCGCCGCACACATTCCCCACCCTACCCCCGCACTCCTTCCCAACTATGGCCCCTGGGCAGGTAGATGAACAAGTCAGATGGTCAAGGTGGCCGATTTCTAGACATTCACCCTCGGTACGCTCGCGCCGATGTTTGGGGGACAAAATTTGTTTGGGGTAAGTTAGATGATGTTTTTAGCCTATTTTCCGAATTTAGACCCCAGCCCCCGCAGTGATGAATCAGCAATCAGGTGATTTTAGTGGTTTTACAACATAACTAGGCCTTAGACCCCAACTGCGGCTTCGCGACAACCCCTTCTGGAGATTGCGGTATTTGGAACGGGGGCCATAGAGCTCGGGAATTAAATTTTAGGAAACAATGTTAATAATATGAATAATATGAACAATATGAATAACATGAACATGAATGGGATGGCCCCTCAACAACCGGCGCCCCAAATGCCAGCCGTTCCAGCCCCACAACCAGGCATGCGCCACACTACCGAAGTCAAACCAATTTCAGGAAATTTCAACCAAAATGGCCTCGCCCCAATGATCGCCCAGCCTGAAATGCCACCAGCCCCCATCCCACAGCAAGGTAAATTATAGCTTGTATATAGCTTAGGTTCCCAGGAAACCTTGTGGCACCCCAAACGAGCTTCGTCGGACCCGAGGGCCAAGCTGGACCCTTGCTACAGCCCTATCCAGAACAAGTGCAAGTCGCGCAGCCCCAGCCAACTCTCGCTCCTGAACAATACGCGCAGGTTCGTGATTTTTGATACTCCCATGAGAACCGCATGCTTTTAGCAGGGCAATGACTATGATATCAACGACGGTCTATCTACTGGTGGGTTCAAAAAACAATTCTGCGCATCCTTACAATAGCGAAAAAGGCTTCAAATTTGTTTGCTGTAAAAGCATAGGAAGTACTTGTTTTACTAAAATAAAAGCAGGTGTCCGCGGGCGACGAAGGGCTGCTGCAGCAAAAACAGAAAAGACTGACTCCCCCCTAACCGTCCGCGAAATCGAAGCCAGCGAGAAGCTAGAGGGACTCGACGAAAAATTGAGGTGCGCTGATTTAGATTTATGAAAGATACATTAAATTACTTAAATTGACCAAAATTAACCGAATATGTTTAGGGAGGAAGCTAAAATGGCGGAGAAAGTGGAGGAACGGGTCCTGTCGCAAAAGTGCAACGATGAGCGTCTCCGAAAAATTATTATGGAGGTTGGGCTCAGGGAATGTGCAGGGATTTTAGAATTTGTAGAACGTCGACAAGAACCCCTCTGCGTCGAAGCGAAAGATTCAAAAGGCGGCTGCCACGGAAATTGGAGGTTAGGAATCTAGAAACTTAAAAACCTATAAAAAACCTATTTTGATATGTCACGTGTAAAATTTAAAAAACTCAAAAACCTAACAAAATTTTTAGGGCTATTTGACGTAGTTTGTTCCCAACACGACTTCTCCTATTTGGCAAATACACAACTGTTTTGCGAGGCCGGGAATGAGGACGTTACGTGCTTCGCCTTCCTGCACTCGATCTTGCCTTAATTTTACCGTATTTGAATTGTTGTATATGTTTGTGATATTCAGGCCCAGATGTGCAATGGCCAGGTTGGTCGATAAATTATTCGGTTTACAGCTGCGATAGAGTGGTGGATTTGATGAAGCTTGGCTTGAAGCCGAGAAGAGGGGGAAAGTGCGTGAAGGGGGACGGGAATGACGGGCACGTCTTCGGCGGGCTTCGGCTGACAAGCAGGGGGCCCCTCGGGGCACCTGGCCCGATCGGGCAAGCCAAACGGCACTTCTTCCAGTTTCACCACCCATCCTAACATTTTCCGGACCTGCCCCGATGGTCGATTTTTAAACGTATTCCGATGGTTTCTAGAAGTTTATGAGGTGTGTTTTTCGAGTCGCGCTCCGCAGCGCCAGTTGCAGTTTTTTAATTTTAGCAACTCAAGGAACAAATTGAATCTGTTGTTAATAAATAGCCTATTTTTATCATGTTTTTCGTAGTCTTCGATTGCCAGAAAGCTACAAAAATATCCTAAAGAACTTTTTCGACACTTTTCATACATTTTTGACCAAAAAGCCATAAATTTTCGAAAATTTTTGTAGGCTTTTATGAACTTTATATATGTAAAACCTGCGTAAACTGCTATAAAAATGGTTTATATTTTGTTATAAAACCGTACAGGAATTCTGGGAAAAATGACTTCTCCCCTGCTAACAGTCCAGTGCCAAAAACCCTATAAACCCTAGGATTGCTAGAATAAAATGGGCCCTCCTTTCACATGCTCGCCAACCTGGTTTTGGCATAGAATCTGAAACCGTATCCGCCCGGGCACTCGATCTTCAGGTGTGCATCTACGGGGTGGGTCCTGCACTCGAACCCCGTGGATGTATTGTGTATCCGCCCGTACCTGGGATCTTTCGGCTGTCCCGGATGCGCTTCCGCTGCGTGCGCACACGTCGTCCTGGCAAAAAGGCATCGTCATCGGATTAGACTGTACTTCTTGAAGATGAGGGCGCGTTATTTTCTACAGGATTTTGCAGAGTGCGTCCATTTTAACTAATTTTTGTTTTTCAGCCTATGCCTACCTTTTTTAGGCATTTTTCATACACCGTTTACCAAAATTCAAACGTTTTCGGAAATGTCAATGTTTTTTATGATTTTTATAGTAAAATTCTTATAGTAATTATAGTAAAAAGGTTTAAAATTCCGGCCGTACAGAATTACTGAGAAAAATTAGTCTCCCGCTGCTAGCCCCCCGCTAATAGCTAATAGCCCGGTACCAAAACACCTTCTCTTTTCGGCTCTTGTTAATTTCTGATTCTATCGATATTCCACCCCCCAATCACGATTTGGCAAAAGTCCAATGTGCAAAAACCATTCCAGCCGGTGCCGTTCGCAGCCAAAATGCGCTTATGGGCACGCCGTGGCGGTAGATGAAGCACGGGGGGAGGGGGTTTAAGCGCAGCGATAGGGCTTCCGTCTCGATGACCACCACACCGGGGGCCCGGGTACCCTATTTGTTATTTGTTTTTTTGGGGCGGGGAGCCCGCGTTTGGTGGAAGCCGTCGTCCTTTTAGAATGGGAACAGCTCTTTTTCTCGCGCCGCATGATGACCCCTCCTGGCGGACTGTGGGAAATTCGGGAGCGTATATCCTAAATTCGGGCATCCAGAAGGCGGATGGAGGATTGTTTTTGATGTAGTTTGGTGTCATTTTTAGTTTTAGAGGTTTTTCTGTCTTGATTTTCCTTATTTTTTGCTTTTTGACCTTTTTGACCATATGTCTTTTGGTGGCTTTTGTAGTTCTAAAGGACTTCATCGTCTTTCTTGTTTTCATTGTACTTATTTTTGCTTTGAGCCTGTCTTACCATCTGTCTTTTGATGCGTTTTGTAGTTTTAGAGGATTTCATTGTCTTTATTATTCTTATTTTGCGCGCTCTCATCTGTCTTACCGCATGCCATTTGGTGTGTTTTGTACTTTAAAAAAATTGTTGTATAATAGAACCTTTACAATTGCTTTTTTTCAGAACACATTGCCGTATGTTTTTAGCGTTTTTTTATTTCTATAAGCTTTTTAATTTCTAAAAATCTGAAACATTTCACGATAATCCAGCAGTTTTGGTTGCTGATTGCCTTTTACTTTTTTAGGCGGCTTTCCTTCACTTATCCTCCTTATTTATGACTTTTTTTAGCCTTTCTTACCCTATGAAACTTCCAGAATTTTCAGAATGCAAGTCCTGGCCCGATGGCTTGCCGTGGTGGTCATTCTGGATGTGGCAATGTGCGGTTCGCTAGACTGGTGTCACTATTTCCGGTTGTTGAGAAGAGAACATACTCGTCCTGAATGTTATGGGGTCACCGAGAGCCGGCTCAGGCTTGCCAGAAGACGGGGTAATCCTTTCTGTAACCTATCATTTGGTTCGGCAAAAAAGCTTCAGAACCTAGGCCGATTTTCTATTTGAAAAATTGATGAAAATCGGGCTCTTTCACATTATTGGGGGGACCTACTTTTGTCTAAGGAAACAATTTTCCTAATATTAATAGACACAGGAAGTCTTTTTAAACTTTTTTTTACTGTTGCTAGACGTAAAAACTGTCCAAATTCGGTTAAAAAAATTTGATTTTCGTCCAGAAGTCCACCTAAAAATTTTTTCTAGCTTTGTTTGATTGCAATTCCACTTAAAATATAGCTAAATTTTACTAAACATGCCATTAAGCTAATCCTCATAGTATTACTAGGCAATCCTGGACCTGTATAAAAAGTCTCGCCCCCTTCCCCGATAATGCGAAAGACCCGAAACTGACGAAATAAAAAACGAACAAATGGAACATCGGCGAAATTAAAGTTCTGTCATATGAAAAATTAACGAAATAAACGTCAATCATCAAAACTATAAACTACGAAACCCAAAAATACCGGCAAGCCCTTTCAGAATTGGTATCCCAGCTGCAAAAGCGATGGTGGCCAAGTGAGTGAAAGGCAACAGCTAGAAAACCCGCGGAATGCTACCCCCCACAAATATCCTAGCACGACATTAAAGGGCCATTGAAGTCTGAGCATACTACAGATTTGTCTGGCTTTTTTTAGAAACTATGCACTCCAGACTTTAATGGCCCGACACACACTCCATCCCAAGTCCCCAAGTTACCCTAGTAAAAGCATGCATTAAACGGCTAAAAATTAGGAGAATTTTTAGAACCGTTTGAATCGATTGAAGAAAGCGAAGAGACTACGCTTCCGGCGACCACGAAAAGGCCGCACATTTCGCTGTGGAAGCCGAAGAAGAATTACGGACTTGACGAGTGTTTTGGGCGATTTGCGTAAGTATCAAAATAGCTACAAGCTACAACCCATTGCAGTTACTGTCGGGAATCGAAGATCTGCGACAGCGGTCAGATGTGCGTGCACAGGAGCGGATACTGTTGTAGTCCATGGAGCAAGTGAGTTGGGCTACAGGATAAAAACTACAAATTCTCCGTCTTCAGGAATTCGCAGCTCGTTTCGGCCTGTCCGGCACCGATGTTGATGAACGTTACTTGCCGAGCTACGGCACCAGTTACATGGTGAGGTCGAGGTTTCAGGTTGTAGCTCAAATTCCAGGTGTCGTGAGGATAAGCATTGTCACTCGGCTCCGGTGCGGATGTGCTGCCCGACATTATGTGGATATAATATATGCATTTAAGACTTATAATTTATATATCCACGCAAGAATGTCACATCATCTACCCATTTCCCCCCGGTGCCCCATCGGTCTATCAGCCGCCACGATGATCTCATCTGAATTTATCTTATTTCATATCTATATTATTTTATTGACCATATCGGATCTATTTTTTAAATAAAGATATATATTTTTATTATTTTAGCGATTTGATAAATTGTTTTCTGATTTTTATATACAAGTTAAATTAAATAAGTTAAAATGTCGAACTCAGACCAAGAATTTGTGCATTATTTAAATTGTAAAATTGAGTTTTATTATGCTAATAGTCTTATGTTAATAGCCAAAATATTCAAATTCCTAAAGTAACATTTGAGTGCGCACCGAAACTAAGGAGCCCCGACCAGAGGGTCATAGCCGTCCCCCGACTCCGCCAGAGGGCAATGCACCTTAGTACATTGGTTCGTGGCCTTGGCTGCCAGGCAAAGGGTCCGGGTTCGACCCCCTTCCGCGTCAGATGATGAGAGTTTCATCCTTGCTCTGCGAGTGGACTGGCTTTGTCGTTGCTCTGGGGCCCCGGTCTGATCGTCGGGATCATCGGTGTCCCACCGCGATGGCTAGATGGGCCGGTTTACGATGAACAGCGTTGGCCTCTGATGACATTTTTGGTTTATCTTTTTGTACCCAATAAAGAAAAACAATAATTTTATTAAAAAAACACAAAACTGAATCCAGTCGTTGACCAAAAAATACTTTAAAACTTGGCCTTGTTGTAATGGGGGGAGGGATGAGGGGGGATCACAATAATTCGTGGGGGGAGGATAGGGGGCTACCGTATCTGTATGCTTGGCATTATGTACATATCGCTACAATTGACAGCAGCTGTTTTGGGAGGGAAGGGAGGATAGGCACTATTTTATTGGGGGGAAAGGACACGTTTCGGCCGAGGGGCGGGGTCATCTACCGTTTTTGAGGTAAAAGCCTAAGCCTAAGCATAAGCCTAAGCTTAAGCTTAAATATTTTGAGGTTGAGGTTTGATGGGATTAAGCGGTTTTGACATATGTAAATCAATGAAAAAATCGAGGCGAAAATTCAGCGTTAAAACTTGAGTATTATTATATGGAAAACACAAATAGAGACGACAGCAAAATCGCAAAAATTAAGGCAAGCGAATTGCACACAAACACGCACACGAAGAAAAAAACGTACAAAACACACCACTGCACGATAATTTAAACGATGATCACATCCGTGGAGGGTAAGTAATCAGTGAAAATCGAGTGATGGAAAAAACCCGCGAAGCGGCGAGGGCTTGGTTCCGAGAGAGAGAGGGGGGATATAAGGTCGACGAGCAACAAGTATTTAGGGAGATTTTCTTCGCAATACCATCACCTGAGAATTGGATATAGATATAGATTTTGTTGCCTATTTTGAAAGCGTCAAATCGAGGGTTGAGGGGGAGGCACCTGGGAGTTTGTAGGCTACAATTTGACAGAGAGAGATTTTTGACCGGGATTCCGAGAGGATAATTGGTAGAAGATAGCCGTGTTAGACTGGGGTAGATGGTTGAGAGTGGGCAGGAGAGTTGAGGAGTCGACTGCGGCGTTTTTCGAGATTCGAGCTGGAGATATGGAGTATGAATTTTGAAAAGGGGGGTTACCGTAATTCTTCTTTTTCGACTTTGAGCACCTCGCGGACGACGCCACGAAGTACAGATTCTACGACATCGGAGTCGGACTCATTGGAGAGTTCCTCGGCAATGGAGATTACTCTAAAAGTAGCTTTGTTTTCGTCAAAAAATGTATCTAGAAATCATAAAAATTTCAATAAGAGTTTTATTGCGTTGCAAGAGTTTATTCCTAGGTGATTGGGGTAGTTTAAACATGTAAAAATCGAGCGTATAGCTCCAAATATATGAATTTAACCTACTAATTACGGTATTAAATACAGTGATTAACCTTAACCCGAATAAAAAAAGTAAAAATGCCCTGTTTTCTATAGTTTTTATTGTAATACGGTAACCTTCCCACATACCTGCTTGGCGTCGTCGGTGTAGCCACATTAACTGCCAACTCGTCGAGCAGCTTCTTCGGATCCGGCCGCTCCAACGAGTTCCCCTGGAGCAGCAGCGATCGCTTCCGCTCGGCCACCGACTTCTCCTCGTACACCTGAAAATGTCACTTTCTAGCTTCTACCCTTCCGCCCCAGGACAACAGGAAAGCATGCGGTCAGGGGAGCGGAAAAGTTAGCTTACGTCGCCGCGGGATACGGTATGAGACTGAAATTCAGGGTTTCGAGGAGGAGCAGGGGTATTTCTAGAATATATTAAAAAACGTACCACATAGTTGACGAGATCATGAACGACCTTCTCCACCTCGAGGCCCGTGTCTTCTTCGGCTTTTCGGATTGGGGTGGCTGGAAGTGGGTCGAGACAATGTTCCTCGTGTAGAGGAGCTGGAAGGTGTATGGTTTAAATGAGTATCTATGAGTATCTTTGTATCGTGATCAAGCAATTTCTAAGGCAATATTACAACTGCGTATTTAAAATGTCCTAATGTCGAAGTTTTAGAATATAAAAATACCACAATCTCGGTTAGGGTTGAGAATTTCGAAATTCTAAAATTTCAACATTGCTATTTTTGATATTTTAAAAAATAACCCATCAAGTTGGACCTACCAATTTTGTTGTTGTTGTTGATCCCGACCAACGGGGCGACACCACTGGATTGAGTGGTTTTGGGCTAAAAAAGTATTAATTCTTGGATTTTTGCTTGTATTTTTAGTTGCCGATTTAACTCAAGGTATAGTTTAGCTAATTACCTTTAAAGTGGGGGCGAGATCGAAGGTGGAAGTGGTGGGGGAGACGGAGAAGCGGCGGAGTTTCCGGACCACCGGGGCCGGTTGCGGTGATGAAGCGGCGGCCGGGATTGATGGTAAGGATCCGCCACCTGAATTTTTCAATGCTTGAATGGACAACTAAAATTATAATTTGCATTAAAACCTAATTTTTTCGAATTCCGGATACCTTTATTATGTAGAGCATTTGTGGCGAAGGGTACGGTAGCGCCACGCTTGATTGTCCGCTGCGACTCGACGTTGGATTCATCGCCTAAAAATTATGTGTTGACTTTCGTTAATTTAAATTGTATTTAGTTGGCTCTTAATTGTACTTGGCTTGTGTAATTTACTTGTATTTTCCGAATCGTTTCCATTTGAAGAACGACTCCCAATCTCATCAAGCGACATCGTCGAGCCCGACATTTCGCGCAACCGCTCTTGGATCTAAACCACAATTTTCCTCAAAAACCACTTTAACTACCGTATTTTCCGGGTAATACTCTGCACAGGTCAAACTGGCGCTACGCGCTAGCCGACAGCTGGAGCGCGGCTTTTGTAGTAGAGCAGAATCCACTAAAATATTGATATTTAAAGAATCTTTAAAGTCAGCTACCTGAGGATGATCGGGCGATCTCTTCCGGGTGGAGATCTCCCCCCTCTTGCTCCCCGCTCGCTGACTGTCCTTCTTCTTCTCGGACTGGGGTAGATACCGAGACCTGAAAAGGGTTGTAAGTTGTAGCTTGCTGTAGTATGCCTACCGTAGCCTCATTCTGCTTCCCATCCACACCCTCGTCCTCGTCAATAGCCCTGGCTTGTAGCCGTTCAGTCGCTCGTCTTCTGTTCTCACTGCACATTGTCTGGATCTCCTCGTAGATGCGCCGGAAGTCGTCCTGATACGCCCGCACCTGTATTATTCAACAAATCTACTCAGCACGCACAAACCACCAAAAAATGAGGCAGGTTTTGGGTGGGGGGGGTTCTACTTGACACTAATAGTACAGTAGTACTGCTTACAATACGATGGACTTTACCGTACCTTAGCTGTAGTTGGGGCGGCAACGGTTTCATCGATATTGAGCATGGTGAGCGTTTTATTGTGTCGCATAGCGGAATGGAGGGCGAGAAGGCCTGAAAATCGGATAGGTTGTTTTTAAATTGTTTTAAAAATTTAAAAATTTGTTTTAGGTTATTTTTAAGGGATGAATTTGGGCCAGAATCTATTTATAAGTATAGGAAATATAGAAAAGAAAGCATAAACTACTTTAATCCCTTACCAGCAGAGGAAATCCCTGGATTATCACGCAAATCGATCCGCACCATCGCCTCATTATCAGCCATACATTCTGCTATCATGATCGCACCTTGGCATGGTAATTTAATTTTTCATTAAAAAAATACATTGATTGTCCATTTTTGTATCTTGGAGTCCAAGCCTTTGCAGATGGCAGGCCGAGTCCTGTAGCGCTTCTTTTAGGTTCGAGATTCCGGCCTAAAACTTTCAAATTTCGGCGATTGATCGGTGGCTCACCTCCCCCAAATTGTTCATCCCCAGGTTAAGCGTCTCCAGATGAGGGTTCCGGCGCTAAAGATTGGTTTTAAAGGACCATTGAAGGCAACACACCAGGGCCCGAGCGACGGCCATCATGGAGGCGGCTGTCAAGAAGTTTTTCCAGACGACGAGTGCTTGGAGGGAGCTGCGACGCAGGGTTTCTGCATTACAGAGCGCATCGCAGACGTGGTGCATGCCGACATCCTGAAAACGGGAAATTAAATGAATTTTAGATAGTTACTTTCAGAAATTCCTTGAAAAGTTTGTGCCACCGCTAAGACACAAGTACCGAAATTCAAAGCTTTATAGGCTGGTGGCTGACCTTAAGCTCATTATTTCTGAGATCCAGCGTGGTGAGCCCGGTGTTTGTCACGATCAACTGGTAAAGATGAGCGCCGTCGGTCTCCTGGATGTTGTTCTCCCCGAGAAAGAGCTCCTGGAAAATATAATCTTCTATTAATGCATGTGTAGATACCCTGAGCGTTGTGTTTCCCTTTAATGCGCCGACGAGGTGGAGCAGGTTTTTCCCCGTCATGCCACAGTTTTCGACGTGGAGGCATGTGAGGGCGGCTGGAGGGACGGCGCGTAGCATTTTAGAGAGGCCGGGGAGTGCCTAAAATTAAAGGAGCATGAGCCTTAAAAATGTTCTGTTAAGAAAATTTAAAAATCATTACATTTTTAGACGGTAAATATAAGATTTTTTTAAGTTTCACCAACCTTTTCCGACATTGAACTGTAGCGCATATCGATATCTTGCAAGGAATGGCACTAAAATATTGAGTATATCATTTTTAAAATAGAAACGCACATTCCGAACAGCTCGAAAGAACGGTATCCACCCCCGGTAGGTGACCGCGCGATTGAAGGAGAGGTTGAGGCGCTGCGCCGACTCGTAGAACTCTAGCATTTCCGCCAGGGCGATGATGCACTAAAAGAACGAATTAATATTACAACGTCTTATAAACATTAATTGCAAAAAATATCTAAATTTCCGCGTCTTTTTTATACCTCATCATCCAAGAAAGTGTATTCAAAGTCGAGACTTTCGAATTGGACCCGGCGAAGCACCTGGAAAAGTCATTTAAACTATCGCTTCAATATCGTAGATATTTAATTTTATTAAAAGATATATAAAATGGCTCATGAAACTTTAAACTACCTCCTCCAACGCCTCGATATGCTTATGCGTGACCCGTTCCCCCTTCAAAGATAGGGTTTGCTGGCGAACACCGGTGATGGTGTGGAAGAGCTGGAATTAATTAATGAAGCTAAAAATTGAATAAATTGTAATTTAATTGATTATTTTTTATTAATTATTAACCAGGGTTGAAAAGCCGCTTCGCGACTTTTCAACCCTGGCCCCGTCTGCTCCCGGGATATTCATGGCTATGCATAATTTTCCCACATCCGGACGACGAAAAATGAAAAATGCTCCCTCTCTTCCATTATATAGGCTACCGCGACTTCCGGCGCATGCTAATTTGATCCTAACAAAGAGGGGTGTCGGATTTTTCATGAAAAACTGAATTTTAATATCGAAAATAGAAGATTTTTATAAATCTCATTGGCGTGCAGTCATCTCCAGGCCATTACGCACCTAATGACGTATCAAACATACCGCTAACTTTTTCCCTTCTTGAGATACTGCTGGAACACGGTGACGGAAGTTGCATGCAAATGCACACACACACACACACACACAAACACTATTTTTTTTATATATAGTAGGATTTTAGTGTTCATTTTTAATTCTAACCTGGATTTGACGTTCGACGGCCGGGCTCGGGGTGATGCCAAACTTTTGGCATGCTTTCGTGTAGGCGGAGCGGATTTCCTCGCGGGAGGGAGCAGCTGAAAAGCGGTAGATTGTAGTTTGTATTTTTGTAAATTTGCAGTTTTTATTTTTAGTTTTTAGTTTATTTTCTTAATATATTGAACTTCAACTCTAACTCCCTGGCTTTTTAAAAATATTTTCTCATTTCCATACCCTAATCTTCCCAATTTTCTCCCCCTCCCTCCGATTTTCTAACTCTCTTCGCCGAAATGTTTGAGCTGCGCGGCTGGAAGTAAAGCTGCTCCCCCCCCCAGGCGTGGGTAGCAAAAGGAGCCTCGCCCCCCGGGAGGAGTGGGAGAATTTTTATCGGATTCCCCGCGGAGGGGCGAGCCCCAGGGCCAAGGAGCCGGACCCCCCCGCCGACCCCGACGAGGAGGAGGAGGGGGGGGGAAGGGTTGGTTTTTTAGGGGGCTTCAGTTTGGCATGCTTCTTCCGGCAAACACGCATCTCTCCCTGGGGACACACAGAGACACACATCCATTCAATATAAGTGGCCTTAAAAACCGACCGGGAAATGGGTTACGGTAGGGTTGAGGTTTAGGGTTGGGTTAGGAATCTCGACTTAGGATATGTAGCGAATCCGATTTTTCCAGCTCTAAATTCAGTTTTGATGATTTTTATAGGTCTAGTTCCGTGGAACCGGGAGAAAACCGTTTGGCTGATTGGTTGTGTGCTAGGCTCCCGGGTGTACTAACCGAGTTCGACCCCGCCCGCAACAAAATTTTGCTTTTTCGCCAAAAGCTAGTGAAAACGGTTTAGCTGATTGGTATTGTGCTAGGCTCGCGCGCGTACTCCCCGAGTTCGACCCCCGCCCGTGACAAACTTTTAATTTTTGGCCAACATCTGGGAAAACTCGTTAGCTGATTGATAGTGTGCTAAGCTCCCACTCGCACCACCCGAGTTCGATCCCGCCCGCGTCAAAATTTTTCTTTTCGGTGCATCGTTGTGGCTTCACTATTCCTTTAAATTCGCGTGACTATAGACCACCAAAATTTATCCTTTCCTCCGCCTCATCGATTTAAAAGTTGGTCCCTAATGAACAACGGCCGGGGGCCCCGTCGGGTTGCCATTTCCCCCCGGAGGACAGGGCAGACTTTTGGCCGCGACCCGTTAAAAGGTTCTCCTTTGTGTTGAGAATGATAGAGAGAGAGAGGGAGAGAGAGAGAGGGAGAGAGTGAGATAGAGAGCGAGATGGAGAGGGAGAAAGAGAGTGAGAGAGATAGCAAGTGAGAGAGAAAGATGTGCCACCGAGGGCATTTCCATTTTCTGCTCCCTTCCCCCCGGGCGGTTGGTGGCGGGCCCCTTTAATTGGAACGAAGCCCCCCCTCCATTTTTGGCAACATTGGCTTGGTTTGAAGGGTTTTTTTGGGGTGGTGCCCCTGATGGTGGTGAGTGTGGTGGTGGGGGTCCATTGTTGGCCCTAGGGGCTATCCATTTCAGCCCGTCCGCTCTCACATCGGAACCCCCGGGTCATCGTCATTTTGGGCCCCCTAAGGCCATACACATCCCTCGTCGAGTCCCGTTTTTTTCGCGTCTTGGAGCCCCAACCGTTTTCCATGGCACGCTAAATTGCGGGCGGCGGGATTTTAATGGATGTGTGTGCTTTTTGAGGGATAGTAATTAAAGAAATGGAGAACAAGGAATTGAAAGTTTGGGGAAATTGGAGAAATTTTAAAGCTAAAATTTTGAGAGCTTTTTAAAGGGACGGGAAGGGTTGGACTCTGGATTTTCTTATAATTTTTCACGCGTTAAAGCTTAACTCTAGATTTCATAGCGTAAGCTTATCTATTAATTTGATTAAGCATCGTTAAAAGGTTAAAAAAACAGTATAAACTTAATTAACAGATCAATTCTATCGTTTATATATCTATATAAATTGTCATATAATCATATATTGCTTAATAACCATAAAACATACCATTAGCCGTCTGCGCCTGATTCTGGTGATGAGCATAATGTTGAAATGGTGATGACGGTCCCTCCTTGTACCCGGAAACCAACCCGTCCTCGTCCGGAAAATGCACCGAACGACTGTGGGAACACCTCGAGACCTGGTGCCCATCTTCTGAAATAAGAATGCCCATTACATACTGTCGCTCTCTACTCAAATCGAACCATTTGCCACACCGCCTCCCTTCCCTTCGCGAAATGTTTACCCAAACTGACCCCCGCGCTTCAACCTGCTATCTCTCTCTCTCTCTCTCTCTCTCTCTCTCTCTCTGCCTTGGGCCTATCTTTTTTTTGTTCTAGCTCTTCCCGGAAACGCTCCACACCCAACAGCCCCGTTTTGAGACGCGTCTCTCTCTCTCTCTCTCTCTCTCTCTCTCTCTCTCTCTCTCTCTCTCTCTCGCTCTCTCCCTCTCTGACCACTACCCAACCGTTCAAAAACCGTCTCAAAGCATACCCAACCCCATTCAAACACTAATGATACACACCCTTAAACCGAAAAGGCAGCCGAACATGCCGAATTCGCCCAAACCGATCGCCAAGAAAATTATGGATATGGGTGAATGAGTCCAGCATCTTCACATTCAACTTAAAAACACTATTAACCAATATCGAAGCACAAGAAAGCGGAAGGTAATTCAAGAAAAATCGATCATAAATAAGGCTAAAAAAATAGGAAAAGATTGACTTGCCGAAGACTTTGAAAAATATGGACTTTGGGGGGGGGGCGTCACGGCTTTTTGACATAAAAATATTTATCAGCTGTGTGATGGCCAGGCGCGTCTGACTGTGCCCTTTAAAAGGCACGTGCACTCGGATGGAAATTTCGAAATTTTTGGTGCAATTTAAGTTTTTATTTTCTATAATACTAAAAATTTCTAGCAATAATTTAAATGTATGTTTTAATAATTCATAAATTAGAACAACAAACAAACACGCCAAACGCCAAACAAACCAAAATCGCTAATTTCGAGGATATTCCTTGAATATTTCGTGACACTACTAGCACATTTTGGTACTGTACTGTTAGCGGGGGGGGGTGTGGTAAAAAAGCATGGAAGATGTAAAAGGAGGATAAAAATTTCGAATTTTCCAAATTAAAAAATATGCTTTGTAACTCCCTAGCAGATATTAAGGAAGAAAGAACATAAATTACCAAATTATAACTTAGAATACGTGAATATCGAGAAGTTAGGTCGAGCAAAGAACGCTCAAAACCGAAGTATCGTCTGCCCCCATCAGAATCACCCACGCGGGGATGGGGATGGCTTATCAGCCCCAAAAAGGCAGATATTCCAGTGCAAGCGCACAACAATTTCCTGACAATTCGCGACGGCGTTTGTACAGAGCTAGTGTTCTGATGGTAGCAGATGACGTGAGATAAAGCCTCCTGCAGACCGGGTAGCAGGCTACAGAATATGACAAATGACGGATCGGAGGGGAAGGGGAGCGAGGAATTTAGAAAAAAGTACTTATATCTGCTACAAAATTCTACAAAAAACGCTAAAAATAAAAGTTACTTTTAAAGGTGTGCCGATTCAGACTTAGGCTTAAGCTTTTGGGGCTTAGGCTTAGGCTCGGGCCTGGGCTCAGGAGGCATTGCATGAAAAATTAAAATTCTATATGGAAATTTCAGCTGCAAAAAGGTAATTCCGATGGGAAGGGAACGGGGAAATGATGCCTCATTGTCCTGACGCTGCTTTAAATTTTAAGCTGCTATATTTAGATAAAAGTAGCTTTTTTTGAAAACTGGGCACAAATGGGAAAAGTTAGCATTTTGAGCTTTAGAAATCAAAAATCAAATTTTGGAACTACGGACTACCTAAAACAGGTTCTAAGCGATAAATTGAGCAACTAGCAAACTATAATAAAAGGTAATTGTCGGTTAATTCAAGGCGGAACCCCGATCGCATAAAGCATTTGCAGAGGTGCGGAAAATGGGCGTCGTTTAGTCAGCGCTCGCTCTTTGGCTATCAGTTGATAAGGGCCGAGTGGGGGTACCAGCCGGGTGATTTTGCGTCAGGAGGATGAAAGGGGTTAAGAATGTCACTATGCCTTTAGGAGAGAGAGGAGAGAGAGAGAGAGAGAGAGTGAGTGAGAGGAGTGAGAGTGAGGAGAGCTGAGGGAAAGAGAGGGAGAGAGAGAGAGAGAGTCGAGAGAGTGAGTGAGAGTGAGAGAGATGAGGGAGAGAGAGGGAGAGAGTGAGAAAGACAGAGAGAGAAAGGGAGAGAGTGAGAGAGTGAGAGAGAGAGAGGGAGAGAGCGAGAGAGAGAGAGAGTGAGAGAGATGAGGGAATGAGAGGGAATGAGAGTGAGAGTGTGAGAGAGTGAGAGAGATGAGGGATAGAGAGGGAGAGAGAGTGAGAGAGATGAGAATGAGAGAGATCGTAGCTACAACATACGCATTTTATCCCCCATTCAAAAGTTTCTATAAAGTCAATAAATTCCTTACCCAAATCGGCCCGAAACTGCGCGTTCACAGCGTCAATGTTGCGGCGCGGAGCTTCCAGCACAGATCCGAATTGCCCCTGGTTCGTCGCCGGTGCCGTATCGCCCTGGTAGAGCCCGAGAAGGTCCTGAAAATCCATTCATTAGTTCGTCAGGACGATACATTAAAAAGAATTCTATCCCAACAGCTACCTCGGCCCAATCCTCTTCCGTATCCGCATCATAATCTACAGTAACTACCGTAGTATCAGTTAAAGCTAGCGGTTCAGTCTCAGCCAAGGCGGACATTTCGAATAAGAGCGGGGCGATCGAATGAGTGAGTGAATGTGGGGAGTGTGATCGGTAAGTTAGTGTCGGGCCCGATCTCTCCCCCCATTTCTGGACCCTCCACTCAACACATTATGCTTACAGCAAATTGTGGGGGCCATTAAGGGACTGCCCACCCTCCCGGCCGGGCCCACACAGAAATTGTTTCAAAAAGCGCGCGCTTCCCCCCAAAAAGTGCACAACATCCTCGATGGGGAGATGGGGGATGATCGATTCAAATTCAGGGCGGTGTCTGGGATGGGAAAGTAAGGCCGGGAGTGTTGAGCAGAAGGTGGGGGACCAATGTTGAGCACTAGTTTTGAGGGGGATATCAACAGAAAATAGTCGAAGACGTGGCGGGCGCGTTGCGTGTCGCGGAGCGGATAGCTCTCCCTCCTCTCTCTCGCTCTTGATATGTCTCTCGCATTCTCTCTCTGCGCCTCTCTTTTCTCTCTCCTATCTCTCTCTCTCTCTCTCTCTCTCGCCTCTCTAGCTCTCTCCCTCACTCTCTCTCCCTCTCTCGCACTCTCTCACTCTGCAACCCGCCCGCACGTGTCCAAACCTCCCCTTTAAAGGAACCAGCAAGGCATAGATTTCTGGAAATTTTTCATTAAACTCCGGGCCCACTAATAAGAATACATTCCCCTCCTATACAGCCCAGGCATTTCTTTATGCCAAACTCGCGATAGTTAGCCTCATTAGTGCGCATGTTGCCAGCTACCGTATCCCTCTGGGGGAGCCAATCAGAGCAGCATCTCTATATCAAGGCAATTCCCAAGCCCAATAGGTCCAATTTATGCACTACCGTACCTTGCAAAAGCCATATCTTTGCAAGATAATTTTTTTCTCAGTCTCTTTAAAATACCTTGGGCCCAGGCAATGAAATGACGAACCTGTAGTCCGGTGAGAAATTTGATGGACATCTTCTCCGAAGTAGCCCCATTCCCTGTCGAGGGCCCACCTCCTCCAGCAGATCTCCCCTCCTCCAGGGCTCCACGTTTCTATACCGCTGGCCGGGCGGGGAGGGGCACCGTATTGGATGGAGAACCAATTCTAAATTTTTCTATTTTCTGGATTTTTCAACGATAGAGAGGGAGTGCGAGAGTAAAAACGGTAGAGACACAGAGAGAGAGGACATAGTGACTGAGAGAGTGAGTGAGAGAGTGAGAAAGAGAGAGTGAGAGAGAGAGTGGGGTAGAGAGAGTGAGGGAGAAAGAGAGTAAGATAAATGACAGAGAGACAGAGTGAGAGAGAGCGACATCTAAGCCGCGAGCACCAGCGAAAGCGAGAAAGCGTTAAAGAGTGCGAGAGCATGTATCGAGATCGAGGGAGAGAGAGGGACAAAGAATGCGAGAGATAGCAAGAAAAATTGATCAACTAGATAACAAGCTGCTAGCGACAACAACTTCCAGTAGCTCAATAATTACAGGAGCCTGGCTAAATATGTGCATTTAATAATTACGCATGAAAGAATTTCCAAATTAGTACTTCTATTTGGAATTAATCCAAACTCTATGAAACATGGTCAGATAAAGCCGGCACGCCTCGCTTTCGCAAGTTCACCGGCCGCCAAAAAGATAAGTTGGTCAGCCCGGGCGGAATGGCCCTCAGCACCCCCCGGGCAAACAAAGACACGGAATATCGATATTTCCCCAGGTTTCAAATGGAAATGCCCATGAGAAAGGGGGAAATGCAAATGAATAGGCTTTCAAGTTATAGTAGAGAAATTTTAATTAGGGCCACGAATTCTATATAAAATTAATGTATTCATCTTGATAAAGATGATTTGAATATATACCGGTAATTTATGCAAAAGAGCAAGTAAGAAACTGATGGCCAGTCCATCGGCTGGTGGGGACCGATGTTAAGTTCAGGTTTATCAAAACATGTGCGGGGTGGAGGGGGCAATCGGCCCACTGCCAGTCCGGCCAGCCCGGGCCAATCGATTACGCGATGAAAAAAACCGGTCATTAGTTGGGGAGCGGAGGGGCCGGGGGGACGGGAGGTGCTGTAGGGGTTTTGTAAGGAGTTTGGTATAGGGGGGTTTGTTAGAATTAGAGTGTTTTAAGGGGGCTGTGAAGCGGGTATTTGGTATGGATCAGAAAAATGGATATGCATAAGAATTTTGGTTTGTAATTTGGGGGTAATAGGTTAGAAAAAGGAAGTTATCTGTTAAGGTTCGTAAGGAGTTTATTTTGAAGAAAATTAGGATAAATATTTTTAGGAATATTCCTATATTACAATAATAATACAATATGGAATGGTATAGGAAATTTTTTTGAGGGTTTTCGTTGTAATTTCGAGATATTTTATTAAAAACAAAAAGAAATTTGAACAGATTCATAGGGCTTCGGTTTTGGAAAAATTAGAATACGTATTGTTAGTAATATTCTTAGATTATTAATATTGATATGATCTCCATAGGTATTAGACTATTTTTAAGGTCTATTAATGCGCATACCTCGAAAGGTTAGCCTGGACGTTAGCGATACCTTTAGAGCGTGATTTACCACAGTTTTTGGCTGATTCTAGCTAAAATATACCATTGATAAGGATTTTATGTATACATATATCGGTATTAAGTTGTTAAAAATACTTCCCAATACCAAAATCCAATATATACCTATACCCCGAGGGCATATACTTGGTGTCGCGCCTGCGTGTCTGTCACCCCCAATCCCCCCTCTGGCCACCCCCTTTTTTGCTCTCCTAATGTTGGTGTGTGTATGTGTGTGTGTGTGTGCGTGTGTGTGTGTGAGGGTATAGAGTGAGGGTCTATGAGGTGCGTGGCGGACAAGCGGCGCGTGCCTGTGGGCCCCGATCGATGGCCTTGGTTGGGGCTGCCCCCCATGGGCCCTTGGCCCTTGGCCCTTCCCTCACCCCTTGGCCCTCCTCCTCCTCCTCTTGCTCCTCCTCGTCCTCCACCCCTTTCTCCACCCTTCACATCCCTGGGCGGCGTGGCGACGGCTGGCTGGAATACCGTCCGAGCACATTCTGATAGGTTTGCATATTGGCGGAATTGTCCTTAACGACCTGAGATCGATGTTAGAGCTGATTTTTTGGGAAGCTCTTGCTCCTGGCTCTATTTCCGCATGGCTCAACTCGTTTTTTAGTTGGTTCTCAACCCGACTTCTTTCCTTATATTCCGCAGCTTTTCAAGCCTCAGGGTAATCTCCAATTCTTTATTCCAACGGTCATGCATTTAAATTTTTTACGAAATTTTTCTTTTCTTCCATGAATGTATTAAATGTTGAAATTTACAAGCTTAAAATAATACCAACATTAATCCATGGTTTCCTGCCTGTCTTAGATTTTCTCTCCTCAAAGTGTTGTCCAATTGTCAAACAACGCTCAAATACCTACACTTTTTCAAACTTTTTAAATCACTTTTTGGACCTGTAAAATCTTTCAGAATTTTCTAATATTGAATGAGATCGGGAGCTCGCCCTAAAGGATCGTTCGTTTTCCTTTTACCAAATTGCTCTAGAACGCCAGAGCAAAATTTAAATACAGCGTGAATTTCGAAACCCATCTCCACGATTTTTTAGAATTGTTTTTGATGATGATTTGTATATTTTCGAATTTTTAGCTGCAATTCTCTTCCTGTGATGTCTTTCCAAATATTCCGCTAATTAATGTGACCTATTTAAGTGTTCTTTTGCAGGACCTGATGCGGGAGTGCAAAAGCAGGTAGACCCGATCGCGCAGCTCGGGCCAAACACCCAACCCCCCACCTCCCAAAAACAGTGTGACGATGGCCATCCCACGGTTGAGGTTTGTCGTTAGGAGTTTGTAGTTTATAGCTTAACAAATTTTGTTTTGTAAGTTTTGTAACTTTTCCGGGTATGTAAAAAAACTAGCACTTTTAGCGGGTCCTAAGAATCTATCTTCCAGACCATTTTAGGTAATTCGAAAGCTCTTGAAAAAGCGACAAAAATCGCTTTATTTTTTGTAAAATTTATTAAGCATGAGAAATATCATCATCAACCAAAATACGCATTTTCATTATTATTTATAATTTTTAGGGTAAACGCGGCCTCCGAGGAGCGCCTCGTCCACCCGAATCACATCGTCTACCAGCGGATGGAAGCCCTTGTGCAGCAAATGCTCGACGCAGAAGCCGGTGTTCCCATCAAGACCGTCAAGAGCTTTTTGTCCAAGGTACGAATCATACCAATTACACCTGCTTGCCCTTCTGTATGCCTAAAAAGGTTTTGCTCCGAAAAAAGTTGTGGTCCAGGTGGTCGTTTCTGCTTATTTTTATTACGTCGAAAATGATTTTTTCGAGCTTCGTTTTATTGAAATTTCAGTGTATTTTTCTTTGGACTATTTATCAAAAAACGATAATTGAAAGTTCAGCAAATTTAAATTTCCACATAAAGTTATTTCGACAAAATGCCGACAAAATGATTTTGAACAGAATAAATTCCAACATTGTTCATATATTTTTACCCTTGCAGGTGCCTTCGGTTTTCACGGGTCAAGATCTCATCGCGTGGATCATGAAGAACATGGAAATGAGCGATTTGGGTGAGTCCGAGCTTCGATCTCACTTTTCTTGGTGAAGATATTCCTGGCCCCCAGTCTTCTCAGGCCCGTTAAAAATGACAAATTCCAGCCGACGCCCTCCATCTGGCGCATCTGGTCGCCTCGCACGGCTACCTCTTCCAAATTGATGACCACGTGCTGACGGTGAAAAACGACGGGACGTTCTACCGATTTCAGACGCCCTACTTTTGGCCGTCAAATTGTTGGGAGCCGGAGAACACGGATTACGGTATGTGTTGTTGCGTTTTTCGAGAGCAGGAGTATAGAATCTTGCCTTCAGTAGTCCTTTAATTCGAAAGGCAAGGAATTTTGCTGTCTTAAAGTTCTTTTAATTGACAAATTTTGTAATAAAATGTATCTTAAGTTTTTTTAAACGTCTGAATGGGATCATAAACTATAAAATATACCATATCTGATTAACGAATCTAGGTTTTACACATTTTCGAGACGTTAAAGCGAGCGTGCCATGAATCCATAAGCTCGTGCCTTCACAACACCTTTAAATCGAAATTTTCAGCGGTCTACCTCTGTAAACGGACGATGCAGAACAAGGCCCACCTTGAACTCGAGGACTTCGAGGCCGAAAACCTGGCCAAACTGCAGAAAATGTTCTCCCGGAAATGGGAGTTCGTCTTCATGCAGGCCGAGGCGCAGTATAAGTGAGTTAAATCTCTATTTAAGTTTGAAACTAAACTTTGGTCAATTATGATATTTTTATCCTGCAGGGTCGACAAAAAACGGGATCGTCTCGAGCGCCAGATCCTGGATTCTCAAGAGCGCGCCTTCTGGGACGTACACCGACCGGTGCCCGGATGCGTCAATACAACAGAGGTTAGTTTTTCTATATTTTTTACTGAATAGAGTTTTATTTATTTTTTAATTAAATTTGGCAGCACTTAGTTTACTAAAAATAATCCGATCTTTCAGGTCGATTTCCGAAAGCTATCCCGAAGCGGCCGACCCAAATACAGCCAGGGCCAACATGCCGTCCTCAACAGCGCCATTTCTCAAGGTTAATTTTGATTTCATTACCACTAACCTGGAAACGTCATTAGGTGTCAGCCCGTACTCGATCACGGCGGCCGTCGCGCACAGTACAGCGCCGTCAACGTCAAATGGGACAACGAGCGCCCAATCACAGCCTTCCACAAGCCAGTATGTTTTTCTAAAAAATTAAGTAATATCTTATTTTAAATGTTTTGCTGCCTTGAGAGATTAATGCAAATTTCGATGCATTAAAGCAACCTTAAGGCTAGGAAAAAATTATAGGTTTAAACATTAATCTCAAAAAATGGATAGTCTCAAAACGTCGAGAAAACTTTTCTAAATTTGTATTTTTTCCGAATTAATCCTGCCTACAGTAATTGATCCCCCCTGATGACGTCATTCATCCCCTTCCACCGTACCCCTTGGGTCCCAAACTCCGTGATGGAAGTAAAATTTCGGGTTTTTTGGGCCCTCGGGGGGCCCTGGGTCGACTCGAGCGGATAATTGGCTTCATTAGAAGGGCTATTCCAGATGGATCCAGAGTCCACCCATCCCACCCCCCCCTCCCAAATGGCTAATACCAAGCTAAGCTAAGCCACTCGAAACTAAGCCAATTTCAAATGCACCGATCCCTCTCCCGTCGAGATTTACATGTCGTAATTGGCCTTGTTGGAAACGTTGCGGCGGTTGGGGGAGGAGGAGGGTGGGGGGTGCGGCTAGACCAAGTTAGTTCTTCATACGATAGCCACCACTAGTCTGTGCTACACTAGCTGCAAAAACTGTCCAGATTCTATCAATGTCGGTTCCGGTGGAAACGGCTGTTGCAAAATTGGCCATCGGGTACTGTGATTAATTTGAATATATAGTTTAAATTACCAAAAACCAAATTAATAAATTAGAGCAAAATTAAATTAACTTCAAATATATCAAATTAGTTTACTAGCATTATTAATCATAACTGCTAAAAGTATAATACGTCCTTTTCCTGATATTTCAGGGCAAAAAAAAACAAAATTTAAAGGTCCTAAATTTCTAGCAGACAAAATTTAAACATATTTAAAGCGATATCTAACTTCAGCTTTTTTAGTTTTTTTTGCGTAAATAAAGCTTCTTATTAAATAGTAATTTTCGTAAATAAATTAAACTTAAAACACCATTTGTAGACCATCAAGCGGGTCCAGCGGTTCATTCCGGAATAACAGCTACAACCACAGGCCGGGTCTGCGGCGATGCACACAGGTGCAGGACACGTTGAAGCTCGAGGTAAACCTAATTTAATATTTATAATATTATTGAATTTAGATTAACCAGCTAAACAATCGGTTGTCGAAGAACGTGTTGCGGACGTCGAAAGTGGTTGAAAAGTGGGTTTTTGAGGGTTTTCCGAATTTTACTTCGAACTTTCTGCTATTGTGCATTTATGAGCGGCGAAGAAATTGGAGTTTAATCCAATCTTTTTCAGCTACCTAGCCTATTTCGAGCACCGGCGGGTGTTCGACCCATTCCTGACCGTGTTGGGCTCGACGAGCGACCCATTCAATTCACAGTACAATCCATGGATCTCAGATACCGTCGACTTTTGGCAGTACGATAAAATGTAAGTTGAAAAGTTTCGGAATTTACGATGATTTGGGATCATCTTGTCAAAAATCATAATGTCGAGATTTCATAATGTCGAAATTTCAATATGTCGAAGTTTTTGCCCAAGATTTGGGGTTTTCTCGGGAAATTTGCTGATGCAAATTTCGACCTTATGAATCTCGACATTAAGAAGTAAACTTTACGCAATAGCTAAGGTTCCGTTTACGGCCTATCCGGTTACGACACAAAATTCTAATTTCTTCATTTCAGCACGGGCGACATCTCGACGCGACGGTTGAAGCTGTGGGAGGAATGCTTCGAGGAGCTGCTGTGCGACCCGTTGGGCCGGGAAACCCTGCAGAAATTCCTCGACAAGGAGTATTCCGGCGAGAATTTGCGCTTCTGGTGGGAGGTGAGCCTTCAGGGGTCCTTTAAAAAACGTCAACGATTCCTAAGAACTAGAAAATACATAAAATTTCCGAAAAACTTACGTGCCTTTAAAGTACAGTAACCCAATACTATTGCCACTCCCATTAATGCGCCTACAATCCTAGGTGCAAAAGCTTCGAAAATGTGCGTGCCGTATGGTGCCGGTGCTGGTCACCGAGATCTACAATGAATTTATCGACAAGAATGCTACGAGTCCGGTGAACGTGGATTGCAAGGTGGGCATTGGTGCATTAATAGACATCACCAACTGTCACAATCCCTTTAAAATAAAAAAAGGCCCACAGCGTTTCCTATCGTTATTAAACATTTTCTAGGTGATGGAGGTGACGGAAGAAAATCTGAAGAACCCGAATCGCTGGAGCTTTGACGAAGCGGCGGTGAGTTGAATTTTTATTAATTTAAGTAAATAAATTACTATTGAAAATTGAATATTTCAGGTTACTTTTAACATGTCAAATGCGTTTAATGTCGCAATTCCGAAAGGTCATAGTTTCGAAAATTCAGATGCCAAAAATCATAATGTAGAAAATCCTAGCGTCAAAAATCCGTCCAAATTAATGTTGTCGGTATTTCAGAATCGAAATTTATATAATCTAATTTTCGGGGCAAAAATGTTGAAATTATCAAATTTCGACATTATTTAAAAAAAAGAAGGTATTCGAATTCATCGTTCCTGGACGGGGTCCAATGGGAAACGGCCGCGAAGCGGGCTTTTTCTATTGGTTATTTTAGTATGTCATAATGTCATAATGTCATAATGTCGACACTTAAAAGTGTCGACATTATGATATTTTGACATTTTGACTTTCGGCCATTTTCTACATTAGGTTATCAAATAAAATAAATATTACCGTAAGCCATTCAGGACCACATCTTTTGCCTGATGAAAAACGACAGCTACCAACGCTTCCTGCGCTCCGACATCTACCGTGATCTTGTGGCCCAGTCAAAGAAGAAGGTACCGCTTTTCGGCCGGCTTCTGCAGAGATGAGATGCTTTTTTGAGGAAATGCCCCCATTTTTGGGAAATCCCCTTCATCCCCTTTAATCTACCCCCCAGTATACATATATACCGCTTCAGATAGGTGCCCCTCGTCGACGGGTTCGGGCAAAAAAAACACAGCTTTAAGTAGATACCTAGAGACAAAAATGGCTTTAATAGAAGGGCATTTGATAGCGGAACCGATCAGATCGGTGTTATTGTTGAATTCTCGACCGGCTTTTCCACTTTATTGTGTGGCGCGGAACACGGTAGAATTGTCTCGGGGGAAGGGGAGATGTTTTTAAAGGGGTATGGAAGGTTCGGAGGTTTAAATAGATGGTAGTAAATTCTAAGGATTTTGATAAAATTGGGTATAATTATTATTATTACAAAAGATAATTTAAAGAAAATAACTGATTACGACACCAAAATCCGCCAAAAATCTTATGAAATTAATTGCTTACGACAGGCAATTGGGAATTTATTTTATTGTTAGCATAAATGATTAAATATACGACTTACGATCCCAAATTTAATTAATTTAAGAAATTGAAAACTTAAGAAATCAATTGAAAAATTTAAAAACCTATATGATTACGACAAGCAATCCGACACTTCCACGCTTCTTTAAAAGCCAAAAGCACATATCCCGGTCCCGTCGAAATGTGTATACTTCACCTCCAACATTTCGGCGGCTACCCAAAACCCCCGCACACCATCTACCCCCCACTCCCGCGTGGCACTTTTCCCCTTGCACGGCTGGCTTTACCCCAGAATTCCTCACACGACTGTCCGGGTTACTATAACTAAAAAAATATACTGTATTTTATATACCTTCCAACCAGGACCAAAACCGTCACCCCCGGACAGTCGCGTACTTCCCCCTAATTCCTCCGCCTCCCAGCAATCTTTCACTTCCCCCCACCCTGTCTCCCCTTTTCATTTTCCTCAACAAAAAAACAGAGCACTAAAAACCGGGGGAACTACGTATTGTAGCGTCAATTGGAGCGTAGCGTACACCCGGGGCCCCACCGTACCCTTATCATTTCGAGTGCCCCTTTTTTCGAGTTCGAATGGCTAATTTCGAGTGGATTTTTCGAGCAGTGAGTGCAATTTGAATTTTTTTGGTTCTAAGAAAAGAGGGTAACGGGCTACAAAGGACACCTATACACGGATGGGATTCGCGTTATACCGAAAATTCATTACCGAACGTAGGATTAAGCTTAAGCTAAAGCTTAGGCTTAGGACTGATTTAGGCTTTGGATTATTATAACTTTTTTATGTATTTTCACATATTGAAGTTTCGGTATAACGTTAAAAAAAACCTATGGAAAACACAACAAAACCCCTCTTGCCCCCATCCACCCCCTGTACTTCCTGCAGAGCTCGTTCGGGTCGCTGCTGTCGCGTCGGGCATCCCGACGCCCCTTCCGCGCCAAGTCGCACAACACGCGCCCGGGCGCCGGAAACGCGCCGGCCACCTCGCACTCCTGTCACACGCTCTCCTCCTCCAGCCCGGCCCCGCAGCTAGGTACACACAAAGATCAGCCAGGGCCCCCCCCCCCCAACACAATAGGAGTGGTGGGCCAAGAAAATTTGAATTTTTCAAGAAAAGAAGTAGCCTTATAATTTTGAATACAACAGTTTTAAAATCGGCCCATCACTCCTAAAGCACACCTCAAAAAAGCAAAAATACACACACAGAAAATGACCCCCGTAACGCTCGCTTCACCACGGATGCCACGCACCGCACAACATCGTTGCGAGTATTCTCTTGGAAGCGTACGACCGGGTACAGTTGACGGGGATACGGTAGTTGACGAATTACATAGCCTAACTAGTGGATGTTCGTTAGGGAGATTTTAAATAGCTTTGAAAGCTTTAAAATTTCAATTTTGAAGCATTAAAATTTCAATTTACATAACTTTAAGAACTCTACAATTTTTAGCTTAATATTTTTAATTTTAACTCCTAATAAATTTATAAAACCAAGGACAAGCCGATTTATAAATTTTAGTGCTTTTCTAGACTTCAAAACACCAAATTAAACACCCTAAAAAGCATTATAAAACTTCAAACTACAATTTATAGAGGATAACCTTATTTGTACTTAAACTCAAGTTGAAATTCCAAGGATAGATCGATATTTACCGTATCAGTTTTAAAAAACTTAAATACACCTTGATAAATCGATTTTTCCACCCTAAAAACTGTAATTTCCGACCACCCAATTCCAACTGTCACCTGCCCTGTAATACCCAAGAAAATACACGCACCTGCCGGCACCCTGTCCCTGGTCCAAACCAAGAATCACATTATAATCACCAATCACCGCAGCCACTGTACACTGTATCCGTCCGTCCGTGTCCGTCCACTGTACAGTACCGTACACCTGTCCGCCAATTAGCGCTTACCGTGATCAGCGCCCGTTGCATGTGCTCGCGATTTGCATGCCTGTGTTTTCCTTGAAATGGCATGTGGCTGCTCGTGTTTCTCGCGTTGCCTTACCCCCCTCTATCACCTCCCCAGATAGCCACCATTTATTATATCGTGTTTTTGTAGCTTTTTATGTCTATAGCCTAGAAAAAATGGTTGAAAATTTAGAAAAAACGGAAAACGGTATTAAAATGGTTTTAAATTTTTACAAAAAAATTTGGAAAATGCTGGCTTGGAGGGGTGAAAGGTGGTGGGGGATTGGTATGGCCGCGTGTGTCTGGGCAATGGACGAGTGGTTGCTGTTTACAAATTATTTTAATATTACTTTTTGGTTTTATTCTCTATTTAAAATCCATTGAATTATGTTTTTAAAGGAATAGTGCCAGCAGGGGAATCTTACAGGTAACAAAATCCCAGGCATGTTTCCTGGAAAATGAGGTGCTGGACTGTTAGCGGGGGTTTTTTAGCAGGAAACCACTTTTTAAAACCCACATCAAAATTAAATCATTTTAAAAATCCAAAACTTTGACACCTTTTTGGTCATGTTCATTTATTTTTGACCAAAAAGTCAAATTTCGTCAAAATTCAAATTTTTATAATTTTTTATAAAGTTTTATGTCTAGAAACTGTGCAAAATGCAATAAAAAATAATTTATATTTCATTATAGGAGCATATAAAACTGGAAAAAATATGCCCCCGTTAACAGTCCAGAACCTAAAACGAAACTCCTCTAAATTTTTCGATTTTTCAAATTTTTTCTATTGTTCTCCGACAGCAACCACCCATCCCTTGACCCGCCCACACTCCCCCATTCCCTCTAAAATACGACAAAGTTACCATACCTCCTTCGAGCCCCCGAAGCTGTGAGTCCCCGGCTGACGAAAAGGCGTTTAGGCTCCAGTGAAGATGTCGCGTGACATCGGTATCCGGTTCCCGAATCTGCCCGGCTTCTCCGGGACCCGCTCGCTGCAGGTGCAGGGCAACAGCCCCCAAGCCCAACAACAACCACAACAACAACAGCAACAACAACAACAACCGCCACCTAATGCCGGGTCCTCCTCCTGCTCCCCCACGAATCCGTCGGCCGGTTTGTAGATGATGGCCCATTTCTAATTCCCGCCCTCAAATTATCGTATGCCGACAATTTCGAGCAGTTCAAGGTACCAAAAATTAGACAAAACCCCAGAAAAACTGCTCGAATCCGTCAGCTACGATACTGCCGGCCCTTTTTGGCTTCTCCCCCCTAGCCCCGCCCCCTTTCCTCTCCCTCTATCTCTCGCTTGCTGACTCTCACTCTCCAACTCTCTAATTTCTTTCTTTTCTCTCACAGCGCACTGCATGTCGTTTGCCAAAAAACATCTGAATTCCGCTAACACGCCCGAGTTGAATTTCGAGGACTATAGACTTTTAAGGAGCTCCTATTAATGCGCATATTTTTACTCTTTTTCTATAGTCCTTGGCCATTCAAGGGTTCCCCAAAACTAACGGGAGACCAAAAACGCGCTCCCCTAATTTTATTTTACCCCTGATTTTTCTCGCTCCCCTAATTTAGGTGTAGACATTCCAGAGCTTGGGTCCCAGGGTGTTCAAATTTCTGTTCATTTTTGTATTTATCTATTTAAATCGGCCCCCCTAGCTGGGTGTGCCTAGCTGGGTGTTTTCCTAAAAGTTGCACCGCGCACCGTCCTCCCCGCCAGCTTGCCCTGAATTTGTTGAAGATTTTGAAGTGCTTCTAGTCACCATATACTTTTGCCTGGCTCGACGTTTTATTCCGCGCCCCCACTACCGTATCTCGATTTTCGGCCCGCCCCCACAGAAATTGCCCCCCGGTGTTCGCTCCAATTAGATGCTTCTTTCCCGCCCAGTGCTCCGTTTTATATTTTTAAAGGGACCGGGAAGGTATGGATTTTAGTAGAAATTCCCTGTCCTGACTTCCAGGTCCCTTTAAAATCAATAGAAAATTTTTATAGACTTTTTATGACCCAACTGGTGGCTGCACAAAGTAGCCGATATTAATTTCTCCAAAAAATTCACATTTTGAAAATGTTCCAGCAACCATCAGGTACAAACCACACCCCCATCCCAGTATTCCCCCCATCCCCTTCCACGCACTAATGATAGACTACGCGCACTAGCATAATGCCATACACCCTCAGTGCATTTTAATCTTTTCCACGCCCCCATCTCTAAATCTTAATAATTATAATAATAATGTTAATAATAATAATTTTACACTCCCCCAACCCCCACTTTTCCTGTAAATCTTGCGCTCTCCTCGCCTTCGCCGCTCTGGTAGCCACCGTCTTTTCACATACAGCAAAACTAAGCCCCGCCCCCTCCCTTACGCTATGTATATCGATATACAGAAGTATGCAAATTCCGCCCATGCTTTAATGCCCACCCCCCGCCCTGATTTTTTGTCACCCTGTACCCGTTCTCCTACCCCCTCTCTCTTTTTCTTCCTATATTCCTTACCCTTCTCTCTCTCCCACCATTTGATCGTCTTCCCATTTTCTCTCGATCGCTCGCGTGTGTGTTTTTATTATATTTCTTCGAAATAATTTATAAAGCGTTTTCCTAAAATTTTGAACGAAGGCAATTGGGTGTTTTGTAGATTTAGAGGTTAAATTTTGCGGAAGGCAGCGAGAGAGCGCGGGGATCGAAAGAGAGAGACAGACAGAGAGAGAGAAAGAGAGAGAGCGAGAGAGAGAGAGAGAGAGCGAGAGAGAGAGAGCGAGAGAGAGAGAGAGAGAGAGAGTTAGAGAGAAAGAGAGAGTGAGGAGAGAGAGAGAGAGCGCGGGAAAGAGTGAGCAAGTGATCGAGAGTGAGAGATATAGAGAAAGATGCAGAGAGAGAGATAGAGAGTTAGAGAGAGAGAGTGATGCATAGACAGAGCAGAGAAAGATAAAATGTCTTTACCAAGAAATTGTAAATCCGCCCCCAATTCAACTTGATTTAAGCAACCAGAATTTCGTAACTTTAAGCAATCAGTTTATTTTGATACTTTGTACATCTTTTAGCGCTAATCATCATAGTAACCAAAAATAAGGCAAGCTGAGATTATCAAGTTCCAGAAAAATCTCCAGATAAGATGCAAATTAGGGACCAGATCATTAGCTTTGGGCTTTGGGCATGAGAGTTAAAATAACACAAAAAATACAAAGAAATAAGCTTCGTTGTAAGATTGATGCAAGTAGATTCAAAATGTAGAAAAATGGCTTTTACCACGATCCACCGCCACCCTCGTCTTTATGAGCTTTTGAGGGGTAGAGGCCTTTTCCGCCTTCTCCATGATTGTCATCAAGATATTGGGGCGCACCAGCAGGGTAAGCTCCACCTGGTGCTCCTCCGCCACCCTGGAAATAGGTAAGTTTCGGCAGAATCTATAGTACCTGGAAATTGCCGCCTCCGCCTCCGCCCATCGGGAAGCTTCCGCCGCCACCGCCACCGCCTAAAAATACGCATTAATGATAGCAAGTAGAAAAAATATTTCTACGTACTCAAAATTCGGTAAAAAGCTTCAAATAAAATACCTCCTCGGCCACGGTTCGACAAGAAGTTGCTGATCATCGACCCAATACCTGCACCGCCAAGTGAGCTCAAGAAGTTCCGGCTGAATCCGTTATGGCACTACCGTCAAACAGATTTCTTACGCTCCTCCTCCGCCACCGCCTCCGCCTCCCATTCCGCCGCCACCTCCCATTCCTCCATCACCGCCGGCTGCTAAATCCGATAATTTAAAAAATTGATTTGATTGTCTCTACCTCCTCCCTTCCCCCTGCAGCAACAACAATACACGCAGCAGCAACACAACAGCAACGGGATCACCACGCAGACCAGCAGAATCCAGAACATCTTCGATTTCACGAAGCTCGGGATTTGCATGCCAGGGCTAAACGTGGGTATTCAGATTTTTGATTTTGTTCTGACCCCTGCTTGCCGCCACCTCCACCGGATGGGAAGCCTCCTCCACCTTGGCCGCCGCCTCCGCTAGGGAATCCACCACCTCCCTGCCCTCCCCTAAAAATTCAATTTGTTGAAAGCTTGGCGGCACTGTCCCTTTAAAAAAGGATATAAGCAAAAAAATAAAAACTGGATTTGAAACTCCCACCGTCCGTCATCCCTATATTCCGGAGTGCCTTGTAGTGCCAAAGTAGATTGCATGGTTCCTGAAAAGGAAATAGCATGAAATAGTCTCTCCTCTCCCTCTCTCACTCTCTAGCTCTCGCTCCCCCTCTCTAGCTCTCTCGCTCCTCTCCCTCGTTCTCTCTCTCGCTCTCCCGCTCTCTCTCTCTCTCTCGTTGTCTCTCTCTCGCTCTCCCCTTTCTCTCCCTCTCTCCAAACATGAACCCATAAAACTAACCGTCCAGAAAATGCTCTAATCCAGCAGCATACTGATTGCTTTGGAATGATTGTTTCTGAAAAGGAAATTTTAATTTGATACCCAATGGTATGTTTCACGGAATTACAGCATTAATAATATTCATAAAATACCTGTTCATTGAACAGTTCGGTAAATCGATCCTTATGCAGCGGCACCTTGTCTCCACGGGCCGTCCAGAATTTACGGTCGTCCCGTGAGAACACAATCACGATATCTTTCTAAAGTCAATTAATGAATCAAAGTTTATTTTATTTTGAAATTACCTGACACTGCGCGTCCAGATTCCAACGTTGCCGCAAATCGTTTGCAAACCGGGTGACATCCTAAAAATCGGTTGCGAGAATGTGATAACGCGCTTAGAATTAGGACACAAAATGAGCCCCACCTCCTGGCTACCGCCTTGAATGTTCTTCACGACGGCCATTGCAGCCGTGATTCCCTTTCTATCGCAAAAAGTTTGAGCACGAGGCTAAATTAAATAAATTAGGATAAATTAAACGATAAGCATTTTTGAGCTACCTGTCTGGTTTTTGCCTCCAGTGTTTGTAGTTTGTTGTTGAGACGATACCTTAAAAAAATTTATATGAAATTATATATATATATATATATATATATATATATATATATATATATATATATATATATATGAATAGTCTTTAAAACTTATAGTTAATATAGTTTATTTAAATAGTTACCGCGCTTGTTGCGAAAATATTTGATCGGCATCGCAAATGTTCGAAGCTGATAGCATTCCGCATTCCTAAAAAAGTGTATATCGGCATATAAAACATATTTCTAGGATTAATGCATATTTAAATGCGCTTAATGTTTCAAATCATTAAAAATTACCCTGGAGCCCTGGAAAGGGTTCGGGAAATTGCCGCTCGTCCATGCTTGCTGCCTCTGAGCCTCGGCCGCCCCCAAAACAGAAAGCAACAGCGGGACGGCTATTAAAAGCCACCCCATCCTTCTAAATTTATGTTAAGTATGGTTAACAGTTATTAAATATAAGCCTAAAGAGAGCAAAAAGCGCTCCAGTAAAGCCTAAATCCACTCTCAGCCGGGGCGCCGAGCAACGGCCGCCCAAAATTGTTGTTCTGTTGGGAATGGGGAGGATGGAGAAGGATGAGGATTGGAGCATTTTGAGAGGGAGCAGAGAAAGACCTTGAAAACAACCCTAGTCCTCACATCGATCCCGAAAATACACACTTTGCTAGTGAGAGTGAGAGAGAGCGAGATAGAGAGTAAGTGAGGCTGGAAGTGCACATAATATTTTTTTGTTGCCGATAAACGCTCGGATAGTTTATAGAGACTCGAAAGCCCATCAACAAGCTTGGTGACGATATTCCGATATGATTTTTATGGTATTTTAAGGTGCATATTTATAATTTCAAGGTTTTTGAATTGAGAATCGGCTTTATCACCTCCTACTTTGCCGCGCTACCATCCGTTCCATTTTGAAAAAATATTTAGAAGTCGAAAAATAAAGGAAAAACAGATCATAGTAGTTTTTAATGGTCTTTCAGACGTAATTATGATCATAAACTTCCTATGTATGTTTTTACAATTTAAAAAAGCCCCCACGTTGTCGTTTTTTTGCATGAATCTGCTCGCTTTCCAACTTTCGACCTCTATAACCGCTACACTTTTTTAAAACTTTTTTACAGCTGTGTTTGATATTAATAGCAAATTGAATTATTTTTATTCATTCCATTGAACCGTTTTGTTTTGTACGTCTAAAGCGAATGGACAAACTCCTTCAACAGGATAACCAGCAAGAATATGAACACCGAGAGGCAAATCAAGAAAATAAGTAGCTTGTAGCGATGGTCGAGGATAAAGTTTTTGAGAGCCGATGTGTTCGATTCGGGTTCTTCTGAAATTTAGAAGGTCTAGAAAAATAAAAAAAAAAATTACCGTATTCAATTTTCGGGCCTCGTTCCATGTCCCAGATGGATTTTCGTTTTTGGGGGTCCTGTAGGGATTGGACGGACAGGATTGATAGGGCTGGTCGTCGGGGTTCATCGGGCAGTTTGACGTGTTTTTTCTAGAAAGTTGATGACTGAATTAATTATTGGTAAGGTTGGCACACTATTTTCGGAAAATAGTAAAATTTCTGAACAATACTCGCCAACGGATTTTTCAAATCTATAAAATAGCGCTTTTAAAGAGCCACAAAAATCTCGCCCGCTCTCTCCCTCTCTCTCTATCTATTCCATCTCTCTTCTCTCTCACTCTCACTCTCCTCTCTCTCGCTCTCTTTCTCTCTCCCCCTCTCCCAGCTCTCTCTCTCTCTCTCTCTCTCTCTCTCTCTCTCTCTCTCTCTCTTTTCTCTCTCATGCTATATTTCTAATTTTCACGCTGTTTTTTATATCAATGCGGGATTTTTAGAAACTATCTAGTGGAGTGTTTTTGTTTTGATAAATTTCGTCGGAATGACCGACATTCCGCGACTGAAAAGCATGACGCCACGGCTACTGCGTCGGGCCAGTCGTCCGAAAAAGAAGGGGGAAGAAGGTGACCCGGGTGTCGCACATGTCCAAGACAACACCCCCAAGATAACAGCTGAAGGACCAATGAAATGCTAAATTTTGTCCGGGAAATGGGAATTGGGGCTGGTGGTTTTGTAGAATTTTGTGAGCTCACCGGGACTGGGATTGAGATTTCGGTTGTACTTTGGAGGGAGCCAGCTTCGGAAGTGTTGGTGTCCGTTCTAAAATGATTATAGAAAATATAGGGATTGAAAAAACCTTGTTCGAGGGGTTTGAGGGCGACTACCATAGAGATCACCAAAATAGGTTGGTAGTGCTACAGAGGAATCGGCGGTTGATGTGGAGGGAGATGGATTCTGAATTTCTTCGTTTAATCCAGGTTTTAAAATATTTAATAACTGTCCTGTACGTTATTTTTTGATTCTTTTAAAATTTTATCAAAAAGAATCGGTACACATAAGATAAATGGGGAAGAACTAAAGTTTTTCCAATAATAAAAGTTTAAACGTGGTTTTGTTCGGGCTATAAAAAAGCCCGTAGCATATTTTTCGGACCTCTATTAAATAGCATTTTCAAAATATCGAAAATATTTCAATTTCCAAAAATCGGTATTTATACTTCTGTCTTTTTATGCTATAGGTCTTTTATATGGGGTTTTTCATATTGTTAACCTTTTAACTTTTACTATGTTCAAAAACCCAAAAATTTCACAAAATTGGCTGCCTCCCCCCGTTATCCCATATGTACCAAAAATTCAGTAAAATCCACCACAACTTACCAAATTCAGATTCAACGAGACCGATCGGAATTTCATCACAGAGGTCAGGCTGACGGTATCGTCCTGTAATACTCCGAATCTAAGGATTTCCGAATCCGGATACGGTAGCCGAGAGCAATTGAGACGAAACAGCAGCGCCAACGGTGTTGGCCTTAAATTTTCGGAGAAGCGTCAGATAAGGGGGGTGCACCGGGTGCGAAAAAGTGGAGGCGAGGGTGGTTGCAGCAGTTTTATGGGGGTTTGGAGTGACACGGTTTTTGCAGCATTCTGAGAATTCCAGACAAGCTTGATTCAATAAATTTAATAAAAACAGTTTTTAGCTAATGGGAAAAGCGGAACTAAGCTTCGGAAGCTATTTTCGCCGGACCAACTGTGATTGGAGATCAGCTATCAGCTTGAATTAGCTGTGAAAGAAGCGCGGGGCCGGTCCAAGAAAAAGTCGAAAAACCCGGCGGGTGACCAGAAGCTGATAAGCTGGAGCCGGCGGCTGCCAAATATTGGCCATATTTTCACACAATGGCCAGGTGGGGGGTGATTAAGGGCCGAGAGGGTGGATTTAGGTGGAGATTAAAGGGAGCGTGACAGGGGTTTGGGTACGTTTTATTCTTATTGACTTGCCTCTAGGGAACGTTCACGTATTGGTGGAAGTCTAGTTCCGGAAGTGCGCCGTCGAGAAGGCACGATGAAGCTATAGAAAAATAACAAAAATTTTATAATAAATTTTATCTCGTACCCTGGCCGACAAATCGGGAGTACTCGATTTTTTCGGGTGCCGCATTGCATGGATAAACCAGCCAATGAAGTTGACGTGGCAACCTAAAACCAGAAAATGGCTAGATACCTTCTAAATTCAATAAATAAAATTTATTACTATATAACTTACAATTTACCCAATATTTACATAACTTAATACACATAAAAATATACAACAAGTATTTATACAACTTACTATATCTTTAATTCCAGGGCAACATGCAATCGTTGTTTGTTGCACGGCGGTACCCATTGCTAAACAAAAAAAAACATTTAAATCGGTTAATCTAATTTAATTTTTCGAATTTTAGGATCCTGGAAAGCCACGAATTCGCTATGGATTTGCTGGAAGCGGCGGTGCTAGGTTGTTAATGGGGGCTTACAGTGCGTTAAACTGACTTTTCCTTACCTGTAGATAAAAAATCAGGTATTTTTCCCGTGTTTATTAATTTTTGAGTACTTTAGACGATTCGGAAAATTTGAAATTTTTCTTTATTTGATCATTTTGCATACATTCTTGACGAAAAGTCAACGATTTTTGAAAATTTTCAAAAGCTTTTATCAGGTTTTTGTATCTAACTGTGTTAAATCTGTATTTTGTTATAGGACCGTACAGAATCATTAGGAAAAATGAGTTCTCCCTGCTAAAAATTTCCTTGCTAATCCATGGAAGATGCGAAACCAAAAACTGCCTTCCCCGTCCCTTGAAAAAATCTATGCAAAACGAAACAATCCTAAAGTAATTCTATTTTAATAGAAAAATATCCAAAATTTTCCCCGGGCCCAAATAATGAGGCGAATAACGTCATCGTGCGTGAAATCAAACCCGTTGGCCGGAATGGGAAATTCGCGTGGCAGCCATTTTTAGGGAAGTAATGGGCGGGAAGGAGGGAGAAGGACTGCGAAGGAGGAAATAAGTGTGAGCCCCGGCTACGACTCTCCATCCCACGAATATTTTATTAAGGGGCCAGCTAAACTCCCGGCAGGGAGGTGGGAGGATCTTCGAAAAACAGCGTATTTTGATGGGTGATCGGGGGTGGTTTGGCCGCGTGCAAATTGGGATGGAAGGTGCAAAAGTATGGGAAGCTTTTCTCGCATTCTCGCGCTCTCTATCCTTCAGTCTCTCTCTCTCTCTCTCTCTCTCTCTCTCTCTCTGTAACTTTCGCTCTCTCACTCACTCTCACTCTTTCTCTCTCTCTCTCAGTTACACTCTCTCACCACTCTCACCCCACTCTCTCGCTCTCGCTTTCCCTCTTCCTCTCTCTCACTTACACTCTCTCACCACTCGCACCTCACCCACTCATTACACCCTCTCTCTCTCTCGCTCTGATTCTTCCTCTCTCTCACTTACACTCTCTTACCACTCTCACCTCACTCACACACTCTCTCTCTCTCTCTCTCTCTCTCTCTCTCTCTCTCTCTCTCTCTCTCTCTCTCTCTCTCTCGCTCTCACTCTTCCTCTCTCTCGCTCTCACTCTTCCTCTCTCTCACTAACTTTCACTCACCACTCCCACCTCACTCTCTCTCGGTGCATCTCACTCTCTCTCTCTCTCATCCAGGTCTCTTAAAAGGCCGTTTGCCAGAGAGCCGAACTAGGCTTGCCACAGTTTTTTTTGACCCCCTTTTTTATGCCATCTGATAGAGCAAGTTCGAATTAGTAGGGCTGCATAGTTTTGAATGTTTAAAAAGTTCGTTTTTGAGGCTACCGTTAAAGTTGAACACCTCTAAAAATTAACTCGAAAACTACCTTACCAAATCCGCTGCAAATTTGTGACAATATCTAATTTGGGACGGGGATCATTTTCTAATACATCACGGAGCGTGAAAATGGCCGGAACATCGGAATCTCGCGTACTCAAGGGTGTTTTTCAAGAATTACTATTTAATAGGAAGCCGTCGCCACCCTAAAAATACACTTAAAAGATGCGCAATTAAATTCTACATCGAATGATGTGTTTTCCAATTTGGCGAAAGATTCCTATTAAATCGAATAACGACTTTCAAAGGTACCAAAAAAAAGAATGTGCGCATTTCCGAACAGAAAGGCAGTGTTTCGTATCTAGAGACCAAAACAAAGCGATTGCAAAAAAGAGCAAATAGAAATTCGATTTCTAAAAAGGGGTTGGGATTGAACTCGGGTCGTTCGCCTGGGACCTGGCGGCGCCCACTAGTGGTTTTCCCCAGTGCCCCCAGGCGGACCGTCGCGGGTTCGATTCCCCACCGAGCCCAATCTCGCGTATACACCATATTTCTTTTTGCTCTTTTTTGTAGCAGGCTTAACTTCGCATCAATATCCGATTGCATGCCTCCGGTTGCGAAAATAACAAAGTTATCTATGTTTTTGAGCTGTATTTGCTAATTTTAGAAATGCGATTTTTTTCGATTTAATAGGAATCTGTCGCCAAGTTGGAAAACACATCATTCGACGTAGAATTTAATTGCGCCTCTTTTAAGTGTATTTCTAGAGGGGCGACGACTTCCTATTAAATAGTAATTCTTGAAAAACACCTTTGAGTACGCGAGATCCCATCCTCATTAAAATGGGTATACCAAATTAGCATGCATGGCTACCGGGGAAGCCAACCTGGGGGAAATCAGCGCATCTCCGATCATTCTAAACAACGGCTACATCTCCGATGGCTGCCCACCCGACCGCCTCTACGACCCGTGCGTCGTCGCCGACTTCCACTGGCACCACCGCTTTCCCGCAAAGCCCTGATACGTTGGTAGGTTTTTACCTTACAATTAAATTTAAGATATAACCCATTAGTTTTTATTTTTTCGAAATGTTTCAGGCTTTTGCGTCACTGGACTGTTAGCATGGGGGATTTTGAGCAGGGGAAGCTAATTTTTTTGTTTTTCAGTTTATACCTACCTGTAAGAAATAAATATTGTATTTTTATCTGATAACGTCATGAATTTAATGGGTCTAAAGTTACAAAAATATTTTAAGCCCTTTTGAAATTCGAAATTTTTGTCATTTTACATCATTTTTGTCCAGAAAGTCATTTTTCGAGGGTTTTATAATTCTTGCGAGCTTTTCATTTCTAAAACTGTGTAAAAGGCAATAAAACTGATGAATCTTTTTGTTATTGTACCCTAAAGGATTCCTAGAAAAATCAGTGGTGAGGCTCCAGATACCCCCAGCTGCCCCCCCTCAACTTTTGTATCTCGGCTCCTTGTTCATCTACAGGGGTGTAAAGTATACCAAAATGTTAGCTGAGATACGATAGGCGGGGGTTGGCTGGGGGGATATCTGGAGTTCAGCCAAATTAGTTTCCCTCCTTGCTAAACCCCCCTGCTAACAGTTCAGTACCGATCCCAGCCGCGTTAGCTATCTGGTGGGCTATTTGCCAGGAATAAATCTGAGAGGTGGCGGCTTTAAGAACCTTCTTGCTTCAATTCTCTATCATATCCTATATATCCAATTCTGGCAATTTCAGTGTTCTGGTACTCACACGACGGTGATCGGCTCGCCGTACGCTCCGTCCAACATTGAACGGATCGTCCCCGAGAAGGAGGGCGTCAAGCCGGTCAACAAGCCGGTCATCCGCATCCAGAGGATGGTAATATTTCCTTGTTGTTAGGTCTTGATCTACTCTAATTAGGCACACATAGGATAGCGGGGGGAATGGGGTAAATACGGGGCCCTCATCATTTTCTGTAAAATGATAAAATTAATTAAAATTTCGGGCCATAAAAATGCTCTTGCCAGATTTTTACGCTCTCTATCAAAATAGAATTTTGGAATACCGGAGATCTTAAAAATAACCGTTTAATAAACATTTTTTTAGAAAATTTGCGGTTTAACAAATTAATCAATCGTTTTACAGGCCCTCAGCGACATCGCCAACCTGGTCATCGGCGACAAGAAGCAGGTGATGTTGGAGAAACCGAGCCACGAGAACTAGATGAAATGTGGCCACTTAACCCGATCGCCCCGACTACTCCGGCCTTTTAATTTTTGTTTTTCGAATTATTGCTGTGATTTTTTTGTGCTGGCGTTATGTGTATATAAATCGGTTTGACTTAGCTTCTTTGCCTGTTATTGTACTAAAGTTGGCGTGTAAATTGGATGTGGTGGAATTTTTCTTTATTTTCTCTCTCTCTCTCTCTCTCTCTCCTCTCTCTCTCTTTCTCTCGCTTTCCCGCGCTCTCTGTCACTCTCTCCTGCTCTCTCCCGCTCTTGCTCTCTCTCTCTCTCTCTCTCTCTCTCTCTCTCTCTCTTTCATTATCTCGTTGATGCTTCTCGAAATTACCTATGATTGTTTTAGTTCCGTAAATCTTCACTTCAGATCTATCACTCCCTAAACTCTGCATTTTTCTGCTCTTTCCTCCCGAAGCATGCGTATCCCCCTGAAGTCCTTTCGACTACAGCTGATAAGGGTCCCCTCCCTCGTGTCTTCCATCCCCCCACTGTTGACAGGCTAAAATATGCCCCCAGCAAAATCGGAGGGCAAAAATGCTACCGCTCGGGTTAAAGTCCACTTGGGTATTTTTAAAGCTGCTTTCTTTTTTTTACTCGTAAGCTGACTTCTCTGCATTAGCTCGCTTATGGTTTGCTTTACTTAGCTCCAACTTTTGTAGATGATCAGCATCGGGTTAGTGGCGTTGATCCTTCTGTGCTATGGGATACTTCGGAATTTCACGAAGCTATCGCGTTTTTTGAAAATGAGGCGACGGGCGGTGAAGCTGCTCGAGTTGATCCCCGGACCGCCGAGTATTCCGCTATTCGGATCTGCTCATTTGTTTAAATGGGATAATGAAGGTATGTATCCTGGTCTTACTACTGAAAATCGAAAATATACCTTTAATAGTGTCTTTTTGTGGGCTTTTAGGAATAACTCTTCAAATTAATGCATTAGAATTTAGTGAAATGTTTAGAATTCACTTATCAGCTAGATTGGTGGGCTCGCGAGTACATCGTCAAGCCCGAGGAGAAGACCGGCGTCATGAAGGTGGATCCTAAAATATTTTTTGTTCCAGAATTCACCTACCAAATGGAGGGCTGGGCCCGGGATACCTATAACAATCCGGTGAACCCCGGGTGGAAGCACGGAGTGATGAAGGTTTTGAGGGGAATGCATGCGTAGTTTTAGTGCTATCAGCCGTCCCATTAATACGGCAAGATGTAGCTTTTCCCCTGTTGTAGGGTAGATAATATAAAACATTTTTGTAAATCATTATTATTAATTCATAAATATGTTTAGATTTGGGTTGGCCCGGTCCCAATGGTCTTTCTAGCTTCAGCAGAAGCAGCCAAGGTCTGAAAACCGACTACAACTAATTTTAAACTATTTTAGCCAGTCCTCGAAAGCAATACCTTGCTTACCAAACCCTCACAATACAACATTGTACGCGAATGGATCGGTGAAGGATTGTTGATCAGGTATAACCTTTTGTTTTAAGATACAAAACCCACTTGAGGACAGCCGTGGCAAGAAGTGGCAGACCAGACGCAAGATGCTCACACCGACGTTTCATTTCTCGATTTTGCAGGGTTTTTATGAGATATTCTTCGATCAGGCAAATGTGAGTATCGTGGGACTGCGGGTTTAAAGTAAAAGGGATCGGCAAGGCATGGGTTGTAGATTTTTTACTACAAAACCCATACAGAATCCATAGCAGGCCAAAAAGCAATACAGGAATTTTCTCTTGTTCCTGTAAAATTAGAAGATTTTTAATTTATTTGAAAGCTAAAACTCAAAAAGTGGTTTTTACTTTTTAATAGATATTTTTAACCCATTTTTGTGTATTCAAAAAAATTATGTATTTGTGGGTCTGGTGCTTTAAAGAGGCGGCACCCCAAACCCATACTTAACGATTTTAAGGCTAAACTTTCGCCACTACAAGATGCAAATTTCGCCACAAAGACGGATAGGCTAATCATCCTTTTTCCAGATATTGACCGAACTTGTTGGTAAGTTTGCCGACAGTGGCGAAGTGGTAGATCTCAATCCTTACATCAAAAGATGCGCCCTGGATATTATTTGTGGTATTTTCCAAGCTAGCTTCGCAGCCAACAAGTCCTTAGAAACCGCGATGGGCACCAGAATCAATTCACAGACCGGAAAGAACGTCGACTACGTCCAGGCGGTTACCCGGTTGAGCCAGCTGATTTGGGATCATGAAAGGTATAGTCTGATGCATTATAACTTAGAAACTACTTTTTAGGTTCCCTTGGTTGTGGTTCCAACCGTTCTGGTACTTGACCGGGATGGGCTTCGAGTTTGATCGGCTCGTGAAGCTGTCCAGTGACTTTACCCGGAAGGTCATCTTCCAAAGACGAGAGATACTTGAGCAGCGTGGCTTATTGGCCGAGACAGAGAAAATGACGCCTGAAGAGATACGGTGCGCGGTTCAGATTCTAGGAAAGAATTTGTTCTTTCGGATTACCGGGGGGCCTTATAAATATTTTTCGAAATTTTGGTCGAAATATCTATATTGTTCTATCTTTAACAAACATTTGTAAAGTTTTTACGTTTAGGAATAGTTGAAAACAGTTTTGAAACGCGCGATTGATATCTGAAAAGGAGGCTTAAAAAATTGTCCTCCCCCCGATAATACAAAAGAACCGACAAATTTTCCAGTAAGAATAAACTCTCATTCCTGGATTTGCTGATTGGGATGCAGAGTTCGCAAAATTTGAGTGATGAGGATATTCGGGAGGAGGTTGATACATTTATGTTTGAGGGTGAGTTTTGGGTTTAAAGGGATGGTGACAGGACAATTCCAGGGCACGACACGACTTCATCAGCAATTGGCTTTGCATTGTGGTGGTTGGGTCAAGGTAAGCTTGTATTCTGTTGATGCCATCACTATTGTGATTATTTCCAGAATTCCACTGCCAACGTCGTTGTCATGAAGAGATAGACGCCGTATTCGCTGGTGTTAACGGACCATTAACTGTCGAGCATCTGAAGCAGCTGCCGTACCTGGAAATGTGTCTCAAAGAGTCGCTACGCCTCACTCCGCCCGTGCCGCTTTTCGGTAGAACGCTTGATCACGATCTGGAAGTTGGTGGGTCTTAAAGGAACGTAGAAGTCAAGGCAAGTAGCAAGCAAAGCTGGCATTTGCAGGTAATTTCACGATTCCTGAGGGATGCACGATAATGATGAGCCCGATGGCGGCTGCTAGGGATCCGAGGGTATGTTTAATCTTTGAAATATTTTAATATAATTTTTTTAATTTTTAGTACTTCCAACACCCCGATCTTTTCTACCCCGAGCACTTTACCGTGGATGCATGTTCCGGAAGAGATCCTTATGCCTATATCCCATTTTCTGCGGGGCCTCGGAATTGCATTGGTAAGTTGGATGGATCAACCGTTCTTTAAAGGGATTGGCAAGGCAAGGCTGCAGATGATCTATGGATTCAACGCGCAGCGCAAAGCAACACGCAGCGCAAAGCAACACGCAACGCTATGCAAAAGCGGAGCGCGCGTCGCGGCATAATCCATAAAAAATAAGAAGATGGCGAGCACCCAACGCATGCGCGCTTACTTGCGAGGGTTTAAAGCATTACGCAATGAAACGACGCGGTCAAATCTATAGGAGAAACCATAATTCTGCCTTTCCCGTCCCTTTAACCCCTAAACTTAGGCCAAAAATTCGCGCTTGCCGAAGAAAAAGCCGTGATGGCCACCCTACTACGCAACTTCCGCTTCATCACCATGGACCCACATCCCGGCAATCGGTTCCTCCCCGAATTAATCCTGAAAACAACCTCCGGCTTCCGGTTCCGCGTCGAGCGCCGGCAACCAGCTTAACGTTTTTGTACATACCTATCGTACTTTGTACTTTGTACCATACTTCCACAAAAATTAGTCCTCAGCTCTATAGAAAGCGGGTGTATTTTGTTGATAAACGGAGTTTTGGCATGTGAAATACAAAGTACAACTTAATGTAAAGTTGAATGGTGCATATTAGTTATTTAAGGCGATTTTTCGGCTTTTTCTGCATCCTCGCCAGTGCGGATACGCGAGCAAGTTTTTGCGATGCTCAGATCTTTTGAAGGCATCGTTTCGACAAGAGGTTGCCCCTGAAATAGGTTGCGTAATTGGATATACCTGAAATTTTAGAAGATACCTTTGATTCTGGGATGAAAAAGAAAAACAGCGATGTTTCCAGGATTATAATTAAGGTCATAACGGCATAGGGAAGAGACGGCGATATCGATTTCTGGAAATTTATTTAATTATATTGCATTGAAAATTCCTTATTGTTTATACTTTTTAATATTAGCTTACCAATTTGAATAGCTGGACCCCAAAGACGGATCCAGTACTTCCGCTAAGTTGTGTCATCGCATAGGCAATATTTCGGATAGGAGTCGGGTAAATTTCCGAGCAAGTCACTTGATTCGTCAAAAAGATCTGAAGATATTTTCTGAGCTGCCCTTAATGCACAACTACCTGAGATGCCATCGAGCTAGCTGTAATTACAAGAACCACCTCAGCAAGTGACTTGTCAGCATCTATAGAGTTTTATTATTTTATGTATAGTAGCCACCAATCAACTGCAACCCAATAATCGCCAATACCGCAAAAGTGGCATATCCGGCAAAGATGTAGTGGGCCGTCTAGAATATTTTGCCCCTGGGTACCGTATCCCGGGTAGGGAACGGACCATACGACCGAGTCGTTGCCAACGATAGTCCGCAGCCGCTGACAACAGATTCAGAATGATACGGCAGATCGAGACGGCCATCATTTTACTGTAGAGAGATCCGGATAAGGTCTCCATATTGAACATGATACCGTAGTTGAAGATGCCCACGCAAATGCTATAAAAATTGCAAAAAAAACAAAAAATTATACTTACTAACTAATTGACATGGTTACGGTATAAGACACCAGATCCCAGGAATAGAAAAGATGATGGAAAAAGTAACCTCGATTAGCAGTCTTCTAAAAGTTCTAAAGTGTCTTTAAGTGAAGGCATGCCTGCGCTTTGTCGCTTTCTTCTTGAAAAATATTTTTGATTGGCGTTTCATCGATTTCAACACCGTCAAATTTATTCGTTCTTCGAATTACATCCATCGCATCTTCCAATCGACCTTCCCGGACTAACCAGTATACGGATTCTTCGGAAAAACTGGAAAGAAGGGGTGGTTACTTTCAAGCTGTCGAATTCATATTTTTCAACCAAATGGTAGTATAAACTTACAATAGTAAAATAACAATCGGTATCGACAACAGATTTAGCGTTAATTCAAGGCTTCTCCATTCCCCCAGCCACCATGCCAGTACCGTAACCAGTAAAATATTTGGGGACCAATTGATCACAAAATTCAGCCACATTCGGTGGCGGGTGGGTAGCGTTTCGCACATGTACACCACCACAATCCTAAACACTACTTTGGTCCAACAAAATGTTCTGTCACCATCCCTTTAACCAAAAAACTCACACCACATGGCCAGTATTAAAAAATATCGTTAAAAAGCGTAGGAAAGTGAACAAGGTCAACGAATTTGCAAAGGCGGCTAACGTCCCGAACAGGCCGGTCAGACAGACGGAGATTAGCATTGGCTAAATAGAGTTTTTACTTTTATTTTTTTGAGTTACCCATTTGCGACCATATCGATCGGATATTAGCCCAAAAATCAGTGTCCCTATCATGTAGCCAACCATTTGGATGGATGTGCTGTCTTTTATTAGGGCGGAATCTTCGCATATGTAGTTGAACTGGAATTGGGGTAAGTTTAGCTTAGGCTTAGCCTTCGCTTAGGCTTGGCTTAAACTTAAGCTTTGGCTTAGACTTCGTCTTAGATTTAGGCTTAGGCTTAGGCCAGGCTTGGGTTGATGCTTATGCTTAAGCCACGGCTTAGGCTTGGGCTTAGGCTCGGTATAGGCTTAAGCTTGGGCTGGGGCTTAGAGCTTAGGTTAGGCTTAGGCTTGAGCTTGGGTTAGCTTAGACTCGGATTAAGCTTAAGAAAATTTTCGAGCTCTGCCGCCTTAACCCCCGCGGAATTTAATTCACTTCCCCGTTCTCATTTCAAATTCAAATTCGACACACCTCGACGTTGACGGAACGAAAAGCCGGATCCCATTCCACAAGACAATCCGTGCTATTACGAGCCCGACAAACCGCCGCCTCTTTTTGCTGGCCGGTCAGACCCGTGGCGATGCTCACGTTTCTGCAACCAGTTAGCTGGGGAGGGGCACCTGGAAATTCAATGTTGTTGTTAAAATCGGTTCTCTAGTTAAACTAAAATTAAATCAATGAAAACCCACCCCCAAAAACCATAAACAACAAGTTTCCAGCTTGCATGAGGACGATCAATTCGCAAGCGATACATACCAGTAAGGAATAACGACCCAGGTTTAAGAGATCATCAATTTTGTTGGGCGTCATCTGGAAGAAAGTAATCGTTTTTAAAGGGACACCAAAGCGTAAAATCTATAAAAACTAAGGTTTTATGGCCAAATTTTTGCCAGAATCGTCGCGCGCTTGCCCCCATAAAATTATGCAAAGCGTTTGGTCAGTGACCAAACACAAAATCACCTGTTTCAGCAGCTTTTCCTCGGCCGGCATTTTTCTCGAATTGTTAATAAAATTAAAGCCACGAAAAGTGCCTAATGACGATCAGGAGATCGGGATTCATGTTGGAAAGCTGATAAACGAGCGGGTCGAGGGGTCCAGCTGTTTCTTTTCCGGGCCCTCTCCCCATTTCCCGGCTCCCTCGTTTCATCCCAAGGGCCAAGGGTCAGCTCAGCTGGGCGACGAATGATACTATTTACGGAGTAGTGGAACCCGGAAAGGATTGGAGCTTAAAGCTTTAGTAAAAGCCTAGAAAATTTATTATAGCATCGTAATTGTTTCAGACGTTTTTTTCCATTCTTGTCTTCAACCTTGACGCCAATCATCCCCTCGGGGGGGCATTTCCGCGAAATAATCTTTGCGACCCGATCTCAAGTGAGTGGCTGCTGCTCACCCTCAACCAATCTGCCATCGGGTGGGTCGACCGTGAGGGGGAAACTGGCTCCCTAAAAAGCGGGCCGATGGCGTTGGCGCCGAAATCCAAGATTTCGCCTTGATGGGTGCATTGGGTGGAGTGAGAGAGCGATAGAGAGAGAGAGCGAAAGAGAGAGGAAGAGAGAGAGAGAGTTTGATTTTGTTTACGATACAAGGCAGGGGAGCGGGTTATGTCTAAATTTTGATTCCGCAATTACGGAATTTGGCCTCGAGCGCAGCCTTGTATATGTATTGTAGGTGCTTAAAGGGATGGTGACACCAAGAGCAGGTTTTCCTAACAGTTTTGCTTTGCTGTGAGTCTTACTCCGCAGTAAAAACTGGAGGTGAGTACACTAGGCAGCCACAGACAGCTTGGAAATTCTTCAAAAAACTGAAAAGTCGTGGGAATGATCAGTATCTCTCTCGCTCTTTCTCTCTCTCTCTCTCTCTCTCTCCCTCTCTCTCCAATGTTTAACCCTGCATTGTCTACCGCCGTACCACGACTACCTAAACTTCCGGCCCCAGACACCATCCATCCAATCCACTTTTTGGCGCTCATTTTCAGACGCCTAAAGCCACCTTTCGCTTTTCCCCACGACCCGCCTCGGGGGTTTTTGACGGATTTGCCGCGGTGCTGTGAAGGATGGCAAACGGAGCAAGGTATTTGAGGGGGAGGGGGAGGGGGATCGAACCGGCGCGTATGTACCGTATCGAAATGTGCCGTCGTCGTCGGTGGAGACGGATCCAGCCAGCCACCCCCTTGCCTACCACCTTGATGGCTGATGAAAGGATTGGAGAAGTGAGGGGGGAGGGGAAAGTGTCTGACCCCCCTTCGTGAATGCCCCCCACCCTCCGGCAACCGAAAAGTGGGCGTGGAAAAGCCGATTGAAAAGCCCCGGTGGAACCCTGGGGGTACATAAGCCACTCAGGTCGACCACGGACCCATCCTCAGTCCACCTGAGCCTCAGTATCTTACCATGAAATTCGCCGTCGCAGTTGCCCTCGTCGGTATGGCCTCAGCTTGCCTGAATTTGGGAGGAGGAGGTGGCGGCGGCTGCTGCCCACCCCCGGCCCCGGCTTGCGGAGGAGGATGCGGTGGAGGAGCCCCACCACCCCCTAGCTGCGGAGGAGGAGGAGGTTTGTTAATTTTTTATAGTATTGTATCGTGGTTTATAGTAGTGTATCGTGCCAGGACCCAGATAAGGTGCTTTGAATTTTGAGCTCGAACTCAAATTAACAAAATTGAAAAGTCATCTAACTCACAATGCGTAAAAAACTAAATTTCTGCGGCTTTTTAGTCTAAAGTCATTAAAAATTATTTTAATCATTTTTTATACATCGTTTCCAGGAGGCGGATATGCTGCTCCCCCGTCCGGCGGATACGCTCAGGCCCCATCTGGCGGCGGATACGCTCAGGCTGGTAAGAAAAATTCCACTTTTTGCTCCTTACACCCGTATTTTTAAGTTAAATTTTGATTTTAACTTTATTTCAATTTTTAGGTGGACTCGGAGGAATCCTCGGAGGAGGAGGCGGCGGCGGATACGCCGGAGGTGCCCCCGCTGGAGGAGCCGGTACTAACTTTTAACCCTCACCTCAGCCCTCTTTTTCAGGAGGATACGCTGGAGCCGGAGGTTTCGGAGGAGGCCCCATCGGAGGAGGAGGACCCATCGGAGGAGGAGCCGGTAATTTTTAGAAGCTCCGACCTAACAAGCCAAACATTTCCAGGAGGATACGCCGGACCCCAGGCCGCCCCATCTTTCTCCGCCCCGGCCCCTAGCTTCCAGTCTGCCCCCGCTGCTGGTGAGTGCTTTAGTGAGGCTCATGGTTAGGAGCATGAGAATCCCAACTAAAAGGAGCATGACAAAAAATATCCAATTTTTAGGAGGATACTCTTCTGGAGCTCCCCAGGCTGCCCCATCTTTCTCGGCCCCAGCCCCCGTCCAGGCCGCCCCCGCCCAGAGCTTCCAGTCTGCACCCGCTGCCGGTAGGTTTGAAGCATTAATAGGCGCCTTTAAAGGTATTGTAACACCACTTTTTAATTCCAGGAGGATACGCCGGACCCCAGGCCGCCCCATCTTTCTCCGCCCCCGCCCCCGTCCAGTCCGCCCCTAGCTTCCAGGCCCCCGCTGGTGAGTTTAAGCTCGTGCTCATGCTCATGCTCAAGCTCAAAATGACTTTTAAGGCTCTAGAAAACCAAAAAGTTAGCAAATTCTCATTTTCCAGGAGGATACGCCGGACCTCAGGCCGCCCCCGCCCCGAGCTTCCAGCAGGCCCCGGCCGCCGGAGGATACTCCGCACCCGCTCAGGCTGCCCCCGGCGGATACGCCGGAAAGAAATAAGCGCGCCAACGCACAACCAACAACCCTAAATATTGTTTGTACAAATGGCGTCCACTATTTTATATGTATTACTAGTGAGCATAAAGGCTTTAAATTAAGCTTCGAGTCGGGATCAAAATACATCGGATACCACATTAAAAATTACGTGCCTCTAGGTGTAATTAATAGGTACCTAAATTTTTAAGAAACTAAAAATGTGGGAAATTTTAAGGGTTTTTTGGTCTCAAATGTCCTAAAGTTTCGCTATTTACATAGTTACGATTAATGCGTGAAACATATATAATACTCTCTTTGAAAAAGTGGCATTTAATAGTCAATTCAACTCAAAAGAACACTCAATTCCGCCATTCTCCTGATGACTTTTCCTCGCCTAATTGAATATACCATCCACATACGCTAGTACGCATCGTGTATCATCAAAATACGCTGAACACCTAATGACAGTTTGTCGCCGCCCCTCACATTAATGTGTAAACCCCTGACGCCAAAAAAAGTTGAAAGAGCTTGCCTAGGTTACGTAAACGCCGATGACTGATTAGCCATGCCAATTCTCGGGGAAAGCGGCATAAGCTAGTTTATCATACGAGTGCGAGAGAAAAGGAGCGAGAGAGAGAGAGAGAGAGAGAGAGAGAGGGAGAGAGAGCGAAAGCCGTGGTAAAACTGAAAATAAGTCTATTCAACGCCCCCCTTGTCCGCTTAGCTAACCAACTCGCACTCCTCGCCAGCTGGTGCTCAAGGCCATCCTTGTACGCGGGGCGAAGGGCGAAAAAACACAGCGGCGCCCTCGGGCGGTGGGGAAAGCCCTTTCGTCTCGAATCCCGTTTTTCGGCCTTGATTTGCGTTGTGCGTGCTCGCTTTCAGGTGGAGACGGCAAGGCAGAAAATAAATGAAGAGCAGGATAAGGCAAAAATCGAATGTTCTGTGCAGCAATTAAACGCATGAAATTTAATTCATCCAATGCTTTATTCAAGCATACAAAAGGACACAGAGATTTACATGCATACAGAAGAAATACAAAATGATATGCGTTTTCCGGCTGTCCTGGCTGCAGGCCGTGATTTTGATTTAGTCCTCGCTCTCGCGGCTCGGCTTCTCGCGCGTCTCCGGCTGGTTCCCGTTGATGTCCTCGCCCTTGATCGACGAGTCGGCGTCAATCTGTAAAATCCCAAATATCAATTTAAACATTGCGAACTACAACTTTAACCGCCTAACATATACACTATTTCGATTTGTTTTTACTGGAATTCTGAAAGAACCCGTTTTTCGTTAGGGCCGCCCCAAAACACAGAAATACACGCCATTTATTTATGATACATTTTTTGACCGTTTTATGTTCATCAAGAATTCGTGGCTTTTTGAAAAATTTGTAGAACATTTTCTATTTGATTTGACAAACTTTAAATTAAAACTACTGAAACCGCCATAAAGCTACTCGAGACCAAAACAATTCTTGGCAAATATAGGCTAAACGATAAATCGCTAAAAATTGAGTCCCGAAAAAGGCCAAGGTCCAGTGGAGTTAAATTAGAGTTTAGTCCCGAATAATCTACAGTACCATCTTGTTGTTCTTCCCGAGATCGACGGCGTTGCCCGGGGCGAAGGTGGAGGAGGTGGTGATCGCGTTGGAATCGACAACGACGGAGACGGTAGCCGGTGAGGCGAGAAATGAAGAGCGCGAGAGGGAGCACTGAAATGGCAAGATTTGAATAATAATAGACAAATGAACAACAAAAACTACCGGTACTGGACTGTTAGGAAGGGAAAACTTATTTTATATTTCGACTAGATCTACATGTTAATAATAACTAATAATTTTTATAATATTTTACTTGTTTTTGCTTTCTAGGCAGTTACCAAAAATATTTTAAACATTTTTGAAAATTCGAAAATATTATATACCTTTTTGATTATTTTTCGGCAAAAATTAAAAAATTTATAAGTTTTTATGAGCTTTTTATAGCTAAAAAAACTGTGTATGCGACAAAAATGGTTGTATTTCCATATAAGACCTTACAGGATTACTGGGAAAGATTAATTTTCCCCCTGCTAACAGCCCAGTACCGAAAACCTGCTCCTTATCATGATTCTAACTGTTTGACTTATAAAACTGTAATTATCCAGATCATTTGACCTGGAGGAATTACGACATTCAATGTTAGCACACGCAAAAAGATGGTTTGCCCCAAAGCGTTTCGTTTTTTATAGCATTCAATGGTTTTCCGCGATCGTTAGTTTTTTTTAGTTTTTAACAAATAGTTTCGCGCTCTGCTCATGAAAATATTGACTTCCGAGCCCCTTTAAGTAATCATCAAAAACTTGCGATGGTGTCAGGGGTAGATGGTGAAATATCAGAGTAATTAAAAGCCTTCGGGGTCGTCACCCTAGTGGTAGTCGCGCTGGGGAGACTGGCCGGCATGCCGATATTGTGGAAAATGATTCGCGCCGGCTGATTTTCTTCTGTGGACTTTCCGGTTACCAAAAAGGTTCATGCTAATTAGGAGAAGCCATTTTAATGAGGGTAGGCTACTTCCGGTGCCCCGCTGATAATGCTGATAACGTTACGGGCTTTCGATTGGCGCTATCCACGTTAATTATAGACAGTTAGAAGATGTTGTACTGGACTCTTAGCGGGGGAGGGATTTTTAAAAAGGGGAAACTATTTTTTGTCTTTTTTCGTCGATTCGTACCCGTTAATAATAAATGCTGTATTTTTATACAGAGATTAGTAGTTTTTCATTACTAAAGGTTCCACAAAATATTTTAGAAATTTTTAAAAATTCGAAAATTTAACAGTTTTTGGTCATTTTTTGACCAAAAGTCACCTTTTTTCTCTAAAAACTGTGTAAATTGCGACAAAAATAGTCTATATTTTCTTATAGGACCGTACAGGATTACTGGGAAAGATTACCCCCCCGTTAACAGTCCAGTACCGCTGCTAGCTGGAATATACCTGTTAATTTAAAAATATCAATTAGAGTTCCTTTTTTTTAGATAACCCTTCAAATGTTTGGCACACTGCCATTATCCCTCCCCCTAGATCGGAAGTTTCCCTTTCCAAATTTAGGTTTTTGCTGGGTCCTGCCACGATCCAGAGGGCTGCCCTCTTGGCTGCTCCCTTCTTATCCGATTGGCACAATGCGAAGAAGCGGAAAAGAGGACAGGGAGAAGCCGGTGAAAGTGCGCGCTCTCCCCCGTTGCGCGGCCGGATCGCTGCCTTAGGGCGGGAGGAGGTGATTTGTAAGCAACCCCCCTCCAGCCCCCCTTTTCAGGGTTGGCAGCCGTATATAAACGGAGAGCATAGAGACGCGCGAGTCTTCTCATTATCCATATATTTACACATAGAAACTATGTACGGTTATACGGTGGTGCTAGTGGCCGCGTTGGCCAGCCCGGCTTTCGGATGCCTGAATCTATTTGGAGGTGGTTGTGGCGCGCCTAGACCTGCCTGTGGTGGAGGTGAGTTTTTAGGTCTACAAGATTTAAGCTTTAAACTTAGTATTGTATTAAGGAGCACGTTTCAGGATGCGGAGCCCCAGTCCCAGTCCCTAGCTGTGGAGGAGGAGCCCCGGCTTGCGGAGGAGGAGGTGGATACGCTGCTCCTCAACCCGCTGGCGGCTACGCTCAGGCCCCGGCTTTCGGAGGATACGGAGGAGGAGCCCCCCTTAACCTTGGCCAAGTCGTTGGAGGAGGATACGCTCAGGGTATTCTAAGACTACGGTACTAAAGTTCGGCTTTAGGAGGTCAACAGGGAGGTTTCCAGCAGGGACCAGCTCTTGGAGGAGGATACGCTCAGGGTATTCTAAGCCTACCGTATTAAAGTGAAGTTTTAGGAGGCCAACAAGGCGGCTTCCAGCAGGGACCAGCTGTTGGAGGAGGATACGCTCAGGGTATTCTAAGCCTACCGTATTAAAGTGAAGTTTTAGGAGGCCAACAAGGCGGCTTCCAGCAGGGACCAGCTGTTGGAGGTGGATATGCTCAGGGAGGATTCGGAGGTGAGGGAAAACCGATTACGATATGAAAAGTTTTTTAGGGGCCCAACAGGGTGGCTTCCAGCAAGGACCGGCCGCCGGAGGATATGCTCAGGGAGGATTCGGAGGTACACATCCGGTTACGATATATAATAGCCTATCTAGGACCCGCTCAAGCTCAAGGAGGATTCCAGCAAGCCCCAGCCGGATACTCTCAGGGAGGATTTGCCGGTAACAACTAGAAAACCCCCAGAAAAACCCATCTTTAGCCCCCCAGCAAGCCGTCCAGCAGCAGCAAGCCGTCCAGCAGCAGCAAGCCGTCCAGGGCTACAACCAGGGAGCCCAGGGATTTGCCGGAGTCGCCGGAGCCACTGGAGCTGAACAACAACAACAACAGGTTCAGCAGCAGACCGTCACCCAGACCGGACAGGCCCAGGAAGCCCAGGGATATGGAGGTATCCTAGATTTTGCAAACGTTAATCCGAAAATTAAGCCGAAGACACCCAGGCCGCCATCCCAACCGGAACTGAAGCACCAGCTGCCTCGGCTGAAGGATATGGAGAGCAGGGTAACTCTTGATTTCCAAATTTAAAATCTATATCCTTTAGAGGAGGCCCAGCCCGCCCAGCCCACCCAGCCAACCCTGACCTATGGCCAGGAAGAAGCCTCCGTTGAGGAGCAACACCAAGAGACCTCGGACTACGGTAGAATAATAGATTTTAGAGCGAACCAATTTACGTTTAGAGAGCAACAACGGACCCTCTGATTACGAGGATGCCAAGGAGACCGCCGAGCCGGCCAAGGAGGAGCAAGGATATTCGAATGAAGGTAAAAAAGCATCCAAATAGAAAGCCACTGCATCATAATTCACTAATATAAGTACAAATATTGTATAGTTCCTATTAAACTACGTATAACCATGCCAATTTTTTAGCCGCTGCTGCCTCGTCGGAGACCGTCACCGAGGCCCCCGCCCCTGCTCAGAGCTACGGTATTAATTTAATTTAATTAAAAAACGCGATGATTTCCAGAGCCCGCCGCTACCACCGCCGCCCCTGCCCCCGTTGAGTCCTACGATAGCGGTGAGTTTAAAGATTTCGTATTCAAACGCGCAATAGGCCCTTGGCGGAATGGTAAAGCGCTAGCGTATAGCACACACTATCCGGGTTCGACGCCCGCCTTCGGCAACTTTTTGCACTTTTTTAAAAACAGCTCTAAATTTGCTTTTTTCAGCTTCCGTCGAGGAGAAGCCAAAGACCGACTACCGTCGCCGTATCGTCGTCCACCGCAAGCTCTAAATTCTGACCGTTGGCCCCTCGCCAATATCAATAATTTTTCGCGTGCCAACCCACGCCGTCCAACCAATATCAGGGATGAATAAATTATTTTAATTGCTTTACCCGCCATTAAAAATATTTACATGGCACTGAAACAATAGGCAGGATCTACAAAAACAAGTCCGATCTGCCATCCGGCCTAGAACCTAGGTTTCTCCCGTGTAATTGCCGGTTATACTTTGGGGCAAGCAAAAAGAGCGTGTGGGTTGGCAGTCAGGACCATTCTGCACGACAGACGTTCATAGTAAACTCACGGAAAGATGGTGGCCCTGCTTCGAGGTGTTGGTATTTTGGTTCTAACCCTGCACTCGGTGCTCGGATGGTATATTGCAGCCGCTATACAGTAAGTTTGAACGTGAAAAGACTGGCTAGGCGAAAACAGATCGGCTCGGATTCACATTTGTGTCAAAATTTACACGTATAGAGAGTCCGCAACGCTGATCATTTTCCTATTTTTAGAATTTGCTACCGACGTCAAAATACGCTTTTACCTAGGCTAAAAGTAGACTTATTTGATTAACGAAAATATCGTTTAAATCTGCAGTTTTAATCACGATTTATCCTCAAAATATAATAGATCACGATTTATCCTCAATGAAAATACATTCGATAACGCGTGGCAAGATTCCGAAAAAAAATCAGTTTTCAGCTATAGCTTTTTATTTCAAATTATTTAGCTTAGAAAATTGGGCTGCATATAGTTTTTAAGTGTCCCCATTCCAAAAGCCGAGGGTGCTTTTCCTAGAATTCTGAAAATAGGTAAATGATCAGCGTCCTCGACTCTATCTTACTGTTAGTTTTGTACCGGCTTCGTCATTTGGGCTTCCCCCAATAAGTCCATTCTCCAGGCCAATCGTCTATCCCCGTTGCCCGCCCCGGCCAAGAAGTTTCCTCCCCTGCCCGTGTTGCCGTACCGCCTTCCAACATGTACCCCCAATCCAACCAATCGTCGGAATTCTACCCTCACCAGACTCTAATGACACACTCCCCCTCTATTCCACCAATTCTTCATTCCCATTCCCCGCTTACGGTAATCGCTGCTGCAACAATTTCCAACCATTCTGGCAGCAACCCCATTTCCCCACCCTCCAAAACTTTGCCCCTCCAATGCTCCAAATGGAAAATGGCAATCAAACGGCCGGGCCAAAACGCGCGACTACGAATGCTACTATCGACGGAATGCAGGCAAATACCTCAAGTACTAACATGAGCATGACCGTATTGAATAGTACTATTAGCACCTCAAACCGGACGGCCAACGGCCAAAATACCTTTCTTCCTACTCAAACTGGTGTTGTTGGCGCTCAGCCAAGTGGTAATACCCCAAGTGGTACGCAGGGAATGATTAGCCTATCGGATAATATGGCGCCCACCTTACTCCCAGACGCTAATGGGGTTACGGTAGCAAGTGGGAATCAAAATCCAGCTCTGGCCGGCCAAACGTTGATGACTTCCCAAAATCCGTCTCTTTCTGGTCAGTCACTACAAAACCTAAATCCCCAAAGTCCAGCATTTGGCACCCAAAATACCGTACCCGCTGGTTCACGTGTTGGCCTGTCCACCGTGATGCAACCATTTACATCCCAAGTTTCTGCCCCCAACTCACAAACCCCATCCTCCCAAACAATCCCTAGCACATTTCCCCAACCCGAACCCCTTGGTACCACTGGCCAGAATCTCGAAGATCCCGACATCGATTCCCCCGATTATGGTAGAGGCCAAATCGAAGGCCCACCCCCCAATCCACCCCCTGGTGGTCCAACGTTATTTCCTGGGTTCGCTGGCGGTGGCCAGGGTACTGAAGACAATGCTGGAAATGATGGCCAGACAGATGTAGGCCAAGACGATCTCTACGGAGCCCAACAGGAAGCCGCAAAGACTAGAAACTACGAAAACCAGTTGCCGGTGCAGCATCATCCAACCCCTGGGGTATACCCGCGCCGGGCACAGAATCTAGGCACTGTCATCCAGTTTGCCATGGTCCCGGCGCGAACGGCGCCCACGAGACGCCAGCAAATTTCGGCAGAGTTGACGGTGGAGGAGACGGGGCCGTCGCTGAATCACTACATACAAACTACAAATCGAGAGCTGGGGGATCGACTGGATTATTATGATCAGATGTGGGTGCATGATAATATGGAACCGGGGGAGAGGTAAGGAAGGGAAATTGCAGCATAAGGTAAAAAATGGGAGAAGGAAGGTAGTACGCTAACGTATTTCACAATTAGGTTAAAAAGTCCATAAATAAATCTTTGTGTTTTACAAAAATTGTTATTCCTTGACCAATAAAGTTAGAAAAGGGGCAATAATTTCGTTTTTCCAATTTTCTAATAAAAAATGCGCTAAAACAAGATATGGGGACATTACGAAACCGGAAAATCTAGCGATAGTTAGCAAGCCCCCCGCTAACAGTATAGAACCCTACAAATTAAACCAAAGAAATAGAATAAAATTTTAGAAACCCCACTCAACCATTGGCCACCGAACCGTCCGGCTACGAGAGCTTCGCCCCGAATGACTCGCCCGGGCAACAAACCGGCAGTACTGTAAGAATTTTCTGAGTCAAATGAACAGAAAATTAAACTAAATCTTCCAAAAATGTGAACTAAAAATAAGAGTCCTCTTTTCAGGCGCCCCCTTTCGAGCCGTCGGAGTACCGCTGACTATGCGTGGCTCTATTCTTTCTCCTAATCTTTATAATTCTCTTCCACCGCTTCGCCGCCGTGTACCTCCTAAACTTCTTTCTCCATCATCTACGCCCACCCCGGCGTCAGCTCGTTGTGATTGTCGCTAAAAATACGCCAACCAAACCTAGAAAAGTCTAATTTCACATTCATACTCTATCTTTACCACTAAAATTAATGTAAGCAGCTTGGGATCCGCCGCTTTGACATTTTATCAACCTCAATCACCCATTAATTCCTATATATTTATTTACCATTAAACTCAAAGCCTCTGAATTGTAATTTCACCGCCGAAAAATAAAAATACGATCTTGCTTACGGGTAGTTTACGTGTGGCGTGTAGCCTTATCAGAGAACAGCTAGCTGACAGGCCAGCCAAAGCGCAAAATCCCTAAACAACAGCTGTTCAGTGGCAAATTTTGTACTGCGGAGGCGATGCTGACCCTACTGCTAATATTCGCATTCCTACTCTACGTTCTTTTAATAAATTATAAAGCTCTTAAAGAGTTTTTGGTGAGCGGGTTTGCTGTATTTTAAACCAGACTATCCTAGACGACGCGTAAACGCGCTGTAGAGCTTCTAAAAACAATCCCTGGACCACCTACCGTACCCCTACTTGGCAGTGCGCATCTTTTTAAATGGGATAATGAAGGTTGGAAAACATCCCGCGTTACGCAGTGGCCATTATCTAGATTTCACTTATCAACTTGATGGTTGGTTCCGAGAATATGTCGCCACGGCTGTGCCCTGGACCGGCATGCTTAAGGTATGTCTAAAAACGAATTTCAGAGTTAAAATCTAAACCTAGATTTGGCTCGGACCAGTGCCAATCGTGATTCTTACAACAAGCGATGCTATGAAGGTTATTAGAAACCAATAAATAATACGCTTTTTAGCCGGTCCTGGAAAGTAGCACGCTGATCACGAAATCAAAGCAATATGGCTCTTTACAAATGTGGCTCGGGGAGGGGTTGTTAATTAGGTACGAAATGCCACAAACATTAACTAGGTTTTTAGCAAAGGTAAAAAATGGCAAACGCGTCGTAAAATGCTGACCCCTACCTTTCATTTCAACATCCTGCAAGGCTTCCATGAGGTATTCTGCCGGAATGCCCAGGTAAATTAGCCCCATTAAGTCTTAATACCAAGAAAAAAAATCTAGATTCTAGTCGACGTGATCGATCAGAAATTAACAAAAAACCAATCGATCGATCTATTTCCGTTGATTAAAAGATGTACGCTTGATGTTATCTCAGGTTCGTTAAATACGTCTCCTAACTTCTTTCAGAAACCGCCATGGGCACCCAGATTAACGCGCAACTTGGAGAAAATAAAGATTATGTCGAGGGCGTAACGCGGATCAGTCAATTAGCGTGGGATCATGAAAGGTATCAGATAATAAGTACCAAAATCCAAACCCCAGGTTTCCATGGCTGTGGCCAGCTCCGATTTGGTATGCGACGGGGCAAGGCTTTGAATTCCACCGATTGGTCCGAGAGTCAAACGACTTCACGCGGCGGGTAGCCGACAAACCGGATGAAATAAGAAAGTCCAGAGCGAATCTAGGTAATCAAACAACGCCGTGAGACGTTAGAAGCTCAGGGACTATTGGAACAAATGAAGACGATGAGCCCAGAGGAAATGAAGTACGAAAAGTGATGAATCGAGAGTTTCTAAAATTAGGAAGCACAAGTTCTCGTTTCTTGATTTATTGCTGGGGATGCAGGTGGCACAAAATTTGAGCGACGAAGATATTCGAGAAGAGGTGGACACGTTCATGTTTGAGGGTAGGTGGCCGCGAACAGTAAAATGACTTTGATAGGTCACGATACGACATCATCGGCTATCGGATATGCGCTATGGTGGCTTGGCCAAGAACTGGATGTACAACAGCGCTGCCATGATGAAATCGACTCGATTTTTGGTAATTTTGAATGCAAAAGAAGAGCATTAATATCAGAGCTAAACGCTTCACCACAGACAGCGCGTGCCTTTTTCCTCGAACCATCCTAGGTGACTCTGACCGAGCGATCACCTCGGACGACTTGAAGCAGTTGCCATATTTGGAGATGTGCCTAAAGGAATCGCTACGGTTAACCCCGCCAGTCCCATTAATGGCCCGGGTCTTGGACCATGATGTTGAAATCAGTAAGTTAAGTAGCCCTAAAATGACGAAACACATAGACGGTAACACGCTTCCCATAGGGCTGACGGTCATCATTACCCCAATGGCAGCTGGAAGGGATCCTAGAGTATGTTCTAAAAAGTTCTGGCAAATGCCGCACAAAAATGAGAGCGAGTGCAGAAAACCTAACCTAACTTCAGCCTCCCCAAAATTCTAGCAATGGGACCACCCTGATGTCTACGATCCTGATAATTTTCTACCGGAAGTCATCGCAAAACGAGATGCCTATGCGTTCGTACCTTTTTCAGCTGGACCCAGAAATTGCATAGGTAAGACATATTCCCAATCCAACCCCAGCATTAGGCCAAAAATTCGCAATGGCCGAGGACAAAATCGTGGTCGCCACCTTGCTGCGAAAGTTCCGGTTCTTAACATCCAAGCCATTCCCCAACAACCGCTTCATCCCCGAGATTATTTTAAAGCCCTCCTGCGGATTTGAATTTATCATCCAAAGGCGGCGCTAAAGAAGTCAGTCCAACCCTACTATCTATTGTTCACAAAATGTGCTGATAAACCCCCTTGGAAGTAAAGAAAGTTTCCTGAAGCGAGCACATTAACAAAACTTTATTTACCGATGCAAAATTGGGCGAAAAGCCGATCCAGTATGGCTTCATTGACAGTGGAGCAGGTTAATTCGCCGATACAGTCGAGCGCAATTTGTAGATGATGCGCGCACAGAGCCACATCCGACTATGAAAGTATATTAAGACCAAGGGAATAAAATACCACTGAATTAGCCTGAAGAACGGCGTCATGAGCTTCCATTAATAGCTCCACTTGAGTCAAAGCAGGGCCGCTCTCTTCCGGGCAAATGTCATCAACCACCCTAAACAATAATTTTAAAAAAGGACCACAATTACCTCTGTAAATTTGCCCACAATTCCTCTACTCCTTTCGTGGTCAACGCACATGAGAGAACAGAAGCGGACAGTGATTGATTGTTGGCGGGCTAAGGAGGAAATAAAAAGCAAACAGCACCAACCACTTTGTTAGATGCTAGATCGGCTTTATTTTTCACAGAAATGATCGGTGCGCCGTTCACAACCTCTTGTAGATCGCTGAGAAGTTCGTCAAGCTAAAATGGATTTCAAGCCAATTGGTGGCTCTCACCACAATGTCGTCCTCTCGAGCATCAGACACAGCTACGACGATATCCGCTTCCTTCAGCCTGAAGGAAAATTAAATGCAGTCATTAAATCACATACTTTTCCCTCGCCCTTTTCACTCCTTCTTTCTCGATAGGATCGTCGGTTTCACGAATCCCTGCTGTATCGACGAGGGTAGCTGGGATGCCATTTATCTGTAGACGAACCTAAAAGAATTCTGGGCAAACGTACGAAATTTACCTCAATTGAGTCCCGGGTTGTACCAGGGATGTTTGACACAATGGCAACATCTCGTTCGACTAAATTTTCAAATAACAACAGAGTTTCTTCGCTCACCAAGTCGGTTTAATAAACTGCTTTTTCCAGAATTCGGCCGGCCGACCAATACAATTTTAAGTCCTCGATGTATAAGCTCGGCACTTCTGGAGCGTCGGATCAGTGCATCAAGAGACTTCATTAATTGTCGTATCCGAACTCTAAAAGTTCTTGTTTTATACAGCAGAGAATACCCGCCTTACGTCTTCTAAGCTTGTATCCACGTGTTCACCAAAATCGATCATAAGTGTGGCCCGGCCGAAAGCTTCCAAGAGTTCATCGCGAATCTGCTGCAAATCGCGATCGCCCTCCATCTGGCGCTGAGCATGTCTAAAGGAAAATGAGTAAAGCGGATGGTTAGTTTACCTCCTCTGCCGATCAGTCTCAGAATTGATCAAGTTGTGCAGACCCCGAGCGGCGGTGAGATCCAATTTGCCGTTATAGAAGGCTCTAGCATTATTGAAAAGTTGTTGTTAGGTCAGAACCTTTTGGTAAATTCTCCACGCTTGGCATGGCGAAGTCCGTCAAATTTGAGTAGACACTTAGCGACCGTGTCAACGACGGCTTTGCTGCCGTGAAGATATAGCTCGGTGGTATCTTCACCAGTAAATGTAGACGGGCCTAAAATCGGGGTGTTAGATGAGATTACTAAAAACGGGGTGTGAAAGATGAAGAGAGCCATTTTTAGAAAGTTACCCGGTAAGTATGCTGCCATTGCCGAATCCATTAGGCCATTGTCATGGTCGTAGAGCCTTGCATAAAAGAGCTGACGCGGTTGAAGTATCTTCTTTCTTGATAATGTCGACAATACTTCCTTGCTCCTTGGACCTAAAGTTTGCTGGGCAATAGGAGTTATGATACCCGACATTCGCATGATTGCGATAGCGGATGGTAGTGCACCAGAGCTCAAGGCGAATATCGTCGACATAGGTTCGTGTTCTAAACCCCTGATAGCTTCCAAATGAATTCTGTTCTAATACACCTTGAAGTCGATGGTTCTAAATACCATGTCTGTGCTTGTACTGCTGGTATCACAACAAAAAAGTTTATTCAAAGCATGCTTTCTTTCTCTTCACCAAAACGAACACCCGGTTGTGACTCCGTGAAGCAGAAGACCAGGGGTGAATTCACAGTCAATCCCGATACAGTAAAAAAAATTGCGTCTAAGACACGGAAGGAGGGGGGATATAAGCAAACAACCAATTGCAACGGGCAAAAATTCCATTGCAAAGTGAATTTCGTAAAGCTTTGCCGATATATAGTTGAGCATTATATTAATACACGTATTCACATAGGGAAACAGGGGCATGAGGTAGAAATTTGGAACCGTTCTTCAAAAAATCATTATTCTGCAGCGGCGGCCCGGTTGAAAGTGTTGTTGAAATCCATCGTCAACTTGATGGATGGTTCGATGACGCTTGCGGTAGACGTCTAAACGTAAATTATAAAAATTTGCGACGTTATCTATCCTCCCGATCTTGCTACAGAAAAAGTACGCACCTTATTCATCTCGGCCAGACGTTGTTTCTGCAATTGGCTTGCCTGGCTGACCCGAGAAGCCTGGAAGAGCAGCGCCGCTTCGAGCTTTTGCTTCAACTGGGCATGTGCAGAAAGAACCTGAGACAAATTATATGCTTCCGGGATCAAAATTACCGTTTTGAAATGCACAGGGTGGGCTGGGGCAATAATATTCAAGCGTTGGAGAACTATTTCGTGAAGCTTCCTTGCTGTCGGATTTAGCGCTCGCCATTCATCCTGGAAGAAAAGATAACCAAGCCAGCCGTGAGGTTACCTGATTGGTACATAAGATCAGAGCGCACAGGGATTGCACTAGAATGTTCAGGATCGCCAATTCTAGAAAAATAAAGTTAGTTATTGTGGAAAAAAACACTTACTTGATTTAGCGCCAGCTGCGCCCACTATACACTCCAACGCCTTGATACCTTCGCTAATAATGCAGAGTTGATTGTCGTTAACCGCCAATGCAAGATCTCGCGCCTGAATCTGTGGGTTTTATCGTACAAAAGTGCCAACCTTATCGCCAACTACAAATGGTTGTAGCAATCCATAGACTTGAGGGCCGATTTGTCGAGCATAGATCCCTGGAGCATCTCGGCGGGCAAACAGCGACGCAAGGGCTTGAAGCGTCCGGATAACGACCTGCAATCAAAGAATTACAACGATAACCTTCAACATAATCAGCATTGTAGGAAAGGACAAAAGCTAAGGGTTCACCTGAGGATGTTCACTAGCAAGTTGCTTTTTGGCTAGCAGACATAGGCGCTGTTGGGATTCGCTGTGCCCATAAAGTGCATCAGTCGGTGCTGCCGAACAAGTCAGAATAGCTGCCACAAGGATCACGCAGTTGTCGATGCTCTCCGGGCCATCAGTCATTAGTAGAATTGAGAAGATGCCAGATCGGACGACAGTCAACCAGGATTGTAGTCCGGCTTGCGTTGAAGGTGGATTCGAACAGAGGGAGCGGATGGCCTAAACGAAATGAAGGTGTGGGACGATTTTATACCTGGATCGCAGCAGTAGCAATAGCTGTGATGTGACCGGGTGGCAAATCGGGTACGATGGAAGATTCATCGATTCGAGCTGCTTCTCGCAAAACACCCAAGCACATATGGAGAAGGACGGGTAGTGTTGTAGGCAGCGCAGACGGGTGTAGCAGATGAGGAATCTAAAGTTATTTCTACTAAGTCACAAATGCCATTTGCCAACCTGCGAGAGTAGGCGAACCGCACACTGAACGAGCTTTGCCCCTTCCGTCGTTAGACGGCTCACCCGCTTTTGGTGCAAAGGTGCTGTCGATCGAGAGCGCATCATGGCGCTGCTATTCAGTTGGGGCATCTGAAACGATACTCGGTCGAATCTCGATCATACCTGTCGGACTAATACGCAGAGGGACAACTCCAGGAATGCGTAGCTGAGCGTCTTGCTGAGCGACTCGACCGTCTTCCCCTTTTCGTATCCGCTTGGGGTTTCGCCGATAGCTGCACCTTCGCCGCCGGCAAAGAGGTCGCTCGGCACATCAACCGCGATTGGTTCGACATTTCCGTTCTCAACATCTACAAGAATAGTACACACGATACAATATACACACCTTTCTTTGTACTAATCTTGATTGAAGCCCTTGCTGCATCAAGAATTACGGACGCACAATCAACGCAGCATTGTTGGGTCAACGGGCAATCACGGGTCAGGATCAGCCTGAAATACATGAAAATTTGAGCACGTTAGCCGGGCGTACCTGTGCAAAACGTTTATGATTTCGATCGGTACTCGTACATCGCTCATCGCCTGCATTTGGACCCAATCGCACAAGAAGAGAGCGTGTAGGGCTTTGACACATTGCTGTAAAAGCATTGAAGTAGACACGTTGAATATTACTTGAACAGTGGCGTCATCCTGTATGCTCGTCGTACGGTTTGACAGCGCTTCGATCGCCAAGCCGAACATGACGTGAAGGCGTGCAACGCGGCGGGAATCCGGCCAAACGTCAGGCGCCTAAGAAGGCCGTGAAGGTAAGAACTATACAAACCTCGCAGACTGTCGGTAGCACGAAAGAAGCGTTGGTCAGCCAAGTCGCTGCAGCCAATAGGACGGGCGGCCAACATTGTCGATAGTATTCTCGACAAGCATCCGCGCTATCCTTCTAAAAAAAAACTGGTCTCATTTCACAGCGGATAAAAACCTGGTAGAAAGCGCCGCCCTCGTTCGGCATTTGATCATTGAAATTGGCAGGTAGCGAGAGCAAAGCAGCGTCCCTAAACAACCTATCAAAACAATTATATTCACCAAACCTAAGAGCTGCCAGCCAATATCCGACAAGATGTTCAAGTTCGGGCTGAACCAGAAGGAGCAGCGATTCCCTTGATCCCGATGGGTAGATGTCATCTGGGAAATAAATTTAGCGAAAGCTATTGGGGAATATAAATAGCGAATCCGAACAATTTATTAATAGTCAGTCGGACTTATTGCTATAAAAATTACCTTCTCGTCTATCATCCATGTTGCGCTCTTGTTCGATTGCCGTGACGTAAACTTCGGCCCATGCCTTTAGTATGCTCAATTTCTCCAAAGTAGATGCGCTGTCACTGTAGAGCTGGGTGTTATTTGATCCGTGTCGCAGTTTTCCCAATGAAGAAACAAGCAGTTGATGCACACGCCGAAGATCGTTCAGGTCACGAGCGACGCCACTGCCAATCCAGGTGGAACAGACTTGGCACGCTGCTGCCGTCACATGAGAGGGTGTCTCATCGGTGAATGCCGGCCGGAGAGCAGCACCAACCTAAAACAGGATATTAGTCTTGATTTTCCTTGCAAGAAGTACCTGTGCCTGGAATTGTTCCAAAATCACGTGTCCTGGGAATTCAGGTTCAGGCACGGCCGAGAAGCGGGTGATAACATCTTGCAGAGAATACAGTCCGGCTAGTCGAAGCTCGGTGATATCGCTGGTGGCTCCCATGAAAGACATCCTGACGAGATCGGACAAGTGGAGAACGACGTAGTCGGCACGGCCTTGGGATGACATCTGCAGTTCCTTCGCCAGCGCCAAATCCAGATGAGCCCTCTCCGAATCGCAAACCGACATCAGCCGTTGTACAATCTAAATAATCTTTTAGATCAGGTTTGAAAATGCTTTCTGAGAGCTTATTCGGATCGCACTCACCTGGGTGACAAAAACTCTTGTTGACCAGCGCGGCATCACTTTTCCTTTTTCCATAGAAATAGCCTTTGGTCCGGCGAGGGTCATGTCATCCGTGCCATCTTCGTCTTCATCCTTTTCTTCATCACGGACCTCTTCCACGACTAACGTGCTACGAGCACCTTCTCCAGCACTTGAAGCCAGCAATTCCTTGCAGAGTGACAGCCAATTTGACAACAGGTCCGAGCTGGTTGCTTGTACCAAGGAGATCAACGTCTCTTCGATATGGGATCTAGAGAAAAATTATTGATAACCAATGCAAAATATACCGTAAAGTGGGATCTGTCTCGACATCCAGCATCCCAAATAGAGCACCTTCGAGGCCGGTATCGGGGAGGGGTAATTTCTTCGTTTCATCGACAACGCCTTCCGGAACGAGGACTTGCGCATGCTCTCGCACTTCTTTGGCCTCTTTCTGGACCAGCTGGCGAAGGCAGCAGACAGCAGCACGACGCAAGCACAAGTCGGGACAGGACAGAAGGCTGAAAATAAGCCGTTACTATCTAATGGCGGACAAATAATACCTGGCAATATCCAGAACCATATGACGTAGATTGACAAAACGAGGCGCGAAGAGATGCATTTGTTGAAGGCCTTGGATAGCTTCTGCCTTGACGAGTGGGCATGGGAAGGCGAATTGCAGCGCACAAGCCATCAGAAGGGACACACGGGTGGGGTCGATACTTCCAGATAGTCCCAATTCGGGGCCCACGCAGGTAATCAAAGCGTTCAACTGAAGCAACACACATAAAAGCCATCAGATATTTGGCCTTACCAATTTGCCAATACATTGCACAACTTCGGTGTTAGCGCTGCTCGTGGTGAGGAGAAGTCGCAAGCAGACGGAGAGCACCGAATCCACAAATCCTCTGAACATCCCGCCGCCAGTCTCCGCGATCAAAGACAAGGAAACGAGCGCCCACGCCTAAAAACGGTTAAAAGATACATATTTTTGATACCTGGACAATTGGGCTTGTGGATTCCTGAGCTAACGCTAGGCAAATCTCAACGGCCGTCTTCAGATGGTGCGGAGATCCGAGCGAACCGACATGTTTGTGCAAACAGCCCAACACCAAAGAGTACCTGAATCCAAGGACTTCTTTAAAAAAATAAATGATCTACCCCGTTCTTGTCGGGACATCACGGACCGTCTCGAGCTTCCCGAAGCAGAACTGCGCGACCGATGCAACGTACTGAAAAGATATTACATTACAGCATTCAGCATGTTAATTTACCTGTGCATCACCAACTGCTTGGGCTAATCGGCCGATCGCTTCCGCACAAATACAGCGAATTGTTGGGACGGCGGACATCAGGCCTAAAGCTAAATTCCACATAACATTATGATCTCTTACCGATTCTGACAAATTCAAAGATTGTTTTAGTGACGGTCTCTGGCTCAATGCGGAAGCCCTTGTGCTCGCTGATCGTTCGCAGCGCAGAGACGATGGCGCAGATCGAATTGGTTTGGATCTAGGGATAGTTATATAGCACCGTAGTCAGGAACTTACCACAAACTGCCGTTGTGGGTTTTTCTGTTCCTTGATTACCGAGGCGAAGTGTTCGGTGATCTGGAATTCATCGTGATTGGAAGTTTTCGAAATGAAAGAACCCCTATCAAAGTTTGATTTTTATAAATATCTGTTAGTGGCGTCGACAAAATTTCTGCAGTACCTGAACTTGGTGCTTCTTGGAGATGAACGGAAAAACGCGTCCATAGTTGACAACGGCCAAGTCGACGCAGCGCACTTCCACCGGCAAAGGTTCTGGCCAACAGAACGAGAGCGATTGTGCATTCGATGACACCGTCGAGGTGCTGTCGAACTCCGGAGAACCGACACTGCCGTTGTAACTGGCATTCATCTGAAATTGCGTGATAGACCTATATGGATCAGGATGTAGATTTCCGTTGCATCCAAATACCAGTTTTACAAAAGCAAATAAAACAGATTCGAGCACACGAGCACAGAACACAGTGTACGAGGTCCGCAAATAGGGAACATCTACATATCTGCAAGCCATCGGCCAATTTACTTACGCCTTGAGAACTAGCTTCGTTCCGTCTACTAGGTTCCGGCTAGAGCGAAAGATTCACTAGCCATGTTATACGAAACTCACCGAATTCTCCAAGATGCTTTGATCCGTTGAGTCATACCATGGTGCGAGGAGGGTTGTCTCGGCACCGGTGCATAGAGAAACTAAAGGATGATGTGACCATTCAGGATAAAGCTGCGAACCAGCCAAACTCGTTGAATAAGTTGCTTGAGCATTATCACTGAGTGTCAAGTCCGCAACCAGCTCGCGGAGAAGGGGAGCAAATATCGCTGAAAAATCATGGATTGAGTTTGGAAACACTGCCTTACTCTCATAGCACTTTGGGTTGAGCAGGCTGGTCAGTGTGTAGAGACGCACTCGCAAGGACCCGACGAGAGGCCGCATGCGGACGCCATAGTTTTTCACCAAAAATCCGACGCTAAGAAAGCATAATTCCAAAGTGCTCGTTTCAGATACCTTGACATTACGATCAACGACGTTTCAATTGGCAAGAAAAAGCTCTTCTTCGTTTCATATTCCTCAGCAAGTTCAGGATGTCGAGCGACCTAGATACAATTTTAACCTTGGGATCGATGACATACAGCACACATTGCCGACAAGGCGCCCGCACGGGATTCCAAGGTGCATTGCCAAGAAAAGGCGTCGCCACTAAAACGAAGTTTGCAAACTTATATTTGCGAATTACCGTAATTTCTCGGCTTCTGCCTCTTTTACGCTTCGGGGAAACGCGGCCTTCCACAACGCGACAATCCGAGACATGTAGGGTTTGACAATGTTTGGGCCAAGCGTTATTAACGAGTGGAGGAGGGCCCATCCCGCTTCAATCTTGGCAACGGTCAACCGGCTTTGTTGAGAAGCCGTCCGCAACATTTCTTCGGCCAAATTCAGCACCTAAAAGCCGATTTTAGTGAGCAGAGGAAGGTAATACCTGTGAATATTTCCCATTAGGAATCCCAAGGTTGCAATTCGAGCTGCCCGCAATGAGAGCAGCAAGGGCCAACGAATAGCCAGAAAGCGCATCCGCATAGCCGCGAAGGTGCTCCAATCTGAAACATCACTTTCTTAATCAAAACGATATTGGGATTCTCGTAACTGCTACGCTAGCTACGCACCGGTTTATACAGCGATCAATAAGAGGCGTAAGCTGAGATGGAACGGCTAACGTCACGCAGCGCAGACACCAAGCTGCCGCAATCCTCGCCGGACGTAGTGGATGCAACAGGCAGCCAAAGATCGGCTCCATGATCCCTAGACCAAATACATATACTCGTGATATACAAAATACCAGAAGCCTCGACGAACAGCGGTGTCACTTGGGTACTGATCTGCCGGACCAGCACACTGATCTCCAGCAGTGCTACTTCAATCGCAACGCAGGACGAATAATCATCTGCGGTCATCGTTTGTTCGACAGTCGCGTCAATTTCTAGAAAATGAAGATGTTGCTCTGTTAGGCAATTTTGTATCTACCTGGACTTCCAAAATACTTCCCGATCAGATCGCCAAGCACCTTGCAAACAGTCAGCTGGACGTTTTCTGACAGCATTCGGCCCACCTATAAGGAAATGCTGGAGCGAAGGTGGTACGAACCGTTTCACGCAGAAGAAACAAAACACAGCGCTTCAATTGAATGGCTTCGATGAGCTGTGTTGAATTACTAAAACCGTTTTTGTGTTCTGGATGTATAAACCTTACGAAGTATAAGCCAAGGGTCCGGATCTTGCAGCCAAGTCGATAGCATGCTTCAGAAACGTCGCCAGATTCTTTTCCAGCCAAAGAGCACCCATTTCACGGGCCCACTCGACGTATGCCTAAAATAACTTAGAGATCAAAAATTGTGATCACCATCGCCATCCCGATCCGGACCTCCCGCTGGCCGCCAACCGTCGCAATTCCAGAGCCGGTCTAAAATCTCCGTAAAAAAAGAGTAGATATAGGTACCTTCCAACCGCCGATTCCACCCTTCAAAAATGGGTTGGCCAGTAGTTGAAAACATTCCGAGACGGCAGTAGGCTTCACCGGAATCGGAGGAACTGCCTTTCCTAAATTTTCCTGGTTTTCCGCCGCTTTCAAAATATACCCGGCATAATGGCTCCTGGAGAAGGCTGATGTGCATTTGTCAAAATCATCGCCAAGAGTCGTGCTACAGCCACACGGCATTCGTAGTTGCTATTGTCAAGGGCCTAAAGAGAAATGAGTCTGAAAGCCTTGATTGGCATCCACCTTTGTGGCCAGCGTGATCATGGCTTCAACATCAGTGGTAAACATCGGCACATAAACAGGAACTAGGGCCGTCAAGCACTAAAAGACGTTGGATCAGGATCATGCGGAGACATACCTCGACAGCGGCTACCCGGACAACCATAACCCGATCTTCTGCGTATTTCTTCACTAATTTGTACAAATCCTTGTGAATCTATAAACAAAATAATTCCAACTCCTCGAAATCACCTTGGCGCCACCAGTACCCAGACCTTTGACCATTTTTGCCAGCATCGACATTATTTCGGCACGTACTTGGGACTGGAATCAGCAATAACTAATACAAAAACACTGTTACCTCTGCACGTGAAAGCCATTTTGTTAGAATATTGAATAGATCTTGATAGGAGGCACCCGCAAGACGTCCCAAGCTCTCGTATAGCGCGCCCAGCACACTGAGGGCTGCCCTAAAAATGAAGGAATAGCTAAGCGCAACGAATTCCAACATTTTCACGCTGAGTTGTTGGGCGGAGTCTTCCTTCGACTCAAGCAAATCATTGCAAAGGTTCATCGTGGCCGTGACGCTGTAGATATCGCCTAAAAAGGAAAAATGATAAAATCCATCAGAATTACCGAGGGAATATGTCTTGGCAATACATTTGGCCAAAAGGGTCCGGGTTGGAGGGCCGACGCCTGCCTGTAGGCGCTGATGGAGCTGCGCAATCAACTTGGGTTGGATGCTTTTCAGTTCCGCCTAAAGAAAAGCATACAGAAGAAAAGAAGTGGGCTTACATTGTGAGTAACGGGTAAAATCTTGTCTAGGTAGCGGAGCCATTCGTAGACAAAAAGTGGCCTCCGCTGTTCGTGCAGGTCTTTCAAAGCGTCTTCGTTGAGGAGCAAACTGTGTGACGCTTCCATATTGTTCCTCAGCCCAAGTTCATCCGCTAAAGAAAAGTTGGTTTGAGTAATCTTTAGAAAGAGAGAGGACACAAATGGAAAGCAAACGAAAAAAATGGATGGAAAAAGGTAAATGCTCCGGATTGGGACCGATATTGAATAAGAATAAAAGCAGTCATGCAGAATAATTTTATTTATTTTAGATTCAAATATCACAATCAAACCAGCTCAGCAGGCAAGACCCGAACACCGAAAACCCCGATTAGATTAGAAACCAATGAGTCATTTATCTTTAGTCATAACAATTAAAAGTCTACAAGTTGTTACTTTAGGTTTGGAATTGATCCGGAAATTCGGGCTTCATAGGTTCAAATTCTTTTGACCGTTTCAAGTTTCAAAGTTTCACGGCAGAAGGCGGAAGAATAATAGACAAGGGTTCTCCAGGGAATAGACTGGGTAGCCGGTTGCTCCCAGAAAGTGATAGAGTTCCCACGCAAACGACCCCCAGGGCCGGGTTCGGTCTTTACGCGATTTCGAGAGGCCGGCTTTAGATGAACTACGCTAGGAGCTAGTTTACCAGGTGTTCATAGTCCCACTAAAGAGCCTATCAAAACCAAGCCGACCATCTGGAGTATGGCAAGAAACATCGGAACCGCGTAAAAATCGGGCCCAGCTGTGCCGCCTGAGTCAGGGCGAATAAAAAGCCGCTGGGCGGCAGAAAACAAAAAAGCTTCGATTCAGATGGAGGCGGGAATGGACCAGATAAGGGCCGGGTTTAGACGGAGGAGGGCCCAAATTCGGCCCATATTGGCTTCAGAAGGGTGGGGGCGAAATGGGGCACTGAAGAGAGAAAGACGAAGGAAAAGCCTCGAGGAGCCGCCCGCTTCTGAATCATTCACCCAGTGCACAATGAGGCAAGTGTAAATCGGGGAAATGGGAGGTGTTAGTGGGGAGATTTGTATAGTAGTTTTCGAATCAGTGTCGTTTTTGTCGAAATTCGTTTTCGAAAAGCCAGTAAAAGGTTGAAAAGGACCTATAATCTTTAGCATTATGGTAAGCGGAAATAGATGTTCGCGGTCAAATAGCACGTAATTTGACAAATCCAATCGATCGAAAATCAACGCGCCTGTTTCCATAAATAGACCAAAAGCCTAGCGACATAACAAAACGTAAATGCAAACGGATCGCGTGAATCGGGGGAGGCCGAAGAAGCCTTGAGAGGGGCTAGAGGCGTATGTCGCGCATTCCCCCAGGGGGATCGGCTTCGGGGTTGGCTGATAACTGAGCAAACATTTCCCCCCGGATGAGGGGGGCTCTCTCCTCCCCCCTAGGGCCGATGGTCAGCAATGCGTCCCCGGGGCGGGGGCCATCCAAACAATCCGTCCACCCCTAATTCCCCAGTATTCAGAGACAGCTATGTACCCAGATTCAAAAAGTTGCTTTCTGTAGAGAAAAAAGGAAAAATTGCGAAATGTGGTGGATGAACTGCAGGGCGCCCGATACTCTTGGCCCGAAAATTCTTACTTCCAACGAAACAATTTTCGACTTAATTACATCTATATTTAAAACCATTTCAGCGTTGGTAGGACGCATAGAACCAATTCTTAACCAATAATTTACTCTAAAATACAAATTGGAGCTACTCAGCCGCGAATTTTTGGCCGCAATTGTCGTGCTACCAAATCGCCTTTTCGCGAATGTCGGCATTTGAATTGACAATTTCTCATAGTATAAAATAACACCTAAAACCCGGGACTTCCGACATCACTGCTCGTCCCATTTGCCCCCCCCCCCCTCCCTCAAATAATACAAAAAATGGCAAAATGGCTACTACAGCTGTTTTCAGACCACCCGCCAAAATCCTCTGCTTACGCGGAAACCGAAAACAATATTTCATGGACCAGGGCTGGGGCTCGAGCGGGAGACAAAGAGACGGAAGGAAGATTGCATTCTGGAGGTCGGGCTAGGGCCGGCAAACGGGTCGAAATAGATTGGGCTAGAGCCGGGTCAAGCCAATCCCTCAAAGAGCGACAGAATCAGTAGGTTCAATCCACGTGACAAAATTGAGCACACATGAATTCCGTGCTAACAAAAAAAATCGAGAAGATAAATCGGAGAATTCAAAGTTTTTCGAGAATAATCCGGACGCCGATATCAAGCAACAAGCTGGTAGCCGTGGGCCGCTAGCTCCATTTGGGCGTGGGGGAGCTTGGGAGATACAAATGACATTCAGGCACGGCAAGCAAGCATAAAAAGTTGGGCAGATCTAGGCATGCGGAGGAGAGCCAGGGCCCCCGGGGGGAGCGAGAGACGGGTCATTAATTGTAAATAAAGAGCCGGCAGCTGCACAACAACGGCGGGTTTTTTGTGTGCATCATGCATAGTGGGACAACCCATGAAACTACTGGAAATGCGTTTATGCAAAAACGGTGGGTAGGGTGTCAAACACTAAGAAAAACCCGATGTATTTCCTATAAAATTTTGTATCTTTAGGGAGCTTCCGTGTTTTCCGGGTAGCAAGATAAATTTTGCAAAGAGCGCTATATGGGTCATAAATTCACTGTAGTAACTTTATAAACCCACAGCTTTTACCATAGAAACGCTTTGAAATTTGCAAAAACCTCGAACAATCTTGCTTTTTTGGTCACAAAAATATCGAAAGCAATTAAAAAAAGCCAGATTCAAGCTGGACCAAAATATTCTAAGGTAAAAAGTTATAGATATTTTATTACTATGCAGGTATCGGCTAAATCAAAAATTTTCTGCACTTGCTAACACGGAAACGACAATCCTAGCCAAATTCGCCGGACTATGCTCAGTATTTTCCTTCTGCTATATGCTGTCGTCCAGAGGTCCTCGAATCCGAAATCGTAAAGCAGAAGAGGGGGGGAGGGCCAAAGGGTTGGGCAAAAGTTCAGCAGCCGAAAAGGCCGCAATTAGGGGCGTTGGAAGGAGAGAGCATGGGGCGGTCATCGTCGGGGGGGCTCTGGGCAGTGAATAATGGACGGAAGGCCATGTGCACGTTGCAATCCGAAATAAGCAACAACAATTCACCTATATTCATGGCATCATCGCGGCATCGCCCTCGTCGTTCGACTTTCTATTGCCACTGCTAATTGGAAATTTTAATTATCAGTATACGTGGGGCCGTGAGTGAAAATTCAGAGAGCAACCAGGGTTGAAAAACCGCTTCGCGGCTTTTCAACCCTGGCCCCGTCTTCTCCAATGATATTGCCATTGCATAATTTTCCCGGATTCGGATTACGAAAAATGAAAAATGCTCTCGCCGTCTCTTTATATAGGCTACCGCGACTTCCGGTGCATGCTAATTTGATCCTAACAAAATGGGGTGTCCGATTTTGATGAAAAACTTAATTTTAATGTCGAAAACATCATATTTTGTAAAACCTGATCTGTGTGCAGTCATCTCCAGCCCATTACGCACCTAATGACGTATCGAACATACCCCTAAGTACTTCCCCACTTGAGATACTGCTGGAACACGGTGACGGAAGTTGCATGCAAATGCACACACACACACACACAGACACTATTTTTTTATATATAGTAGGATAAGGAGTGAAAGGGACGCTAGCGCACTAAACAACCGCGAGTAATAAATTGCTTTGAATTATAGCCGCCGCCTAATTGATATGGAATAAAAGAAACCTACTGGACACCGAAAATAAGAAGCAAATTTTCAACAAAAGCGTTAGGCTCTTTTTACTAAAAGCCATCTAAACGCGCAGGCGTATGACTCGGATTAAAAGCTTAGCGGAAGGAAGGCCGATGAAGAAGACGCTGGGGAACAGGGGGTTGGGGGCCAAAAAGGACCACAAATAGCGGGAGCAGTTAGGCAGCGAAGGAGGAGGAAGACGACGACGAAAGGGCCAATGCCAGATAGATTTCAAAGAAGGCACGCGGTTCCCGCGGGAAAATTTCGTATATTTTGAAGGGGGAGATTTGGGAAGCGGGGTTGGGTGCTGTACTAAAAAGACACAATTTTGTTTCATGGAATGGATTGGGTAGATAAAATATCGTTAAAATTGATACAGTTAAAAATCTTAAAGCTACCTAACGATGGCAGGCGTTAAACGGCTAATTGAAAGCATCCCTTAGTCTGAAATCTACAGTAACCCCGATCTAAAACTATCCGCGGCATATCATACAAAATTTTTGAAGTAATAAAAATTCAATAAGCATTACGTTGTAATTTCGAAATTCCAAACAGCATCGTCATTCTCTTTAGTCAGAATATTGGACCCAGCGGGGGATATATCGGGCGCGTGCTGTGGACTCTGGGGGGCTTGCTGTGGACCCCTTTTGGGGCAGAAGCACTCACGCGCGCGCGCTACGACTAACTCGATTCGGCAACCCGAACAGAGCCTCCCCCCTTCCTAGCGTCCAAAGGGGAAAGGAGAGACTGCCGGATGCGATTTGCATCTACAGCATTAAAGGACAGCAGTGGGGGGATATCACAATGCGCCACAGCAGTTAGAGCTTTGGTGTTGGATCGTATTCCGGGGCCCTAAACATCAAGCGAAATTTTAACGGGAAATAGAAGCAGATTAGACCTTATTAATTCCACCCAAGATGTCATAAATAATAATAGATCATTTTTAAGAAACTAGAAGAAGTTTCTGACCAGCGGGGCTCGAAATAACCAAGGCCTTTTGAAGGCCTCCAGTGGCCGTAAATCCCTCCGGCGAAAGGGAAAGGCATCGGGCTGAATAGGGGCAATTGGGCGAGACAACAGCCCAGCGATGGACGTGCGAAAATTCCGTTTGGCTACCGAAGAACATCACTGTCTTACACCCTTCACCCCCTGAAAAAAAGCCCCCGTATGAACTGCCAGGCTGTTATGCGCCAAATCATGCTCTTTCTTCTTAACCCAAATAATTTTAGAACTATGCTCGAATTTCCGTTCTAATTACTTGCATAGTGAGAATTATATATCGGAAAAGCGAAGCCCGCTCTCATTCCGGGGCAGCAAGCAAGGACTGATCCCTAATGCAAGCAGACGGGGCGAGAGGGACGGGAAAAGTTGAAACCTCAATTTAATTTTTTTACAATCAAACAATAAAACTCCTGAAAACCTTCTTTCAGAGGCGCCTGCGCTGCAATACATCACGCTCAAAATGCTCGGCGGTCATCTGGCCGGGTAGACGTTCACAATTCTCGTTGAAGACCGAATAGGCCGACAGCTGGAAAATCCGATCTTAGCAAAAAGTGTTGCAACACGAATAGCGGGAAAATTTCACTTTACGGTAACTAAATAAAATGTCGCTTTTTCTATTGGAATCGATAGATCTCGTCGAGTTCTACCATTTCCAGTTGAAAAAACTATTGGGACTCGCTTCTAAAAAAAGTTATAAACATTTCAAATTGGCTAGTTCACTTTATGGTAACCAAATAAAATCTCGATTTTTCGACTGGAATCGATAGATCTCATCGAGTTCTCGCGTTTCCCGTTGAAAAAACGATTGGGACCCGCTTTTAACGAAAGTTATAAACGTTTTAAAGTGGTTGGTTCACTTTACGGTAACCTCGTAAAAATGCGATTTTTCGCCTGGGATAAATAGATCTCGTCGAGTTCTTGCATTTACAATTGAAAAAACCTTTGGGAAAGTTTTTTGGAGGAGGCTACACTATATTTTTGACATTTGACTGTCACATTGTCAGGCAAGGCGGGCCGTCGCTTCGGATGGGCTGCCGCTCCACTCTTTCGAAATGGGGGCGCCCCCGGCCGCTTCGCCGGCCTTGGCGCCCCCATTTCGAAACCCTGTACGAGCTCGCGCCCATCCGAAGCGACTAGGCCCCGGGTGGCACGAAGCCTTTTTTCTAGTCGCAGAGCGGAGGAAGTAGCGGTCACTTCCCCTCCAAATTGAGTGTTCCTGTTGCAAAACCGTCTTTTTGCTGTTTCAGAAATTCAGAAATTCGGAGGAAGTGCAAAATGTGTGCTAATAAAGTTTTTCCTGCGCCTTTTGCAGCGGCCCCGTATTTGGTACCCCAGTACGTTCACAACTATTACGTTTTTTCCGTACAAAGGAGTCCCCTCGTAGCCGAAACAGACTTTTTCGATGCGGGGTGAATTGGTTTAAAACAGCTATAACTTTTGTTAAAAGCGAGTCCCAATCGTTTTTTCAACGGGAAACGCGAGAACTCGATGAGATCTATCGATTCCAGTCGAAAAATCGAGATTTTATTTAGTTACCGTAAAGTGAACTAGCCAATTTAAAATGTTTATAACTTTTTTTAGAAGCGAGTCCCAATAGTTTTTTCAACTGGAAATGGTAGAACTCGACGAGATCTATCGATTCCAATAGAAAAATCGACATTTTATTTAGTTACCGTAAAGTGAAATTTAGCCGGAAAATTTAAATTTAGCGTACGAAATATGTATTCACCTCTCCTTCGGCTCGTTGACCGAGACCCAAGCAAATCGTAATTAACGCCGAGAAGACGAAGAAGACGCTACCGAAGTGGGCCCTATAAGGAGTTGCAGAGTTGGTTTTACACGGAACAATATCTGATGTAATTAACTCACCAGATGAAAAATCCTTGACCAACGACGTAGGTGAGTGAGGTCGCGATCAGGGTCAAGCCCGGTCGGGCAGCATAGCAAGATCTGATGAAAACTCAGCAAAGTAATTTTTAAAATACCGCCAAAAGCGAAAAGGGAGAGCATCCAGCAAGTCCCATGAGGGGGCTGAAGACACCGGACGGCTCTGCACGACCTTAATTGGCATTCAAAGCAATACAGATGTATTTAGGAAACCTTTTCGGCGACTTTCGGATGCGGCTCGACGATCTTATCCTGCTTCGCCTGTGCTTCACGAAAAGCCGCCAGTCGCTCCCGGGCTTTGTCCATGTGTTGTTTTGCCGGCGCTACAAATATAGAACATATTTTTAGTTGTTTTTAATATTTATTAGGATAATTTTTAGTGAAAGAAGAGTTTATGGGTCGTCCATCTCTGGAAAAAATCTCTGCGGTCTTTTGCAAGGGGGCGATGGAATCAAGGTGTCATTAGTTGCAGTCGTAACGTTGGAAAGTGGGTTGAGTTTGTTGGGTTTGGCTATGCAGAAAATGGCAGTTTAGACAAATAGGAAAATAGTAAGCTAAAACATCGGCCCATGCCGAGTGACCGTACCGCTCCTCCGAACGCCCGGGGAAATTCCGGAGATTTGGGCTTTTCGCGTGAAAATAAAAGCTACGAATGAATTGAAAATATTAATCGATAGTATTCGCAATAATATTTCTTTTCCAGGCACGTCTGCACGAATGGAGCAACAATTCTTCGCCATGTTTGCAGCGATGGATATCGAGGCCGAGAAGAGTCTACTCAACTTGCCAGCCGAATTGATGCACGAGGTGTTCGGACCGCTGGATGCCCGCAGTCTGCTCGAGACGGCCAAATCGCATCGAATTCTGGGCAAGCAAGTCAAGGATTGGCCGGACAAACGTTGGAACATGGTTCATCTGTCAAAATACGAGACCATCATCGACTACGAAACGTTTGATCGCAAAGATGCCGAGATTCTGTTGCAGGGAGCGGAATACAGACAGGAGGAAACCTCGGTCAACATCTCTGATCTTCCTTACGGCCTGCTGTGGGCAATCATGGAACCACTTGATGTCCCGGATCTGCTGTCGGTGGCCAAAGCTCATCCCAATCTGCTGCGGGCTACAAGGAATCTGAGGGACAAGCGTTTCGAGACGGTCAAATTCTCGCCAGGGATGGTCATTTTCACCGAATACGCGTCGTCAGTGCCGTATTTACGCGAGGTGGAATATACACCTGGAGAAGCTGACATTTTGTTGGCGGGTTCTTCTGTGGACAAGCTAAAATATGTCTCACAGCCAAATATTACGCCGGATATTCTTGTCAGATCCTTGACGTTCGACGCTACTCAGAAAGATGCCCACAGATGCGTGGAACTGATCAAGAAATGGCAGCCTTCGAAAGTCGCTTTCCGGAGTTGGGATACTGAAGCTTTCTCCACGAACATGCATCTGGCTCAGGGGCTGAAAGATGTCGGCCAGTTGGAACTTGGCGCGCTGACGGTCGAATGGTTGAGCTGCATCCCCGACTGGAAATTTACTTCATTGGAATGCCGCCTTTGCTCTGGCGGTCGGAATGTCAGGCCGCAAATCCAAGCCCTGGGCCAGAAGCTCTACGAACAGTGGTCTGCCAAGCAGCGCAACAGCTTCAGGATCTGTATTGACCTGGACTCGGAACTAGGCGCGTTGCAAATCGCCGACTCATCGCGACTAGTTCGATTCGACGGTGAAACGTTGCGCTGGTCCGTGTCCCGTGGCCTACACAACAGATTTTCAATGAAGTCGCTATGCACAGAATTGTCCTATTGCCTTTACGCCTTTGATGGCCGTGCTTATGAAGCTTATGGAGCCTCAACGTCTGAATCCGATGAGGACGAATCCGAATATGACTGGTACTACTAGCCTCAGTTTCCCGTTGTTATGTTTTCTCATTTTGTTGAACAGTGTTGATAAATATTTCGCAGAAATCGTTCAGTTTGCCGATAAATCCGATTTTCTCGGCTTTTGCGTTTCTGTTTCCGATGTGCGAATGGCTGCTTTTTAGGATTTGCAAATTTGCTGGGCGTTTAGAATTGACCGTGCTAAAAAACTAAAAAAAGCAGCTGGAAAAGCTAAACCAAAAAGTGATCGGGAGAAGCTTTTTTTTATGCATTTGCTGGCCTTTTCTCACTTTCCATTTCGATGATCTCTATAAAAATTTCCCTATAATCGCCTCCGTTTTCCAGGCACATCTCTCGCAGATGGAGCAACAACTTGTGGAGAAGTTCGGCCCGATGGATCTCGGCGGCCGTGGACCTACCGTGGAGAAGGGGCTGCTCGTGCTGCCGGCCAAGCTGATGTACGAGAGTTTTCGCTCTTTTTACCTGAAATTTGTTCTGCTTAATTTTCCCTTATATCAACCCGATTACCTTTTTTCAGGAAAGAGAACCCTGACGTTCTTCCTCACGACCGGGAAGTAACAGGTGTCAAGCGCCAAGACGTTGAAGCCAAGAAAGGACTGCTCGACCTGCCGCTCAATCTGGTGCACGAGGGGTTCGGACCGCTGGATGCGGGTAGTCTGCTCGAAACGGCCAACTCGCACGATACTCTGCGCAAACACGTCATGGATTGGCCAAAGAAGCGTTGGGAAATCGTTCATCTATCGAAAGAGGAGGCCCTCATCGACTACGACGTTTTTGACCGCGGGGAGGCCGAAGTGCTGCTGCGAACACTGGAGGCAGATTTCCCCGACCAAGGTTTGACGGTAGACGTGACGGCCGCTCATGCTTCCGGAACTCCCGCCAAACACCCTGGGCAGTATTATGAGCCACCTCGATGAGAACAGCTTCTTGAAAGTGGCCAGATCACACGAAAAGCTGCTCGAGGCCACGCGGCTTATGAAAAACAAGAGCTTCTACTGCGTGGATTGGCAACGCGACAAGGCGTTCACACATCGCGAGGCGCCCTCGTTGCTGCGAATGCCCTGGTCGTGGACGTTTGATGAGGCGGATGTGTTGCTGATGGGCGCCAAGGTGCGCTGGATGGCGCACGATCTGGGCGCTCGACCCTCGTTGCGGCCGCGATGAGGACGCGGGAGATGCGGCGAAATTGGCGAAAACGTTGAATCCGTGCGAGGTAATATTTGTTATACTTAAAACCTGATTAGGGCGCTACAAGGGAATTTTAGCAAGCTCAAAAACAGCTGTATTTGCGCAATTGACGTTCATGCGCTCCAAAAATATAGAAATTAAATTCCTTTGGATAGCTGTCTTCGTTTGCGTTCATTTTGACTATTTGTAGTTATTTATATCATTAAGTTACTTCCCCCGCCTAGGTTTTATCTAGCATTGTTAAAAAAAAAGACTGTTTTGGAACCATGGGTGAAAAAAAATGAAAATTTAGCGTTTTTGTAGACCAAATCGCTTAATTTGTGTCGAATTAAGCGTTATACATTTTGGAAAATCTATCGGCGAGACCGGTTTGAAAGCTTTTTGAAACCCTCTAGAGAAACCCCCATCGAAAATCGACATTTTTTTTCGTAATCTTTTTTTCCAGGTGACGATGCCGAGCCGTGCCGATGCACGCTTCTTGACCCAGCACATGCTGCGCTTTCTGCGCAACTCTCGCCATCTCCGCAACGCCCATCTCGGCTATATTCGTGTGGACGAGCTGAAGCACATGCTGGAGTGGCGGATCGGCGGTCTCGACGCGATTCTGTGCGACCCGGATGGCCGGATGCCCGCCGAGTTGCTGACCGTCGTCCAGGAGATGCTCAATCAGTGGAAAAGCGGAAAACGAACTCTCCGTCAAGTCCGAATCGACTTCCCCTATCGGCTGCCACTCGACCCAAGGCTTGCTGTTACTTGCCTCGGGCCCGATTATCTCCTCAAGCACGTCGACGGTCGAGCATGGAGTGCCGTGATCAAGCGGGACGATCAGAAAATCTTGAAAATAGCATTTTCAGACAAATTTCTGCAAATTGTCGTGCATTAGGGTTCTTTCGCATTATCGGGGAAATCCGTTTTTTTTTCTGTAAGCCTAGAATTGTCGCTTAGGGTAATATTAAGTATTTTCATGTTGTTTTTAACAAAATTTCACCATATTTGAACTGGAGAAACAATTATAAACTTGGAAATTTTTGAAAACGACCATTTCCTTTTCGAAAGTCGCTATTTTTGGCAGATTTTAATCGTATTTTAAAAGTTTTTATTTGTAGGAAGAGTAAAAAAGTTTAGAAACCCTTCCTCGGTTTATAATGGAAAAATTGGATCCCTGAAAAAGTTTCTCCCCTCCCCCCGATGATGCAAAAGAACCTCTAAATGTGAATAAATGGCCCGATTCTCTTTCCCATTCGTTGTTTTCGTTTCTATTAGCAGTGCTTGGCTCAGATTATTCCCGTGTCAATTCCTAATTAGGTCAGCTGTTGTGCATGTCAATTAGCTAATAACTCCTCTCTTTCTTTACGATCATTCTTTTCCATTTTCATGTTTATTTTTCCAGAAAAACCCACTAAGTTTGACTATTTTCAGGTATGGCAGCCGGATGCGAAGAGCTGTCGACGTCGGTCGAATCGGCGGGCACGCTGCGCGGGCCCGCAGCTGCCATCGAACTCGCCAAGCCGCAGGTGATTAAGGTGCGTTTTTTTTAAGTTTTTCGGTTCTTTCGCATTACCGCGGTGAGCAAATCAAAATCAATCCAGAAGACCCTCTGCAACGACGTCAAGGAAATGGCCACCGTGCCCGGATTCGACTTTTATCGACAGGTATGAGCTTCATTTCAGTTTTCAAACATTTTTTAGATCCCGGTGCCGCAAGACGAGTTCGGCCCGGTGATCGAGACGTGCGGCGCCATGTTGCGGCGCATCGCCGCCGACGCCAACAGCAAGATCACCGTCAAGGAGAATGGTATCCATTTACAATTTCTTTATTTGCTTTCTAAGATTAAATTATTTTTTGGCCGTATTCCTAATTTCGAAGGTTTTTTTTTGGCGTCGAAAATTCCGTAAATTATCTTTTTTTTTGCGCCAAGCTAAAGTCGTATTTTTGGATTTCAAAGCTAATTATATCCGTAAAATCTAAATTTTTTAAAATTGCTGCTAATTTCCAGCAGGCAGCTCGTCTTTGGATTTTTGGCGCCTAAAATTGCGTAATTATGATTCTTTATTTTGCGCAAACCTAAATTTGTATTTTTTGAATTGAAGACCATTTTAGCTTTAAAAAGTTTGATTTTTCGATATGGCCTTTTCGATTTTGAATTTTCAGAAAGCAGCTGCGGCGCCGCGCGTATCGCCCACGTCTGGTCCCGAACGGAGGCCGACCTCGAAACGGTATAAATTTTTAGATATTTAAAAATTTTGACGCTTAGGCGACGTCGGCCTTCCACCAATTCTGCAAGGAACGGTCGCGCAGCAGCCAGGTTGGCACCGAGGAGACGCTGTTCGTCGAGGTGCCGAACGCACGCGTCGGCCAATTCGTCAAGGCCATTCCGTCGGTATATTTTAATTGATTAAGCCTGCCGAATATTGATTTTTTTTAGATTAAAGCCGTCACTGGAGCGGAAATCCGCCTGGGCGGCAATTGGGACGACGAGGGCAAGCCGTATCGCCTCTTCAGCATCACCGGCACGGCCGACGAGTTCAAGCAGGCCAAGGAGATTTGCCAGAAGGCGGTGGGATTTATTTCCGGTTAAAAACTTTTTTTTAGGCCTCCGACAAGCCCTACATCCCCACCGCCGAGCAGCTCGCCCAGCTGACAGTTGAGACGGTTGAGCTGAATCCGTGGGCTGGCAACGCGCCCTCGGCAGTGCAGCGTACGTTTTTAGGGTACTTTAGCATTATCCGGCGTTTTTACACGGGTTATAACTATTCTTAGACGTTAAACCCTTACAAATTTTTATTAAAAATATAGAAATATATAGGATTTTTGCAAAATAATTTTCAGAAAAGCTTTTAAATCATTCTATTTTATTTATGGTTCTATGAAACGATAATCTCTGTTTAGTAACTTAATAAAAAGAATTTTATTATTCTAGAATTGTACAAAAAAAATTAGGTCCCCCCGATAATGCGCAGGATCCGTTTTTATTGTCATTTTTCGCTTTATTTCGCCTCTAGTTTTAAATTTACTGATGATTTTTATTGAAATCTTTTTTAACGTAGTTTTAATTCAATTTTAATCTGTATTTTTCAGCACGTGCCCTTCTGCCGCCGTGGCTGAACGACATGCAGCCGGTTCCGCTCAATTTCCGCAGCCCGTCAGCGGTGAGGATTTTTGTTAGAAACTTTATATTTGGTTTTCCAGGATCAATACGGCCCACAACCCGACAACGCTCACAAGTGGCTCGAATACTACCGGAAGGTCGGCCTCGTCGATCACCGTGTCATTGACGCTCTCATCAAGGTTCGCAGATTTTTAATTAGTTTTAAATTTTTTTTACTTGTATTTTTATCGTTTTTATCTCTCAATTTTCAGGGTCGCGGCTGGAAGCAATGAGCGGCGCTGCCACGTCCACGACGCCCTGCACGCCCTCAATAAATGACAAGCATATTTTTGTTGCCTTTTCCATCGTTGACATTTCTTTTTTTGTAGTTTCTTTTGTATGCGGGTCCTCATTTCGAATGGTCTCTCTTCTTTTCACATGCATTTTAATGTCATAAAGTTGTTTAATTGCCGAATTGTTCGGAAATAAGGATTTGCGGTTGCTTTTTCGAGGCAGTGGCTTTTCGTTGGAACATTTTGGCTTATTGGCTGCGGATTGGCTTATGGTGTAGTTTCGCTGGATTTTTGCGATTGGGCTTTCGTGCATGCACGTGCTCTGCATTTGCAGAGTAACGATCTCACAGAGAAATCGAGAAGTATCCTGTTTTCAAATCGATTTTAATAACCTCAGCTCTACTTTGCAGGCAGTCGTCCCACTTCCACCCGCCATTTCTAGTCTGATGACTGCCCGAACAGGGGGATATGCTATAGGCTACGGGCCGTTGAGACTACAATCCTTATCAGGGATAAAAAAAAGTTCGGGGCGCAGGGGCAACGGCACATGAAAACAGCTGAAAGACTAGAGAACTCGGTCATTCGCTGCTAACTTGGATTGTTAGCAGAGATGCCTCTTTCTGATTTATATTATTTGCAGATTTTCTATAAAGGTTGTGTTTGTAGAGTCATGTCGATACGAGCAGTGATTTTTGACCTTGGTGGTGTGCTGATTCCGGCTCCGATGGAGCTGTGGCAAGGTATCCTGATAAATTATAGAAGCCAGCGATCTCGTTTTAAGGCCTGGAAAGTACGGAGAATCTTGGTCGTGGAACCATCTTAAAAGTGCTGACCAGCCCGGAGGTGCAGGAACACTTCCAGCTTCTTGAGATCGGGCGAACCAACGTGGAAGATTTTGCCCCAATTTTCACTTATTTTTACAACCGACAGGTGGTGAACTTTCAACAAGCTTTTATGTAAGGCTACTTCAGACCGGGCGTAAAGATGAGCGCATCCTCGACCTATTCGACGCCTCCAAACCGGCTTTTTTCGGGCCGGGCGCTCTGTTTCCGGAAATGTTGGACGCGATCAAAGTAATTGTGTCATACTACAAAAAATCGGCTAGTTTGTATAGTACAAAACAGTAGAAGAGTTTAGTAAAAAACTAGGTTCTGGACTATTAACGGGAGGAAACCCAATTTTTCCAGTAATCCACCGTCCTATGATAAGATAAACATTTCTATAGCATTTTACATAGTTTTTAGGCATAAAAATCTCCGAAAGTGTTTGCCCTTTCAAAATTTATGAAAATCGACCAAAAACGGTCAAAAGTTTCAAATTTTCAAAAATGTTAAAATATTTTTTATAAGCTTCTAGTAATCAAAAACTGCGAAAAACACTAAAAAATGCATGTAATATTATCAACAGGCAGGATAGGCGAAAAAAAACAAACCCCCGCTAACAGTCTAGTGCCCTGTTCTAGTACACTTTTAATATTTAGGTACTGCGCTCAGCCGGCTTCAAAATTGCCCTCCTCACAAACAATTTCTACTTTGACCGCGCACATCGCCTTCCAACAATTCCTGACTCTGCATCCTTCAAGGTTCTTTTCCTGAGGTTTCTGAAAACTGATACAGGCTCTCTTTGATGTGGTCTACGAAACTTGTCGTGAGGGAAAGCGGAAGCCAGATCCACAAGTGTATACTGAAGTTTCCCGGAGGCTGAAGGTAAAAAATCATCAAATGCTAAAAGCAATTCAGGTTGCCCCCGAGCAAATCGCGTTCCTCGACGATTTGGGTGTAAATTTGAAGCCGGCCAAGGCGCTGGGGATGAAGACGATTAAAGTGAAGATAGAAATACAAATCATTAAAAGTTTTTTAGGTAGCTAACACACGACAAGCTGTTGACGAACTCTCGCAGCTTCTAAAAATTGGATTTGATGTCCCGCCGGAGACTAGGCCTTTGCTAAAAGGTTATTAAAAATATATTTAATAGAATTTTAATTTTTCAGTGTTGAAAATCACCTCTTTAGATTTACAAATCCTAATTTTCAGCCGAAGAACTCGATCAAGCAGCATTGGAGGGGTATTTAGATCAACTACGTGTACCGCCAGGGCCACTTACGATACGGTAAATACAAACATAAATATGGTTAAATCTAAATTTAGAAAGTTCGCGCATGGCCAGAGCAATCCTACGTACTATTTGGCCCGAGGTGCATGCAAATTTGTGTTGCGCAAGAAGCCGGCAGGAAAGCTGCTCCCAAAAGCCCACCAAGTCGATCGGGAATATACGGTGTTGAAGGCGCTACAGGGAAAAGTGCCAGTCCCACGAGTTGTAGATTTTAATGAGGGGTACGTTTTGTAAATTAAATATATGCAAAAATTATAGGAAACTTGCCGAACCGTTTTATTTGATGGAATATTTGAATGGTAGGGTGTTTACCGACCCCAGAGTTCCGGATGTTAGTCCAGCGGAAAGGCGCGTAATTTATGAAGAGGCAATAAAAGTGGGTGTTCATTTGAAAGAATTAGGCATAGTTTTAGGTGCTGGCAAAAATCCATTCACTCGACGTCGACGCGAATGGACTTGGAAATTACGGACGTAAAGGTATGTGATTTTGATGGTTCTGGCCCATTAGCGGGGGGAGTAACGAAACTTATTTCCTTTATTCGGCTTCATACCTAGTCACAAGAAAATCATTTTTATAGTGTTTCTCAAAATTTGCGATTAACAAAAAGTTAATAAACATTTCAATAAAATTAGAAATTTTGAATTTTTTTGATAATGTTTTAGAAATCTTTTTATAAAAGGCGTAAAATTTGATAAAAAAATGTTTTGTAGTATAGTATATTATATGTATATAAAAAAGCCTCCCCCGATAACGAACAAGTACCCTAGAATTTAGTAATCATGGTTTCAGACGGGTATATGAGCCGTAATCTCGCGCGCTGGCGCGGTAACTACGAAATGGCCCGTACGGAGGAATGCCCGGAAATGGAGAAGTTGGGACAATGGCTTGAGAAGCATCTCCCCAAGAATGGCCGAGTTACACTTGTTCATGGGGACTATCGGTCCGGTTTTAGGGAGATATTTTAAGGAGTTCTTTTGCAATTTAGAATAGACAATTTGATGTTCGATCGTGGCTCAACAAAAGTATTGGCTGTGTTGGATTGGGAGATCTCAACAATTGGAGATCCACTTTCCGACCTGGCCACTTTCCTGTTTTCACATTTCAATTCGCACTTGAATCAGGTAAAAATTCTAAACAAAACACAAAGTCTCCTTTTTTTCCAGCCGATTCGAGGCCTTGGCCAACTTTCTGCGCGAGAAATGGAGAGGCTTGGCATCCCATCGGTCAGTGAAGTCTTGCGCTTGTACGCAACTGCCGCCGGAATTCGTGAACTATCACTGCCAAGCTTCATACCGTACGTAGCGTTTATGTGCTATCGGATGGCAGCAATCGCTCAAGGTAAGTTATAGGATGAGCACTTAAATTCTCGTTATAGGCATATATATGCGATTTTTGACGAAAAACGCTTCTCATCCGGATGCTGGGCGAGTTGGTGGTGCTCCAAAAATGTTGGCACAGACAGCCCTAGAATTGATTCGGGGGCTTGAAGAATCTGTAAGCCCAGGTAAGCTTTTACAGCTTAAAACTAAGCATAGATTTCGATTTGTTATCATAATTTCGAAACTACAATACGTCGATATTTTTTTACATGGAATTTGGGGGTTTCTTAAGAAAATTTCAACATTTTGAAATTTTACCATTATGATTTTCGACGTATTAATTTCGTCATTATGCTTTTCAAATTTTTAACGTAAACTATCTATTTCAGGCCTCCTTCCAGTCAGAATAGAAGCTTTGAGCTCAAAGGCTCAAAAATACCATAGGATTGTATCAACGATAATACACGAGGTGTGGTAGGGCCATAATCATAATTAGAATTTTCAGGATCTGATCCCCCTTGAGCCCGAGCTCAACGAATACTACCATAATGGGCCAAACCCGTGGAGTCGACATCCAAAATTGGAGAGGCTGAAGGAAAAAGCCCGCGCTCTCGGGGCCTGGAATCTTTTCATTTCGGAACATATTGATCCTGAAGGTAAGTCCCACGCAATAGCCCCAAAGCGAATTTTAGGAAAATACGGAGCTGGCTTGACGAATGTCGAATACGCGCATATCTGCGAACTGATGGGGCTGAGTGTTTACGCACCGGAAGTGAGAATTTTTAGTGACTTTTAGCAACAGCGTTTCAGATCTTCAATTGCCCAGCACCAGATACCGGAAATATGGAAGTGCTTATTAAGTACGGTAGTGCAGCACAAAAGGAAAAGTTTTTGAAGGTAAAGAGGGAGAAATAAAGTGAAAACAGATCACATGTATTTTAGCCACTGCTGGAAGGGCGTTTGAAGTCTTGCTTCGCGATGACTGAACCGGATGTCGCTAGCTCGGATGCTACCAATATTCAGGTAAATTTTTCTTTGAAGTAAAGGTGCTAAAAATAGCTTTAGAAACTTCAAAACTTGCATTTTTCTTCGAAAATCGACCTTTTAGTAGAAAAACCGATAGTTTTTGTATTTTTGAATCAAAATTATGATGTTTTTTGCGTTTAAAACCTAGTTAACTTCCTCTACCCATATTAAAAAATTGGGTATCAAAGAAAAAAATGGTTTGCCCCCTGATAACCCCTCCTCCCCGATAATGCAGAAGAACCAAACCATATCCCCCAGGGCTCCATCGTGAACACCGGCACGGAGTACGTGATCAACGCCAGGAAATGGTTCAGCTCTAATGCCGGCCATCCCGACTGCAAGATTTGCATATTTATGGGACGCCTAGCCGTGCGCAATGTGGTAGGTTCAAAAAAAATGGAAGATGAATGGGTTCAGAATTCGCGTGTGAATCAGCAGTCGATGCTAGTGATCCCGATGGATGCGCCGGGTGTGAAAATTGTGCGGAATCTACACGTTCTTGGGGCACAGGATCCGCCAGGTATGTTTAATACAAAATCTAAGAAGAAAATCTTTTAGCTGGTCACAGTGAGGTATTATTTGAGAATGTTCGTGTACCGCTGGAAAGTATGCTTTTGGGAGAAGGGCGAGGTTTTGAGATTGCGCAAGGTTAGTCGGTAGTTTTGTACACTTTTATGCTATTTTTTTCAGGTCGTCTTGGCCCTGGCCGTATTCATCACGCGATGAGGCTTATCGGAAATGCCGAACGGGCTTTGGATTTGATGAAGGAGAGAGTCCAAACCAGGACAGCCTTTAGAAAACCACTCGTAAATTTCCAGACCATCAGAGCTGATATCGCGAAATCAAGGTTTATTCGTCTTTTCCTTTCTATGTTCCTATTTCCAGATGCGAAATCGAGCAGGCACGCCTCCTTGTCTTGAATGCTGCTCACAGGATTGATACCCTCGGCACAAAGGTTCGATATTAGTTAAATTTTTTTTGACTGAAAATCAGGGAGCGAAAAACGAGATAGCGTTGATAAAAGCTGTTGCTCCGACGATGTGTCTAAACGTTGTCGATCGGGCAATTCAAGCGTTTGGAGCAAAGGGATTGACGGAAGATACGCCATTGGCCGGTTTGTAATATTTAAAAAATAAGCTATAAAAAAGAGCTAAGTTAAAAAACTATGAAAACTCTCAGGTTTCCTGATTTCTGCGCGCTCGCTGCGACTTGCCGACGGTCCGGACGAGGTTCATCTGGAGAGCATTTGCCGGAATGAGCTGATGAGCAAGCTGTAAACAAGTTGTATTTTTAGTTGTGAATTTTATTGTTAGAGAAATAAATATTTTATATTATTAACTACCTAACTTTATACAAATTACCAGTGCTGTTGCACTGGAGCAAATTGCATGTGACCGTGCCCTAACACCAAATTAAAACACTTCTAAATACCTTGGGAATCCTTAAAACCCTTGGTTCCCTTGTTCGCAGTCTCCTGCTGGCCGTCTGCCAGTTCGTGTGCTTCCGCAGAGCAATGGGCGTCTTCGTGGCTTAATTTGTTTGCCTTTTGATTGACAGCTCGCGATTTATGCCCCCCGGCCCCCCGGCTGCAGAGCCACCAAATAGCCCCCGAATCGGCCCGACAATTTGGGGAAGGCGATGGAGAAGCTGCTAGCATTTTCTTGAAGCCCTAGGGTGAGAGGGCGGAGGAAAGTGAGGTGAGCGGTTTGATTTAATTTAATTTAAATTATCAAGCACAAGAAGCGCCGGTACTGGTCTGTTAGCAGGGGGGACCAGTCTTTGTTTTCCGTATATGGCCTGTCAATGATCAATACAGTATTTTCATAATTTTTTTCGTAGGTTTTGATCGCGCGCAGATCCCAAAAACTATTTTAGACGCCATAGAAATTCGAACATTTTGGAGCTTTTTTTGGCCATTTTCATACAGGTTTGACCAAAATCAACTATCAACGGCTCGTAGGCTTGCCTTAGGTTTAGGCTTGGATTGGGCTTAGACGCAAGCTTAGGCTCAGACGGAGGCTTAAGCTTAGCTAAGGTTTAGGCTTATGCTTATGCTTAGGCTTGCGCTTAGGCTGAGGCTTGGCTTGGCCTTAGGCTTAGGCTTAGGCTGAGGCTTAGGCTTCGGCTAAGGCGTCAGCTTAGGCTTAAGCTCAGGCTTAAGCTTAGGTTTAACCTTAGTCTTAGGTTGGGCTTAGGTTTGGGCTTGAGCTTGGGCTTGGGGTTTGGCATGCCTTTAGCGCGATGCTTTTTTTTTGCAATTTCACCCACTCTCCAATCACGTAAATATTTATCAACCTTTGATCAACTTGAGTCATTCACAAATCCAGGAGTGAAAGGGGGGTGTAACGTCTCCACACACACAAAAAAAACACTTGGCGCATCGGATAAAGCTTAGGCCTTGCATAAAAAGAGGGAATAGTTGATAGGCGATTGTAGTAGACAGGCGAAAAATGCAAAAACCAATTTTCAAAAATTAATTGAAAATTGAAAATCGTCATGGAAAGAGCCATCGATGGCGTGCATGGCGACCCTGTGAGCGGAAAAGAAATACGGTGCATGGGGGGGTGATTTTTGGCTTTTAGGGGCGTGGAAGCCGAGAATTTTGTTGGCTTTCAGGTCCTTTTAAGCAATTAATTACCCATGTGATAAGAGGGGGGCGGGGAATTATTGCAAAGGCCAAAAATGGTCGCAATTTTTGGGGGACTCCAGCCGTCGTACGGTCAAACTTTAGACGGTATTTTAAAGAGAGTTTTTAAGCATAGAAAGCGAATGTTTAAGAAAATTTCCTTTAAAAAATACTAAAAAGCTTTTTTCCTAGATTCAAATAAACAAAGGGAGTGGGGGGGGGGAACTGAGCATTTTCGCGAGACTCATAGGCAAATGTTCATAATCTCAAATGGGGGAGGGTGAGAAGCTCAAAGAAAAGGTGTATTTGGGTATTTAAGGAGATTTTAATGATGTTGGTGTTGTTCTTTGACGGCAGATAGATCTTGGCCGCCCATCCATGCGCCCGCATCTTTCATATCAACACCGCCAAGCCCGCTGAGGGCAACAGGGTCGACCCATGGGGCTGGGGGGAAGGCCGTCATTGGCATGAAGCCCATTCTGAAAATGGAAATGTGTTAAGGGGTGTGGTTTGTAGTGGTTGTTTTGGAGGTAATGGACTGTTAGCAAGGGGGCTTTTTAGCGAGGGAAACTAATTTTCGCAGTTTCTCTCAGCCTGTGCGGTCTTCAAACAAAATAGCAACAATTTCCATAGCAGTTTACACAGTTTTTAGGTGTAAAAAGTTTAAAAAACTAGAAAACTTTTCTAAAATTGTTGATAATGGTACAAATTCATAGGGAAAATCACTTACGGGTTGCTATAAGGGAACATCGGAGCTCCAGAGAATGTTGTCCGCTGCATTGAATAGAGATCAGCGCCCGGGTACGCCATCGGGAGCACAGATGGGTCCGGTGAGTATCCGTTGGTTTGGTCTGAAACACAGGCTTAACCTCACGATACCCGGAGCACGACTCACCAGGCGAGGGCCCAGGGCTAGCACCGCATCCACTTCCGCTTCCGCGCCTTCGCCGATTCTTGAAAACATTGGGCAGCTGCTTGCCAGCCCGGTGATTCTGGTCGATCATCGGCTGCACGATTCGCCGGCGGGCGTTGATGAACCTGGAAAATTGCAATAATTTTTTTCTGTCTTTTCCTCAATTTCTGCATTTTTCAAGCAATCTCTGCTAGCCGCCCCACCGTACCATTGTGGCATCTAGTATAAATAGGATACCCTGCGGGTAATTATCCCCCCACCGATCCATCCCATAGCTCCCCGCCGAGCCCCCCGGGGGAGAAGGGGATCGATTCCAGCTCATTGAATTCAAAGGGGGCATCGGCGGATCGTTTTGAAAACGAGGGGTGGGTTTTAGGGGGGAAAAGAGAGAGGGAGAGAGGGCGGGGGGGTGGGTGTAAATGAGGGGGTCGATTCGAGGGTTGCTCATTTGCATATACAGTATCTCTCGGTTGGCGGGGGGGGGGGGGGTGCGGAAGATCGTTTCGAGTCATGGCTTGGAGATGTTGTGTTTTAAAGGGAGTGAGAATGGTGATGATCGGAAACTAGGTCTGGACAGTTAGGATTTTGGCAGACCGAAAGAAGTACGGTGCTATATTCGGAATTTTTCGAGACCTAGTCGAAGTAAACGTCGATTTTAAGCCTTCCCATCTACAATAAAAGCGGAAATACGGTATTTTTCGAGACCTAGTCGATAGAAATGTCAATTTTAACCTTTCAAATCGGCCTTAAAAGGGGAGATACGATACTTGACGCGACCTCGCTGGCAGAAAAGTCGATTTCTACCCTTTATATTTGCCTTAAAAGAGGAAATACCGTACTTTTCGAGACCTAGTCGAAATAGATGCGATTTTAGCTGTTTCTATCCACCTTGAGAGCTTCCTTAAGGGCAACTTTCTCATATTAGAAGTAATACGGTATTTGTCGAGACCTAGTGGATATAAACGTCGATTTAGCTCATCCTAACAGCCTTAAAAACCAATCCCCAATTCCTTTCACCACCTCAAAATGACTCCTTTCACATACAGTCAGCTACACCTCATTCCCCCGATGACAATCTCCGGTAGGAGGCTACCCTCGACCCATAAACGGCGCGATAAACCCACGAAATGTGTCCCCCCAGAGGCGATGGGTTAGAGAGGGTGGGTGGGGATCATAAAAAAGTTGCGAGGATGAGGTGACCGTGGTGGGGCCACAATTTACACCCCCACTCTGCTCTCCACATCCACTACCATTGATGCCCCATAAAGTTGAAGTTGAGGGCCCATAAAGATGCCGTCAGGGGTAGGGTGGGCACACCTGGGTAATCGGGACACCGTTTTTCTGGTTTTTTTTTTTCGCTGGTATCAAATCAGAGGATTTAGGTTCTAAGGTATATAGCTTTTTAAGAAGGAACTACAGACTACAACGCTGAAACGTGGATTTAAAATGACTTGTAACTCATTAGAGATTACTATAAACCCCCAATTAAATTACCATGGAGACTACAGCAACTGTTTATAAACTATCAAAATTTGGGTACTGTATTGTTAGCGGGGGGGGGGCAGGGTGGGTATTAGAAACAGGTAAGGCGGAAAGACAATAATTAGTTCCTCCTTCCCCCAAATTAAACTTCTAACCCCCGCTAACAGTCCAGTACCAAGATTTACCTCATAGCTTCGGAAACTACAGAACAACCTACAAAATACAAAGTCCAAAATCCCCCATTTTTTACAGGATTCCCCACTTTTCCTCGTCCCCGACGCGCAGTCCCAATTTCCGTGGCGATCCATCGAGTCGGAAAGACCAAGGGAAGGCAGGGGGGCCCACACCAAAAGAAGAAGGCCCCGGAGGCCATCCATCTTGTGGCCCTCTGGGGCACACGAGCCGGTACCCCCTATCCTCCTTCTTCTCCATCGTCTGCCCTCAACGGCTTCTCCTTGGGGCCCGCCAAATTCGGGCTGTAGTGAGAATGGATGGGGGGTTGAGGGGGGATGGGGGGATGATTTGTTTTTGGGGTGGTGGAAGGAACGCTGGTTGATTGGGTGTTTTCAAGATTAATTAGGGGGTGGAATTTTGTTGGAGCATTAATGGGAAGGAAATTGTGGTGCGCTTCTAAATGGAGTGCGACTCCAAATCGAAGTTTTGGCTGATTTAAACGATACTGACTTCAAGGCACTTATGCATTATCGGGGGACCTAAACTTTTTCTATAGCTCTAGAAACGTCTATTAACTTAATAAGAAGTTTTTAACAGATGGAAAACCGTCCACGAACTTTAAACAATTTTGAAAAGTCGAAATTTTAGCACAAAATCGGCCATTTTACCTCATCACCCCCATCAACATGAAAAACCCCGGCCATGTATCCATCTCGACACGCGCCGTCCGCCGGGTCGTTATTTAGGAGGTGGTCCCCAGCCCTTGGTCAAAATGCTGTGGCTGGCCCCCGTTCAGGGGCTTTTGGGCCACAAGGGGCCGGTCGGTGTGGTTTCGTGGAGCCGGTCCCTTCCCCCCAGCTGCCGCTCATCCATCATCGGCGCCAAGGGCGACCCTCCCCCCTTTTGCCTGTCCTCCGCGGCCTCAAATCCCGTGTCTGTGGCGATAGAGAGGAAGAGATAGAGAGTCACGAATTCTGCCGGGTTTTGCCTGGTGGGGATTATGCGAATGTTAGGAGATTCTGATGCGGGTATCATGGTTCTAGACTGTTAGCGGGGGGGGGGGTTTAGCAGGGTGAGGGACAGGAAGACGACTTTAGATTTTTCCGCTTATACCTAACTGTTTAAGATATATTATATATTTTTATAGATTTTTTAGTAGTTTTGATTGCTAGAAAGTTATAAAGATTTTTTAATTTTGAAAATTCGAAAATTTTGACCTTTTTGGTGATTTTTCATGCTTTTTTGAATAAAAACTTCAAAATCTACAAATAGTTTATTTTTCAATTGTTTTGCTTTCTAAAACTGTGTAAACTGTTCTAAAAATGGTTTATATTTCGTTATAGGACCGCCAGAGAAAAACAAAGAAAAATTTCGTCCCCCCCGCTAACACCCCAGAACCTTGATAAGTTTTGGTTTTCGGAAATTTTATGCTCAACTACAGGCAAAAATTCAAATTCTCAGCCGACTCTCCACCCCCGCGATGCCTATCTGAAAATCGGTCCACATCAAAGCCGGATGACCCAACTGTCCGTGAGGTTACTCCTTACGCATCCATTAGTAACTGTCACTCAATTCGACGGTGCATCTCTCTCTCTCTCTCTCTCTCTCTCTCTCTCTCTCTCTACTCCATACCCCGAGGTCATCACCCAAAATGCATAGTATCTCCCGATACTGGGTTTGGGCTAACCAGCTAGGCGCTCAAAAATGAATGCCCATTCACTATTCCATTACCCTCCAGGGGGCTAAGGGGGGGATGGGTTGGCAATGGGCCAAAGGGTTGTTTATTTAGAGTTTTTAAGGGGGCTGGAAGTTGGGGGTTTGTTTGGAATTCCTGGAAAGGTACAGGGGGTGTCGGAGTGAGGGAGGAGTAGGTAGTCGGGGTTGACGGGTTAATTTTAGGGTGTTTTTGGGTGTAGATAGGTGGGTGTCGGAATTTGGGTTCTACGGCCTGTGGGGAGGGGGTGAATTGCAAGTTTGGACAAAAGGGAGTGGTAGTTTTGGGGTATACGGTAGTGTACCTCAGAGTTTCTTATTCAGGTACAGATGAAGCGGAAGCTGAAATTATTCCAAATCCTACTAGGATCTAGATAAACATACGTTAATAGATTTTTAATCCCTTCCCCCGATCATCACATTTTTGTGGCTATACCCAATGGCGTCTAAGACGAGGTGCAGATCCTTGCGCAACGGTTGCCTCTCCTCTGCGGGGCCTTTATCACCGGCTGACCCCCCGGCAACTGTTCTTCCCCCCGTCGCTTCATCGAACGGCTGGGGTACGGTAGGCCGCAAATATTACACTTGGCCCCCAGTCTTGGGGCCCAAGGTCTTTTGGCGTGGCTGGTGGCCCCACCGGGCGACAAAGTGTACGCAAAGTGTGGTGGTGGAGGAGCTTTGGGGCGGATCAGATTTCGGGAAAGATGATGATGACGCTGGTAATGGTTGTGTACGCGTGGGGGTCTAATTACGGGGTTGGTAGCAAAAAAAGTAAGTTTTGAGCCGATTTGGACCTTCCTAATTACGTCTCGACAGCTACGCGACACTCCAAAACACGTATATGTGCCGAAAAACGAACTAAGCTTTTCCTAACCCCTTTGAACCACCGTTTCCGCCTCTATCCTCATGCCGTTCCCACGGCTTCCCACGGCGCCGTTCCCATGCAAGCCGTGATTGATTAAAAATCGGCCCCCCAAAAACGGGCTGCTGATGGTTGAGGGATATCAATCCATTTCCCCTGATTCCCCTGCACAGTCCCCCGCCACACCACACACATATATCCCATGATACGGGCGTGATAATCGGGCGACCTTGGCTTTGCCCGTGATCGGCCATTCTCCCCCCGGGATACCGTATCCCCTCCCTAGCCCCCCGGAGTCGCGCGGAATTGGGCTGCAAAAGGGGGTGATTGGAGGGGGTAGGGGTTTGGAAAGGAGAAGGATATGAAAACGGTAAATCAAAAGTCATTGTGAAAGACAGCATCCCACAAAAAAACAATTTTAAAAATTATTCCAAAACCTATTTTAGCTACCGAAAAAAGTAAAAAGAGTGATTTTTATGCAAATAAGTCTGAAATAACGTCTTTTCGGTACAGTATCTTTATTCTGTAAAAAGATTAGCAAGGCAAGCTAGCAGAGAAATTTTAGGAAAATTAAGAAATGATTCTAATAAAATACTTACCAATTGTTGACCTGCAAAATCGTGAGCTGGGTCTCATTGGCGAGTTGCTTCTTCTGCTCCTCAGACGGATAGGGGTGCTAAAAATAGATACTAAGTTTCGTTTACTGTAGTGTACGGTATTCATGTATGTACAATACTTTTGAACGTATGGCTTCAGTGTTTCAGTCTTTTACAAAGTCGCTACTACCTTTAAAACTCCTTAAAGTGCTAACAATTTGTCAGATTTGTCAAATGGCCAGTATCTATCAGCCATCACTTCCCATCCATTCGTCTCGGAGACGCGGGTCATCTCTTTTGGAGAAACAATGATTGAGCTGCTTCTCCCGGTCTCCAACGTCTAATAAGCCGGGGCGGGAAGAGGACGGGGGGGTGAAGATGTATGGGGGAGGTGGAAGGGAGGATGAGGATGAGGCTGATGGATTGAGTGTGATGTCGAGAGGGCGACGAGATGTTGTTGATTAATGGAAGACATCATTGCAAATGAAAGAAATGGATGGTTGTGGGGGGTACGGATTGAGACTATTGACGGGGAGGTGTCAGGGTTTTTTTGAAGGAGCTAGGGTGATCTCTAAGTTTGTGTCGGGATGCCTTTAAAGGGTAGATTCAGGGACTGGTACGTGTACACCTAATTACGTAGATGATGTTCGTAGATGTTCATGGGAAAGCCAAACTCCTTGACACATTAAGCATGTGCTTTAAAGGTCCTTACAAGGCAGATGTAGGATTTTACGGGCTAGGGATGCTTTACAGGTGTTCCGCGCCGCGACACGCAACGCATGAGAAGTCATTCCATAGAGTAATCGATTACGATATAGAAATAATGGTCTAAAGGCTGATGCGCTGCGTGTCGCGGCAGAACCCTTAGTGTAACTAAAGCCTTCCTCCTCCCTTTAATGGGGCGTTTTCTCCATTTTTTTCATAGCCTAATCGGTTAGCTTTTTGCCAGTTCTAGACGTCTTCAACCCTTTAAAATCCAACTACAACGATACTGATCCCTTTCTTCACTTGTAAATTCTGGGATTTGCGTGCCGGGGCTCTCCCATGCTGACTTTTTACCATCCGCCCAGATCCACCCATAAATCTGGGGCAGACGTGTCCGGGGATAGGGGGGACCTGGTGGGCTGGAAAAACGGTGCGTGTCTCAGAAATGATGGGGGCAGGAAAGAAGCGACCGGGGGCCAGATGCTAATGTCGCATTGTCCGCTGCTACCAGGACGGGGGATCTGGTTGGACCAGCAGCCGTTGGGGGTACGGTAGCTGGTTGTGAAACAGGTGATCGGAAAAGAAATATTAAGTCATTTTGGCCAATTTTTAACTATGAGCTAATTCTCATCGCTCAGGCGAATTAATGAAACCAAACGCGTTACCCCCTGAAGCCCCCTGACTACGGTAGTACCCACCCAAACCCCCGGTGCCCCGGCCCATTTCCTAAAATGTGCCCCATTTTCGCGTGTAGCGATGGCGAGCCATAAGTGCCTTCCGGTGCGTGGGGCTGGTCATTATGGACCACCACGACGGGGCGAAAACGGGCACCGGGCCAGGGATTACGGTAACAGAGCGCTGAGAATAGGATAAGATGTATTAAAGGAGCATTGAAGGTAAAAAATTTCATAGAAAAATTCATCTAAACGTCGAAACCTACTATTTAAGTAGTACCGAGAATTATATATAGTTTTAGCAAAAAGTACAATTAAAAATACGAGAAAAACTGTGCTATATCAACATTAAGAGGCGTGAAAAAAAAGAAAATGGAAATATGAAAAAAGGAGATTTTAAATAGTTTTTTGAGAAACATCAAAAATACGTAATGGCCAGAAGACGTCGTAAAACCCATCGAAAAATTTAACTTACGTTAATATTCTGGAAAAGCCACGCGCGGAACTTGTTGATGGCCTCCTTGGAGAAGACCTTGGGCACCTTCCGCTTCTGGCCATTCGGGCCCTCGGAAGCGACCGACTCGCGCCCGTCTTCCACCGAATCGCACAGAGAGCGCAACTCGTCCCCTGTACCAGATATTCAACCATCCGTTTTGATTTAGATTTTATTTTATGAATTTTATACACAGTTTCCCCCAACCGGAAGTGCTTGCTTTCCCTACCAAAAGGACTGTAATGGTCCATTAAAGGAACCTAAATGGAGAATAAACATAAAAAACTTAAAACACTGAAGCCATTCCGTGAGTGCCAAAAAATATAATATAAAATACATATAAAAACAAAAAGGGCTATAAAGCCCGGTGCTTTACCGTAAGATGCTGAAACAGCCATGTCCTCATAATAAGTGTAGCCGGTTTCGGGAATATCCCGCGCGGCTTCTTTGCCGGAGCCTTCCTCGTTTGCGTAGAGTTCTGATTCTGGGGTTTCTGATGGTGCGGCGGGTCTTGGGGCGGGTATTCGGGGCCCAGCATGGCCATCTGATGATGCGTCTGATGCATGGGGTGTCCGTAGTCGTCGAACGGGCTTGTTGGATACGCCATCATACAGGGGACGGCATACTGTGGGCCCGGGCCGCCCGACCCTCCGCTAGCGTCCACCATACAAACTGAACGAAAACGCCGGTGGGTTTATGGTTTTAGCAAAAATAAAAATAGGAAGTGTTGTCGAACATGCAAAATAAGGGATAGAGGGGTGGAAAGCGGTGCGGGTTGGTAAAGAATTCCTAGAAATTCCGATTCAGTAGCTGCTTAAATGATTTTCAATGCTTATTTCAGCAAGAGAAAAAGCCTAAAAATAATGTAGTCGTTTCCGAAAAGCGAAAAATTATATTCTTTTTGAGAGCTAGAATACTGTAATTAAGTCAAAATATAACAAATTAAGGTGCAAAAACGCAATAAAATAAGCGAAATGGTATACAGAATCTAGATTTATTTTTCGGTGGCTAGCTAAATAAGTTGTAATAACCTTGGCTTTAAGTCTAATTAAGTTTTTAAACTTTTGAATAAAGCTTAAAAAATAATAAGCCTAGATTTAAGCTAAAATTACCGTATTTAACGAAAAATATACCAAATTACGCAGCGAAAACCCAGAAATCCAAGGCCTGATGCTACCAACAGAGTTATGCTCCCCCCTGCTCAGCCCCGACAAAGAGACACAATTAATTTTGGCGTTTGTGTGCGCGGTGAGGGGGGGTCCCTAGTGGGCCAAGTGAGGCGGAAAATTTCCAATCATCATCCTCCCCTCTACTTCTGGGGGCAGTCTTCCTTCCCCCCGCGCAAACAAGTGTTGGTTTAACTTAAAAATCGCTCTTTTCACTATAAACATTAAAAAAGCCTAATTAAATGTTGTATTAATTAAATAAATTTAAAATAAACGAAACCATGCAAGGAAAACGAGGGATTGAGTGCTGTAAAACGAGGACAACAAGCGGGTTGTACTCCGTAGTGTACGCAACTGTACGCCAGGACACAATGGACACGGTGGCTCGAGAATGAGTGGAAAATGTGCGAGAGGACGGTTGACAGCTAGATATAACCCAAAAAGAATGGAGGATGGAACTAAAGGGATGGAGAAGGGAGTTTAGGCACCGTGAAAAGCCCGATCCAGGGGGGACGGGTCACACTTCCTCACAAAAGCCTGTTCTTCGCCTTTTCGTGCCAGCCACCCCCAAAGCATACTTGTTTTGTGAAGTCTATATAGATAGAAGAGAGAGAGAGAGAGAGAGAGAGAGAGAGAGAGAGAGAGAGAGAGAGAGACATGGCGCACCCGGGTAATTTGGTGTGACGATTCGCCGAGGTGGTGTTGGCAAAACAATTGGCTTTTTTAGCGAGGCTCAGCTTTCGGGCTTTAGGAAAGCTAATTTAATTTCGGTTCCGGTTACCGGTTTTTTCAGTAATACGATACGATACTTTCAACCCCTATAGCGAGTTCGACAATCTTTTTGACCCTGCCCTCGAAATCCCTAGTGGCCCATCTAGGGGGCCCAGGCTATCTGCGGGTTGATCGCAGCCCCGGGGCAACAAGCGATTGTGGAGATTTGAGTGAGAGAGGGAGAGAGAGGGAGAGAGATATCGACAGACAACGACATTCCAAAAGTACATACAATACGCACACAAGACAATAGTATAGTCCCGGAAATCCCAATATAGTAGGGAAAGCAAGCACTTTGGAAAGGGGTCACCAGGTTGGTCCCAAAGGGGAAAGTCCCAAAATTTGGGCCCCAGGGATGGTGTGAAGTTTTCAGGATTTCGTAATTAAAAAACAGGTAAATTCGATTCCACACCATCCCGTTCGGGGGTTTTAAAGGGAAATTGAAGGGTATGTGGACTGACCGTGGTCGGATTGGGAGTCCATGCTGCCGCCGTTGCCCATCCCGTTATGCGGGGTGTCGGAGGAGAGTGGGGTGTCGTGCCGTTGACCAGCGGAAGAGCTGAAAAAATTTTAAACTTTAGAAAAAATTTAAAGATAAAATTTCGAGTTTTCCGATCATGGTTGATTGGTAGTGTTCTAGGTTGCCAGGCGCAGGGTCCGGGTTCGGATCCTCGCTCAGAAAATTTTGCTTTTTTTTGCGGAAAGTACCTTTTGCTTTTCTTACGCTTTTCGTTCTGTTTTCCGCTTCAATACTTGTTAACAAATTCTGACCTGGCCGACGGGCTACTGACGGCTGGTGTGAGCAGCGTGTGGGGTGGTCCAGCCGTCGAGGGAACCGCCCCGCCCATGGCTAAAGGGTGATCGCTGCCGGGTTGTGTGGTCGAGCCCGACGGCAAGCCGTACAGGGCAGCTGCCTGGAAACAAGGGATTAAAAGGTATAATTTTGATTTTCCGAGTTTTCCAATCGTTCTAGTACATTACACTCCTCTTAATTGAATTTAAAAAAAACCAAAGTTCCCCTTGACCGGGCGGCAAAAAGGACAGCTAGCAGGAACCACCCGGGGGTCGGATGGTGAGGTGTCTCTGACAAAGGACAGACGCCCCGCTGTGTGTGTGTCTCTTCTTTACTCGCAATCTGCCTCCTTTAGACCCTTTAGACAGCCTCTACCCCCTTTACCGACACTCCATATTTCAACCTCCCAAACGAACGGGAGATGCCCAAAAAGGGAGAGGTCGTCCTGGGCAAGGCCACCTTTTAGCCGGCTGTGTTCCTTGCAACACGCCGAAAACGGTAGGCTCATTTTAGGGGAGCGGGGAATTGGAGTGGAGCCTGATTGTAGGGGGTGATGGATGGAGATTGGGTTGGTTGTTTTAAAGGGCTGGCTATGAATTTTGTGTGGGTCGCGACACGTAACGCACACGCTTGCATTGCGTGTCGCGGCGGAACCTCGTGCAACGGCTATTTACACGCATTAATAGACGACGGCGTTTTCAGGGAATTTTTGGGAATTTTAGCGCACTGAAATTTCGAGACAATGTATTTGACAAATTTATAGCAAATCTTCAAAACTAAAAGCGCGATTTTTTGACTTGCCGATCCCTTTAACCCCCCAGATTTCTATACCAAATCCCATATTCGGCGCCTCCTTTGCCCAGCCCCCAAATCCGGCATGCTACCCCCTCGATTATACGCCTATCAGAACGCCAGATGGGCCGTCAGGGCCTTTCGGTGCTTTGTGCCCTCCCCTATGGCCTCTATGGGTCAACAGGGATCGTCGCGTACTCCCGGGTGGGGGTGCTAATCGGTTCAAGATGTGCCAGTTAATCTGACTTAATCCAAACAGTCTCCATACAAATGTGGGTTAATGAAGCCCATATGTGAAGGTCAACATTGTTTTTTGAGTAGACCAGGCTTTGAAAAAGTGCAGACCACCTTAAAAGCTCTTCCCACTATGTATCTGGGTTATTAAAAGTATATTAATATACTTTCAACCCCCAGATTTCAACCAACAAGTCAACTACCATCCATTATCATTATTGTTGGGGGGATTGAGGCCGCGGTCATTAGCCAATTATCCGGGAGGTCGATCCGGGCGGCGCGGCTCGCCCTTATTGTGCGCCAATTTTGCCCTATTTGATGGGTTGGAGAGTAGCCACGCGTAGTTGACGAGTATTAGCTACCGATTTCAAAGTTTAAAGGGGAATTGAAGGTTTTCGAGCCAATATTCAAATAAAATACAGTTGTCGAAAGGTATCGCATCGACAGAATTATCTCAGCGTTTTTAAAGGGCTATTGGAGTATAGTTTTTGGTTTGTCGAAACGTCTCGGTCGTAAAAATATATCGCGATGATTTTAAAGGAATGTTGAAGTCAAATTTTCAGCTTAGATATGGCGTATTAAAAATCCCGCCTGTACATACAATTTACTATTTATGTGCTTCTAAAGAACTATTATAAACTATTTTTGACCATTAAAAGCTCATCTACAAGAATTCTACTTACAAAACCGTTACAACACCTTTAAAGAGCCACTAAAGCTAATTTTCAACCCTTCATCACCACTTGTCGAAAGATGTCACTCGTACATAACCCCCAGCTATTTATTTCCGTCTATCAAATCCCAGCCAGCCCCGGGCTTGTGTCCCGTGCGGTGGGTTCCCTTAAATCAATCGTTTAGGGGCCAAGGCAAGGGCACCCGGGTTGCCTGGTGGCCTTTTTCCGCTATTTCCCTATCACACACACTGTGGTGTACCCAATGGAGAGGAGCAGCTCAAAGAGTCAGTTGTCAAGGAGGAGGGGAGGCTGTTTGGGGGGGGGATGGGTTGCTATTTGGGAGGCCAGGTACTCCACAGGAATACCTGCATCACCACCACAGCCACAGGGGAGAGCCACTTTTTTGGCTACGGCCCTTTGGGTGGAAATGTGGAAGCGAGAGGGCCCAGGGGCCACAACTCATCCACTGACACCCTGGGGGTAGTGGTCCCCCCCTCTCGTTCGGCTGTCTAGATTGATTGGGTAATTAATTGGAGGTGTGTGTCGATCTATAATAGAAGTAATGAATCTTAGGTCTTGTTCTTAAATGCCAAATCGAAGCTAAGCTACCTAAGCTAGCTTTGTTAAGTCTAAGTCTAAGCCAAGCTTAAGTTTTGTACAAGTCAAAGCCAAAGCCTAAGCCAAGTCTAATCGACTACGCTACATAAAAACGAAGAAACTAGAAAACCCCCAATTATTTCACGTATATCCGCCTAAATCCGGTCCCTAACTCATTGCACATCCCCCTTCACCCCTAAGCCAAAAGCGCCCCTTTTGGTATCCGGGGAATTTATGCGACGAGCAGAAGGGCGGGCGGGTGGTGGTGGTGGAACGGAGAAGGCTTTGTCCTCGCGAATCCCCGCGGGACCCCGCATCTGATGTGCAAAGGCGCCAAGCGTTTGGGCCCCCTTCCCCGGTGAATGCTCTGGGGACCCTGGTGGGCCCTTGGGCAACAGGGACCACCCAGGCTGGGTACGGTGATGAATTTCGGGGTTTTGGGCATGGGAAGAGTTTAGGGGTTTTAAAGGGAGCGTGACAGGAGAGTTATGTACGAGCTACACCTATAAACATTGTTCAAAAAACCCATTCGTTCCAGATTTGAATTATTTAAGCTTTTTTAAAGACTTAGAGAATTCTGCCTTCACTTAAAAGCTTATATAACCTTATTTAACTATTTAAATCACTTAAAAATCCCCCTAATCCTCTCAAATCTTCGCTCAACGCGCTGGGCGCGAAATTTGGCGCCTGTCGTCGCTTTCCCAAGAAGTGGCTGTGCGCCCAGCCAAGAAGGACATATGGAACCACCGTGGCCACAAATCACGCACCCTCTCCCTCTGCAACGGGAGAGGGAGGGTAGTAGCCCCTCGCGGACACGCCAGGTGTTTTATTTCAAACCTCCCTCTAGCCCGGATTGGTCTATACATTGTACGGTAGCGGAATGGAATGGAATGGAATGAAATGGAACACTCACGTCCATCGGATGCGGCATATTCGTTGTATTCTCGGGCAACGGCACCGTTTGAGGTTCGAACTGGGGTTGGGGAGCGTAGTTGTGGCTGAAAAATGATATTAGAGTTAATAAATTTATATCTATATACTGGTAGTTACCTCATCGGTCGCGCATGAACAGGGCTGCCGGGTTGAAGCGGGTTCGGCGAGTTTCCGGCCTGGCTGGACGAGGCGCGCTCGTCGCCGATGATGTCCATCGGCATCTTGCCTTTTAGGCAGTTGACGTAGCGGTTGCAGAAATTGTCGCAGAGTTCGTGGACCTGGAAATGCGCTGGTGGAATTTAAAAATGGAAAAGAGGATAGGAGAAGCTGCTTGAATTTCAAACTTTCAGCTTATATATCTCGATTTCTAAACATCAGTAAAAAACTTCAAAAATAGCAGAATGATCAGCACAGTAGATTCTATATATATGCAAATTTTCAACCAAAGATGAGCGCGGCCTAGTAAATTTAGCCCGTACTAGTTAGCTGCTAAAAAAATGGACCTAGCAACCAGAAACCACTTCCAAGTCCCTTTAAAACTTCTAGAAAAGTGTGGGGCCGAGTCTGGGGCCGATAAACCCGAGAACCCCGAGAAGCCAAAATGCAAAAAGTGGCCCACGGCGGGGAACGCGAAGCCACCGGGTCGTGATAACGGCCCCCGTAGGGCCACAAAAACTCGTCCGTTTAGGGCACCGGCAAAAACTCGACTCGGCAACTTTCGACCCCCACCACCACCACACTTTTATGGTCTTATTTTCGGGTCATCGTATAGAAATTTAGGCGATTCTGGGCCTACAATTTGTATTACTTTTTATGAAGGATTTTTGACGCGAAAAATTCGTGTGTTGCTTCGGGGGTTGCAAAATTTTTTGGTGATAAGAAAGGGCAGGTGTTCGCCGCAGCGTGTTTTGGAGTATAACGGAAAAGTAAAAAACCGCTTTTCTTTTTTGAAGACAATTTTGCCTTCATGCTCGTTCTCTTGCTCAAATTATCCTTCTGATTTTCCGAGGGTTCCCGCACAATTTCCGGGGCGCCCAGCTAATTTCACGATTTTTCGGGCTCCACCCTGCGGGCACGTTATGGCAAAGGCGGGCGGTCAATAAAATTGGAGCGGTGGGGAGGATGAACCTGCCCGGGCGGGGGAGGATGAGGGTGAGGCTCGCTTTCATGCCCCGAGGGGCGGCACGTGGCGGCAGCAAAAATGTTGCGCCCGGATTAGCCGGGCGGCTTGATTTGTGGGGATGATATGGGAGCTCCAAGGGATTAGGAGGATTTTAGGGGATACCTTGATGACTGTGATTTTTTTAAGAGTTCTTTAAAACCCCCGGTGAATAGCCGGAACGCTTCCACTCCCTTTTTCACCCTCATCCTCCCCACCCAAGCGAGCGAGACAAAAAAAGCGAGCCGAACGGCGCCCCGCTGCGCGATTTGCATATGAACGGCTAGCCGACGGCGAGAAATGAGAGAAATAGAAGAAGGAGAAGAGGAAATATTGACCGGACACACCTTTTCCAGCTCGAGCAGGTGGAACCGGAGCATTTCGATTGATTGCAGCATCTAGAAAATTAGAGAGGTGATTCATAGCTATGGAATTGCATACCAAAGTGTCGAGTTCTCGGTTGGGGACGTAGTAGCGATCGGATTGGTTCATGGCCTGAATTGGAGGTATGAGAAGAAGAGTAGTAAAAGCCTTACATTCCGGGCAAACTCAGCGACGTCATCGCGGAACGAGGCGGAAGAGACGACCTCGGCCGAGCCGCCTTCGCGTGGGGTTGAGGTGGCCAGTTCGCATTTTTCGAATAGGCAGCAAAGGAGGGGGTAGAGGGGATGACTAAAATATGGATTTTAAAGGGAAAATAAGTAAATATAACGCGGCTTAGATTTTTGGAAAACCGCGTACAGATAGTACGTGCGATTTCTATGTACAGCTTTTACGTACAGTGTTCGGTTTTCCCGTCTTCTTATTTTTTTAGTTTAAGCCCCCTTTAAAATGCAAGCCATTTCGAAAAATCTTATTTTCAATCGGAGTCCGACTCAAAACACTCACGCATAAATAGCCTCCTTGTCGCGCTTGAGATTCTCGTCGAGTTGGTGGTGGATGAGGGGTGGCTGGGCGGTGGTAGGTGCCATTTGAGGTTGGCCCGGGCCACCGTACATCCCGTAGAACGTCGGGTCATAGTCGCCGGGGCCGGGTCCGAACGGCCCGTCGCCGTACTGTAAAGAGATTGTTTTTTGGTGGAACGGAATGGTTTTTACGGGTCTTCCTGATTTGTTAGGGATGGCTTTTTGGAGGATTTGGAGACTTAAAAGTGAGTCATTTTAAGGGGCCTTTGGTGGGCCGAATCAATTAGAGATTCAACGCTCTATGTAAGAAGCAAGATTTCTATTTTCTTTACCTGTTTTGAAACCGGCATCTACGTTTTTTTTTTTGGATTATAGAAGCTCAAAAGTAGGTAAATAAAGGGATTTATACAGCGTAATCGATTAGGGCTTAAAAATACGCATAAAAATCTATTTTGCAAATCAGCTTCCCATTTCTATAGCCAAGGCTTACGATTCGATTTTCAATGAGTAGTCAAACGGAATTTTTTCAACCCCGCAACCACCTAACCTACTTTTTCCAAAACCCTAAAACACATTCAGCACCCAGTCTCCCCCCTTCCAATGGGCCCTACGCGGTGTGTCCTCAATCAATTAGGTGATTTAGTGAGGATCTCTCCCTCATGCTCCCTCTCCCTCTCTCTCTTGCTCCAGCCCGGTGGGCCCCCGTCCCAAGTCGGATAAATGCCTCATGTCCTCCTCTAGCCTAGGGCCCTCCTTCTCCTTTCGCCAGCAGGCTCAAAAAGCAATTTCTGAGGGCCCAGGGGGAATGCTCAAGCTTGCGACACGCTATTTCTTACGGGGCTAGGGGCCCACAATTGATTGGGGCCCACCTGAAGTGAATTAATTTATGGAGATTAAGTGGGGGATTGGAATTGAGTGGATTTTCGGGGATTTTTTTTGGGGTAGGAAAAATAGGAGGAGGCTTGACAAACGTATTCTAATTTTTTAAAATATAGGTAAGTCTTGATGATATTTATTAAAGTTTAAAAAGCTAGAATATTTAGGTTTGAGGATTGACGATTTATCTGTATGCATCTCTCTCTCTCTCTCTCTCTCTCTCTCTCTCTCTCTCTCTTCAAACCCTCCACCGTCAGCTCGCAACCCATTTGAAATCCGATAATCAATCCATCCCCCCTCTTTCCACTAATCGGCTATCATCCGGGACGCCCCGAAACGGGCTCTCAAGATGAAAAATCCGGCCCGTGGTAGAGATTTATGGCTACCGGGTGTCGTTAAATTCCTGTGCCCTGGCCAATATCCACCCACCATCAAGAGCTGCGCACCTTTTTTCAGCCTGCCTAACTAGCTAGCGAAACACAAACACGGCCACGCTAATTTTACGGCTACTTTTAAAAGCTGGAGGCTATGAAAAATCGGCTAGAATTTGGAAATAGCTCAAAATGCGAGGTAGTGCGCCTGGACTGCTCGAAATTGGTGTAAAATTGATTATAGCGTTGTAGCTGCTAGAATAAATTGTAGAATAGGCGCTATAAATTCTAAAATATATTTTAAGCAGAGAGGATGTCATTTGAAAGGTTAAAAGACGGAATATAGCAATTTTCAAACCCCCCGTATTTTGTAAAAGAATTTCAAAGTATAGAGTACCTAGCTCAAAAAAAATTCTTGTGAAAGAGCTATCAAATAAAATTCTTTAAAAATTAAAAAGAATTCAGAAAAGGCTAGGAAATTTTTGGAAAACCGGTGGGCCGCAATCCAAAACCAAAAGCTCCAACCCAAAGCAACACAGCAGAACAGAAGCTATGTGAGCCAGAAAATTGACGAGGTGCCGTTTTGTCGGTGGTGCCGGAAAGTTATGACCGGGGGCCCCGGCTGGGGGGTAGCCCCTCGGAATGACTGGCAGAAGGGCCGCAGGCTATGAATGGGCTGTCAAAAAGTGTGTCTATGTGATATGACGGGTTAAAGGGGTCGTGAAGAGGCAGCCGAGAAGATGGAAGAGACAAGTTTATGATCGGCTCCTGCACCCAAAGAAGAAACAAAAAACAGAAGAAAATAGGCATGGGAGGGGGGAGTGTATGTATGTCACGATGAAGAGTGACAAATAGCCATCGGCGTGTGGGGGGTATAGAAGATATATAAGTGTGTGTACCCGATGGGACATCGATGGGCTGTCGGCGTGAATCAGTTGAGCGATGGCTTCGTTGTGGGAGATGGGACGGGAGGGGATGGGACGGTTGTGTTTGATGGTGTCTCCCGGAATCGAGCCAAACCGATGAATCGTAGAGGGAAGAAGAAGATACACTCACTCTCACCCCCGAAGAGACAGAGGAGCCTCAGAGCTGACAGCTCGCACTCCTCAACGGCTTAAAGGGCCACGCCCCCCTTTTTCAGTTGGGGCTCACCTCTCTGGGTGGGGAGCAACCATTCAGCGCCGAGGGCACGCCCCTTCTTTCTCTCTCGTTCCCTCTCTATTCCGAGAGAGTACGCGGAGGGCTACTGTATCGATTCCGAGCCCTCTCCTAAATAGCCGGCTGAAGGAAACGCCCCCATTTCTGCGCACCTGCCCCTCACAGCCACCCATCGACATATTCAATGGCTTTGACCGGGGTGGAAAAACCTTTCAAGGCTGAATTTTTTGGGGGTACGTCGTCTCGGGGTAACGGTCGTCATCTGTTTTTAAAGGGTTTAGCGAGTGATTTTGGGGATTCGAAGCGTTATTTTGAACTAATTTTGTTTAAATTTTCTGACTATATAGTTGAATATCGACAAAATTACTGGCAAAATTTTATAGCGTTTCCGCTTCTGTACATCTACTTATGGAGCTTGGAAAACTCAATTTTCGAATCTTTTCGAGATTATTCGCGCTTTTTCGAGTCGAGCTTTAAGAATGCATAAAAATTCAGCTAAAATCTATTTTATGCCTTTCTAAATATTCTCGTTTAGCATCACTAACTTTCAAAATTCGAAAATTTTTCGTTGAGGATACCTTTAAAACCACTTGCGCTCAATCCAAACCCTCATAAGTTTTCATAACCTCGAAATTCGAATCACCTGCTGTTTCTGCTTATTTTAAATCCAAGAACCCACCAAATAAGGCTATAAACCAAACTTTCCCGTATCATAAGTAATCTCCCCCCATTCCCAGGAACTTTCACTGATCCCAATCTCGACCGCCTGTTACTCAATAACCCGGTAATCAATCTTATAAACGGGCGATGGGCCCAAGTTGCCTTTTCTAATAGACCAAAAGGGGAGCAAGAGAGTGAGCAGCGAGAGGAGAATGAGACGGTCAAAAGATCAGATAATCTAATCGGCGGCGGATCGCCCCTAAATACCCCCAACCAACAATGGGCATCGGGTGGATCATGGCCATTGGCAATTTCAAGGGAGTTGGAAATGAGAGGGGAGGGTATTCAAAGGTATAAAAAAGTTCAGGCTCACCTCCTGGGGCTCGAGTTTCATCATGTGGTCGGCGGGTTTGTTCTGGAAGACGTACGGTCCCCAGTCATCTGTAGCTGTCGGGCCGCCTGCCTCCCGCCACAGTTCTTGATTCATGGTTGCTGTAAAAATGGAAAAATGTTGTATATTTAGAGATAAGCGAAATTAAATAAAATAAATAGGGGAAATAAATTAAATAAACTTGATACATTCAGAATATTGAACGGAGCGTGAAGTACGTTCAATACGAAGGAAAAAGCCATTAAAACCGCTTGAAATTGTGAAATCGAGACTTGTTGCACATTAATAGCATGTTTTAATTGACGTATTGATTGAAAATACCTCAATAAAGCCTTTAAAATGTATTATTCACGACTAGTGTTTGCATGTGAATGAGAGCTTCTACAAAATTCCGGCTATGCTACAAAACTATCACCACCAATCACCTCAAAACCCATAAAACACCATATAAATCAGAATCCACCCTATAAATCCGCACGCCAAACTCAACGAGGCGTTAGTTGGAGGCCTCTGCCTATGCATTTCCGAAGGGCGGGCATCCAATGGCTGGTTGAAAGGCCGGAAAATGGTCGCGCCTCAATTATACGCGATGGGGCACAGGTCGGACTCGGCGGGGGTCGATGAGCTGACAGTTTGCCTGGATTCCGCTTCATTAAAGGTATCCGCGGGAGGGGAAGGTTGTTTTAAAAGAGTGGGACATCAAAAAAGCTCGTAACGTTGCGTAGACGCTAATTTTGGGCATAATAAAATGGCTTAAAAATTCTGGGAGCCAAAACTGATACTGTAAAGTGTGGAAAATTACTTCACCAACACCTGCATTTGCCTGATTTCCGCTTCATTAAAGGTATCGGCGCTTGAAAAGTTGTTTTAAAAGCGCTGGGACACCAAATGAAGCTTAAAAGTCTGTATAGACAGTAATTCTGGACGTATTAAGATGGCCTACACTTGCAGGTATCGAGAAATTGACACCTGATAACCACCCAAAATTAGATCACAAAACGTATATTGCGTTCGTACATTGTAGCATTGTGAAATTTTGCGAGTACTACATTTTCTGCATTAATTAAAAACCTAAATTACCAGTTTTTAGGTTTTTCGGACCCTTATCCTCAAATAAAAACTACAATAAATCACCGCCACGCTTCACTTTTTCCGCTCAATTTGGGCTTTGGGAAAATCGAATAAAGCCGGTGGCCAGGTGCCGCTGGGGATTTATGTGTTCCCTGGGGCAACCGGAAAACGGGAAGAAACGGTAGCTTTCCGGAATACTAGGTTTCTTTGCGCTTTCAAAAACCTACCTATAGGTATACAAAAATATACATTAACAGTAATATATTTCAAAACTCAGGACCGGAAGCCAATACTCCGCCCAAACGTCCCCAAAAAATGACGCGCCCTGGCGCCAGGGTGTCGGCTTGAATTTGCCGAGCTGGGAGCCCCAGAATCTCATGTCTATCAGCTAATAGGGTTCACTTTATAAGAAGAGAAGAACCTACAAAAAAACGGATGGTCACTACAGAACCCGTTATCACAGCCCCTTGAAGACCTGAACCCACTCCCTTATGGCCCCCGCTTCTAGTAAAAAAAGTGGAGGAGCGATTAGCGGCCCCGCAACATTTTCGGGTCGATAGGGCAACAAAAATCAAGAATATAGAGGGAGAAGTGGGTTTAAAGGGATGGTGACAGGGAGGGTGAGCAGCAGCCAGGTTGCACGTTCCGAACAAAATACGAAATTGGCCTTGTAGAAGTAGGTATAGATTTTTAATGTGGATTTACAGAAACTAGACAAAGATCAAATTCTAAGGTTTTGTAAAATCCAAACTATAAATTTTTTCTTAAGCTTCAAATTCTCGACAATATAAAGTTCAATCGAAACTTTTAAGGCGCTTCCGAAGTCAGCGAAACGTCCTAGAATTTCCACAAAAAATATAGGCATAAATTTACAACTTCCAGATCGCCTAAAAAAATTAAAATTAGTGGGAAACGATCATATGCTAATTGTTACAGCTATTCAACCTAATTAAAAATTGTTGCATCTTTTTTTCTGCGTAATAGTTAGCTTAGAATCATATAAAAATATAATGCACCTATCCGAATATAACTAAACAATGTAAAAATTAGCTAAAAAAATTGACGTGAAATTTTCACATTCCTCTAACCCAGAATTTTCACCCTATTTTTTTCTGCGTTTTTGTTCCCGAGATCTGTGAACGGTTCCAGGGGGCCCTCGCGGCTCCGTTTCAATGCTATGCCCTCCCTCGGTCTCGTATCAATATGGGCCACTTTTTCTAGACGATGCTTCGTGGCACTTACTCTCTACCAAAAAACTTATCAGAGGCCGGAGGGGGCCCGGGCAATGTTGCGGAGTGGGAGAAGCTGTCTTACAAGTATTGATTTGCAGAGGGGGAGGGGGTCAGAGTTTAGCAGGAGGGGTGGTAGTAGCGATTATTTGCAATATTAAGGAAGCACTGGGCCTGTGCTGCATAAAAACCGGAAATTGGCATAATTATTCTTGAACTTTGATGGTTAGTAAATCGGCCCAGTACAAAAGAGTTAATTTTAACATCGAAAATAATACCTTATGCTGAAACTGCTCCGTCAGTAGTTATCTAGAGACCGTTACGCGCCTAATGACGTATTAAATATACGGTACACACTTCCGCTTCAAAGATCGAATAGAATACGCAATTTGCATAGAACTGTCCATTAAATTGACACCGAAATGAACAAATCTATATAAATCAATGAAAACTATCACGAACCAATCCTCCCAAAACAACCCCTACAGTACCCCCGTAAACGGCGCGCTATGACTGGGCCACGAACCGTACGGTCCCGGGGCGCGTGCGAGAAGTGGCCAAACAGTGGGCCCCCCACGGTAACCAAACAGTCTCGCCGGGGCGGAAAAGCTACCGCCCTCACCACTTCAACGCCCATCCCCCCACCTCAGCAGCTAATTGGTTGGGCCAACAAGTGGGTTGACCGCCAAAGGGTGGATATAGCAGATTAACAAACGTACGTTTGTGAGTACACCGGAAGTGCCGTTCCGGAGCTCTCAAAAGTGAAAACTCAGCTCATAGAGGCTCGAAATTACGAGATTCTGAAGATTCAAGACTCTGAAAATCAAGATCATGAAAAAATTCTAGATCCTGAGTTTCGACTTTCCTTTAAAAACTAAAAATACTCTGAAAATTCCAACGCTAAAGGCACAGACAGGCTGCCCATAATGAGGGGCCAGCCTTTGTTCGCCGTGCAGAGGTGCGGTGCGTAGTCAGAAGAGGGGGGTGGGTGGATGTCGTAAAGGGATCAAGTTGAAGGGGGATAGAGTCCCTTTGAGTAGACCCGATTTACAGGGCCACAATGGGCCATTCCAGGGGCCTAGTAGGGGCCCGATGGTTGAGAGGGGGTAGCTGGCTGGAAATGGGGGTTGATGGAAGGGGGGAATTTTGGAGGTTAGGCTTAGGCTTGGGCTTAGGCTCGCTTAGGCTTAGCATCGGCTTAGCTTAGGCTTAGGCTTAGGCTTCGGATCAAGCTTAGGCCTTCAGTAAAAACCAAATACAACCTACAAAAATTAAAATTAAAATATCATTAAAAATCCAACCATCGCTAATCCGAATATATACTATCGACGTATCACAACAAAAGATTAAGCCAAATGCCATAGCTAGTGATCGAGCGAGCACGAGAGACAGTTGGTGATGCTAACCCGGATTATGCAATGCTGCCCGGCGGGGCTACGGCTCCCCCCCACCTTGGATCTCCTTTCAAAGCGCCGATCGGCGGATCATTTGCATAGAATCGACAAACAAAAGAAGTGCCCTCGAACAGATGCCCCTATCTCTTGCTCTCTCTCCCTCTTTCTAGCTCTCTCACCCTCCAACAGTTCCTGCCTGGCATATGATGGATGAGTGATTGTAAATGGGCCCTCATAAGCGTTGTTATGATTGTTTTTATCGCCTGGAGTGGCCAACCAGCTGGTAGAAAAAAAGAGGGTGACTACGGGGAATTTTTATAGAAACTAATGCTTTCATTTAAGATACCAGAAAGGGCGTGATTCGACAGTTTCTATTAAATAGGCTTGACAGGTTATTAAAAATCATATTTACCTATTAAAAACCCAGCTTGCCCAGTTTTGTAAAGGAATACTATCAAGAGCATCTAAAAATAATTTTTCTGTCGACACCTAGTCTAAAATGGGGTCGAATCTCCACATTTTCTAGGGCCCTTAAATATCGTGAATTCAGCAAAATTCGGAATATTTTACTTAACGGGACTATAAACGCAAATCACTCATTTCTAAAACCCAGCTCCTCGAAATAGCAAAAATTACCGTAACTAGCTTCGACCAACCCATTTTTCCGCCTCAATACGTCACTACACCCTACCGTTCTCGCGCAAAACAGTCCACACCAATGAGGCCAACAGCCAGACCCGGTCCTGCCCAGCCATCCCACCCTACCCAACCCTAAATCTTGCCCCTATTGGCCCACCCCCCATAATCCGCGAGGTCCCAGCCAGGACAGACGCGCGAACTGGGCGCATAAAAATTACAGCAAAAAGTTGGGTGTGCCTGTAGCTGTAAAATATGGAGATTAATCTGCAACGGCTGTCCGGCAGGGATCTGGACGTCTGTTTCCGGGAGTTCCAAAAAATTAAGGGGTGGATATTTATCAATAATTGCCGGAGATCTGTTGATTTTTGGAAGCTGAAACCAAAACATAAGCCTAAGCCTAAGCCTAAGCCTAAGCGAAGCCCAAGATATGTCCAAGCCTAAACCCAGCCTAAGCCGAGCCTAAGCCTAAGCTAAAACCTAAGGCTAAGCTGAGCCTAAGCTAAGCCCAAGCCTAAGCCTAAGCAGAACATAGAAATAGACGAAAATATGGTGGCTGCGCAACCAATCTCACCCCCCGGCTAACGCATCAGCGCCAGATACACCAAACCTGGAAAATTAGCATTTCCGAAAAAGCGTTCGCTCAAAGCTCATGCTCATCAAAATCTGTAAACACCGTAGTAAATGTGGAGATATCCGGTGGGTAGATCGAGAGACCCATGCCCACCCCCTTCCCGCCAGGGCCCAATCATATTTCAGGAGGCCCGCCCGCCCTCAATCAGCCACCCACCACTCCCGTGGCCCGCTACGGGACCCCCCACCCAACCTTCGCAGCGCTAATATGGCCTTCTAGCTTTATTGCTTCCCTCCTAGTCGGGAGGGCCCATCCAATGACTCGGCCCTGGAGGCCCCCTATCAAATTAGTGGCGTTGGTTGAAAGGGGATAAAGTGTGTTGGAAGGGGGTAAATAAATGTGGAATTTGGAAGCTGGGGATTGTGAAGTAAAGTAAAGTGGGAAAGCGACAGAATCTCCGCGATTTAGAGATCGAATTTTATGAATGTCTAGTTTTCAAAACCTCGAAAACCGGTAAATTTTGAAAGTGGGAAATTCAGAAAATTCAAGATCTCGGACGTTCCGGATTATGACAATTCGAGCTTCCGAAAACTTAAGGTGTCGAAAATTCGGGATTCTGAACATTCAAGCTTTTAAAACCTGAAATTATGAAAGTTTCGGCATTCTGAAAACCCGAGATTCTGAAAATTCAAGATACTATATCAATACTATGAAAATACCCGATTCAAAAAATGTAAAATTTCGAAAAATCGGCATTGTGGGCGAAAATTCAAGATTTTGAAAATGCGAAATTACGAAAATTCCGTATTCTAATCTTCAGGCTTCCGATAGACAATCAAGTAACCGCCCTAACTAAGATGCGCACAAGATCAAGCACTACGTAATCGCACAGCCCATTAAAATACGCAACACTACCCCCCCCCCCACCCCGACCAGCTGCTAAAAACCATCAATCTAACCTGTCAACTTGCCCCAAAATAATTACTGCCACGAGGGAAGGATAGCCAGAATCATGCAAAGTTAAAGTAATTCTTGTAGAAAAATCTATGGCTGATACAGTGCCCTGGGCGGAACAAGTTTTATCAGTAGATCTCGGTGGGACCGGGCCTTCTACTGTCGGCAAACTAATCCCCTAATTAGAGGCCCTTGGCTCGAGGGGGCAATCGCCGATGGCACAACACTTCCTAATGTCGAGGTCGTCGTTTTTGGAGCCAAACGGAAATGGGGTTTGGAGGCGGATTTGGCTTTATTTGTTTTAATCTATAAGTTTTCGAACATTTTGACTTTTTGGTCAAACCTGTATGGAAAATGACCAAAACGGGGCGAAATTTTGAAATTTTGAAAAATATTCAAAGTATTTTTGTAGATTTTTAGCACTTAAAAACTAAGAAAAAGCCTAGAAAGTTACATTATTTATATGAACAGGTTAGGATATAGATTCAAAGATTATTTTTCTCTGTGCTAAAAATCCTTGCACCCCCGCTAACAGTCGAGTCATTTTTACCTTGGTATTGACGTAAAAAGAAACACATTTAAAAAAATAAGAAAAACTGTAACAGATTCAGCAGACTCAGCTGCTTCACTGAACCAAAAACAACAGAATAAAAACCACCGAGCCCTAAAGCGTGACCTGATGGCGCGCAGATATGATGGCACGGATCATTTTACCTCTAAATTGCCCCCACCCGCTCTTCCTCCTCCCCGCCCTTGGCCTCTACCCCCAATCACGATAATTAGAAAATAGGGGTAGAGACCGTGGTTTGGGCCCCTAGCCTCCAGATGACGGATCGGCCCACTGATTCGGGTTGGCGCAACGGATCCGCCCTGCGGCATATGGCCCAAAACCGTGATGGATCGGCGCCGCGTAATTGAGGGGAAATATTTAGAAAAACGGATTTGGTGGAGCGTGAAAAATTTAGCAGGGCCTACTGTCAAGAAATATTGGGAAAAAGAGATTCAAAAAACCCCAAAAAGTGGGAAATTGTCAGCTGGCGAAATTGTTATCTGATCGAATCGTGGCCCCATCCATTTGCAGACAAAATAAAACTAACACCAGAAAACAATAACTTTTCGATTAAATTCGATTCGTAAATCGAATCAATACATATGAAAAAATAAGCCATCCTTAAAAAAGTCCCGCATACCCAAGCCTACCATAGCAAAGGAGCTATTTTCTTATGCAAATCCAGTTTTCTAGATGAGTTCGAAGTTGTAGCTTTTCGAGATATTGCCCATCATCCAAAAAGGCGGTAGGCTGTAATTCGTCAGCTGTAATGACATCCCAACAAATCAAAAAAAAAGTGAGCGCCACTCAAAAAAGCGTGGCAAATGAATGACAGTGAAGTGAAGAATGGCGTATTCCCATGGGCAATCGGCTGGAGGGCGGAGTCGTGTTTTGAGTTCCTGATCGTAGTGCCCAAGTTTCGACCGGGGGCAATTGAATGGTACTCCGCCGAGTAAAGGCCGTGGGATAACAGAGATGATGATGTGGGTATAATTGAGAGATCTGCCCTGGGGCCAGGGTTCCCATAATGTATCCCCCCTGTATCCAGGTGCTATCCCATCCCCCGGTTTCACATCTGCGCGAAAAAGGCGGGTATTGTGCCCCAGGGGGAAATTTGCATCTTACTTAATTTCAATTAAGCTAGTCCGTTTTTACAGCAAATTTTTTTCACCGAAAAATAACTAGAAGCATCCTGGATGCTACATAAGTTTTTCTGAACGTGTTATGCAGACTAAAAAACCAAACATAGTAGCAGAATGGGTATGGGAAGCGGCGGAAATGCCGACTTTCAAAATACCGACACCAATAATACCGATTTTTTTTTTCATTTCTAGGGGAAACATCTTGGCGCTAATACACGGAATGAGAAAATGACGGACATGCCACGGACGACAGTCATAATTCCGATTGCTTCAAAATGCCCACAGCAAAACATCACGATTTTGGGCTGTCGGCATTCTGACAAGTCGGTATTTTGAAATGTCGGCAGTGCGACATGTCGGAACCTCCGATCCGACCCATAAATAGCGATATTGTGATGATCCTAGAGGAACCGAGGACAACGTGAAAAAGCTCGAACATATCAGTGATTTTTTAGCGCAATGACATACGATTTCTGCCCCAAACCAATCAATGCAATACCGAAAAAATCACAAGCTCAAACCCCTAGTTGGTGTCCTAGACCTGACCGCCGCGCGGGGAGTACGGTAAACCAAACGGACGCAAGCAATTGGGTGGTGGGTGGGGGGGGGGGGGGGACTAGGCGAGGGGGTGAGAAGCGGCGCCGGGAGGCAAATAGAGGCCGAACTGTCAATCAGGGACACAATGGATGAGGGCCACACATACCCGGGGATAAATACCCAACACTTCCCCTTCTTTCTACCACCTAGACCATACCGGGGGGCTTACTTTACAAACGGTCCAGATTTGGGGTGGGACTGGTCAGTTATGCCAGGAGGCGTTTTTTTTTTAGTGTCATCGGGGTTTCAAATCGGTACCATGCGTAACTCAAAATGAGGTACTTTCTATGGTTTTTCTAAATTAAATCGTTCACAACTTTCAGAAAGTCACGATTCCGCAAATTACGTAAACATATTCGGAATCAGTGCAAAATTCTACACATGATGAGCTCGCTCCCAACGTGAAGCCCCCGTGACACTGAAAGAACGTCGCCTTTTTGCGTATGCTACATCCTAAAAAAACACCAGGAACCAGAATTCGCCTGCTACTTAGCCGTTTGAACTCTGGTAACCCCATTCTTCCGCCAAAGGCTCAAATACACATTCCGAAAACCTCGCCATGACATACACAATCCTACTGTAAGCGTGGCGGCCCGGGCCAAATGTCGCGTTTCCATGCCAAAGCCCGAAACCGTCATTCCGCATTAGGCTCGCCGGGGACGCTTTTGAAACGTTCAAAACGAAAAACTCGGACAGCAGGCACCAAAGCCCTTTCTTGATCCCTAAATACTAGATGGGCTTGGTTTCCAAGACAAAACCCTTCAAATTCAATCTAGAAAAAAGGTAAATTGTGTGTTTGGTTAGATTTTCCTGGAACTTCCGGTTGTGGCTCGACATGGGAGATGAAAAGCTGTCACCACTGCCCTCGGACCAAGGGTCGCGAAGCCGCAGAGCGGTTTTCCAACCCTGCGAAATCTGTAAAGTCAACCTGAAAAACTACACGTTTCTTCAAGCACTACTGTTGCTTTCATACCGTATCCATCATCGTTCCTCCATGCTCACGGGGGTTGGAGATTGGAAAAAGAAAATTGGGCGCTCGAAAAGGGATAGGGCACAAAGAGGGTGCGAGAAGCGGAGGGATCGGGCCGAAGATGTCGATCTTATCGGTGCCAAGATCGACCCCAGTCTTTCTCAACTGAAAGGGCACGGCCGACGGGCCAGCAAATTCGACCGACGCTTGACAAAATCCGAAATAACACCGTGGAAAAGCGACAAAAAGTGCAACCTAAATTTAATTGGGGAAGTTCTAAAAATTCACAAGTTCGCCGCGTTAGAAGTTGCATCAAACTATGTTGTTTTCGTCTCTTTTTTCGTGACGCGGCTTTAAATGTTCAGCTTTCCTAGTTATACCATTACCAAGCTATCACAGTATGGACTTCATTCATCTAAAGTAATCCCCAATAATGAATCTAAAGTCAAAACTACTTCTTTCTAAAACCTTCTACCACTGCATTCCCACCGAACTCTCCTCCTCCTCCCCCTAAAGAAGTCAATTTGAGATGTTAATCAAGGACGTCCCCGCAACGAGACATTCACCGCGCTGCTCCACTTCAGCCTAGAGATCAGCCCGTAAATCTGCAATAAATAGACACCTCACCCTATTGCCTACACTATCAAGACGCAAAAGTGGGGGAGAAATACACTTCGGACTCCTAGCTTCACAATCCAAAATGTACCCTTTTAGTGACCAAATGTCATTATAGAATAGAAATTTACAATGTAATGACCCCAAGAGAATAACGACCGAATTTATTGAAAACTGCGAAATAAATAAGAGCACCGGTGTATCACTTGATGATCAAACAAACGGAATGGCGATGTTAGAAATCAGAAAAAGCAATGATTCTGATAATTGGGAAAGGAAACAAGTCTAGTAAAATCCAAAAACAACGATGAAAATTTACTTCTTGTCATGACGGTCGAGGAACGCTGCGCGCAGGGCCCTCAAATTCGAGACGCGAGCGGAGTCACCATTGTCCAGCTAAAAAAGATTGATTAAAAATGGGTGAAAAACTAACCTCCATCTCAGATGGCGTGGTCGAGCCCAAAATTGGCGTTTCTTCCTCCTGTAGTGACAGTTGAATAGCGGCCTGAAGATCCGCGTCCCCGCTGTCGAGTGAAACGGAAGGACCGGCACGATCAGCTAAACCAATAAATTAATAAATAAAAAAAATCATTACCATCGGCGAGACTCTGTCGGATTGCTTGCTCCATCGGTGTCTCCTGATCAGCCGATGAGCTACCGAGCACCATCGACGAGATGTCATCGACAATAGAACCGAGACGCCGTCCGAATCCGGTTATCACGCCGTCCTTTGGCTAAAAAATGCGTAGTAAGTCAGTAAAAACCTCATGAACAACAATAATAACAAACTATATTTCAATAAAAAACCTACAGCTTCCTTCCTAAGCTCCGTCGCTTCCCCCAAACCGAACACCGTCAAGATCGCCTCGCCCTGGCATACCGGCAATTTCCCAGTAACGACGTAGACCACATGTTCTACAGAAAGCGTTTAAGAAGAAGGGATAAAACAAACCGTCCAACTGCATCTGTTGGAGAAACATTCCGACGTAAGTTTCAGACAGCAGCTCCGGGCCTTTGTGCAACGAGTTCAGCAGGAACCACAAGTGTGCAATTCGACGGACGACAAACCAATGCTCGTGTCGGTTCAGAATGAATGCCTCGGCTCGCCTAATAAGCTTTTAAGAAAAGAAAACTAAAACTTACAACGGATCTTCTCTGATGTAGCTCTGGCTGGGGTGCATGATGTTGATCAGCTCGAGGTCGAACACCCTCACGGCCTCGGACATCACCTGAAAAGAGAATTGATAGCAAATAAAAAGAGTTAACCTGGATGGAGAAGAAGCCGAGCTCGTTCATGTTCTTGCTGGTGTTGTGTTGAACGCCAAGCACCTCATTCTCGCGGGTATCGAGCTTGTGGGCAATATCGGCGAGGTCCCCAGCAGTAAAGTGGTCGTCCTGCAAGAGCATGTTGAGCGCGTGCTGGCCACACAGTCCTCCCTCCTGCTTCTCGAAATAAATGCTCTCCATCTAAAGCGCGGAATAAAAATTGAAAGTGAAAGAGCAGGCCAAAAAGCAATAAGAAACTAATGGCAATTGCTTGGTGGAGAAAATCAGAAGTAAAAGCGGAATGATGGAGAAGAATGTCGAAAAAAAGACCTTACAAAACTTCCGGCTAAAATTGCTGACAATTTTGTGGCGTAACTGATTAATAGTATGGAGCTCGAGCCAGAAAGGTGAACGCACGACAGTAGCCGCAAAGGAAGGGCGCGTGTCCGGATTTTTCGAAAAGGGAGGGGGCACTGAGAAGAATGATGTGAAAGGTTGAATAGTCACACATATTCTAAAATTCTGGATTAAAACGAAAAACATTTGTTTATAAAATGATCCTGATGTTGAAAACTGAAAAGAATGAAATTCGTTTATTCGATGTTTTTTCCGTTTGCTACGCTTTTCTTTTCGCGCGTTCGTAAAGTGGTGTTTTGCGTAGCCTTTTTGCCTGCGCGTAAAGAGGTGTTTTACGTAACATTTCCATTCCTTTTTTTAATTTTTCGCAAATTTTTATTGGTTTACATATGGGCTTATTTAGGTAATGAACACCTCCTACGGATGGGACGCAGTGGCAGCTTGCGAAGGCTCAAAAACTGAAACTCTTCGAGGGGAACCGACTCGACACGTGTTGGTGCGCTGGAAGTTAGTTTTCTTTGAATCCGTTTGGAATAAATATTCCTTCAGGCCTAGTTGGCTCCCGAGACAACAGATTGGCGGCTATTCGGAGATCGAGCAGGTAATTTTATTTTGAAAAGCTAGCGCTCTGGAGTGAAAATAAAATTTTATCGGAGCAGTTAGGTCGAACCTTTCAAACCTCAGACTGAAACCTTTCAGGATATCTACATTGTCCACGGACCGCGGCAAACCGACAAAGACCAACCGCCGTTTGAGCAGTCCTGGGTTGTAACTAGGTATTTTGCCGCCAGTTGTTGGTCTATTTGTGATGATTCTTAGACAAGCAACGCCTGAGGCGAAGACCGAGACGATCTTGATGCGCTATAACGAGGTAAGATAAACTAAGCGCGACACATAGAGCTAAATGCTCGTTTGTAGATTAAGAAGCGAATGCCGGCGGAGCTGATCGAATATTTTGAGCGGATTCCCGTCGATGAATAGCTAGAAAAATGGTTTTTTACAGGTCGGTGAAGTGAATAGTCTCTGACAACAGCAAAGAGCTAAAACTAGATATGATTATAAAATTTAGACTTCTAAAAGCGACGCCTAGACTTCCTCCTCAATATCGCGGGTGAACATAATTTCTTAATTAATTCATATGCATTTTAATAAAGATTAATATTTCAACATTCCAGTTTGCGCAATATTTTTAGTAGGCTACCCGATCTCTCGTGGGATGGCCGAGGGGCCGTCCGGTTCTGGATGGGTCTCCTGGGAGTAGGGGTGGTCTTTGAAAATACGATCTAAGAGAGAGAGCAAAAACAACAACAGGGGAAGGGGGTTTTCCCCTTCTAGGGCCACAGCTTTATGCAGATGTCCTCTGGATTGCTGAAAGCTTTACATGCTCTGTACGTTTTCCTTTTTGTAAATTTTATTCCGATTTCTTGAAGTTTTATCGTCTTATAAGGACGTAGTTGATGATTCCGGGGTTTTTCGAGGCCCTTTTTCGGAGGAGTGCGCGCTAGTTGTTAGGCGTAAGGGGGAATCAGATGAAACGACAACACCGTCAACAAATTCAAGGTTTTCTGAAGAGGGTCTCGCGCGGGGCCCCCGCCCACTCCGTTTCCTATCCGGGCTCGGGAGTTTTTTTGGTGCTTTCTGCTTCTAGAAACCTGCACTTTTCAGAGGATTTTCTCCAGCGGGTTTTAAATTGAGTTAGGGTTTGGTTTTATTATTTGTGCAAAGAAACTACAATTTTTAGAAGATTTTATAGGATTCTAAAAATGTTCGTGTTAGCTGTTTAGTTTTGATTATTAGAAATTAAAACCTGTATTTTGACGAAAACCGTGACCTTCAATGTTTGCCCCGGTCAATTTTCACCAGCTATTTTATTCTTATAGCTAAAAAAGCGTTTTTAATATCCGTTTTAGCAGAATTTTTCCAAAGTTTTGACTTTTCTGACTTCTTATCCAGTTTATTAGCTTGTTTTCAAATAGGTTTAGCCATATAAGTAAAATACTAGCATTTCGATGATATTTTCCTTATTTTCCTTTATCTTGTTAAATGCATAATTTTATTATTATAAATAAAATAGAATTTTTGCAGCAGATTTTAGACTATTTTTCCTAAATTTTCGCCCCGAATTTTTACTTTTTCGCTGGCTATGGCCCCCGTAAAGCAGCTCCTTCACTATCGTGACTCGTTACCCATTTTATTAGCTTGTTTTCCATTTTCCCAATTGCTGCTCCCGGGTCATTCGCACCAAAAATAGCAATTCCAGCCAGCCGGCCGATTCCAGGGAACCGCCATTTTCCGCGCCCTCTTACAGCTCTCTTACTTCAACAGTTAGCAATATGATCTCGGCCGGGTGTTTCCATATCGATGATATCATCAAACACCAGTAAGTTTAAAGCCTAGCAAATAAAAATCGATTTATGCTTATAAGCTAAACTTCTCGGGGTGCCGTTTACAGTTTTCCCGCGGAAATTTGTGGCCACGTTGGCCCCCTAGGCCCATAAGCTTCGGGATTTTGAGGGAGAATAAACAAATTGGGGTGGCGGGGTGTTAGTTTCGCTGGGCTTCAAACGACGATTTGTTGCCAACCGCTTCCTTTTTTGGGTCTGCAAACTTGCAGGTGAGTTTTGTGGCACTGGTCTGTTAGCGAGGGGGGTTGGGGGAGAAGCTGATGTTCCCAGTAATTCTGTACGGTCCGAAACATAAACCATTTTGTATAGCATTTTCCATGGGTTTTAGATTAAAAAAAGCGCCCAAAAGCCTATACTTTTCGAAAATTTTCGACTTTTTTTGTCAAAAATTTATGAAAAATGACCAAAAAGATCAAAAATTTCGAATTTTCAGCAATCAAAAACTACTAAAAACGTTAGAAAAATCGAATTATTATTAAAATATTTCGAAAAAATTAATCCCCCCCGCTAACAGCATAATACCGATTTTTTAGGTTCAAATTTTCTGAATTTTTTTTGTGGGATTTGGAAAGACGTCACGTGCACGGACTTGAAATCCGATTTGGCGGTTGCAACTTTTGGAGGGCAAGAATTGTTGGTAATCAAGCGGGAAGCCGCTGGGGGTCCCTGGAGGATAAATCAGCTTGGGAGGCGTGGAATTTTGGGTGACCCTCAAAATTGGGGGCAGTCTAGTCGTGATCTCCCTATTTCCGGCCCCTCGATGCTTCATCTGACTGTGGGTCGTGTGCTCGAGAATCGGTTAGTGATTTTGGGGCACTGGACGGTTAGCGGGGGGGGACTTTTTGTAAGGGAAACCAAATTATTCCTAGTAGAACAAAATTTCAACCATTTTTAGGGCATTTGGCGCGGCTTTTTTGGCATTCAAGCAGGGCCGTAACAAACCCAAATTTCAGGGGGGCGACCCCAAAAATTTTTCAATAATATGACTAAAACTACTGCGCCGCAGGCAACATTCTTGAAAAAATAGGGTTTCTAACACTAAAACTAGTGTTAAAAATAGCCAAAAACAGCGCCGCAGGCAAAAAATTTTTTGGAAAAATTAAATCATAAGGGTCCCCCCTTATGAACTTTTCGGCCTTCGGCTGATTTCGGGGTGAAATATTTTTGTAACCTTTTAGTAACAGGTCTATTAATAGCCGGGAAAACATAATTATTTTTCCAGGCCTTGAGATCTATTTTGAGTGGTTTATGGGGTGCTATGCATCACTCTCACTGGGCCGCTAATATTTCCTGGAAGTTATGGGCATGTTGAGGAAGATTTTAGGGGGAATGTGACGGGCTGTAGGAAGCGGGCGGTTCGGGATTTTTTTCGTGAAATTTATGGGATAGGTCGTCGTTTTTTTAGCCAAAATCTAATGTGAGTAGAAAGGGGATTGATTTATAGCATATTTCAGAGGAGTAAACGTTGATTTATTAAAAAAATCAAGAGTTTTGAGGCCGGATTACGCTATATTTTGAAGGTATGCAAACCCTCTGAAATGGTTAAATGATAAATGGTTGATAATATTTCTCAGAATATTTGAATTTCTCTTCGTAATCAGTCGATCTCACCCTGAACCCGAACCTTCACAATACCTTTAAAATAATCTCCCTGATCTTCCTCGTTCCTCCACTCAAACTACCGTATCCATAAACCTTACAACATCACTTCCCGGTCTTCCTTCTCTAACCCCGAGAGAAGCTTCATCCAATTTATTGCCCCTCACTCGACCATTCTCCACCTAGCCACTTGAGGGTCAATTCCATGTCCCTGCAAAAAACTCCCCAACCTAACAGACCCCGAATGCTCTCTCTGGGTGCCAAAAATACGAAGAGCGGTTTCTTTTGAACATTTCATTAGGGTCGACGGGCCCTCGGAGGCAATTTTATGGGGTGCAGCGGGGTTGGGGCGGCAGCAGCTGTTGTATCCGCTTTTCGTCGTTTTCCACAGGGTGTGGCCAATGGCCGGGACGGCAGGGGTATTTATTCTAAAGCCTTCCCCCCTTCTCGGCTCCACACTATCACGACACATCTTCGCAGCTAGCCGCCGATTCCCCGGAGAGACCGTGTCAGATTTTTTGGGGCTCGACGAGGACGCTTTTCGATATTCTGAATTTTGCGGCAAGATGATTCTGGCGTGGGGCATTGATAGCAAGTTGGTTTCTTTGAGAACTACCGTAATCTGCTATTTTTTATGGTAATTTTAGTTTTTAGGCTTTTTCGAAAGGAGCATTAGTTTTTAATTTGTACATGGAAGACCGTATCCTAGCACCGACAGTATTTTTTTAGCATTATTCTGATATAAGGTTTTTGCACTTTAAGCTTTTGGTATGCCGAATATGATTTGACAGTAACCGTAATTTTTAAAATCTTATGCTAATTCAGATTTTTTGACGCCTTTAAACTTGAAAACCAGCTACCGTACCGCGTATTCTCCATTTTTGCATCCAAATTTTACCGTAAAGGTTATTCTTTTAGCTTATTTAAGTTTAGAAGGATTTTAGGCCATTTTTGCTTATGAAGCTCGATACAGAACGACTTACCGTAACGTTTACCGCCTGATGCAAATTTTTATAGTTTTTCTAGAACGGACCCCAAAGTTCAAGCCCCATTTTTTGCTCTTTGAACTACCGTACCCCATACCCTGTGTCGTCACCATCTCCCCTCCGTTCAAATTCTTTTATGAGGGCCCGGGGAATTCTTGAATTCTTGAATGCAACGGCATAAAACAAGAGCGTGTCTTGAAACGGCCCGGGCGTCGGCAATCCTAAAAAAAGGAATCTCTAAACTGAGGGCGGCCTTATGGGAGGGCAGTTGACTTGAATACTTCCATTGTATTCGAAGTAAAGGGGAGGAGGGGAAGAGGCTTTGTCTGAGTCGGGCTCGGCCCTCTAAAAAATGTCCTAAACTCGGAATGTCGGATTCAGCCCTCATTCCTGACGATTTCGACATGGGCCTCATCCGATCGCTGTCAGTGTGGTTCAAGTAAATTTTACGGATTTTTATTACGATACTATAATTGGTATTAAGTAAATCATGAATTATTTGGATTTTGGTAATTTTAAAGGGCCAGGTAATTTTCGGAAAACTATGTATGCTAATTTTTATATGCTAAGTTTTCGTTTAAACACCGTTTCTGCCGATTAAACTAACCTAAATTACTTGAATTTTGTTATTTCGAGTCGTGAAACGGCTCTAAAATTGTTTGTTGTAATTATGAGGCTTCTCGTCTGTTTAAAAAAACGAAAAACTAAAAAAATAACCTATGCAAATTTTTCTAAATTGAAATCCATTTTTTGAGACCTACAGTAACCTAGTGTAACCTAATTTCCTTCCTTTCCAGCCGTTTCAACCCACCCTAGACCCCAGACGACCCGAATTTTTCGGGCGCGTGGGATTATTTCATAAGCCGGTCCTTTTGTGGCCATCCACTGGCCACTCCACAAAAACAAACTAGCTGGGAAAAGCTGTGGGTTTTGCTGCTGCTGCGGGCTGTTGTTGACAGGGTACACCCTTTTTTACTCGCCTTTCACACTCACACACACAGACAGACAAAACTGCCCCATTCCCAATGCCAAAATGTCAACGGATTTTGTTGGGGAAAGGCCAAGGAAATTGAGAAGAAATCTTTTAAAAGAGCATATTGTGGCTGGTCGATCAAAGTTTGGGGGAATGGCAAAATACCGATATTCGAAAGGGTGGCAGGCCAAAATCCCGGCAAGAAAATTGGCGTTTTTCAAGCTCATTTTTAAAGTCGGGATTTTTAGTTGTCGGGATTTTTTGGCTGTTGGGGTTTTAACTGTCGGTATTTTTAGCTGTCGAGATTTCAACCTGTCGGCATTTTTTCCGATTACGGTTATGGGCCGCAGGGTTTTGGCTTCGGGATTATGTGACGGCTGTCGGTGTTCTGACCGTTTTTGATGGATTTTAACTGTCGGTATTTTAAACGTCGAGATTTCAGTTGTCGGGGTTAAGACTTTATGGATTTTCGTTTTCGGTTATCGCCCCGAGGGGTTTTAAATTTCGGGATTTAAGCTGTCGGGATTTCCGTTATCGGGATTTTGGGTTTTTCAGCTGTCGACATTCTAGATATGGGTAGTATGATGGATATCCCAAAATTTGCTCCTCGAACTTTAACTTATAATCTTTGAACTGAATACTTTAACCCCCTCCTCTGGTCGTTCGGAATTCCCAAAATTAGCCGTGAGACCCAGTGAGACGAGCCGAGCAAGAGCCCCGAGAATTCTTGAGGCGTCAACCCCCAACCAGGGGGGCCATGCCTCATTTTGGCACCCGATGGCCCCGGGACCGTTGTGTATGTGTATGTGTGTAGAAAGAGGGCCATCACTCTTTCGCTTGGCCAGGCCCGCCACCCCGTGCAATGCGTACTCTACGCGCCTGTTGACATGCCTCCCGAGGCGAAAAGCGCGATTTTTGGGTCGTAAAATAGGGGATGGGAGAAAAAAGGAAAGGTTGTACTAGAGAGTAGGGGGGATCAGGTGTCATAGGAGGGGTGGGGAAAGTATTGAAAATCAGTTATCGAATTGGTGATTTTAAGAAGCTAGGTAGGAACTGCAATTTTGGTGGCACAGTCCCTTTAAAAGTGATTTTTGAGCTATTTTATGACCTGAAAAAATACAGTAATCCGTCAAAACTCAGAGACAATTTTATACAAAATTTTTCATGTTTATTTTTTGCAGAAAAGAGAAGCGAATGTCGGCGGACGCGGGCCGACGACAATCATGGGTTGGTAGACGGATGTCAGTGCAGAGTCAGCATTCGTTCCAAGGGCCCGTCCATTGCTCGAGAGATCTGGTAGGACCACAGGTACACTACAAAACAATGAGAATGGAAGCGCCCCGTCTTGTAAGCTAGGATGGGCGTTTTGATGTGTGCGCTACTAGAACTAATATACACTCACAACATGGGCCGGGGTGGGATTAGATATCGTAACTGGTTATCTGTGCGCTGGATTTGTATAGAGAAATGCTACATACTAGAAAAATTGGAACCCATTATTTTATTTACACAAACTTTATCAAAAAAATATAAAAACATATATTTTTCGATGAAAAATGGCTTATTTCCGGCAAAATTTCAACCACTTTCTATTGGAATTTGCATCCGAAACAAACAGGGTGGAATTGAAAGCGGAATTTGATAGCGTAATTAAACATTATATCTTAAGCGAATATACCTACGCCCAATGGGGCAGAGACTATAAAATTATATAATGTAACCGGTTCGTAAGGTTTTTATTTGAACTTTTAACCGCTACTGATACTAATGACTAAAACTAATACCTTATAGAATATTAAAAATTCGGCCTGCTACCTGAGATTAAACCAAAACACATTTACTTGCTTTGAAAATGCTTCAAAATTTCAAAATAAAAATTAACAAAATCCTGTTAAGATGACAACTGATTTTCAAAATATCAAATGAAAAAACCTTTCTAATTTTTCACACATTGCCACTAAACAATACTAATTGACATGTCTCAGTTTGGCTTGAAGTGATCTATGTCCACCGTAAATCCAGTTTTCTAATGCGTGCCCCATTACAGGAGCGAATTGCCGTGATTTCGCCAGCGAAGGATGAGACCGTCAAGGTCAACGATATCACTCAATGCTCGTTGCTTTGTGAGAAGTAAGCTAAAAAGGGAAGCTGATGTAATAAGAATTATTTTAGGTATCATGTTGAGACGAATCACAAGGAATATTTCGTCAAGCCGTACATTGAGGTAAGGGCATTTTAAAGCGGCTCTGTAGACGGAAGTTTTGAAATACATCGAATTTTGCAAGTTTTATTGCGTTTATGTTTAAAGCGCCAGGGACAGCTAAAAATATTTTTTAGATGCTCTAGTTCTTTCAAATACTTTTGACATAGTCTCCTACCCTCGCTCTCTCTCTCCCACTCTTTCCCTCTCTCTCTCGCTCCCCCTCCTTCTCCCTCTCTAGCTCCCCCCTCTCTCTCTCCCGCTCTCTCTCATCTCTCACTTTCTCTATATCGTTATCTCTTTTCTCTATTCTCTCACTATCTCTCTCAATCCCTCTCTCTCGCTCTCTCTGCCGCTCTCTCTTCTTTCTCTATATGTCTCTCTCTTTTCTCTCTCGCTCTCTCTCTCACTCTCTCTGGCTCTCTCCCACTCTCTCTTTCTCTATATGTCCCTCTCCTTTCTCTCTCTCGCTCTCTCTCGCTCCCTCTCCCGCTCTCTCTTTCTCTATATGTCTCTCTCTTTTCTCTCTCTCTCCCTCTTTCTCTCACTCTCTCGCTCTCTCGCGCGCCGTCTATCAAACTCTATTCATCTCTAAAGGGACCTTTAAAACAATTTTTGAAATGCCTATATATTTTTATTTCTTTCTATGTACATTCTAAACTCCAATTTTTTTTTCAGGTAAAACGCCTATACCCCGACGCCCTCTTCGAATTCTACGAAAAACATTTCGGCCAAAAGCTCGCGAAAGGAAAATGAATTCCACAAATTTCCACAACACCCCCAAATTCCACCCCTAATAGTCAAACCTGGATCTCCCACATTCCCCTCTCAAAAATTCGTTACCCTTCGATGTGTACATATTCTATTTCTTGCCCACTTCCACTTGTTTTTTCACATCCACATTTTCCATTTGTCATTTCTTTATTCCGGAATAAACTATTTGCTGGGCGACTGCCCGGGTAGCTCGATGTCAAACTTGTTCACCGCATCGTTGACACTAAAAGTACGGCGCAGAAGGTCGGCCACCTGGAAATTAGGGGGGGATGAGAAAAGCGTGTGATGTTACGAAGGAAAGGCCGGGCTCAAAAGGTTAATGACTTCCCAGCCCCTTTAAAACCCACACCTCCTGGTTGTTCCCAGAGACATCAACGGCAACGACGAGTCGAGTGGCTGTCCCATTATTTAGGGGGCTGAAAGGTATTAAGCATAGAAAATAAAATACAAACTGCAACAATTTAAAAGGTACCATTATTTTGCTACAAACTACACCAATTTACAAGCCTCCATCATGTAAGAGCCTATAAACTAACCAGATGGTTACAGTCGCTTCGCGACTGCAACCATCTGGCCTTCGGGCTACCCTGCATGTCCCACTCCACCACATCCTTTCCCACCTCCATCAATACCCCCGATAGCCGAAATCCCGTTCAAAAACTACCTAAATACCTTCCTGATGGCTTTAGATACCCCCCATGGCTGAAATCCCCTTCAAAAACTACCTAAATACCTTCCTGATGGCTTTAGATACCCCCCATGGCTGAAATCCCCTTCAAAAACTACCTAAATACCTTCCTGATGGCTACAGATACCCCCCATGGCTGAAATCCCCTTCAAAAACTACCTAAATACCTTCCTGATGGCTTTAGATACCCCCCATGGCTGAAATCCCCTTCAAAAACTACCTAAATACCTTCCTGATGGCTTCAGATACCTCCCCTAGCCGAAATCTCCTTAAAACATAAACAAAAATAACGACCGACCGGATGGAATGAGAGAAAAAAAAAGAAATGAAATCCCCGTGAAAATTTTCATCCACGAAACGCGCGCCACCTGGCTCACTATCTCCAAAATCACCCCAACCCCCTTCCCCCACCCCTTTTACTAAGGAAAAAACTTTCAAAGTTAATTTTAATAATTTAAACTAAAACTTTTTCATAATTTTTTTATCAGTTTGGGGGTTTCTGACCACGCTCTATCCGAATCCGAAGAGAGCTAAGCTCTAGCTCTTTTCCCCTTCGAGTTGAATTCGGCTTCAGACAGACAGACGGACGCGTCAAGAAAATTATTATAGTTGATACCTCTAGTCCGTAGACTACAAGTTACACCGAATTACAAGGTTAATTTTATAGAGCTAAAATAATGTGTCTAGGCTACAAACTACGCACGACATCAATTTACAAGTTTTGCTTATTAAAGAGCCTAGAAAAACCAATGACTACTGATCGTAGGCTACAAACTACACTACCTAATTTTATAACGGGCTAAAAGTATGTGAAAAACTGATAAGTGCAGGCTCCAGACTACAGACTACGAACATTTACAAGAATTTTCCATTATTTCAGATCTAAAAAGTAATACGTTATAAAACCAAGTATATAAATGCAAGTTTTACTATTTCACAAACTAAAAATTAAGGCGCACCGACTACGTACTATAAACTACAACAATTTACGACATCCATGACCCCCACTCAATCTGAACGATCCGCGGATCCCCTTTAATCCTTGGGTCCTGCAGTTGACGCAGCTGCGCACTAATAGGCAGCAGAGCCACAGCCGTGTCGTTGACGGCCAGCTTAATGTACGATATTTCCCACCCTAAACCACAAACGACGCACCCCGTATGGTGTATTCGTATCCAACGTCAACACCGCCGTTGCTGTCGAACCATCCGGACTACAAAATATAAAATTATAGGTAATTCTAAAAAATTCCCTTACCTAACTAGCCCGCCAATCGTCGCCGGAAGTGTCCCGTTCTTTAATAGTGGACTACACGACTCGACGATCATCAAAGCCTAAATATTTTCTCAAAATAATTTTCAAATTGACATACCGTAACTATACATAGGACACTCAGCATCGACTTCCCTCAAAATGGCCACGCCATTCGTCTAGGCTCAAAAATTCGAGCATCCCTGCAATTATCCTAAGAATTTGCTAGCCGTCCGCAGGGGAATTTCTTGAATTTGGCTGTACGAAACGCTATAATTTACGCTTCAATGGTGTAGGGAGGTATGGCTAGAGTCGAGGGGGATGCTAGCAGAGGTTATTTGGGAAATAAACGCTCGTGTTAAGATAGCAGAATGGCTTTACGTAGCGGAGAAAATTGGCATGACGCTCGGGGCAAGCTAGCAGAGATCATTTGCTAAAAAATCTCTCTCCGGGATTTTCACACATCTGAAAACGTGTCTTGCCAGGATTACACAAAGCTTTCTTTTTGATCCTCTACTTTAGGACGACGAGTCGGCGAGGAAGGCCAAGAAGGCGAAGCGACTGAAGGACTGAAGCGCCAGTCGCCGTACAGCAAATTGGGTGGCGCCGGGGCCTCGTCGAAGATATCAATCATGGGCAAACCGACGTCCATCTCCAGGAGAAACGCCGAATACGCGCAGATCTGCCACGCCATCACCAATTAGCCGCTCTTCCTGCTCCATTAATTATTTTTGATTGCCCCGCTCTCACGAAATGTGCCGTACGCGTCCGCGCGGCTGTGAATAAAGCAGTTTTTCGTTACTTCCGTGACTTTTGTATACGCCTGCCGCTAGAATCACTGTAAGAAAAAGTAGAAAACAAGTACTTTATACTACTATACTACTACTATAGTAAAAACTTTCAAGGGTCGAGCAGAACTGACCGAAAAACCACCCCTGGCCATCAGCTACCACCGCCGAAATAGCTCTCATAATTTAGCCGGATTAAAGTTTATCCTTATCACAACAGGGCAGCATTAGTTACGCGTAAAATAAGAGATCGCCGTCACATCGCAAAAGCACAAAATAGGGCGTACAGATAAGTGGTGTGAGCTAATTGGAGAGAAAATAGAGCGCTGAAACGAGTTCAATGCAATAAAAATCACGAATAAAATGGAGCTTGGGGGCTGTGTCGACACAGGGAGCGCACGAAGCATTAGATCAGTTGGTATTTGTTGTAGAGGCTGTTCAAATGAACGGCGTCGATGACGAACCGGATCGGGCGGAGGCACAAGCAGTAGAGCAGAAAGGCGAACACGAGCAGCACACCGACGACCCTAAAATTCAAGGATTATATAGTCAGGCTGATTGAATCGAAGCGCCTAGAAAGACCTAATCACACAGTTGCGTCCCAAATATTGCACCCAATTGCGCTAATTTTTCACCACGAATTTGCTATATGTTCTACAATTTAAAAACCTAGTTAAATAACCTAAATATTGTTTCAACCAGTTTTCCGGTGAGTATGTCGAGCAAGACCCTTATAAAGTCTCTCACACTCCGAACATGCCGCCGATGTAAGTCCCGCCGATAGGCGCAGCAACGACGGTCAGGCTCGAGTTGTCGTCACTAAATGCCACAATTGCTGAAGAACACAGATAGACGCTTACCCTGTCTTTGGTAAGAGGGTCGTTGTACTCTCATCGCGAAGCCGCAACACCTCTTCGCACTAGAAAACTCAGATAGTCCAAATCCAAATCACGCATAAAACCGCTAATAAAGTACCTCGGCTTTTAGCTTGGTATTTTCTTGACAGGCCTCCACCAGTTGATCCTGCAAACTTCGGATCGTCTGCTCGAGGGGACTGTGGTCGTTGGTAAGCTGGAGAAGCAGAGTAGAATACGGGGAAATGATGATACCTCGGAAAAAATAGCATCGCCGCCGGCTGGGTCGAAGGAACTGCAGGCGCTGCTGGCTGCCTCTGAAGACGTGAGCGCTTCTTTTTCTTCCTTCAGCTTCTAAAAGACAATTTTAACAGCAGGACGAATATCGCAAAAGCAAATGTTTCTAGAAACCCGCCTCCAACTCGATATTCAGCGTATTCATCTTGAAAAACTCGTCATCATGCGCCGCTTTCAGCTTCTAAAAGACAATTTTAACAGCAGGATGAATATAGCAAAAGCAAATGTTTCTAGAAACCCGCCTCCAACTCGATATTCAGTGTATTCATCTTGAAAAACTCGTAATCATGCGCTGCCTGTAGGGCTTGTAGTTGCTCTTGGCACGTCCGAAGTTCCGCCTTCAAATTAACGATTAGCTCCTCCGCTTCCAGGCAACGCGAGTTCAGATCAGCCTAAAAATAGCTGTTAGCAGCGATCTCGACACAGTACGTTCACAGTTTGCAGCTCTATGTATTCTGCGTATGAACGGCCCGACTGTTCATCCTCGATCACAAATGATGCCTGTAATAAACCATCATGACTATAATAAGCCAAACGCACCCCCATATTGGTGTTTGGTGAGTCTTCCTCAAATGACACTTCGACTGTGGCCGCCTTTATCTGCTCGTTTTCTTGGCGGAGCTTCTAAAAACACGAATTTAATCGTAATAAATGATGGATTTCAACCGCTAATTCGCGTTCGAATTTTTGCTTCTCATCATCCCGTAGTTGATTTGCTGATTCGAGTGAAAACAAGTGTTCTTTCCTCTCTTGGTCGAGCTAAACAAAAATTAAATAGACTAAAAATTATTACCTTCTTCTCCAGTTCCCTATTTTCCTTGAGGGCCACTTTGTGCTTGTTGTCCAGTTCGTTGTAGTTTTGCTCGTTTTGCTGAAGAACTTCTTCTATGTCCTCGAGCCGGCTCCAGAGACCAATGTTCTCCTGAACCGTTCAAGTCAATTAGTGATACCATACATTCTTGAAATTCTGCCAAAAAAATAGGTGGATCGAACGGAATACCCACATGGATCAGTTGTTTAGACTGGTCCAGCAAAGCAGCGTCACCCATCATGCCAGCGGGAGGGAAAGTACCAAGGTGCTGCACGCTCAATGCTAGAAAAACCGGTAAAAAAGGAAAATATTGCGCGAGCTTCAGATGAAAGAGAAAGAAGAAAGTGAAATAAAGAGAAAGACGAACAAGGGGGTAACAACAACAAATGCAAATAAAGCTGCCGTGGAATGAATGACCGAAGCTACACGGATACCAATGATAATCTTAGTGCGGAATATCATATACGCCCGGTGTTAGCAAAAGAACCGAAAACAGGCGGCCGGGGATCCGCGTACAAACTAAGGAGTTTTTGCGCTGATTTCAAAACAAGCAAAGTGTTATTCGGAAAACAAAAGTTTTGAGCCCTTTTAGTTAGTTTTTGTTTTTCTTGCAATTTGGCTCGTACCAATAATCCTAGAATCCTAGAAGACAAGGCGGGAATGTTTCGGGGGACGAACACGGTGAAAAATTGCAGATTTCACGTGATAGGCAAAATGCACGAAACGGGTTCAAAACTAAAGAAACAAAAGAAATGTTCAATTCAAACAAGCGAGCGATGGAAAATCGCTTCCCGAAATAAAAATCTTCGCTCGTATCCCGGAGTACGCGGAAGAACGCTGTGCCTTTCCGTCAATTGTATTGCCGCGTTGCGACGATTGATTTTCTTTATTTCAAGTTTTTTGCTCAAATGAAATCACAAATGAATCAAAATTTCCGTATGTGCGCGTGTCTTTCGAGAAGATGGTGCGATTGAGGGTATCCTGGTCTGCCTATCTCGCACGATTTATCAAAAACCACTGTGACATCGAGCTAATTAAAAACGTAAAAGTATCATGTCGAAAATTCTTGTATGAGGTAGTCGAATCGCTCGGTCAAGACGTCGGCTTCTGGGGCGGCGCGCAGCGCGGCAGAGGGTCCGTGTGTGAAGCCAAGTGCTGCGACAAGAATCAGCGCCTGGAAATCCAAGTGACCACCGCGGGAAATCCAGCGAAGACAACCGACCTGTAAGCCGGTGAGTAGTCGCTGTCGAAACGCCGCCTTTTCGCAGTGGATGTGGCTCGTGTAAAGCCCATGTTTCACGATGTTAATCTGAAAACGAAGGTAGAAGTGTTTTAAAGTAGTAAGTTGTCGTCCCGCAAGTGTCGGTAGCCGCCAGCAAAACCAACCTGGCATAAATGCTTCTCCCGCGCGTCGAGACGATGAATCGTAGTAGCAGCGCCGGCGTCATTGTCTCGGGTCTGCCACACAACCAGGCCCGTAGCGGAGGCGGAATTTTGGGGGTGGGGGATTTTGGCGACCCCCCCCTCCCGTCGTCACTTTTCAAACAGCCCAAGACCGCTCCAATACAGCGCCGCAGGCGATAAGTTTTATAGACGATTAATGCCCTAATGCAAAACCAGCGTCGCAGGCGGAAAATTTTTGGAAAAATAGGCTTCCTCAAAGTAAAAACTGTCTTAAAAACAGTAATAAACAGCACCGCAGGCAAAAAAAAATTTTATTGAAAAAATCATAAGGGTCCCTTATGAACTTTTCGGACCGCGACCGATTTAGGGGGGGCGGGCGGGCCTGACTACAAGCCACAAAAATTTTCGATTACCTAAAGGTCTAAAAAGTAATACTACTATTTCAGGAGCTTTCAGAAAAATTAAGTCCTACTCAATCTGAACGATCCGCGGATCCCCTTTAATCCTTGGGTCCTGCAGTTGACGCAGCTGCGCACTAATAGGCAGCAGAGCCACAGCCGTGTCGTTGACGGCCAGCTTAATGTGCGATATTTCCCACCCTAAACCACAAACGACGCACCCCGTATGGTGTATTCGTATCCAACGTCAACACCGCCGTTGCTGTCGAACCATCCGGACTACAAAATATAAAATTATAGGAAATTCTAAGAAATTCCCTTACCTAACTAGCCCGCCAATCGTCGCCGGAAGTGTCCCGTTCTTTAATAGTGGACTACACGACTCGACGATCATCAAAGCCTAAATAGTTTCTCAAAAAATTTCAGATTGACATACCGTAACCATACATAGCACACTCAGCATCGACTTCCCTCCAAATGGCCACGCCATTCGTCTAGGCTCAAAAATTCGAGCATCCCTGCAATTATCCTAAGAATTTGCTAGCCGTCCGCAGGGGGATTTCTTGAATTTGGCTGTACGAAACGTGATAATTTACGCTTCAGTGGTATAGGGAGGTATGGCTAGAGTCGAGGGGGATGCTAGCGGAGATTATTTGGGAAATAAACGCTCGTGGTAAGATAGCAGAATGGCTTTACGTAGCGGAGAAAATTGGCATGACGTTCGGGGCAAGCTAGCAAAGATCATTTACCAAAAAACCTCTTTTCGAGGCATTTTCGAAGTGGGACTATTAGGCAGGCTAGCAGAGACGATTTAAGATGTTTAAGGCATGCTAGCAGTGTTCCTTTTGGAAGCTATGCTTAAAAGGCAGACTAGCAGCAACCATTCGAGAAAGCTGATAGCAAGGGCAAACTAGCAGAGATAATTTTTGAACGCGAAACTCACCCCCATCAGCCATGCTGGACGTGAGATTTTGTGTTTTCCGCCTTTTTCCTATCGACAATCGGACCCGGGGTCAACCTCCCCCGATCCTAGCACACCGGTGACCCTGTGCTCAATGAGGAAATGGATTTTCGGATGGGGCTCCTTTCAAAAGATCATGCTCAATGGAAAAAGATTGGGGAAAGATAAAAAGTCTGGCATCATATTCTTAGGAAATTAAATAGTTTAATCTAATCGAAAGGTGCCAGCATCTTTTTCTTAGGAAATTAAGCAGTTAATGGTATAATCAAAATTAGCAAAAACAGTCTATTATAATCCCAACTTTTTCTAGCTAAAAAATACCTTCTTCACCTGCCTTCACCAAGTGCGCTGCGAGTTCTCGTAAGCTATCAATGTTCCGCTCATCCTCCTCCAGCCTGCCCTATTCGCCAAAATTCGCCAATCTCATCGAGCGGATGTCAACAAGCCGCGCATTCCATCGAGTGACCCCGAAATTTCCAGGTTCGCACTCCCCGGCTGCTTCCCGCCCGGAACAAACAGCTTATTTCCCGCCGGCCGCAGAAACCACATAAAAACAAGCGCCAAAGGGAGCATGGGCCTGCCGGGGAGCCGGAGGTGCCCCTCCTTCTCTTTATCCGGCCCCCGGGATTGGTGATGCTCAGGGGGCGCCAAAATAAAACGGTTTCTTGACCTTGAAGAGATGGAGGTGGGGGGAAGATAAGGCCGCGAAGGGGGTATGGCCCGGGTATTTAACGGGACACTGGGAAGCTGGTGCTCACTGTAGCCATGCAGCGGATACTGCTCGTCGCCGCGCTCTGCGCCACTGCTACCGGGTTAGTTTTAAGAGGATTGATGGTTACTGTATTTCCTTTCGTACTGGCTGCTAGCGGGGGCACTGATTTTTTCGGGTAATCCTGTACCGTCCTTAACAAAATAAGAACCAATTTTCTAGCATTTTGCAATGTTTTTAGGTATAAAAAGCTCCTGAAAAGGCGTAAAATGTTTGAAAATTTTTGATTTTTGGAATTTTCAACGTGAATATGAACTTTTTCTAGGCAATATGTCCAAGCTCCGCAAGGAGGAGGCTACGGTGGTGGATACGGTGGCCAGTCCGGATACTCTCAGGTAGGTCTAACCTTTTAAATTAAATGTATCTCTCCTTACAGGCCCAGCCCGTCCAGGCGCCAATGGGTGGTAACGCCTTGAGCTACGCTCAAGCTCCCCAACAGTCCTATGGACAGCAGCAGTCGTACGGACAGCAGCAGCAGGGTGGATATGCCCAGCAGCAGCAGCAGCCCGCCTACCAGCCCCAGCAGCAGACCTACCAGCAGGTACTGTTTCTCGTTTTTTACCGTAACCCTCTACTTTTCAGCCCCAACAGCAGGTGTACCAGCCCCAACAGCCTGCCTACCAACCCCAGCAGCAGAGCTACCAGGTAGACTATTTAACGTAAAAGCTTAACTTCCGCTTTAGCCTCAGCAGCCCGCCTACCAGCCCCAGCAACAGACATACGCTCAGGTACTGTAGCTATTAAAATCCGATTATTTTGCATTTCAGCCCCAGCAGCAGACCTACCAACCCCAGCAGCCAGCTTACCAGCCCCAACAACAGGTCTACCAGCCCCAGCAGCAGAGCTACCAGCAGGTACCGTACCTGTTACAGCCCCTTTAAAACCATTTTTCCAGCCCGCCCCGGTCTACCACGCCCCCCAGCCGGTCTACCATGCTCCTCAGCCGGTGTACCAAGCTCCGGCTCCTCAGCCCCAGCCTCAACCTCAGGGATACGCTCAGGTTGGATATTTTACTAAAATATTTTTAGTAAAATCTAAATTTCCAGGCCCCCCAACAGCCTGCATACCAACCCGCCGCCGCTCCGGCCCCGGCCCCGCCGCCACCTCCTCCTCCTGCTCCTCAGCCCCAGCCCCAGCCCCAGACCTATGCTCAGGTAATTTTCAATACTTTAAGTATCGCAATACCTTCTCGATTCCAGCCCCAAGCTCCTCCTCCCCCTCCCCCACCCCCGGCCCCGGAGCAGAAGCCTCTGCCCCCACCATCTGAGCCAGTCCCTGAGATGCCCGAACCCGCCCCGACTGCTGCTCCTCAGCCTTCGGGAGGCCAGAACTCCTACGGAGACGAGCCCTCCACCGCTGCCCCGGCTACCGGAGGATACAGGAAGAAGGTTTTCAGGTAATATAGCTCTATAGCTTAAACGTTACTTCAATGGCCCTTTAAAATCATGTTTTTCTAGGAAGCGCGTCGTGAAGAAGGTCGCCCGCAAGGTCCGCGCCATGGGAGCCGCCACCGTCCTAGCCAAGTCTCGCCACGAAGGCCGCCTCTAAACCCCAAAAAAACATCTCAGGAAAACGCTTTACTCCACTTTTCTAATAGGTTCCGAAAATTACCTCACTGCCCCCGATTCTAGGGAATTATTTCATATTTGAAGGATAATAAATTGATTTTGGTTTTAATTTGAGTTGATATAAAAAGGCACAACATTCAAGTACAGTTCTCTGTTCTCTAAAAAAATTCCTTTTCTTTCTTTTGACGGTTTTAAGTCAGCGAATGATTCACGAAACTCGGCAGTGGCTAATCAGAACCCCCGAGAATTGATCCGATTATGATGAAGCCCCAATGGTTCGGCATTTTTTCTGCCCTGCCTGATTCCATTGAACAACTCTGGACGCGATCGATAAATGGAACCAAAAAATCTATTCGACATCGGCGGAACTACCGTAATCTCTGCGACGACTACGCCTCCGGGCGGCACGAACTTATTTGCTATCATCGGGATTATTGTGGTGATCATTATTTCGGCGCTGGTCGTTTTTCTAATAATTCGTAGGATATTTTTCCCAAAATGGACGCCAAGGTGGGGGAAAATTATTATTGGTAGTAACACTTTAATTTGAAATACTTAGCTAGTAAATAAATAAAGGAGGTCCGTGGGATAAATCTCTATAGATTCCTCCGAAAATGGTTAACGGGTGTCTCAGCCCGTCTTCTCGAACGTGCTGGAGTCGCCCCGCCGGTGGTAGACGACCTTCCGGCTCCTAACTCCAAATTCAGATCCACGAATTCCAGTCGACAATGCGCCAAAGTGACTATCCATGTCCCGATCAGCCAGGGAGAGTACAATCTACACGACAAACTGATGGAAGTTATGACTATCCAATGATGAGGTAAATCAATATGAATTAACAATTAAATCACATAATTTAAAGTCCGCCAAATAAAGAGGATCTCTGGGAAATCGAGCCGCTCTCGCTGCAGATTAGCAGTAATAAGCTTGGGGCTGGAGCGTATGCCGTGGTGTTTTCGGGGAACCTACGAGGTGCTCCGCCTGTTACGAAGGTTTTTCCGACGATGCAGGTGGGAAACGTGAACCACAACACTATATTAAACTATAACTTCTGGTAAAGCAAACTACAAACTATATTTATTAATTATACGCGGTAAAATTCGTACGCACCATAGTAATTTTAGGCTACATTTTGCCTACGTGGTATTTACCTACCTAATTAAATAATTTTCATTTAAAGTGCTGCTATATTTTATAGACTTTCTAAACTCCAAACTACAGCAATCAGTACCTTTTTCCAGTTATCCTACGTACTCTCACGGGAACAAAACGAAGTTGCCGTCAAATTAACCCACCCAAATGCCAAAAAGGAAGAAATGTAAGTGTTTCTAAACCCTAGGCAATCTTTATTTTATTTAGAAGTGAATTCCTGCAAGAAATTGTTTTCATGAAAGAATTGGAATACCATCCACACCTCCTGTCGATGCTGGGCTGCTCTTCTGACCCCAGATATCCGGTTCTAATCACCGAATACTGTGAACGGGGCGACCTACTGCATTTATTGCGCCGAATTGAGGATGATAATTTTAAGGTATGAATTAGGGTTTAAAAATAGTGTATGGTGTTGTAGGATACAGAACGGCTTACGATTAATGAGCTTCTACCAATTGTTTGGCAAGTCAGCGACGGATTGGTCTGTTTTGAAATCACTTTTAGAGATATTTTTAGAAATTTAGGTATATTTAACGGAGAGAAAAATTATCCATCGAGATGTGGCGGCGCGAAATGTGTTGATAACCAAGGAAAATATGGCAAAAGTGAGTTGGGAAAATGAATACATAAGAATTCATGCCTCACCTGTCCTTTGAATCCCCCCTTTCTAGTTGAGCGACTTCGGCCTTTGTCGCTACAGTAACGAAATGTTTTATACGACAAGGGGCGGAAAGCTGCCGATAAAATGGATGGCCCCGGAAAGCCTGGAATTTGCTATTTTTAGCAGCAAAACAGACGTGTAGGTCGTATTAAAATACCTGTGAGGGTTTCCTGATTTAGGTGGTCATTTGGGGTGCTTCTTTGGGAGGTATACAGCTTGGGGAAGACGCCGTACTGCTCCGTACAGTCTGATGAAGTACTACCGTATCTGAGGGCTGGGAATAGGCTGGGTGTTCCGGAGAAGATTCCGGAATGGATGTAAGTTATATGGGGTCAAAATGAACTAGGTAATAGCTAGACAGTTACTTTCCAAACAGTTATTGATTTTACGTGTTTTGTTGCGTTTCGTAGCTGTCGAGACCCAACGGCTCGAGAGGTCGATTCTGGCACTTCCTAGCACCTTTAAAATAAATTAAAATTGAAAAAATAATAATCAGGACCACCATGATGCAAAGCTGCTGGGAATCAAAGCCTGACGATCGACCCGACATTTCGACCATTCAAAAATCATTTTATGCTATTATGGAGTCCGACTCTAATTATGGATACCTGCAATTTAGGTCTGTCTTTTTTCACAATTTTAATGGTTTCAATAATATTCATATTATAAATCAATAATAAGCCGATTATCTATATTTTTCAGCAAAAACTACTACACAACTTCTCCACAGCGAGCACCGCCAAATGAATATGTAATTTCGTGATCAGTTTAAAATTCTGCACTTTTAAATTATAGCGGGTATTTGTGTAATAAAATGTTTGATGGCAAAGCTTTTATTTCCCAAATTACAGTAGAAAATGACAGACAATTTATAATAATACAACTCGCCAACAATATCGGGCGCTACACGTCTTTTTTGGGGGGATAAACGACATAAACAATACTGGGATAAAGAGCTACGGTACCCGTCTCACAAAATAGGAGCTATATGGCCGTGTGTCGGGGGGTGGGACCCAAATTATGACGTTAGAAAATAACAACTAACCGACCGGATATTGGCTTCACAGGGGGGTTGGCGAAGGGGCCTTAATAAAAAAAAATTTAAAATCTCGAATTAAAAACCTTATAAACTGAAAACCGATTTTCTATTGCGCACCAAGAGTGAAGGCAAATTTCTGAAGCTAGATGAGGCTGAATATTAACAATTTGCTCCCTGAATTCTGATGTTCGATTGGGAATATATTGGCAGTACGCCGGAATGCTCTAGCCACTGCGTAGATGGATGAGATGGGTGAGGCTTTGGACGTGTTGGTATAGGCCCCCGATTTGGATGTTCAACTCGGCTTGTCGCTTCCGGACGCGCGAAAGGCGCTCCTCGGTCTCCATGAATGCCTGAAATACGCTACTGCAAAAACTGTTAACGATTTCCTAAATCAATTGACATATTCCTGAATCGAAAAAATCCAAACCAACCCGTCTGGCCACAAAATAATCGTCCTCATCTTCCATTTGCATTCTTAGTCTCCAACGTGACCTCCGGAATCTATAAACCAAAATTAAATCATTTCATCCATCTATATTAAATTTCAAAATTAAATCTCCCACTCAATAACGGCTCTTAACAGAGCTCGCTGCGCCGCTCTTAGCTTCAACATTGATTTCGAAGGTGCAGCCTCCCGTTCAGCATCCCTTCTGCGGAGTACGGTACGCCAAGTATTTTGTAGCACGCGCGCTGCACAGTTCTTATGGCTGTAAAGAGGAATGTGGCGTAGTGCAGCAAAATCGGTTCTACTTACGTGATATTCAGCTGACTCTCAGCTATCAGATGATTCACTCGCTTTTCGCTGCTCGAAAGAGCCATCCTCCGTGCCATGAGTGCGATTAGAATTGAGGAAAATACAGTACCCTATGACAGTACCGCGATAAAACGAAAAAATTCAATTTCATACCACTAACGCTGTCAGCATAGCCAGAGCTCTTCCACAGTATGTATGTACTTTAATATCACCATAACCAATCGAGAAAAACGTCTATAATTGTATTTTTAAATCAAGAAAATAAGAAATCAGCTTACAATAATCTCAAACCATATAAAATCGAGTAAATGTTGATATCCCGGCAGGTTTGGATATGCATATCTGGGTTACTGTAAGGGTACCGTCTAGCTAGACCTACCGCTCGCACTGGGTGACCATCCACGCCATCACCGTCCAGAAGCAGATGGTAAATACAAAAATTGAGAGCAGCGGCCGTTGGTAGAGCTCGGAACGGACGACAAAGCGGAAGTCGACTGCTACACGGTTTAGGGAGGCTATTGTCCGAGTAGCGCAGTCCTAGGAAACAACATTTTATGGCAGTGGTACGGTATACCTGATAATATCTGCTGTGGAGCACCATATACCGAGCGACGAGGTAGAGACGGAGAAACATAGGTAGTGTAAGGAGGACATGTGTCGGGATATGGATGGTACCATGGGCCGACATTGGGGAGGCCGAGAGAAATGGCCATCGGACGCGTTCTTTCCACAGGAAACGGGCTGAAAATAATAATATTTGTTGAATTGGATAAAAAGGTCAACAAAGATTAGAGATACAATTAAATTTTACCTGGAATCGGGCAAATCGAGCACGCAGCCACTTCTAGTAATACTTGAAATAACCGTTCACTCGTCACCCCAACCCTCCAACATTCACTATTCGTCTCGATTAAGTACACCTGAAAATGACATTCAAACCAGAATACCGTAACCGTCACCCGGATATCTGTCAGATGGTAGCCAAGAAGCACCAGCTGCAACAACAACGTCAACCCAATTATCACGAAGCGCAGGATGGTAGAAGCATGATCGAGCTGAAAGAGTGATTTATCGTTTTTTTTATCCAGAATTACACCTACCGTAGCACTCGCAATATCGGCATTAAACGCGCACAGCTCCACGTCAACGATGGCTAGCGCAAGGCCGGAGAGTGAGAGAAATACCGTCCAGTCGCATAGCTAAATTGCCCTTCTCTAAATTTCACCCGAACCGCCATACCGTCAATTTGACGTCGAGCATCTTTGTGCGCTGGCGGAAGCGGTTCCGGGCCGCCTCCGCTGACGTTACGCTCACCCCGTAGCCCTGAAGAAAATGGAAAATGAATACCTTAAACTAAAAAAATGAATTAAAATTATCTGCGATCGGTAAACAATTAACTAAAATTTGACAAATCGTCCATAATTCATTTAAAAACACCTACTTTTCCCTTATTTTTGGCCTTCTCGGCGTCCCGTTGACGCTCTTCCGGGTCCCGCCAATCGAGCGCTAAATTGAAACCGATTAAAGCATTCTAAAATTGTTGTAAAGTTTTAAAAAGTGTATATTCAGGTACTTTTGCGGGTACAAAAATAGACAATAAATGAGGTGAGTGCTGCCGGAAAGCGGGCCCGGGTCTATTGATCTGAAACGGGCGGCCAGCCAGGCTTGGATTTTCCCAAAAAAAAGATTTTCATTTTTCGTCGATTTTTAGGAAAATTGTTATATAGAATTTTTGTGTTTTTAAGCGCTTATAGGATGAACAAGCGCCGGCGTATGGGAAAAGCGGCTTAACCCCCGCAAGACAAAAGAGCTATTTTCGGGGGTTGTTTGAATCTCGGGGCAGCGCCGAACACCCGCCATCCCGAATTCCCATGGGATATTAATCCACACTGCCACGCCATTTGCTAGCCCTCTCTATGTTTTTACCCACACCTAAAATAATAGACTCCCAACATGGGAAAATACGGATTACTCCGTAGTACATTACTTTAGGGCGCTTTTCTGGGAAAGGGAAGGGTTGTGGAGCATTCCAGGAGTGATAAATAGTATGAAAAATTCCACCTTCGTATAAACTAAAATAAAACGTTTAGAAACCATACTTTTATTGAATTATTTAAAGTGACTTTGAGAGGGCAAGAAATAGAATGCTTTAAAGCACGCTAGGACGTCTAAAAATGAGAAATCCCGACTTGAATGGTCCTTTAAACACCTTGATTCTTGATTTTTTTAACTAAAATTATAGTATACTTCAAAAAAACTTTGTTTCTTATTTTTAATAGAATTTATACAGGGAGCAAAATCAAATATCTGGGGAGAAGCTGCTAGCAAATGTACCAGATTTTCAGGTTTTTAAAAATAAAATATTAGGTTTTTCAAGCGTTTTAAACTTATAACTACATATAGAACCCGATTTAGAACAACGCTGTAATATTAAAAAACCTAAGGCTTCAAGGAAGCGCGCCAGTAACGCTAAAAACCCGCTCCAAGGTGTTCGCCTTCAAGTTCCCCCTCCACAAAACAATAGAACACGAATTTACAAAACCCATAAAAACTGAAGCACTATACTTGTGAAGAATCTAGGATGGAGAAGTGTTGATGGGAGCGGCTTGGAGGGCTTCTGAGCCTTCCTCCTCCTCCCCACATAGATTTTCTATGGACCGACCCGACGTGGACGACGTGGGAGATGGGCAAACAAAGGGTGGGGAGCCCCATCTATGACATGCCTCAATGCATCTGCCTCTCTACCTTCAGGCAAGCTTCAAAAAATTCTACAAAACAAAAACCTTCCGCTTTTCAGGAGGGTTACTGTAGGCGGATTGGTACTTATAGGATAGCGGGGGAAGGCTTAGATATTTCAAATTACTGTGGAATCTCGTAAATTTTGTTCTGTACCCAAAAACCCGAATACAAAACCTAATATAACGTATCGTTACTGTAAACAACTCGCTTCTCCTCTAGCCCTATTCACAAAAACACAAAAACACATTTTGATCCAGACCCGAGCCCGGATCCTCAGAAAATGAACCCGACCAGCGCGACGGCGTCTAATCCGAGAAAATGGAGAAGAGCGTGACAACCGTATAAGAGCCGTTCTTCCCCCCTTTTCGCCATCTTCAATCACTGCCTTTGTGCCCCAAAAATACAATACCCACCACTTTATGCGTCAAATCCCTGCCCCAGGCAGGGCTCTCGCTCGGCTCAAACACCCCGTAATTTTAGCAATTCAATAAAAAGCCGGAAGCTTGCAGGGGAGGGGGAGGGAGGAAAGGTGATGATGTGGCCGACCCCTGGGTATTTAGAGGTGAAAGAGGTCAAATAGTGGGTTGGTAGGGATCATTAGCGGATTGAAATCGGAAGGGTAGCTAGCAGGGATCGTTAGGAAAATGAAATCGGGTGGCTAGCTAGCAAAGAACCTTAGGGAATCGCAATTTGGCAGAACGCTAGCCGGGGTCTTCGGGAGTCCGGCTAGATTTGGCAAACTAGCATGAATTTTTAGGGAATTCGGTCAGGCCTGGGAAGCTAGCAGGCATCTTTGGGGAATTCGGCTAGACCTGGCAAGCAAGCAGGGAATTTTTAGGGAATTCTGATAGGTCTGGGAAGTTAGCAGGGATGATTTAGGAATTCGTCATAGTTCGGAAATAGAAATTATGACCATCCATAAAAAATATCGGAACTCATCTGCCGGGAAAGGCGAACTGAAAAGCCATATAAAATCTACAAAATTGTGAAGGAATGAAGCAATTTTTCGGCGAGAAAATGTAAAGACCCTAATAATAAAATCCATTACTTCCTAGACAATATTCTATGATGACGCACTCTTAAACCATATAAAAAGGCAATAGCGAGACCCAAAAGGATTTGCGCTGATCCCCCACTCGCAGGTCCACCTTTGAAAATACTGGGGCGGTGCCGAAATATTTCCCACGGGATGACGACCCCAACCAACCCGGCAAAAGAAGCCTTTTTTTGGGGGGCGCATCAAAATGGACACAACCCCCGTACAGAGTAATCCTCAGTTTGGGTTCTCTCTCTCTCTCTCTCTCTCTCTCTCTCTCTCTCTCTCTCTCTCTCTCTCTCTAACCACGCCTACAGCCGTGAAAGCAAGGCCATCCTGGGCCGATGAATTATTTGCTATTGCAGCTCTAGAAGCGAAAACTGGAATAACCCCTTCGAATTTTCACTTCAATCGATACCTTCAATTGTCCTTAAACCAAAATAGAGGCTAAATATGACCTATCACTGACTACGATAGGCTAGACAGTGAATCGAAAAATTTATCACTTTGGGGAACACACCCCGCAACACATTTCCGGTTCTGATTTCCGGGCGCTCCAGGTATGGGAAAACTCGGGCCGTTTGGGAAAGGATAAAAACGTACTGTGCAAATTGTTGTGATACATCGTGAAGCGCGGGCGCTCCATGTGGACGGCGCCGGCCCGAACGGCGGCCGCCATTCTTCCTGGAAATTAGGGAAATCGTATCTAAATTCAATTTAAGTAAAGATTGAAATATATAAAATTAGAAATCAAACCATGAAGATACAAATCTTTGTTTTACTAGAATAGTAAAAGCTAAAACTCGCTTAAATGAGCAACAGCGGAAAAAGAAAACGAGAAAAACATGAAAAAATTAGAAATGTGTAAAAACGCGCAGATTAAAAACTATTTTAAGTCAGAAGTTAAAACCAGGTTGATAAAATCAAAGATAGCTAATAGATAATCATAAAAATTCAAGCTTCTAGATCCCTTTAAAAGAGGCTTCCTGGCCAAGGCTTAATTTTTATTTTATTAAATTACGCGCTTTAAACCAGTAGCAAAAAGTGTTTTAAATGAAAACAAAGGCAGACGGATTAATTCAAAATTCTAAACTCCAAACCATCGGCCATAAATATTTGAACTTCTTATTTCCTTTAGAAAGCTCGGAAAATTCGCTCGAATGCGTGAGTTCAAGCCAACCCCGCAACTCTGGAAATTGAAAAAGTCCGATGAATTATAGTTCCAATCCAGGTCTAAATTTGAAACCTCCAACTTCCCAATCCCTTTAAAAGGCCCCCTTCCCCCGAGGCATGCTTCTTGCGATTCGATAGTTAAAATGAGCCGTGATATGGCTGGGGACCATTGTTGGGCGTTAGAGCCTCCCCATCTTGCATCGGGATTCGGTTGCGCGGGGCCCCGTGGGCCCGCCGGGTCATCTTACAGCTTTTCCCACCAGGAAACAGCTTCTCAACGAGAACCACTGCACGGCACAGGCCGCGCCCATATGAGTTCGCATTTTTGGATCTCAGGGAGTGAAAAAATGAATTTGTTCGCCGGTGGGGGGTTGGTTCGGGGTGGGAAGAAATAAGGGAGGGGTATGAAAATGCGGAACCCTGATAGAGGGGAACGCTTTGAAATGAGAAAATGCATTTTTGATCTGTTTGCGGTACGGCGTGGGGTGAACGGAATTGCGTATTGAGGGTATGCATTTTTGATTGGCAATGTTTTTAGGCGGGGTTTAGAGATCAAATTTTAGTAAGTAAAATTTTAGTAGAATAATTCAGTTACATAAATTTTCTTTAAATCTAGAAGGACGATTTTATTGTTTAAAATGCCGAAAAAAGTGCAAAACCGGGAATCGGTATTTTCCAACAATTTCTGAATTTTTTGACAATATTATGATTTATATATTTTTAATCATAGAATTTTGAACAAATTTTCTTTCGTTCTACATAATTTTGCTTGAAATTTAAATCTAACAAAATAAAATTCTAAATCGAATAACCACTATTCGTCTTTTTCGTCGTCTTTTGTTCGTCAGCTTTTCGAAAAAATCCTAAACATACCTTAGCCCCTTCCAAACATCTTTAAAAATTAAACTAGTCCAAATTAAAATTTTCAAACCCCCAAAACATATACTGAATCGATTTTACAAAGTTCTAGACCGGGCTTGAGTGCCGCCCAACCGGAAATGTCGGCCCGTGTCCCCGGGGTGTCAGATTAAAGCGAAAATCAGTGTGCCCTACCGCTAGACTCCAAAGAATGTAGTAAAAACTAGTGAAAACGTCTATTTTATTCTCGGTCATTTTTAATTACAGACCAATTTTAACAAAATATAGGATACTGAAGAAATTGAGACGAAAATGCTCCCCGTGGATTTGGAAAACCCGGAAAATGCATTGGGTATTAGATGGGAATAATATGGAAATCGGGCAAAATAGGAAATATATTTCACCCCATCCAATGTCGACGTGGGCCGCCCCCTGAGGGGAAAGAGCTGTGAAATTCGGATGAAATGGAGCCATTCCCCCCAAATAGGACGACCCTTGCCCAGCGGTCCCCTTCGAAGAGCTTCAGCCGGAAATTACGCCGATTTGCCCTCCCGCTCCAGGCCTCCCTTTACGTTGCAATATCTGATTTAAATGAGAGTAGGAAATGGAGTAAGGAGTAAAGAAAAGCCCACCTTTATCATGGGTCCCATTCCGGAAAGGGCCCAGAGGGCAAAAGTGCCCAATTTTCCGGGCGCACCCACATGTGCCCCTGGCCATCTTTTGTGGGCCCATGTCGCTTTGAATTCTAGGGCCAGACATCAACGCAACACAACGCAAGGTACGCAACACACCTATCGACGGTGGATATTTCGGAAAAATAAAAGGGTGAGTAAATTAGTTTTAATTTTTTTATTGGTTGCTTAACCCTAAAAAATCTTTTCCTGGGGGTTAAGATACGGTAATTTTTAGCGATTTACATCTCAAAAAAAAAACATTTTTAAAATAATAAAATAGTAAAAACGTAAAAAGAACGAAAAATCAGCTTTAGAGATAATTTTCGATTTTTTGAATATCGTAATTGAATTCGGAAAGATTTCGGAAGACCAAAACGTTATTTTTTTAATGATAACTGGCTTATTTACATTTTGTGGAAAATTAGCTTGTCAAAAATTTGACTTTATCGAAATTTCATTTTATCAAAATAACATTTTATCAACATTATATTCTGTAGAAATTCCATTTTATCGAAATTTCGAACTTGTCGAAATTTGAATATCTCGATTATTATCTCAAACAGTAATTAATTAACAAAATTAGGCCCTTGAAATTAACATCTCAAATTTAAATTTCGACAAAATGCTTTGACGACAAGCTCATTTTCGACAAACTGCGACCCAATCGCTATAAACACGATAGACAGCACTTTACAGAGGACAACCTAACAATCCCCCTTAAAACTTTCTGAATTTTTATTCAATCCCAAAAAAAATGCACTTTTGGACGCTGCGCTAAAATGTGGCCTTTTCAGTTTGCAATTCCATTGGTTGCCCCCCCCCCCTCGAAAATTTGGAGTGGGACTCAGGGGAGCGGGGGGGGAGTTTGTTAAAGGAGGGCCCAATTGGCCTCATCTGGGGGCCCATCGTTTTCGGGTGCCGTGCGGAAAGTATTTCTGGCAGAAGCTAGACAAGGAGATAAAGTACGCTTTAAATGGCTAAATTCGAGGCCTCCAGGGTCTAATATACCTTCAAATATGCCCGTCATTTCCGTCAATAATTAAAGGAAAAGCGTTCAGTGGCTCTTCAACACACCTGTCCCCCCTATCATCATGGGGATTTGCGAAAATAGGCGCATATTGGAACCGGAAAAAGAGGGAGAGAACTCGGGCTCGGCCGGCTGCTTTCCCGTGTCTTATAATTACATTTGTTAATCGACCCGGTCTCACCTGAGGGCCCTCATTTTTCGGGGAATTTTCTGAAAATCGAAACATTCGACTCGTGGGAACGTCCGGAAGATCTTTGTTGAGTGTATAAAGGAGCCAAAGGGAATGGAAACGTATTCCAGACCGATTATGGGTACTGGAATTGGGTGTAAATCGGAAAGGCTGGAACGGTTTTATGATACGGCCGGCCGACGAATCTCATTCCGGCGGGTGCGAGGCCAAATTATCGCCCACTTTTGGAGATTTGTCATGTGGTCGCTGAGGTTGTTAAGGTATGGAAAAAATTGGAAAATTATCTTGGACTTTCGATAAAGGGAACGGGTATAGGAATGTTACGGAATTTTATTAAAGTGGCTTCGAAGCACCGGTTTAGACACATAGGAAAACCAGATGTTGACAGGTGCGTGTTGTGCCCTCTTTAATTGTTAATTTGCAGCAAAAATTGCGAGTAATAGCGAAAAGCTCGATTTTTAAACCGTCCAAGCCTCTTTAGACTATCCTTGAATTTGATTAAACCCGCCAAGCCTTCCATAAAAATAGGCTAATGTGGTATGCAACGCTACCGGATGAAACCCGGTCCCCGATCCAACATGTGCCCGTTTATTGGCCGCCAACATATTTATGGGGCACTTTGTGCTTCGGTGCCCAATGGTGAAGCCGAGAAATGTGTGAACGCCGACCCAAATGATTGGCCAAACCTAAAATTTAGTCCATTTTTCGGTGCTAGACTTGTAGCGGGGGGTAGCAGGAGGGAATCTAATTTTTCACCAGTAATCCTGTAAGGTTTTACGGACGTAAAACAAAAAATAAAGTTTAAAAAAACCCCCACTAAGAGTCCAATACTTTTTATATTGTATTTATGTATTTTAATCGATGTGCTTTCACTTCTTGGCGATTCACAATTTATTCGGTGTAGGGCCAATAGATGGGGATGGGCCCACCGAGGGTTGGGGGAGGGCCAAAAATGGGAGCCCCGGCGAAAAGTGCTGGGCCACCTGGGGTGGGGAGGGAGAGGAGAACAAAAACATTTCATAGATGATCAAAAGCGATCAGGGAAAACCAAAGGCAATAAGAATAATTAAAAAAGAAGAAGACTTTTCAAGGCTGGGCGAATATATTGCCGGTAGAAGGCACGGTGGATAATATCTGGAGCACACGGTCGAATAATTATTGGGGGAGAAGGCGCGCGCGTTGGGGGGAAATGGGTTCTAGTAAAACCCGAATTTTAAATACCGGTAATGGAGCGCGGGATAATGGCCGCGTAAGGGTGGGCGAAAAATTAAAGAGAAGTCACGAGAAGTCATATTAAATATTAAAGAAAGGAAAAAGGGTAAAAGATAGGGTAAATATCAAGGGTAAATTAAGGCAAAAAATTGACCTAATCAGGGTCGCCATGTTTTTCGGTTTTTTTCGGTTATAAGCACGGGTGAAAGGGTACGGTGGAAGGCACAGGGTGAATAAAAATAACAATAAAATTTTGAAAACTCTAAGGGGGATATAGAAATTTCGGGGATTAGTATTTGGGAGTTGGGAAAGGTTTTAGAAGTCAAAAAGAGGAATAGGCACAGCGTAGGCTTTAACCTTGTCTTAGGTCACCTTAACCTTGAGCTTACACCTCTTTTCGAACACCATATCACACACAGATGTACTGAGCATATTCAAACCGTATGGCGCGAATCTTAGAAAAGTGGGACACGGTATTTGGTGCAGAAATCGCAGGGTAACAAGACTGTTAAGGGTTTTTTTTTGTGTGATTTAGTGATTTTCAGCGGGGCTGGCGGCCGGAAGCTGGGAGTTGTTGGCGAACCCGGCGGGGCCATTTTGGTAGCTGAGGGCCGGGGTCGAGGAAGAGGAGGTCATTTGATTCTGAGCCGCCTGGTCGGGACGTGGAGTCGGCGAGGCGCTTCGGGTTATGCCGGAATCATCTAAAAAGTTATCGATAGTTGTGATCGAAAAAAGGTTCTTTTCCTAAATACGTTTTTGTCACTTTAAGGGTTAAAAGTCCGTAACTGGCATTCTAAGATCTGTCGAAACCTAGATGACAGGGTAAAATGGTCAGATCAGTCTATTTTTAGCAAAAAATTAACGGAATTGTTGTAATACGTACTCGTCAGATCCATTAGAGGTACAGGAGCTGTGTTGGGTGGTGGAGGAGGCATGGCTTGTTGATTCGGACCGACGAATTCTGTAAAATAAAGTTTTTGTACAGTAAGTTCATAATAAGCGCAAAAGTGCCAGCTTTTCCGTAAGTCGAAAACTCGTTCATTTCTTCCTAAACTTACGCTGGGCATGTTGAAGGTGCGCCATTTGGGCTGGGTTGTAGTGTTCGTACGGTGGATGTTGCTGGACTCCCTGAAAATTAGAGATATGGATGAGAGAGAGAGAGGAAGCGGGAGAGAGTGCGCGAGAGAGCGAGAGATAGACACCTGGTCATGCGGAGAATCATTCCTGGATGGCTGTCCCTGTAGATGTTGTGGCGGGTGCTGCATCATGGCCGACTGATGGTAGTACATTTGCTGATTGCCGTAGAACATCGGCTAAATGAACAGCAATTCAAGAGCAATCTCTGAAAAGGTCTCCCGCTCCCAATCGCTCCATCATGCTACTATCGACAGCACTACAAATTTTAAATCTTTGTGTAGAAAACAAAATGCCATGCCACAAACAACTAGTTTCCACTTGTCAAAACGCACTGCTTGAGCTGGAGCGATGACGAACTGGCCGGCGGCTGGGGGTTGGGTGGGGTACGCATTTGTGGCGTAGCCGGACATCAGCTAGAAATTGGTGGACTACAAAGAACAACAACAACAATGACGACACTACAAACAACACAGCAGCTGTATACAGTAGACCATAACAAAGCAAGCAAAAAATGGATACCTGGGATACTGGTACTTGATGGGGGCCCATATTTGGGGGTTGTTGGTTGGCCGGGCCGGCGTTAGAGGCGGGGCCTAAAACAAATACATAATTTTTACCTCAATCATGGATTAAAGGAACATGGAAGTGACGGTTATTACGCGATGTAATTACCTTGGAAATTGTCAACGCCGTTGGCAGTCCGCGGGCGAGGCGGGGCCTGGAAGCGCTGCTGCGGGTTTTGTGCCCCGGGGCTGTTGGCGTACTGTAATAAAAATTTTATCACCAGCATCGAACGTAAATATACGTAATGACGCGAAATAAACGTAATTCCGATAGCTACATCGCCCAGAACCTACCGCAGCTCCCTGCATATGACCCTGATATTGCTGTGGCATGTATGCAATTGACACCATCGGCTGACCGCCGGGCATCGCCAGCTAAATGAATTGTATATTTTCAGGATCGAAAATACAAAATTTACCTGGGGCATAAAATTTGGTTGCGGCGGCTGCTGCGGGGCTGCCGGGTTGACCGGGTAGCCGTTGGGGTAGTAGACGTTCATGTTGGCCGGGAACACCGGGCCCGCGAATTGCTGATTGGGGTAGATGGGTGCTGAAAAAGAGTTCGGAATGGTTGTACGCATAGGCTTAGCTGAGGCTCAGCTTAGGCTTAGACTTGGCTAGGCTTAGATCAGGCTTGGCTTAGGCTCAGGCTTGGCTTAGGCTTGAGCTTAGCACTCCAACTTCGGCATTGCTTCGCTTAGGCATACGCTAGGCTGAGGATTTAAACCTCATTAGTTCCCATCTCCCTTAAAAACCGACTCGGCTGCTGTGGAGGACGCTGTTGACCCTGCACACCCGGAAATGATGGAGTACGAGGTGGCATCGGCGGTTGAGGGTATTGTTGATAAGGCATTGGCTAAAATGTGTAAATTTATATAATGGAAACCCTTAAATACCTGATACATATGGCCCTGATTGGGGTACTGTAGCACCACCGGACTGGACACATGAGTAGGCTAAATTATGGTATTTTTCATACCAAGAGAATTAATTCATACCTGCGGCTGATACGCAATTGGAGGGCCAGCTTGATGATGCATGGGTTGTTGATTCATACGTGGTGTATGGCTGGGTGTATATCCCTCGGGGGTATCCGGTTTTTTCGTCGGCACGAAAGCAGCGGCATTCGGGTTGAACTTGAATTCTTTTGGCCTGAAATGGGTCGGTTCTCGGAAGGCTTTGATAGCTTACTGTTTCTTGTCTTCATCTTCTGTCTCGGGGGTCGATTCAGTGGCCGGGGTGCTGGTTTCAGCAGTAGCTTCCTTTCCCTCCAGTTTTTCCTGGTTTGAGGGCTGTGCCTGAATACGAGGTATTTTTTAGCGATGGGGTAGGCATACCTTATTTGCAACCGGGGCGGGTTGTGCAGCTGGTTCCGGTTGCCGCTCTTCCGGTTCTGACTTCTTAGCTTGAACGGCTTGAACAGGAGCTGGGGCGTCTTGTCGGCGCTCTGTTGTTGGTCCGGCTGGTGGTTCTGGAGTAGATGAGCTGGCTACGAGGCTCTGGGGTGGGCCCTTGTTCCAGGCGCTGGCAACGGCACGGGGAGCGGAAACCGGCTGAAATTATTGATTAGTATATCCCCCGTCATCGGTTGAGTATCGATTTTACTTCCTGGTACATTTAAAAGAATACATTAGAGGTCCTAAGTCGTAATTTTTAATTTTTCACCTTTGCCTCTTTTTTTGCCGGCGCCTCCGCCAGATGAAAATCGTTGTGGAAGGCGCGAAGTTCAGAGGTGCGGCGAGCTAAAAAAAATTAACAATAAAATAATTTATTGATTTTATTACTAACCCTGCTGAGTGCGGACGTCATTGCTGTTCTGACGGACCGGTGGCGCGTTCTGCGGGGCTGGAGCTGAAATTATCAAGTAAATTCGGTTACAAAGCGAGTGTATACTTTTCTATTCGATTTTATTTTAATCCAAGTTCTCAACGTACCCTTGCCATTCTTAAGCCCACGATTCTGATCATTGTTGGCCGACCAAGCCTGCTTTTGTACGGGACGCGCGTCGTTACGCTCGGCGCGTACCGGAGGGTTCGGCTGGATGCGCCGAGTCGCGAAATTTTTCTGTGAATCCCGCCCAGCCTTATCGTTGTTGGAACGGCGTGGGCGGTGCCTGAATTGATTCATAGGTTTAAATCCATCAATTCTGAACTAACCATTTTTCGCCCTCCAGATCCAACTCTTGATCGTCGGTGTACTTGTCGAGGTCACGCTCATCATCGTCATTTTCGAGCATGGCGTTGCGCTGGAATTAGGAGAGTTGGGTGATGTTTGGAAAATGGGTTGGAACTGATTACGTCATCAAGAGCTGCCCCCCAATCGCTTACGCAATAAAATTATTGTGGGCGGAATTTCGACACGTGATCGATAAAGGGGGAACGAGGGTGAGCCAACGTGTCATAGCAGAGGCGGGGTAATTAAATTTAGTAAAGGAATATGAAGTCTAGAAAAGCTAATAAAGCTAAATAATTCTAAATACTGAGTTAAAGGATTTTTACTTTCATCGCTTCTTTAATTTCTTCCACAAGAAGCAACAATGAGAACAAAAAGCTGACAGTTACTGCCCCGGCAACTCTGCCCTGTCCCGGCTACCCGTTATCGAATTGTTTACCAAAAATGGACCCGACACAACAAACAACTAGACGAGAGAGAGAGAGAGAGAGAGAGAGAGAGAGAAAGAGATAGTGGGGGAACGGGTGTCCCTCTCTTCCACACAAACAGACACACAGAGGCACAGACAAAAAGTTTGCACGGTGTGCTCTTGTCGCGGAGTGATGATGACTAGTAAGGCAATGTATTGATTGAATTCGGATTTTTTTAGGAAATTATACAAACAATAAAATATTAAGAATAAATACAAACCCTGCTGTCATTGCTCTGCTCAATCTCGCGGGCAATGCGCTCGGCATTCTCGCGAGCCTTTCGATCCACCTCTGGCACCGATACACTAAAAAAACACGGCATGATTTGTCATCATGATTCCACAAACTTGGTAAATTGGGATAAATCGGGCTTGTAGCTGCTGGTCACCCCCAGATCCTCATTGGCCGTGTACATATCCCGAAGCGACCAGCCTCCTTTGTTGGGATTTCGGTTGGGATTGTTGCTGGTTAGGCCCTGAAATTCCTTCATACCCCAAATTCCATCAGAATTTCCATAATGTTTCATCACTTACCGGTAACTCATTCTCCTCCTCAAAATGCTCAAAAACCTCAAGGTCACGCTCCTCGCCGGTGCCCGCCGGATCATGATATTGCTGATCGACCCGAAAATCTGGAACTGGTTGCGTAAGATGCATCATTTTTAGGTGTCATTTGGAGCGCTATGGAGTTACAGGGCCCTTTAATTTTACAAATAACCTACCGGCCGACTGCGGATCGGCTTCGGCAATCGGATACTTCATGGTTTCGCCGAAAAACCGAGAGGAATCTAGCGCTTACCTGGCCCCCGAAGCGAGTGGCCGAGTCATAGACTACGCGACGGTGCTATCGACAGGTGCACCCTGGCGCCAGGGTGAATGGATGGGGGAGAGAGAAGAGAACGCAGACCGAAAAGGAAGTCCATTCCGGTCGTGGGCAGGCATTAAAGGGAGTGGGAGATATCATTCAATATTTCCAGATGTTACAAAACGATACTCTCTCGGTTTAATATGCGTAGAAAAGTAAAAACTATTTCTTCGACTCACCATTGCCACGCGCCTGTGTATGTGGTACGGATAGACAGATAATATCAGCCATCTCGAACAGCATCTTTGTTTGCACCTCCTTTTTTATGGGCAACAAATTGTCCTTGTTCTCCTCGGTCAGCTCGTAGCAGTAGGAGACGCCCACCTGTGTGCCCTAAGCCCAACGTTTTTAGTTTTAAACTTAAACTATTTAAGATTTAAATGAACAGGAAAGCCAGGGATTTATCATTAATGTAAAACCCTATTTTAATACGTGAATACTTACGTCCGGGGAGAAGCAACTGAAGAGCCCCCGAAAATTCTTACGATCTACGGTCTGGACCAACACTTCACGACCCTGAAATAGACATACTTTGCTTTCTTTTATTGCGTTTTTTTTGCGTTTATTAATTCTAAATTTAAAACTTAACAACCTACACAGCACATATTCCATATTGTCAAAATTCCGGGCGATTTGACCTCTGCTGGGTGCTGCTGCGTGGCCATCCTCGTGCGACCTTACGAGAAAAACCCAAATCCCCAAACGATACCTGGAATTGGGCGTATTTTATAGAATAAGGCTGATTAAATTTTTGGTGAGAATTGTACCAGAATATAGCAAATTATAACCTTATAATGCTTCTACATTTTCTAAAGTACGCTTGTATTAGACGTCAAGCGTTTGAAATTAGTTTTTTAGTTCGTCAACTTGTTCAGGAAAACCTAGCCTTTAGCAACAATCATCAGCATTAAATCAAGCAAATACATTCAATCATCCCGGGTTTATTTTCGTAAAAACTCCTGAAGTTAATCGACTTCAATATATTAATTTTGGATGCAAAAAATGCTTTCTAACTCATGAATTAATGAAGAAACAACTAGAATAGAGTGATTTTCCATCCAAAACCGGGTAATCAATTTTATCCCTCAACAATCAATCAAGAAGTGACAGCAGAAGGCTCTGATCATTATCACCAAGAAATCATCAACCGTCTTTACATTATGCACTACATACTGCACCTATAGACACCAGGGAATTGTGTGCCGACGGGCGGCCTAGTCTCTCTCTTCTAGTAAACTGTGAGACCACATACGGGTCGAGGTAGTGGAAAATATGTCTGTCAGTACTATATCGTCGTGGGTTTCGGGAACTTTATCAAAATTTAACCACAAAAATCGCGAAAAACTGGTACGATACTGTACCGGGAATCAGAATCATCACAATTTAATTGAGCAAACAGAAATGATTATGTTAATACCGATTTAAAATGTACAATAACGCAGCCGACGGGCATACTGAGCCCTCCGCCTGAGCAGCTCCCGACTTTCCGGTCCCAGCGCCTCGCACTCGGCTTGGTGGCCCGTTTGCAGCAGTTGGTTGAGCATCTGATCGGGAAATTCGAATCGCTAGAACAGGTTGGCTGGGGCTGGTTTGAAAGGGATCGTGCCAGCAAATTTTGAAGACTTTCATGGTATTTGTAGAATGTATAATGGTTGTAAAACTTACTCGATGGAAGGAAAAGGCGAGGGCGCACATGCAGATTGATGTGAACAGGAAGAGGCAGACAGCAAACATCAGAAATATCCACCAGCCTAGCGTCCATTCTTCTAATACTCGCGTATCGCCATCCTAAATTGATAGAATTCATTCAAATTCTTAAATTCGAGGAGTTATTCCATTTAACCGGCGGGGAATTTTTTCTTAAGGTTATTTTGGTACTGGAGTGTTAGCAGGGGGGAGGTTAGCAGGTGAACCTAATTTTCCCCAATAATCCTGTACGGTCCTACAACAAAAAATGTACCAAATAACCTAAAAAAAAAATTTCGCCTTTGCAAAGTTGTTTAAAATGTTTTATTGCTACTTTCCAGCAATTCAAAATTACCAAAACTTTACAAAAATACACTATTTATAACACCATCGACGGTAAAACAAAAATTGGTTCCCCTGCTAAAATCCCCCCCCCCCCCTGCTAACAGCCCAGTGCTATTATTTATGCCACAGTGCATTTTAGTGACAATTAAAATTCCTAGTGTGGTTTCGCTGCTTATAAAATGATATTTAAATTTACCCCGAAAAATAAAGAGAATCACGAAAACTATAGAAACCACTCAAATTTCAAGAGTTTTTTTACTTTACTATCACTAATCTTTTCTGTTAAGTGTCCCCTCGGCGTATTTCACAAACTCACCACATCATACTTGGCTGCTAGCAAAAACTGCGCGGACTGTAGGGCTGTCATTGATGGCGGAGTGCTGGGGAATAGATACATCACAAATTATGTAGTCAATTTGAAGAGACCGTTTGGAATGAGTATCTCGGGGTGGGCGAGACAAATGAAATGAAGCCCCTGGTCCTCCACTCGGCGCGGCCGGATTTATAAGGCAGGCCCCGGCGGATCGGCAGAAATCCGCCCCGTGACATAAATAAGCCGCTCTCCGACGACCGCTCAAAACCCCTCCAAGTCATCCTGACGAAGTTTGCGCTCAAAATAGGGCGACGAGCAACGGTTTATCGAGAAAATAACTGTCACTGTAAGCAAAATTCACGACATTTGATGACGGAGGCACCCGGGGGGTTGGTGAGATCACAGCACAGCTTAGACTGGAAGGGGACCGGTAGTTTTAAATGGGGGGCTAAAGGAACAGGCAAGCCATGGCTATGGGTTGCTAATGGATTTTGCTGCGACGCGACACGTAACGCACACGGGCTACATTTTTATCGCGTAGTGGGTTACGACTGCATCACGACTTGCGCGTTGCGTGTCGAAGCACGGCCAGTAATCGGGATCTTCAGTCAAAAAGTTCCATAATCATGTCTTGCCTGACCCTTTAATGATCTACAAATTGAATTAAAGGGACCAGCAAGCGAAATATTGACCCCATGCAACTATTAGGTCTCGACAATTAGGCAGTATTTTAGTACGGCACATTTTCAATGCAAATTGATCTGATTTTGTTGAATTTTGCCTAACTGTCGAGACCTAGTCTAGAGAAGGGGTCGATTATCCCACTCATCATCAGTCCCTTTAATAACAAATCATATCATTAAGATTAATTTTTAGGGAATAATTTAAGCAACTGATTGATATGAACGGGCAAAAGCAACCGGAGCCAATGCTAAATCAGCTTCCGAAATGACCGTCTCCTGAGTTGTCGAGTGCGATAAATTTTCGAAAGTTCGACGACGGGACCTTGTTCGCATCCAGGCAGCAATCAACACCTGTAGACCAAATTCATTTTTTAAAATAAATTTAGTATAATCATAGGCTTTTTATAAGCCTTTTTATAACTTACCAGACAAGCAAAGGCCAGAAGAAATGCTATGACCACCAATCCAGCAATATTCCATGCCCCCATCGGCGCCGACCGCACCTCAAGCTGGATTTTTACATTCAAAACAAAAAAAATTAAAAATTATAGCCTATCTACCCAAGCCCGCCCAAAAACACAACCTGCAAATCCATATCTCGAAGCTGGGGGGAGGAGGCAAACCTTAATCTGGGAGAATTGGGCAAAGCCAAAATGTGGATTGGAGAGGTTGGCAGAGAGGAATGCTGCCAATGGAAATGAAGATGATGAAGTAGATGTAGACGCCGACGAGCCGGAGGAGGATGGCTGGAATAGGGCAGAAGAGGGGGACACCGACAGCACACTGAAAATCGCCATGTAAGCTGAGCCATTTCCGGCCCTCTCCCTCCTTATGCCCTCCTTTTTGGGACATATGATCTTGTTTGAAATTTGTTGGATAGTTCAAAACGCTCATAAGCTTTTTTGAATTTCTAGGTTCTGACCTATTAGCGGACGGGGTTTTTGCCGAAATTTTCGAAAAATTTTGACTTTGGTCTAAAAAAGATCGTCATTTTCGAATTTTCAAAATTAAGATTTTCTACAAAACGCGGAGCTTAAAAAAACACTTTCCCCTGCTAAAAATCCTCCCCCCACCGCTAACGACCCAGAACCGAATTTTCAAGTATTTTGGTAAACTCACTGATGTTCAGCAAAATTCCGTGACTTTGCCCCGATGATCTCGAGGAACGAAAACGTCATCTAAAAAAGAGAAGTAATTTGACGGAAGAAAAAGCGCAGATGAGAAGCCGTAGGCCGGAAGTGGGATTAGGGAGGATTAGAAGATTTTTGGATCGGTATTGGGCTTTCTGGGTAAATATGCTGAAAGGCCAGGCGCCCTAAAAGTCGTTGGGCACGCGTCTCGAACGGAATTCATTCAATTCATACGAAACTCCGACAAAATTCGCGAATAAAGGAAAGAACCGGACTTCGGGCGGCGTGAAAGCAGCCGAAAGGGCTCGCCGGAAACGGGAGAACGTGTAGCGTGAAGATGTGGTGAAAAGGCAAAAAAGGCGACGACGGGGGTGGATGGGGTCGAGGAGCCGGGGGAGGATGAAAGGGTGCCGAAGGAGGATGAGGGGCAGCTTCTATCCACCAAAGCCTAGCTAAAGAAAGACAGAAGAAATCGGCACATAACGAAGTGGTCGCACGGAATTCGTCCTCTTCTTCCACCCCCAAAAAATTTGTCTTGTTGCGTTGGGGATTTTTGAAGGAGCTTGGGAGGTTCGGATTCTTACGCCGCAGTTGGTTTCTTACTCCCCGAAAAATTCTTGATGAAACACTTCTGGCTAGCGCGGGAAGCGTTTTACTGCGCGTCATTCAAAAGAAGAAAATTTTCACACGCCCGCCCGCAAAGCCATTCCGCCATGAAAACCGAAGGTTGATGGTTATTTACGGAGGAGAAGGCCAAAGGATCAAGAAGAAGCGGTTCTGGACTGTTAGCGGTGGGCGGGGGACCACTTTCTGTTTTTCCACTTATACCTACTTTTTGATGAAAAGAAATGATTTTTTTAGTGTTTTTAGTAGTTTTTGAATTCTAGAAAGCTACAAAAAGATTTTGAAAAATTTTTTAAAATTCCAAAATTTTGACCATTTTTGGTGTTTTTTGGTAAACTAAAACTGTAAAAAGTGTCATTATTATTTTTTAATTGTTTTTCTATCTAAAACTATGTAAAACGCTACAAAAATGATTTATAGTTTCTTATAGGGCCGTAAAGAATCATAGGGAAAAATTTGGTTCCCCCGCTAACAGTCCAGAACCGAAGAAGCTCCGCGAATAATCGAAGGCGCTGTCGGAAGATGTCTCTTCCAGAAAAACATGTAATTATCCCCGCAAATGGCCGGCTTGTGAATTAGAATCCAGAGGACTGGTGAGGTATCGAAAACCGGGAGTTCACATCTTTAGAGATGTTAGGCACGAATCACCCCAAAATTCCGGGGGAACAACAGGCGGAAATCCTCTCTGGGGAGAGATTGGGGTGTGGAACAAGTGAGAGCGACGGATTATGGGGTTCTGCCATAGGAAATATGGGTTGTAAAGGGGTGGAGGGTGGGCCGGAAGCCCTTTTATGGGCCTCGAAGGGCCACTTTTGAGTCGTTCTTTTCTTGGATACAAATTTTGGGGGATAAAAAGTGAGGTTCTAAAAAAAGGGAAAACGTGTGTTTACTCAAACCGGGAAAAATCTTGAATTCTGGTTTATTCAACAATAAAAATAATTTAAGATGCCTCAAAATGCTTGTTGATCTTCCACAGCGTCGCAAGTAATTTTCTATAACAAAAAGCGGCTAAAGATAAATTGCCCAAAAACGCTATTTTTAAAATTAATATTTTTCTACTAACAAATAATTTGCATACAATTTGGTATATTTAAAGCATCCTCTTCGTTTGCGGAAGTGGCAAATGCAAGACAGGTAGAAGCGGAAGCGCAAGTTCAAGCAAGGTATCGTCTCCTGCGTATGATGTTGATCCTATAATATAAAATTACGTTTCTCAATGCCCTCCTGCTCCTAGATTGTCTTTTAACTCACCACAGCTTATTTTTCACCACTAATTCGTCTCAATAGCAATCTGACGTAATTTTCCCCATTGGAAAAGCGCGTGATTTTTTTATCCGTAGAGTGCGGAGTGGGGGGGGGAGGCAAAATTGAGTTGGAGCGCGAGTTGGCCGCCGCCTGAAGCAATCGGCATTTCTAATTTCTTTGGATTTTTCCGGACCCTGGCCGGGGATAGGGCTGCCCAGCCATTCGGCGCTACCCACGGAAAAACAGGACACGACCTCTCCCCCCTTTACGAGCGGCGTCCCCTTGGCTACAATTCCGCAGTGGAGAAGCAGATAGATTGACGACGCTACTGGGGGCACTTGCCCCAATCGGACTCACCACAAACAGTCGTGCTCCCCTATTTCTAAACAATTTTTTTGAAGGGGTCGGATCGATCCTCCTCGGGCGCTAAGCCTCGTGTCTGTGTGTTGCTCTATTCGTGGCAGCCGCCCCGAGGCGCAGGTGCAAATGCTCGAGTAGCGGTGTCGAGCAAAAAAGAGCTGCGAGAGTTGATTAACCACACAACGGCTTCATATCGACCACCCCCGGGGCGCATATGCCATCAATATCACCAAAAACGTAGACGATGGGTGCGCTGCAGTCAAGCCAACTTGACCGTAAGCTTGTTTGGTGTTAGTTCCCATTGAATCGTCAAACCCTAGCTACAGTAACCCTAAAGGAAAAACTAGCAGATTTTATCAGCTTTTAAAATGTGGTTCTGGACTGTTATCAAGGGGGGGCGTTTAGCAGGGGGAAGTAATTTTTATTTCCGCCTATCCTGTTCCGTCTACCCGTCTATACCTAAATAATAAATAGTGTATTTGTATAATGTTTTTCGGAGCTTTTTAGTGCTATAAAGTTACAAAAATATCTTAAACATTTTTTGAAACTTGAAAATTTTGAATTTTTATCAATTTTCATACATTTCGACCAAAACCCAAAAATGTTTGGAGGGTTCTATAAGTTTTTATAAGCTTTTTATATCTAAAACTATGTAAAATTTGAGAAAAATGGTTTATAATTTATTATAGGAGCATATAGGATTACTAGGAAAAGCTGGGTTCCCCCCTGCTAACAGTCCAGTCCCGATCATCCGGCGCTAGTTCCAACCTGATGGTGCACTGTTAGCTACAGCAGCTTTTATAAGCATTTGGCATCAGTGGCTGTTTGAAAGCTTAAAAACGCGGTTCAATAAAATTCAGCGGATAATGATGCCGGTGGGTTCGGGCGTCGTCAAGAAGATCGACTCATGTATAAGCTTGTGGATATGCACGGCGGCGGCGAGCTGATCAGCTGGATGCGCTACGGCGCCCGATTTGGCGACTACTCGATGGTTGAGGGATATTTGGAGTCGAAGGTCCACTAATGAACGTATTGTCTAAAAATCTCATTTTTCCAGGTTCGAGAAAGCATGTACAACCAAGGAAAGGGCAAGATCATGTCGATCAACGAATTAGTCAAAATTCGGAATCAGGTCGCCCAACCCACTACATTTTTCATATTACCAATTCTAGCAACGAAATGACTACTGGCAACAACTAATGGCCAATCGAAAGAAGGGGAAAGCCGGTTCAAATCTGCTGGATCACTTCAATCAGGAAGGCGCTAATACCGGGGATGTTCAAAAAGGTATCGTTGCTAATTCAGAACTTTCCAAACAGCGCTTCAGCTTTAAAATTGCTCGATGGTGGTGGAAAGAAGGGAAAGAACGAATCGAAGTATAAAGATGTTGTTTGGAAGCTTGAGGAACGAGGTTAGCAGGAGCGAACAAATTCCTGAACCATTATCTTCAGGCAGCATGGGTGAAACCCTACTCGGAGTCGCACTTCTAACATTGAGTCCCGCACATCATGACGTCGTCGTCGCGTTAACAACCGAATACCCAAAATTGGTCAATGACTATTGTATATCTGAAGATTACTACGGTCAGTTGAAAGGCCAAGCATCAAAGCTATTTTGATTTTCAGGAATGTCCCCCCTCCACCAGGCTATCATCAACGAAGACCCGCACATGACCCATCTTTTATTAAAACTGGGCGCAAATGTGCATGCAAGGTGCTATGGGGCGTTCTTTTGCGCGGAAGATCAGCGAAACCACCGCGACGATGTGCCGGATGAAGAGGCTGTCGAATTGCCATTAAGAACAGAATATACTGGGTAATCTAAAAACGCTAATCCTTAATAATTTCAGTCGGATGTATTTTGGGGAATATCCGCTATCGTTTGCTGCATGTATGAATGACGAAGATTGCTTCAGATTACTTATCGCATACAAGGTACGCTTTCGGTTCTATTGCATAACATTGCAGGCTAATCCTAACCTCCAGGACTGTAACGGAAATACTGTTCTCCACATGTGTGTCATTCACGAAAACTTGGTAAGTTGGTAAAACTGAAAATCTAAAATTTAATCTATAAATCTATAAATAAACGTTCAACCTATAAGACTTTAACCCTCTATCTGAAACTCTAAAAATCTATAAATAAACTTTCAGGAAATGCTGAGGTTAGCCGTCGAAAAAGGAGCAAAATTAAATATCGTCAACCGGCAACAGCTTTCTCCGTTGACGTTGGCAGCAAAAATGGCAAAACGGGAGGTACGTTTCCAAAAATCCGTTAATCCTACAAAATCGATATTTTCTATCTCAGATGTTCGTCGAAATTCTGGGAATGGAAGCGGACGTAGTATGGTCGTATAACGACGCGTCTCAGGTATAGCCATATATCTCGAAAGGGAATCTTTCAGAATCTCGCATTATCATAATCTCGCATTCTCAGAATCTCGCATTTTCAGAATCTCGCATTTTCAGAATCTCGCATTTTCAGAATCTCGCATTTTCAGAATCTCGCATTATCATAATCTCGCATTTTCAGGATCTCGCAATTTCAGAATCTCGCATTTTCAGGATCTCGCAATTTCAGTCTAGCAACTTTTCCAAGGGCTTTCCAAGGGTTCCAAGAATTCGATGAATGATGATTGATCACAGAATAAGCGGTTCACATCAAATTAATCGAATGTCTGGGCCACTAATTTAAGGAATTCGAGATGGTCATATGCGTCGTACACCTCGTCGAGGCCACGCTGGGCCTGGTAATCGATGGCAACGGGTGTCTGCTACATGCCCTGTTGCTGCGCCTCGATTAGACGGTTGTCGGTGCGTTCCTGGAAACCGCCCAACGTTTCTAGAAACTTCCATGCCGAGGCTCTGTTAGTTGGACTTAGTAGAAATGCAGCTAGTCTATGGGAATTACGAGATTCTGAAAATGCGAGATTCTGAAAATGCGAGATTCTGAAAATGCGAGATTCTGAAAATGCGAGATTATGAAAATGCGAGATTATGAAAATGCGAGATTATGAAAATGCGAGATTATGAAAATGCGAGATTCTGATACCAAATCATCTCGAAACCTAAATAAATTTAGACGGCATATCCGCTGGCCAAAATCGATACTATAAATGAAGAGACGGGTGAACTGAATGAACAAAGTGCCTTGTCGCTAATTGTTTATGGGGTTAGGAAATTAACTCTAGCTAATTTGCCGTTTTAACAGCAAACTTGTGGTTTCAGAAAACCACCGAGCACTTAGAATTGTTGGATGGGCTACTCGAAAGCATTATTGACAGTAAATGGGAAGCTTACGGTCGTAAAAGGCGAGCTTTTGGCACGATTGATAGGATAACAATTACTAAAGATGGTTCATGTCCTTATTCGCTTTCACTATTTACTACCTCCTCTTTGTATCAGCCTTTACACTGCGGCCAATCAGTATGACAACTGAGGTAAGACACGCTAAAACACATCTTAAAAATTGTCCCTAGACCATTACCGACCATTCGATTTGCGAAACTGGACTGCCAGCAAACGATGTCTGGGAGTGGCAAGATTTGGACCCGAATTTCCCTTGGAACGAGACGATATATCAGGTACTTTGCTAATTTTATCCGCTTATACCTAAAAATCCGTTGCAGTACGGCGAAACGGGAGCATTCGTTATCGGCTGTCCATATACGTTTCCTGGTCAAGCTGTCTACTGTCATCTTCGCGACTACAGTGCGATGAGTGAAAAATACCCGGGATATGGTTGGGTAAGGAGCCAGCTGAAAATCTAACGATCATTGTTGATTGCAGCGGAAATAGGGCACCCCATAATCCTATTCTAGGTCCGGTTAGGTTGTGAAGCAATGGTGGTCGTGGGCGTTATTTTTCAAATCACCACTGACATTATGGACGTCCGCCGTGTCGGCCACAGGAAATGGCTGTCGATTATGGTTTGGATTCACCACCTATAGCAATTCCTAAAACCTAGAAATCATTCCCTGCAAAAATTATTTACAAAGCCTCGTTCGTAATGGTGATGCTGATTATACCGGTCAGGTGGGGGGCATAGTCTTAATTCTATTAGAAGAAAACCGTTTAAGGAGTGCCTGTTTCCTTGGACCCGCGATGCTGGAAATCGACAACTACCTATCAATTCTCTCCGTGATTTGTACAACCGTTCACTTCCTTTTCTATTGCCGGTAAGCCACATTTCTAGAGGCCCCTCATTAAACCTAGTGCTATCCAATTTATCGGACCCTTTGTGTTGATGATTTATACCATTATCCGCACGGACCTTCTTCGTTTCGTTATTATTTATATCATTTTTCTGTTCGGGTTCTCACAAGGTTGGCAATCATTCCCTTAAAGGCAGCAACGCTCTTTCCAGCCTTTTATATCACCTTCAACTCATGTGAGAAAATGCAAAACGAGTTAGAAAAGAACGGGGAAATTGCCAACGGGACATGGACTGATGACGCTGGATTGTAAGGAATGTCGAAACTCTGAGCACTTCTGAAAAATTTCAGGATACAAAAACCCCCGGACGCCTTCGACAACATTCTCTCATCTCCACAAGAATCGTTCATTCGCACCTTCATAATGACCATCGGTATAATCTAGTGGTTGCTAACAGTGAGAGGTTTAGGGGAATTCATGAGTCTCTATCGAGAACTTTCTTCCTGCCAGGACCCAGTGATGCGCGTTATGGGAAAAGTTCGTTTTAATTAATAAGCCCTAATGTTTCTTACAGATCTGCTTCCTCGTTTTTGAGCTTTGCGTGTTTGTGCTACTATTCAACTTGCTCATCGCTTCCCTCAACCGGACTTATGAAACTATTTTTAATACTAGGAAAGAGTATAAGAGACAGGTGGGTAGAGAGCAGAATGGGATTGTTCTGGCCAATTTGTCAAAACCACTAAACGGAAAACCACAAATAAGTCCCATAAAGCGCGAAATTGCGATGAAAGCCATAAAAATTTAGTGGGCCCAGGTCATTCTGTCGCTGGAAATGTCGCTCACGCCCCATGAGAGACTGATCCACTTACTCAAGTATTCCCGACCAATTGGTACCAATAAACAGCGGCGGAGTTATGTCGTTAATAAGAAGCTGAACGTAGGTCTAGGGAGAAATCAAGGGATTAGGCCATTGGGTATTCCATATGTCATTCCATGACTTGCAGGACGACAATATGGAGGGTTTTGAAAAGCGAGCGCAGGAAGAGAAGACCAAAAAAATCGCGGAAGAAAAGCGCTTCTTGCACAAGAAAAGGCTAAAGGTGAGTTGTTGCAGGAACTTTACTTTTACTGCAACTTTTCTTCCTAGGATCTCGAAATCAAGGATGGTATTCGCCCGCTAACCAGCCTCATCCGCCCAATGACATCCTACTTAGCGAACTTGGGCAAACCACGGCCACGCACAAACGCAAAAGAAAGCTCAATGATGGCAGTCTATTCAAAACAAACGGCGTTAGGGAAAGGGTTCAGGAAATAAACGTGTCAGACTTAATAGAAATCACCCCCTATGAAAAATGCAAAGGCTCAGGTGTACATCTAGACAAAGTTGTTACAAAAACTTTAATAATCAGGTAACAACAGGCTAAGACAACAAGGTAACGAATAAGGAAAAACAACGATTCTCTTGATAATACGCAAAGCACGGTCAATTACAAATTTTACCATTCTTCGTTATCATCCATCGCCGCAAGCTTCTTCCGCTTCAGAACATCGAAATCCTTGTCGCTGAACACCGAACCGCTCGCTTCTTTCTGCTTCTTGTCTTTCTGAAATTGGAAATATTATAGCATACGCAATGGACTCTACTTCATCTAGGGCACCATAATCGACCCCAACCCAAGTTGTTCCCGGGGACCCTAAGGCGGCCATAATGCGCAAATATGGGCGTGGAAAACGGGTAGCAACGGAAATGCGTCACGCAGCCCTGTGCTAGGTTGGTAATTTTTCTCGCGTTCGTATGAACCGACGTTTCAAGGCTGGGATTCTAGGGTTAGTGGAAAGCTCCCAATCTCTCAGAATATTGCTCCTGACTTGAGAATATTGCTCAGAATATGTAACTGAATGTTTCAACTTTCAACCCCGACCCGCTGTGTTTCATGTCGATGCGAAACTATTGTTTCAAAAACAACTTATAGCCGCTATTTGTAAAAATTGCGCACATTCAAGGTTTGTTTATTCTTTCGGGTTAGCCAATCGCCCCATCTATTAGGTGCGTCAGAGAGCCTAACTCGGCGACGCCGATAGCCACAAAAATATCCGAAAACGCGCTAGGACACGCAAAAGGTCTAAAAGGCGCGAGTGTGGGCAGCCGCCCGCATTTCCTGCATGGAGAGGTTTCCAGGAGCAAGGAAATAAGAAAAAATTTCGATGTGAAATGCATATATAACAGGCTCCCCCATTCGAGAATCCCAAATGTGGAAGCGTTCTCCCGCCCCCACTTCACAGTCTACTCATCCCCTCCTATTAGATGAAGTGGGTGGTTCCGCGGAAGCGGACATCGCAATTTAGCTAAGCTTGGTTCTAGACAACTAAACTTCTACCAATACCCTTACTCCTAACTCCGTCTTACAAACTAACCAGCGCTAACTGGGTGGGTGCGGGCGGGGGCGGAATGGAGCCTAGTGGTCGCCCCAAAAAATACGTTGGAATAATCCGATTTTGCTGCACAAAGCAGGGCCTCTCTAGGCCAAAGAGAATAGATCCGAGAATTCCGGAAGTGGGTCAAGCCTAAGCCCTAGGGGATGCTAGTGCACGTCAACCTGTCAGATCGCTGGGTATGTGTGGGCTGCCACTGACTTTAACTCACTCCCCCACGGCATTAGATCGCAGGCATCATAGGTTTCTGAGTGACACTCCTCAAATAAGGCCCAGTCCGTTGCCAGATATAAAAGCCATCTGGGTTAGTGTGTCCAAACTACTCCCAAGTTCACCCATTGCGTTTTTCGGCATTCATGGCTCAGTCCATCCCGATTCATGACATCAACGCTGGGCAAACGCACCTTGGGCTCACGAAGACCCGTAATTTTCGCCCGCTCTTGCCGAACGATTGTCGCTCTTGATTCAGGACCAGTCATCATTGCGTGGACGAAATTGCCCTAAACCCATTACCACCGCAAGGCAAAACGAAACCTTTTTTGGATCCACCGCATTCTTTCGCACGTGTTTGATGTAACGCATGTTTCGGGCCGCCAAGTCAGTAGGTCGATCAGCGCGAGCCTGCTCCAAGAGCGAAAACCCCTAAAAAACACGTGAGCGGTTTAATCAAATCAAACCTGATTAGCAAGCTTAGTATTTAAACTCGTGGATGGCAGGTCATCGATCAGATAGCTTTCAGTCTCGGGAAGTGAAACCTAAACCAGGATTTTCTTACGCTACAACGCGGCGATGAAAACGTTGCCCGTGCCAAAAGCGCGGTCAGGTTATATCGCGAAAGATTTGCTACTGAGGTGACATCTCGTAAATATGAAATGCTATTATGCTAGGAAAGTTCGTAAAGAATGACCTGTCCTCTCTTCGCCGCAGCTAGTATCATCTTCGCCCTTTGTTGCTGTTTTGTCATCTTCTTGCTTTTGCTGGACGAAAGCCTTCTTTTGCCATCATCGCCTGAACAGTCGATAAAAATGAACGTAAGGTAATTACCGCATTCAACATCTTCGATAAATTCTTTTAGTAGCGTCCTTGACATCTGCAAAGATTCCTATGCACTTCGTACCCATACTTGCATTTCTGAATTACGCAAAGCTCTCAAAGCACTCGTACAAATGTTTCAGCAGCGCAATGTCCCTCTGGCGCCTGCTATTTGCCGTCTTTATTGCCTTCGCTCTAACAATCGACGCCGTCAATATCATGAGGGGGTTCATCTACAGACCAGTGCCGCCCCAAACCCAATACGTGCGACAGCTGCGGTAAGGTTTTACTACGAGCATCCACGCCAAACGAAAAATTAGATTCGACACCGCGCCCGGATTCACCAACTATGCATACGCCGACTGAAGGAAGCTTTCCGTGCGTTAATAAACCATGTAAATCAAAACTTTATTCAAGTATTCATAACAATTTATTGCGCAAACAAATTTAAACATTCTGGGTATTCGGGCCACGTTTTCGTCCAATGCCGCCGACAGCGACATTCACATATCTCCTGTTGTATTGGATGCGACGATGGGCACGGCCGACCTTCTTCTTCTTCTTCTCTTGTTTCTCGACCTTCGGGGTTTGAGAGCGGACCTTTCCGGCACGGGCGAGCGAGCCGTGGACCTTACCTAAAAATAAAAGTGAAAACTGCATTCAGATGTGCGAGAAAAGTTTGGTCAAGGCGGGCTTGGGAGCATCAAAACCTTTATGAGATCTTCAATGAACTAACTACGTGCTACACAAAGAGGAAACCCCGCGCGTAGAAAGCTATGGTATCGCCAAAATTTGAAGAAGAGTGCCGTGCTAGGTGGCCGTTTAGACACTGGAATTTTAAGGAAAAAGCTATTGATGTTGAGCCGGGGGTCTTTTTTGAAGATCTTTCCAACCTCAGCTGGTCTTCAAGCCTAGGATAACCCAGCCAAGTCTAGGTCAAGCCTAAGCTCGGGGTAGACTTAGGCCAAGAATAAGCTACGCTAGGCCGAGAGTAAGCTAAGTCAAGGCAGGACCAAGCCTACGCGAAGTTAAAGCTAAGTCGATCAATAGATCCAGGAAAAATTTAAGCAGTTTCTCCTACAAACACAAAATAACTACGGGCTAGAACCCTAGGTGTTTTGAAAAAAATTTGGAAGGAATCGAATAGACGTACGAAATCTGTCTAAAGTGAACCCGCCAAAAAACCCAACAAAGTATACCGGTCCAAAGCGATACCTCCGAGCAGACGATGGTTGATGGCAAGCGTGGCGCCGTTGGTGAGCTCCAGGCCAGCGATGGTTTGTTCGTCCTCGAGAATGCCAGAGCCGTAGGAAAGGATCGTCTCGTCATTAGCGCACAGCCGTTGCTGAAAATAAAAATGAAATAACATCGACAAAATGGATAATACGAAAGAGTAAAGTATAATTTGCTCATAAAGTAAGTATCCATATACGATTCAATAGAAAGCTGTCTAAAAACGAGCGGATCTACCATCTACCAAAAACCATTAGCAACTGGGTTGCGAATTCGAAAATCGAAAACGAATGTGCCAAGAATATACGCTACTGGCAACACCCGTACCTTGTCATTGTAAGGATACTGAAATAGTAACAATAGATACCTTAAGATCGCGAATTGTAGTCTCCGGGGTCACATCGAGGCCGTGGACGGCGCCATCGATGGCGCACACGAACAGCTGCATTCCAAGCGAGAACAACTGAAAATTGAAGAGTTAGCGATGCAATTCTAGTACAGAAAGTAAAAAGGAATAGAATGGCATGAATGGAAACAATCTGTAAAAAGGGAAACAGAAAATGGGGGCAGAGCAGAGAGGACCACCCCCGACGATGAGGCTACGGTAGAAAAATAGGTCGTGCCGGGACCCAGCAGGTCGGCGTTTACGCCATGAAACAAGGCGGCGCGCGCGGGAAAAGATCAAAAACAATATATAGCGAACTAAGAGATATAAAAGTCGTCAAGTCGAATAGGTAATGATGATAAACAATGATACAAAAAGGGAAGTAAGCACTGGGGACTGGAAGAATGATAAGGCGTGGGTGGGGTGCGATCTTTCGGGATTTGTTTGCTTTCTGGTTTGGGGCTTGTAAAAACGAATAAGTTAGACTGCTGGCCTTTTTGATATTATGTCGAACGTATTTCGATAGAATTTTGGGATTTTTTGTATGAGGGAATGAACTTAAATTTAAATTTCTGTTGTCCCTTATGATTAGCCCCGATGGCTTTACTTTTGCTCTGAAGCTGAAGTAGAAGCAAATAAGCTCGCAGTTGTCTCCGAATTTCTGGTATGCATGTTTTGCGATAACACTATGCAATTCTACAGCCTTGTGACTTTCCAATACTATGGCAGAGTGGTAGGTTCTCTGAACCGCTGGTAATACGTTTGCTGCACTGGCCGCCTTTTTTCTGCCAATAGATATCAAAAATTTATTAGGACATACTATTAATATTATGTCGTTTGCAATAAACATCTAGACAGCTTGCCTAAATGCAATACAAGTAACAAGGCCCTTTGTTGTTTCGCAATACAAATTCGATGAAAATACGTAAGAGAAATGCCCTCGGCTGCAAACGACGTCTACATTTCCGCCAAATTTAGCCTCCGCAGCAGTATTGATTTGTCGTTTTGAATCAGATGAGTTGTCCGACATGTTCTAAATTGTGTTTCAGTTTTAAAATGCCCTGTAGATATGTCCCACCTCTTCCATTAATTTTTTAAGGACTTGCGAGTTACACTTCGGCAACTCTGAGCCATTTTGAGTTTGGGTGGAGGCGGGAGTAGTCTAAAAAAACCCTTACTTCATCGGTTGTATTTTACTTACCTCTTCTTGCGGCTTTTCGGCCTTCGGATCATCGCCCTCCGGAACTTCCCGAACTGTGATTGCCGAGGTCGGGGCTCGTCTGATATCTTCAGGTTTCCGCAGGCCGCTCGCCAAATCCCAATCCTCTCCCTACAAAAATGCAATTTGCCTTTTAGGGTCGAAACCTTTCCCATATCTTCACCAAGACGTTCCAAAACCTTTAATTGCGCGGTTTCGGGATTTTGAGTTGGTTGTCCGAGGCGTATACCTGACGCGGCCGCTCTCTAAAATAAAATAAAGCTAATCTGCGTTCTTTGAAGCGCTTTTCTTCGGCGTGAGCCTACCAATTCGAGATCATCGAGTGCCCGGGGCTGGGCATAGAGTTGAGGAGGATAATTTTGGGCCGAAAAAGCAATTTGTGGCGATGGTGGAGCGGGGACGGGGGCAACATATCCAGTCCCGGAGCACGGTTTCGGAGCGGGGCAAAGGAACTGAGGAGGACAAATTATATGAATTGAATGGAGTACCGCGGGACAGGTGGTAGGACCAGCCGGCTGGCATGCGAATTGTGGACATTGGCAAGTGTGGCCAGGGATGAAAAGTGATGCGGAAGCGGAAGTTGAAAGGGCGAAGATAGTAAGGTAGTGTAGCCACGTCATCTGGAAAAAAGCAAGGGGTTTTAGAAATTCGTAAATTAGAAATGTAAATGTAAAATGTATGGACTGGAAGGAAGGGCTGGGGAGGTATAGCTTTGCCATAGTAAGTTTGCCAAAGAAGCTAAAGACGTAGCTGGCGCCAAGGTCTATTATGCCCTCCCCGCATAATTTCCCGAAAATGAATATCTCGATGCCCCAGGATCGCCGAAAAGCCGTTTTCCTCAAAAGATCCGATCAAGGGCGCCAATATCTCCGCCCACTCGCCGTAGGCTGAAATTAATACAGGCATCGAGAAAAACGGGCCGGAACCGGATGATTGCCGGCCGAGCCGGTCTCGCCGCGCGCCCTGTTTTATCCAGGAATCTTATGTGAGACACCCCGCTGGCTTGCCGAGAATGGTCTTGGCTTGATTGAGATTACCTGGGTTTATTAAATGGCAATTGGCCGGTTTAGGGTAAATTTGGAATCGAGACAGATTAATCGTAAGTATCCTAAAGTATGCCTACGCTATAGTTAGAATGCAAGATGGAAGATGGATGTAAGAAGTTACCTGAGCTGCAGCTCCCATTGATGGGAACAGGATCAGCCATCTCTCGCGCTCTAACGGCTCCTTTCACCCCTGTAGCTCTTATGCTGTACAGCCGCATAACACTATAGATAAGTGTTTGGCTTCGAGGAGGCTGGAAAGTACGGTACTGGGCTGTTAGCGGGGGGGGGGTTTAGAGGCGGAAAACCGTTTTTTATTTTTACCTGTTCTAAATAAATATTGTATTTTTAATGGTTTTAGTAGTTGTGATGGCCGGGATGTTACAAAACTTTTTTTGAAACATTTTTGAAATCCTGAATTTGTGGCCAAAAAGTAAAAACTTTTATGAAAGTAGTTTTTATGACCTTTTTTAATCTAAAAACTTTGTAAAATGCTGTAAAATGATTTATATTTCGTTACAAGATCGTTCAGAATTACTATCAAAATTGGCTTCCCCCTGCTAAACCCCCCCGCTAACAGTCCAGTCGCGAAGGCCCCAGGATGACAACTAAAAATATAAAACACTTGCTCGACCAATTTTTTTTTACTTTGTACCTTTCCCCTATTCTTCTCTTATTTTTATTGAATTACCAATCCGGATGAAGACATTTTGCAGGCGAAGGGCTGCCAACCAGCGTCGTCGAGGAGCAATTAGAAGGTTTCCCCAAGTGGAGAGGTAGCCTCGAAATGGTATGAGAAGGAAGAAGCCCGGTTTCTTCCAGACCCCGGTCTCCCTTCCCCTCTTCTGCCACACCTTCCAAAGTCAAAATGACCCCCATTCCAAGGGCAAAGTCTACCTCTGCTGCCATTACGCCTTGGGGTGTCGACATTTGGCATAAAGCCGAGAATTTCTTTTTTATTGTTATTGACGATTGACCGGTGACGGATATGCGGTGATGAGGTATGTAACTAATTTTAAGGGACAACTTTAATTATTAGATACGTTTTGCTGTTATTTTGGGCTCGTCACGCCACGGGCTGCATTGATTTAGCAGGGTTACTTGGCGGTGGATCTGGAGGAGGTTGTGGCTGGTAAGTAATGTTTCTAAACGCGAACTAAAATTCTTACAGTAGCTCATCAACTCCAGGCTGTGCACCGCAACCACCACCATACCCACCTACGTATCAAAGCCCACCACAGCCACCCCAAATCAGGTGAATTTGGCTAAACTGCCGATACCTGCTGCTTACTACTGTATACTGTATCTCAACTACCCGCTGTCCTACAAGCTTGTAAAGTATACCAAAATACTCGTCATAGTAAGACGAACATTTTCATGTACTTTACACGCTTGTAGACATGTACTTTACACGCCGAGATACAGCGGGGTATCTGCAGTCCGTCCGTAACGTTTTGACGTATTTCTTGTAAAACCTCTCACTTTAGTATATCAAGCTACCCCACGGCTCAAGTACCTATTCCCAACCCGGCACCACCGTTCTTTCCACCTCAATTTAATAACCCCATCCAGCAGTTATCTCCAGGTAATCGGCAAATTTTCCAATCGGAAGTTTCAATTTTAGCAGGAACTCCGCCTGGTTATATCCCCACCCCTGTTATCTCATCAGATTCGAGCAAAGAAGACCCCCCGGAAACTCGGGTTCAGCTTCAACCCCCAGGCTTAATCTTGAAAGTAGGTCTCCTTTCTCGATTGCTCAAAAAATCAGGGCCACATCGGGAATGGGGTCGAACCGTCCGGCTATGATCAAGCGGAGAACGAGCATGTTGATCGGGTTATAGATGCGTTTGATCGGGAATTAGGGAAGGTATGTTAAAATCGATTTCCGGATTAACAGAATCCTAGCCCCGACACACCTCATCTGGCTATTCATCTTCATATCGGCACTCAGTTCCAAGACATGAGAAAATTAAGGCGCACAAGGCGTCATTGCAGGTAGATAAAATTGAGCAAAATATCGTATGTTTTAGGTGAAAACCTCTGGGCTTAAGATGGCAATCTCGGAACTGGCGAATCGAGCCCAAGATCTTGATGAATATGAAGGTAGGGTAATAAATCAATTTGTACCTTAAGATTCAGAAGCCGACGGACCTGCGGAAATCAATACATCTACAGCCTATGAATCAACAGTTTTGAGGTTTTTACTTCTAAACTATAGCTACCATATTTTAGCAATTCTGTAACTACGGCTGCAGAAGTCTATGAAAATACCGAGGACTCGATTGGTGAGAGGTAAGTGAATCCAAAAATAGAAAGACTCTTTTGTATTCAGGGTGACAGAATATGATCTCGAAGAAGAGACCCGACGACCTGCTTATCACATTGTTCATGGTTTAACTACAGTAGATCCTGAACCTCTTCCAGGTCTTCTTATACCCGAGAAGGTAATTTACGATCCGCCTTTCAAACCCATTTCAGGCAACCTTCTACGAAACAATCCCAACACCGCCTCCATGGCAGCCGAGATGGAGTACTACAGAAGATTCCCCAACCCTGCCCCCAATTCTAATCGATCCCGATGTCAAAGATTCGTTATCCAAGACAGATCCCGATATCCAACCTTTTGAATTAGTTACCCCGAGCCATACCCCTTTACTTACAACCCCTATCGTTCCCTCCACCCACCAACCACCTGACCCGGGCTATAATTTGTTCAAAGACGCTCTAGAACTTTTTAAAGGCAAGCAGAAACTGGAGCAAAACAGTCAAGAAGATGAGAAGCTTTTGAAAGATTCTGTTGAAGAAGCGAGTACGGAACGTTATAAGATTACAAACTACGCAATTACCAGGGGCAAAGACTCGTTTGGGGTCACTGGAAAACCGAAAGAAGAGTTGCATACTTTGAATACGCAGAAGATTGAGGTAGAAACCGGGAATACCTCCTCAAATACCGGAAATTTTACTTCTATTTCGAATGAATCCGAAGCAACATTCGAAACCTCAGAACGTCCCCAAAATTTGCCCGAAGTTTTGAATTCCACCACAGAAACGACATCCACAAGTTCACCACCACCTCCAAGTGATAACAAATTCCCATTAACATCGATCGCCACTGTTTTTCCAGTGATCAATTTCAATGCCATGACGCCAAAAATTCATGAAAAACCAGAAGGCCCGAGTCTGAATGCATTATTCCGTGACTCATTCCGAATCACTACTGTACGTGTCGCACCTCTAAACGTTGAGCAGACGACAGTAACTAGTCTGACAACTACGAAGTTGCGTACATATCGCCAATCTCTTTTGGACCAATTATTGAAGAAAACCGAGCCTATTACCCCGGAAAAACGCAGCTCGCGACGGTATAAGTATACCCCACCAAAGTTAGATCTCAAAACACGATGGAAGGGCAAGGGATTGTTGAAACGTTTTACAGTGGAATGATTTAATGTGTATTTTATGCGTATGCGGGTATAAAATAAATGTATTTATTATTTATGTGCTGTTATTACATTCAATGCTGGCGGAGAGCTAACAATTTTCGACGTGCTTTTAATTTTCGAAGAAGGGCTTGACGTTTTCGTTCTTTGAAGCCGCCTAGGGAGATAGTAAAATCAAAACAGGTTTTTTTTAAGTTACCACATCCACCAGGTGATGATGATCCACCGCAACCACCTCCACCTCCTCCCCCTCCGCAGCCACCTCCGCCTCCACAACCTCCTCCTCCACCTCCTCCTCCTCCTTGACACTCTTCAGGTGGTCCACAACAGCATGGATATGAGGCAAACACTGGTGGAGGTTCAATGTCTAAAAAGTCCAAAATTTTCGTCTTTTCAAAACGATCTACGATTTTTTAATTTTCTAGCATTCAAAAACTAGGAAAAATATGATAATACACGATTTGTTATTTAAAGGCATGTATAGGCGGGAAAAAAATCCAATACTTACCCTTCTGACCGCATGGCACACTCGGTTCTGGCAATGGTGGTGGTGCAAATGGAGGTGGTGTTGGGCCACTAAACAAATCCCTCCCTCTCAAATCCACCCTCAAATTCACTCACCAAAAAAGACACGCTTCAACGGCTACGCCAACCAAAAATAACAGCGCTAGTGGGATCATTAGCTAGCTGAGCGGTAGGATTGTGTTAGAACGAGGGGATTAGTGGAGTGAAGAGCTGTGATAGGCTGACCTTGGCAGCTGCCTCGAGCCTTTCGAGGACTGAAATCCCGGGGGCAATTCGCGCAAAAAGTGAGAGTGACACCACCCTTATGCTTTCGGGAAGGGAAGGCACCTTTCCCCCTTTTTGAGTCAATTTTGGGGTGGAACCGTCGGGATGCTGTTGCTTTGGGCGGTGAAATAAAATGTGAACTTACAAGGAGTGGGCGATATTAGCTTAGCTTTAAGCGTAGGCTTCGGTTTGGTTTAGGTTAGGCTTAGGTTAGGCATGGGCTTACTACTGCTTACTAGTTAGGTCTAGGCTTGACTTAGGCTTAGGCTTAAACTTAGGCTTCGGCGTAGTTTTAGGCATAGCCTCAAGTTTAGGCTTAGTTTAGGATTGGGCTTAGGCACAGGCTTAGGTTTAGACGTAAGCTTAGGCTTAGGCTTAGGCTTATACGTAAGCTTCGGCTTGGCCTACGCTTAGGCTTCGGCATAGGCTTAAGCTACACTCAGGAATGGGCTAAGGTTTAGGCTTAGGCCTGCTGCTTATTCAGAATTTCAACTTCTACGCCCTGGCAGCGAATTTCACCACATTCTAAAGGAACGAGCAATGCACGATTCTGTATGGGTCCTTCCAGAGTGCAGGTACCCTCTCTGCTAAAACTCACTACCCATCCACCTAATGCCAAAATTTCACACACTGATCTCATCGGCTCGGCTGCTTCCACTTTTGGCATTTCCACCCATAATTGTCCTTAATGGAAAAGTATAAGACCATTTTAATCATCATCCCGGCACTACCCGCCCGCCCACCGGAAACGTTTCCCCCGGGGTCACAAAAGCCGTTTTAATGGGTGCCAGCGGCCATTTCTGAATTTGTGGGCCTCCAGGGCAACTTGGTAATAATGGTGGGGCCAGGATGACGGACCGCCAGATCGGGTTACCCCCCACCCGGCCAATGTGTGCGCCTTTTCTCATATGAAGCATCCGGAATGAGGGTTTTTTGCTTTTTACCTGGGCGCGGGTTCGGTCATAGTTCATGGCTGTTCAAATTTTGGGAATTTTTGAGGGGCAGTTTTCTTGCGGTTCGATTTTACAAGCCAAAAAACGGTATTTGAAGTTTTCCTAGCTTGAACTTTATGGCTGTAATAAGGAAAGGTGACAGGTCTAGTAGGGCCTAGTGTCGATAGTAACGTAGTGTAGCTTTAGATAAAGAGTTTAAGTCCTTGGAATTTTTTTGTAAGTCCTTGATATTTTTAAAGCCGCCTCCTTTCACCCTATAACTTTTTAACTAGCTTCTTTTTAAGATAATTTTTACTTTTCATGCTATAAAACATACAAGTTTCAGCCACCCCAAATTTTTACGTCAATGGTAGCGTTCGTACTTAGACGCTAAATTACCGGTATTTCCGCCCGTGAGTACTTTCATTCCAAGAAACCCCAAGCTTTTCAAGTGACGTTAACACCCTACGCTACGCTCCACCTTATGCACTGAGTTCCAAAAACGGTGGTGCTGCCCTTTTGTCCCCAGATACCGGATATCTGTATATTCCGCCCTCATTTCGGGAAATGAGTGTTTTTGGTGAACAACCCCATGATGGGTCCTATGAGGGTGATGCCCTATTTCCTGCCCTTTTCAGGGCACTTTTGTACCATAGCCGCTTTTCGATAGGCTTATTTTTGCGGGTAAACGTTGGGTGTCATTTGTCTTATTCGGTATTGTGGCTCTTTCAACTTTGTAATGTTAAAGTTTAAGCTAGATTTTTAGATTTAAGTCAGACATGGATGTGCTTGGGAAGGTGTTGGCTGTGCTTTGCCTGTTGGCCGTAGCTTTGGCTCTGCCAGCGCCCGGGAAACGGGAAACGGGCCCGGATCGGAACGTTTTGCAGTGGTTCAGGTAAGAAAATCTGGGCTAGGCTTAGGTCTTGGCTTAGGTTTAGGCTTAGGATCAGGCTGTAGGCTCAGGTCTAGCTTAGGCTAAGGCTTGGGTTTAGGCTCAGGCTTACAAGGGAAGTGCACGACCGGCCCACGAGAAATCGACACAAGACACAGTGGATCTGATAGAATCGGACACGGGGATTCCGAATCTGTAATTAGAATCTGCTAAATAAAACGGAGAAAAAAGTTATGAAGCTTCAAAGTTGGTAAAATCGCCCAATATCCGACTTTTATGGGCCTGTAAAGGCCCGGGGAATGGGAATTTGCCACAACGCATTAGTGGATCTTGTTCAGGAGAAAAAGCGCTTTCGAATGAGCTATCTTACTTCAAGTTTACGATGATTTCGCAGAAATCGCTTCTATGAACTTGACAGGCCATACCCTGGCCCGTGAATCCAAAACAACTTTTTTCAGTGAATTCTCTGCAATTGGTACGTATTACAGCTCATTCGAAAGCGCTTTTTCTGCCGAGCAAGATGCACCAATTCTTTTCTCCTCAATTCCGTTCCCCCGGTTTTTACGGGCCCTTAACTGTACCGTTTTTGGCGATTTTACCAACTTTGAAGCTTCGTAACTTTTTTCTCCGTTTTATTTAGCAGATTCTGATTACAGATTCGGAATCCCCGTGGCCGAATCTATCAGATCCACTATGACCCGTGTCGATTTCTTGTGGGCCGATCGTGCACTTCCCTTGTTAGGTCTAGGTTCTTAGGCTTAGGTTTCGACTTAGGCTTGGTGTAGGCTTAGGTTATGCTTAGGCTTGGCTTCAGGAAGTTTGTTAGGCTGAGGAAGCTATAAATTACCATTTTTGGCTACTAGCTTTCGAAAGCTACGTTTTACACTAAATAACGTATATCTATCGATGCCCAATCACATTAAGCGGTCAATTCTTGGACTTCACAAGCCCTGTAAGGGTATAAAAACACTTTTACAGGCCCTCCAGACCGATCCCATCGACGTTTGATGCCTACGAATTTAACGTTGGTCAGTTGGCCGGAGGACAAGGTATAGCAAAAACGCTCCTTAAAACCTGGATACTTAGGCTGGGCCCTGTTCCCCTCCACCAACAACTTCAAGCTCCTGCGGTGATGCTCCTTAGGAGCTCGGGCTCAATCTGAAGAAAACCCATGAACGCCCCTTGTTTCGTGTATGGAATAAAGTTGGAAGTCGTTTGAAAGTTATAAAACAAGCACAACACAGCTGCTGTCACAATCCCTTTAAAACGCAAAAAGCCACGTACCACCACCCATCCAGAGAAAATATAGTGCACTTATCGTCGATTGGATCGAAATCTCTCTCTTTTGTGCCTTTTGTTGTCATAGCCACTGTTTCAGCATATTTCCCCTCTCTTCTCCATATAACCACCCATCCCCCTTCCTCTCCCTGCTCTTCCCCTCATATTGTTTTCTCTTTTCCCGTTTTCCGTCTTTTTCCGGGTTCACCTCCCTCTCAATCCAAGGTAATCCCTCCCCAGGCTTCTCCCCCGCTTCTCCCCGCTTTTTCACGCACTAAATAACGCCCGTAAAGATTAGACATTGCCGGGAATTCATAACATTGGCTATACTGAACGCAATATTTGGATTCCATTGCCTGAAAAATTTTAAAGCTATTTTTCTGAACCAAAATATTGTATAAAAAATCATCTTTTTATTTAGAAATTATTTATATAATTATTTATCCCTTATAATTTCAGTTAAGCAACAAAATGGAGGAAGATGAACTTACTGAAGAAGATCATCGCTCTGGTAAGCTTACAATAGTAGCTGTATAAAGCTTTAAAACGCGTAAAGCGGCCAAAATGGGCAGTTTTGTGCATTTTCCACAATTTAAAGCTTCGAAACTTTTCAAATATAGCCGTTACATAGATTTCAATAAGCGCGTTATGTTCAGCAAAAAAATTCTGCACAAAATTGGCTTGATCCCATTTCGAAACTGCGTCGACCCTCAAAAAACATCAATCTTTTAGCACCGCTATTCCGCTTGAAATCCCGCCGCTTACATACAATGTTGATGCTCATGGCCGGGACAGCAGCCATGGCGCTTTTAACAACAAATATTGGTATAACTGCCACGTGTATGGTCAATTCGACAGCATTAGCATATAAAGCAAGGTGAGCGCGAGTAAAGCGAGCATGAGCAAAGAAATTTAGTAACGAAACTGTTGTGATTTCTACAGTACGTGCCGATAATCCGAAGTGTTATATGGATTCGGCGAGCGTGGTTGTTGATTACGGGGTGAGTTATAATAATTAGTTATTAAATTATCTGTGTCTATTAAAGGGAGAGCTTTTATGGACTGAAGAAACACAATCATTAGTGAAAGGAGCCGCCTTTCTCGGTGGAATCATAGCTGTAATGCCGGGTGGAATGGCCTCTGATCGATATTCAGCCACAAAGCTCATGCTCACTTCAATGGGTTTGTGCTCTACGAAAGTTAATTTGAAGCTTTTAGGCTTGGGGTCATTTTGTAATTTGTTATTCCCGCTGGTAGCGCAATGGAACGGGCCTGGGCTGCCAGTTCTGGCGATTATTTTGCGTTTTGGGATGGGTGTTGCGGAGGTTGTCGCCATAAAATAAACATGGACTATAGTATTTTTAGGCCTTCTTCCTTCCTGCTCAAAATGCTCTTATGGTACGCTGGATTCCGCTAAACGAAAAGGCTACGGCAGGTAGGGGAAAAGACTTCTTTTTTGATCTGAAACTAGGTGCCCTCTATTCCATTGGATACCAAATTGCGGGTATAATTGGGGTACCGATGGCTGCAGCATTGTGTGAGAGCTCGTATCGATGGCCAGCGGTGTACTACGTATCTGGTAGATCAGTTTTTCCGCTTAAACCAGCTAAAATTGTAATTTCAGCCCTAGTCGGGTTGATCTGGATCATTGGATTTTGGTACTTGGCTGCTGACACCCCGGCTTCTGCCAGATGGATGGGGGAGCATGAGGTTAAATATCTTCGTCGTGAGCTTCAGCATTTAAATACCGGCAAACAAAAGGTACAGTCACCGTAGTACACCTTAATACGCCAATCTAGACCCCATTCCCCTGGCGATCCGTCCTCCGCTCGGCCGCCGTTTGGGTCCTCCTCTACGCCTTCTTTGCCGGCAATTTTGTCATCACATTTATCCAGCTCTACATCCCCTCATTTTTCAAAGACGTACTCCTGATGAATGTGCGACGGGTAAGCTAGCAAAGATCTTTTGAGGAATACGCTCATTTAGAATGGCTTCACTACAGCCATCCCTCATCTCTGCCAAATTTTCGCTAAATTTTCGTGGAGTACGATAATCGATCGAGCAAAGCGACATGGTTTGGCACCAACAGCTGCTGTGCGGCTTAGTCAAGCCGTCTGTAAGTCCGGGGTTACGGTATCCGAGGCAGAATTTAGCGTGCGTTGGGCTGGTTGTTGGTTTCGCGTCAATAGCGACATTTGCGGATTGTGAGCGGCCCTGGTTGGCGATATTCTTTTTGTGTCTCGTCACTTGTTCATTTGGAATTTCAGTAGCTGGTATGCTTTTAATATTAATTAGTATAATATATACTTCATTTACAATACAAGCCAAAATATTACAAAATTCTTTTAGGTTTCATATGTTCGCTATTATCTCTAGCTCCAGCGCATGTTGGTATGCTGACAAGTTTAGGAAATGTTATAGGTAAGCCATTACACTTGTGTTTTAACCCGATTCCTTCAGGTTTTTTGGGTCGCTGGACCTGTCCAATGATTGTCCAACACTTCAAAACAGTCGTAAGTTTAACGTTTATTCGGTCAAAATGAGATCATACGGCCAGAAAGCTCTGTAGATACCATAGAGTACTATATACAACAATTTGCAGGGGACAGCAGCGGAGTGGAGGCAGATATTTTACGCGTTCTCGGTGATCCCGCTGCTGTCGTTGGTGACGTTCACGTTTTGGGCATCAGGTAGATGAACGTCTAGCCGAAGAAGGGGAACTGGTCCTGGCAGGCGCGGCCGGAGCACACGACGTGGAAGCCTTCAGTTTGCTGGGTTTGGCCGGGGTACCAGTAGTCACCGAAGAAGTTGTTGTCTCCGATTCTAGAATAAGAGATGGTTAATTCATATATAAACCGGCATCGTAGCAAAGTACGGTCTATAAGCTGCCTAAGACTAAAGCTTAAGCCTAAGCTAAGCAGAAGCTAAGCCTAAGCAACTTTAGTTTCAATTTTTTTTAATCCTCACCTAGCAGAAATCTCAGCAAACACGGCGAAAAAGACGATGCAGATCAGAAGAGCAGCGTTCATTTTGAAGTAGTTTGACTTGGAAGCTTTAGTATTGCTTTGAAAAGCAGTGATTAGAACGATATCCTTGAACCAAACCTTTATCCTTATATATCCAGTCGAGAGAACCGAGCATTGGAACAAGCTCCGCCCATTTTTCGGTGGGTTCCTCCTCCCCACCTCGACCTCCCGACGGCTTGGATCTGGTGACGTATCAGGGTTAGAAAAGATCTGACCCTCTATACCTTCTGGACTATCCAGAAAATAGATGGGTGCTCGTGTATCAGGATGGGCAGCGCTGTTTCGTTGAGTTTTGGATTGGACCTTGGTCGCCACTTTTTTAGCTCGTGCTCGAAAATTTTCGAACGATATCTTGGAGATCAGCCAAATATGTTGTGGCGCTATTGTTTTTTGTTCTATTGAAGGGGTACGGCGGCGTTGCGTGTAGCTTTCTGTAGCTGTTGTGTCGCGAAACGCAACGCGCAATCACGCGTAGGTCGTAGAAAACTCTCCCTGTATCTCTCTCCTCTCTCCTCTCTTTCCCTCTCTCTCTTTCTCTCTCTCTCTCTCTCTCTCTCTCTCTCTCTCTCTCTCTCTCTGCACAATCTCAGCGTAAATAGGTGTATACGTATAAAATCTGCCCATGAAGTCTGCCCGTGCGCCGTTTGCTGTCAACACCTAGTCGATACCAGGCATCGATTCTTGCGCTTCCTAGTCCCTTTAAAAGTACAGACCATTTTGTGCTGCGGACCCCAAAAAGGCTCATTCTCATTCCGTGACCCATCCCCCATTTCCCGCTACGATCTGAGACCAACAACCGGCCTGCCAAGACCCCCTGGAAATGGAGTCAACCAATGAGACAACGATCCCTGAGCCCTGTTTCGATGAGTTCCCTCCATCAGTATTAAACTCCGCCAATCCGTTCGTTTTTTTGGATTGCAGCGTACTCAGCAAGGTTTTTTGCACGATTATGCTTTTAAAGGGGCCACTAAGGCAGATATGCGAAGATGAGGGACCATATCACGATTACTTAGCTGGCTGTAGATGTTTGCACTCGCTTTAGTTTTTAAAGGGACAGAGAATTTGTGGAGTCCTATGAATCTTTCACGGCATACCTTTCAAATGCGTATTGGATTACGAAGGATCTGCCAGTGTCTTTAAAAAATCATGGATAAGCGAAAAGCCGTAAAGTACCGTGTCTTCCGTAATGCCCATCCATCAACGATCGGCCCCGGTTTTTGTCTTTTCCATTTTTCCATTTGCCCCCGGAGAGATCGCGCTTCTTAATGGACTCTGGTGCTCCGGGATCACGGATGGGAGAACTGATATCAGCATTTTTACAAAAGTCCAGAAAGTGGATATAACCGGGAGGTGGAACCGACGCCTAGGGCTTCCTATATGTTCTCCCATACCAGTTAAGTTCGAGGTTCTTCCTCAAAGATTACTGCTAGCTACCCCCGAAACTGGTTTTTAGATTTTTGAAAGTCGTATTCTGGTGTTTCGAACGCTTCTTCAATAAAATAAGTACCGAACGCTAAATTTAGCGAATAAAAACATTCCTTTATTCCTCTATTTTTCTTGATTCTAAACCAAAAAAATTCCTTGTGTCCGTATTTTGTTCCGTGAACCTGTTGACACGATGGCTCACCCTCCCAATTTCTCTCAAACAAATCCCTCACATTTTTTTATCAGATGGTTTATCGTCGGCCACTCTTCGCGCTTATCCATTTTTTCCTTCTCGCCTTCCTTAGCCGATTATCACGCGGAATGTGACCGACCCCCAATCCATCAACAGATATCTGGCGTATCCACACATCGCTCTGCCCTATACACCCCCATTTTTTTGTGGGATACGCAATCTTGTATCAAATTTCGCGGTGCTGTCAGGTTCAACGCGTAAAAAAAGACGCTAAAGCTTAACCTAAAATTTTTACAAAGTGATTTTTAGGTGATGTACAACCATGGGGACGAATTCCTGAGCAACCTACGGATCCAGTAAAGGCCATTCTCCTTGACGAGAAGAAAAAACAACAAGAAGAAAACAATGAAATTCAATAATGCTAGCTATGAATTCAGCTTCTTAGGAAAAGCTTATTATGATCTCCTCCTCAAAGTGCTCAAACCTTCGGGTCAACACTGCAAAATCATTGTCGAATGTCGAATAATTCCTTTATTATTTTAATAAAATTCCAAATAAATTATATTCCACCATCTTGACATGCCCTGCCACCGCAGAATAGTTGGAAGGGTTGAGAATGGATATTGAACAGGCCTTGAGGACTAAAAAATTTTGAATAATTGAGTGAAAAGCTGACTTACGCTGCTTCTAGCAACCCACAAATTAAAGCGAGGATTACCACAAGATGGAAAAATAGTGATGCTTGCATTGTCGTAGAAAAATTGATGCCCCTACTCGTCTTCCCTCGAATATATATACCACTTCTTGTTTCTCAAATTGGCAACAAATAGACCAGCTGATTTTGAGGAGAGAGAGGGAAATAGACGCGGAAAACATGTTTTTAGACGTGCATGCTAAACCATGGAAACACCGTTTTTTTCTCTCACAATGATTGGACTCATTTTTCTGCATGGGATTACACTTGATGATCATGATATCATGATCATACCTTTACAAAACCAAAGACCAACAATAATCATTCCATTCTGTATCTCCTTTCCTGCCAATTGAACTTTCGAACTCCAGCAAGAGCAAAAGATGAGATCCAACTCTTTTCTCTGACATCATCCCGGCCTTCCCTGCCTGTTTGCATCCTCAGCAAAAAAAATCCTGGGGGTTTTCCAACAGCCAAAATACGTATTTATTTGTTTATTTTGTAGTGAATGTACTTCTCCAAAAAATAAACCCTTTTATCAAATAGCGACCAGTATCATTTAGCTCGTCGTTGAGCAATTACATCACATAAACACGGAATTTTTGGTCAGGGGCAAGAGGTCGGTGAGCAAATTCGGAATGCATTCAAGTAAACGGCACGTGGAAAGTAATGGATTTGTCTAAGGTATCACGGATCATCACGGAATTTGAAACAATCACAACACTGCAAACACGGCAAGAAAGCAAAACTAAAAAAAATGCTATAGAGCATGGGTTCAAAAATCCCTGGGTTCTCGTTGGGCCCGTAGCTGCTTGATAGCCTAAAAATCAGATAGTACGTGAAAATCGAAATTTACAAACCTGGGTCCGCTGGGCATCAATCTGGATATAATCCTTGTCAACGGGCTCGGGTCTTTGTGGCTGATGAGAGAATGTTTCTCGACGATACGTCCTCGTCGGGGGAGGTTCGAAGTATTCCAGCTGGCTCTGCATATAGCCCGCTGACTTAAATAGAGATTTTCTGAAATGCTTGCTTTCCTCAACTCACCTTCGGTGCATCTGGATAACCACCACGACTTCGTTTCGGTCCCATGTTTGTGCTTGGGATTTTTCTGAAATCCATTTTTATACGTTCCAAGTATCTTTGGTATTGGGCTGTTAGCGGTGGGGGGGTAGCAAAGGTAAGTTAATTTTCAGTTTTCCGTCTCCGCTTAATTTTTGTAATGCTTTTCGTAGTTTTTGATCGCTAGAAAGCTACAACATTGTTTCTACATTTTTCAAAATTCGAAAAGTTTGGCGCCTTCCTGGTAATTTTTCATACATGTTTGACAAAAAGCTAAAGATTCTCGAAACTGCTTCGAATTTATGAGCTTTTATATCTAAAACTGTGTAAATGCTATCAAAACTATCTATATTTTGTGTAGGACCGTCCAGGATTACCGCGAAAAATTAGTCCGCTTGTTAACAGTCCAGCGCCGTATCTTTTTGTATTCCCACCTGCCACTACCAAACAATGATCCGCTCTCCTCATCAGAATTGATGTAAATCCTTGATGGCTTGCTCGAACGGTCGACTGGCGGTGCTCCACCGTATGGAGACAGCTAAAAATGTCCACTCCTGCGTGCTGAAACTATAATAAACTTACATCAGCATTTATATAATTCTTCGGTGCGCTAGATGTTGATGTCGAGCCGGTATCTTCACGTTTAATTCCGATTCTATAATAAAAATAATGTTGTCCTTTACTTGCGGTGCGTGAATTGCCTCGGATTTTTTTTGCCCAAACCCACATTTTGATTGTTTCTCCGCTGCTATCGTTGTCACGATGGCCAGCCCGATTGATGAGTGGATTATTGTGGTAGAGTCGCATCTGAAAGTTTTTCCATATATCACATTAAATCATAAAACCCACACTAGGCTTTATATCCTGGGAGCTGAAGCTGTTGTTTGTGGACCTCTGAATTCGGGTAGGCTCTGGGTGGGTGAGGCTACTGGAGAATCCGAAACGCTGGTTCTCCATCAGTACTTTGCCGTTGGAGGGAGAGCTGCTAACACAACTGCTCGTACCTTCATCCTCAGTCAGCTGAAAATAAAATTGACTTTGGGGTAAGAAAAAACTTACACTTCTCCGGCTACTCGAAACGCTGCTGCAGGCTGATGAGCCATCGTTACGCCAACGGGGATCTAAAAATCTACTAAATTAACTGAATCCGACGAACCGCGATTTTCGGGAGCGCTCTGCTGACCGTTTCGAGGTCCTCTTCTCGAGTGGAAGCGATTGATGTGCCCGTAGTCACGATTGTGTTTGCTCTAAAACGCTTATTCTCAATTATTACTTGGCAAGCTAGCGTAGTGACGGCCATGCACAGAATACATTCGACAACACCCCAGCCAACATACCACCTTTTTAAATTCTTTTGCCAATGGCCAAACAAGCGGTATGGGGCCATGCGAGGGGCCCGGGATTTGGGCCGAAGGACCCGGGATTGGGTCCCGGTTAGCACCCCGACTTCCCGTTTCAATCGGAAAGACGAATTCCTCATATTTGTGCTCTTCGTCCTCACTCTGACCAGTGAAAATGGATATACATGACAATGCCGATAGCATAGCTTTTCAATAGAATTTAGCCCCTTACAACGAAAGCGCGAAGCATCACGCATAAAACTTCAGTAAGGAACCCACCGATTCTTCCAAATTATTTGCCGATTCGCCGGTAGAAATATTTGATGACATCGAAATTCCGGCCAACGAGGATGAAAGTAGAGACGCATCTGACCGCATCCCCCTCTCATTCACTTTTGAACGAAGCGGCACTAAATCATGATCAAAATTGACTTCGATTTCTCTTACTAGCAATATCCTTTTCTTCAGCCAGCTCCTTCTCAATTGTTTCTTGCTTCTCGAGTTGGCACGCGCGGCAGATGGCTGTCACCCATTCCAGCATCTCCTGAGGTAGCTCTGCTTATAGCAACTGGAAACCTCTAGTACCTGTTCGCTCTCGGAACAGAAGTACATCTCCGCGTTCTTCTCACCCTCCTTCTTGTGGAGGTGCAGCGAGAAAATCCACTGTAGATCGTTGCCGCGCGTGGCCGTGCATGAGGGGCTTGTAATTTGTAGGTATGAATCCACCTAAAAAATTCCAGAGATCCTGCGCTATTTAATGCTGGCTTGGATTTTTATGACTCACGCACGACGGTTGAAGCCATTGAATTCCGGACACGTGTATTTCGTAGACTCACTTGTACACAGTCCGCCAAATCCAGCGACTTCCGTAGTCGTTTCCTATCTTCTGCCCGATATTCATCCAAAAAATTCCCGTTGCCGGAACACCGAAGCACGAAATAACGGCGTACCCATTTTGACTGAAACAAACTTCATAAACCAGGCTTCTTCCATTGTAATACCTTCAAAAGTGGTAGCCGTAACCCGTGATCCCGCGATTTGACCAACCAACCTTCCAGCACTTCGATCGCTATTTTCCTCATGAAAAAAGCGGACATAAAAACCCACAGGTCTGGTTTTCCGGTGCCCGCCTCTGGTCGCTATCGCTTATTGAATACATAATAGAGAGGGGGCAAGAGGCGGAAATCAGGTGATAAGCAAGCAGGCAATGAGAAAGTAGCGCGCAGCATACAACCAATAGCTCCAAAAACCTCTTTCCACCCCCGTGCAAAGGTGCCGCACGAACGGTAAATAGCTATCACATCAACAACATCGATAATTCACCCCAAGGTGAAGCCCAGAATCGGCCGTAGGGGTTTAAAGAAGGCTTTGGAACTGTCCTTAGATCTTGGAAACTCAAACAGAAAAGAAGGAAAATTAACGAGTTTGGCGTAGCCTTATAGTGTTTATTGTCAAGCCTAGCGGAAACATAGTCTTGCAGACGGTTCGTTCAATGGGGAACAAGACACGGTTGTGTTAGTTTTTGTAACCCTGGCCGTGATCAATTGCGCTAAATTTGTTTTCGAGTTTTGAAGCATTTTCGAGTTCTAAACGACAGCCGGGGCTACCTTATCCAGGTATACACAATATAACGTGATTTCCGAATTCATTTTTACTTTTCGGGATCGTTCTGTAGATCCCATAAGATTCAAAATACCGTAGAGTACAAGAAACTCGCGGAAAACCCTATAAAAATCCATTGCAAACCTTCCACATCCCGTTTCAATTTCTAAATGGCAACCTAAACATTCCACCACAATACTCCTTCCACCCTTACCAGCCTTTTTTACAACGATTCGGATTTTTGATTTTTATGACACATTCGGAAGCTATTTCGACACCTCGTTTTTTGGAGCGCTTTGGTGCCTTGTTCCCAGCTGACGCGAGCGATTCCCCCGAAAGCTATAGTTATCGAGAACCGTTCCGCCGCGAACCACTTTCCTGAGCTTTAGTTTTTGCTTCAAAAAGCCTGCACTTTTGCTTATTTCTATGTTTTCTTTGTTTCATAACGCGGTGCTTATACTGTTTTTTCAGGATGTCGAAACTCTTGACGGAAGACCTTTTCAACAACCCGCTTCAAAGAACGGAGGACGATGTTGCGGTAAAAATCCTTGTTTTGTTTCGAATTTGAGCTTTGTTTTTTTCAGGGTGACGATGCCACTCACTTTTCAACGACTTCTCTGGATGCACCTCAAATTTCGCCGACCCAAGAGGACCAACGAACGGTAAAAATACAACACTTTGGCTGTTATAGACCTTGGAAATGCTTGAAAACGCTCTTCCGAGTGGATATCAGTGCTACAGTTAATTTCCGTTTTAGCATCGCACTGAGGACATCAATGTCGACTTGGATGCGGATAATACTATCACTGTGGACATTTCCGATGCTCTCTCGGAACGTGACAAGGTATTATCTACCAAGAATATCAATTTTCCTGCTTTAGGTGAAATATACGGTCCATTCGCGCACGAAGGGGTTTCCTGAAATGAAGGGAGAGGCGTCGGTTGTTCGTGAACACGAGGAATTTATCTGGCTCCACTCTTGCCTGGACGAAAACGAGAATTACGGCGGCTTCATCGTATGTCTTTGGTAGTTGCATGGTTATTGGTTTAGATCCCCCCGGCGCCGCCTCGCCCCGATTTTGACTCTTCGCGCGAGAAGTTGCAAAAACTTGGCGAAGGCGAATCGACGATGACGAAGGAAGAATTTGGCAAGATGAAGCATGAACTTGAACAGTAATTTTGAAAATCTTGGTCCTTATCTATGGTTATAGGGAATACCTTGCTACTTTCAAGAAAACGGTGGCCATGCACGAGGTGTTCCTTTGTCGCATTGCTGCACATCCCGTTTTCCGGCACGACACGAACTTCCGCATATTCCTCCAATACGAAGATGATGTAAGTTTTTGTTATATTGCCACTTATCAGAGGGTTTTTAGCTGTCTGTCCGCGGAAAGAACAAGAAAGAAGTTGTCGAATCGTTCTGGAAGCGTGTCACTCAATCGGCCGATGGAGTTTTGCTTTCAGGACAGGTATAACCGGATCCATAGGGTTATAAGTTCCGCTGGTTTAGAAGGATGTGGACGACTTCTTTGAGCACGAGAGGAATTACCTTGTTGAATATCACTCGCATATCAAGGAGGCTACGTCTAAAGCCGACAAAGTTGTGCGTCTGAGAAAAGGTAATCTTTCTTGAGGCGCCCCAATGAGTCTTAGGCTGCGCCGATTCCTATGGAAAGATTGGAGATTGCTTGGAGCGGATGGCTCGTGGTGAAGCTGACAAATCCTTGGCACGTACTCTCGTCCGAGGAGCGGATGGTATGCAAAAACTGAAGAAGGTAGAAGCACGCACCGGCAATGATATGGAGCTGAAGTTGGCCGACACTTTGTGGTATTTCCAGCGCGACACGCAAGCTGCCAAGGTAAAAATGCATATTAGCCTTATGAAACTTTTCAGGATCTTTTGTATCGACGAATGCGGTGCCTTGCCAACTATGAAGCTGCCAACAAAAACCTCGAACGGGCCCGTGGACGCAACCGCGACATTCCGAAGGCCGAGTCCGAACAACAGGAGGCCTGCAAGAAGTTTGAAGATATTTCGGCTCTTGCGAAGACTGAATTGAAGGTTGGTCATCTAGCAGCATTTGCAATTATTTGTTTAGGATCTGAAGAAGCGGCGCGTTGCGGCATTCAAGAAAAATCTGAGCGAGTTGGCGGATCTGGAGATCAAGCATACCAAGGTAAATTGGTTTGGATTTTTTGGTCTTTTTAATGTTCTTACTTTTCTATATTATATACCCGGGTCTCTGTAAGCGCGAGATGTCAAATTGATTCCGCTTGGATGAAAATCTTGAGGTCCTGAATCCTTGTTCTTTGGCACAGGGCTGTCTGGGCCCTCCTTTCAATGCTCAGTCTCTCCCACGCCGCCCGGCGGCTTCGCGGGTGTCGCAATTCTCGCCGCGCGCGACCAGCGACCATCGTCAGGGATAAGCTGTATTCTGAATGGGTCTTTATATAAGAGAATAGCCCTTCTGAGCGAGTTGGGGTTCAAACTTATCCGGCTTTTGTAAAGTGAACTGTGTGCTATTTATCGGCCTTTCCAACATGTTTCTAATTTTACTTTTCAGACTCAAATCAACTTTCTGCAAGAGACAATCCAAGCTTTGCGTGAAGTCTCCGTCTAGAGAACCCACATATCTATACTAATGCATAATTTATTGGGATCCTCTCTATCGACACTGTGAACTAGTCTGTGATATGAACGAATGTGCATTTTTCTCCGGTAACCTTACGTTGATTACTTTGCTGATTGGATGTAATAAAGAGTTTTTTAACCCGTTTTCGCCTCGAAAAAGCGGGCTTTATGGCCGGTGGTTTTTATTTCAAAGTGAATCCATGTGATGTCATTGGTATCACTTCTCTCTCACTCTTCCCACCGCCCCGCATCGTTCAATATTCGTTCGCCGGTCTGCGGGTGCGATGTATGAACAGCCATATTTTTGCTTTGCCGGCGCGATATACATAATCGATTTTGATGCCGGGGGTTTTCTTCGGCTTCCCCTCCCCTCTCATTTTATTCACCTCTCCCTTCCCACTGTAAAATGTCACGGCTTCGCCGGCTATTGCGTTAGTAGCTTTACAGATCTTCTGTCTCCGTTTTTCTGTGCCAGTTCCATCGCAACTTTGGATTCCTTTGATAGACTAGCTGTTTTTTTTCTACCTCGCAAATTTGCCATTTCAGGGCGCCGGATGAGTGGCGATGTGGTAGAGAACAGTGGCGCTTGGCCATCGGGCAAGAATGCGTATCGACTGGAGGAAAGCATTGGCGTGGGCGCCACCGCTACAGTTTATAAGGTATCTTTTGAATTCCTTGTTGTCCGTAGAGGTTTCATTATTGCTTTTTGGACCACAATATCGTCGGGTCAATCAATTGGATCTGTTACTAAGATAAATTTAGGCTTACTGCTTGCCTCGCGACGAATTCTGTGCCATAAAATGCATCAACCTCGAGAAATGTCAGACTTCCGTGGACGAGCTGAGTCACGAGATTCAGGTATCCAGTGAAACTCGATTCGAAAATCTTCTTTAGGCTATGTCTCAGTGCCATCACCCCAATGTTGTCAACTACTATTCGTCATTCGTCGTCGACGAGGAACTTTGGGTAGTGATGCGTCTTCTTTCGTGTGGATCTATGCTTGATATCCTAAAGAAGAAGATCAAGGTAGCTTACAATCTAGTATCACACTTGAAGTCTTGTTTAGATGCTGGGGAAGGAGCAGGCGATGTATGGTGTCCTTGATGAAGTCTCGATCGCCACCATTCTCCGAGAGGTCTTGAAGGGGCTTGAATATTTCCACTCAACTGGACAAATCCATCGAGACATCAAGGTTTTGCAACCTGCTTTGCTGTATTTCTTTGTAGGCGGGCAACATTCTCATTGCCGAAGATGGTACTGTGCAAATCGCGGATTTCGGTGTTTCTGGTTGGCTGGCTGCTTCTGGTGGAGACTTGAGCCGACAGGTGGGTGTTGTTGACCGGATGTCATTATTTTTATGTTTAGAAAGTTCGTCATACATTTGTCGGGACCCCGTGCTGGATGGCGCCCGAAGTCATGGAACAAGTCTCCGGTTACGATTACAAGGCTGACATCTGGAGCTTGGGGATATTGGCGATTGAGCTAGCAACCGGCACAGCCCCTTACCACAAGTATCCGCCAATGAAGGTATGTTTCATCCCTCGTTTTAACTGCTCTGATATAGGTTTTGATGTTGACCCTACAAAACGATCCGCCGAACCTCGAGACAAATGCTGAGAAAAAGGACCAATATAAGGCTTACGGAAAGAGCTTCCGCAATTTGATCAAGGATTGTCTGCAGGTAATACTAGTTTTACTCCCAGTTCAGTCTTTTTTGCAGAAAGATCCCAGCAAACGCCCCACGTCTTCCGAACTTCTCAAGTACTCCTTTTTCAAGAAGGCCAAGGACAAGAAACATCTCGCATCGGTCCTGATGGATAACTCTGCATTCAGCTTGGCCAAGGGACAACCACCGAAGCCTAAATCGGTTCGTTTCTAGCGTTTCTCGTCTATTCGAGTTGTTGACTTACATTTCCAAAGTCTAGATGTCATTTCGCAAGAAATCGGTTTGTAGCATGTATCGCTGGTCGTTTGGTTGTGTTTCATATATTCTAGAAAGTCGATTCCTTGCCCTAACAGTTGCGCGTGTGAACTGACGAGTTCGATCGTAGCATTAGTGGAGGAGAGTGAACTGAAACACGTAGTTTGGCCTCTTGCAGTTTTTATCAGAAAAATGGATTGTTCGATCTTGGCGAGAGATAGCGAGAGTGTACGATCAGTTCTCCATTAACCTTTTTCATTTTGCGTGGAAATCAGCTTCTCCTAACCCTTAGGCTCGCTCCCGCTCGGATTTTAGTTTTATTAATTAGACCATTTTCTAAGTATGGATGCTCATACATCCGAGTTTTAGGCAACTTCCGGGCGACTGAAGAAGAACCCACAAGGTGAATGGGAGTTTGAATACGACTCGATCAGCGGCAGCGACGAAGAGGAGGTTTGATAAGCCATGGTTTTTATATTGTTTGTTTGTAGACCGTACAGGCGCCTAATGCCGAGCCCGTTGGAGGTGAACCTGCCGCGGCTGGGCCAACGTTGAACATGGTATTGCCATATTTGTGTCTTAGTTTTAATTCCTTTGAAGGTTCTTCGTGTACGGAATCAATTGCGTGAGCTCAACGATATCAAATTCGACTATACGCCACAGACTGATACGGTAGGATTTGGATGCTTTAGTGGAAAACATTTACTTTCAGGTCGATGGCATTGCTCATGAGCTGGTGACCGCCGAGCTGATTGATTGCCACGATCTCGTCATTGTAGCTGCCAACCTGAGGAAGCTCATAGGTGCGTTATAGACGGGCGGCTTTGATTGATTACTTTCCAGAGCTGGCCGAGGCTGGTGCTGAGAAGCGCTGCGTGACATTTGCTCTGAATTCTGGCGTTGCTCCGAATGAAATCCCTGACGAACGTACGCTGACGGGATTTGCTCAAATATCGATCATCGACTAAGTTGCGGTTTCTATTTCTAGCTCTTTAGCTTTTTGCCTCATGCTTTCGTTTTTTTGAGATAGTTCCTGTGTCTAGTTTTATTGTCGGGGTGACAATTATCACCATTAAAATACTGATGGTGCGCTATGGTTTCAATCTCTGTCCCTTAGTCCCCCGATAATTCGTCCACATGTCCTGGGTCGGCGGGGGTTCGCTTGACTTTATTTCGGTTCTTCTCTATCTCTTTTAAGCCGCTTTCTGAAAAAGTGAGCAGATCAAAACAGCAACCGTGCTCCGTCTTAGTCTAGCATGTACCCAACCGATCTAATACAGCATACCCCGTCCCAGGACCTATGCGTTGTGCCCGAATTCTCCTGCCAATTCTCATCCGCGTCCTCGCGCTTTTTTTGTGTTTTGAACGTGTGCCCATGTCGTGTAACTGTTTTGTGATATGGCCCTTACATGCCTGAATCTAATTTATGTAGAGGTGTGTTAGGTATGACCTTGTGCCATCTTTTATATGCTAGGCCTCCCCTTACTAACGAACCCTGTAGGACTAATGCTTGTGATGAGTTCCAAAGAAAAAAAACAAACGTGATCATGATAGCTTCTTTTCCTTTTTGAATTGCTCATGGCGCCGGGGGGGACCCCTCTGAATGTGTTGCGCAAAATAAATTCTTTTATTGTGTCCAGTGAGATTTTCTAATACATGCTAAACTTTCAGACTGTAATCAAAAGGTCAGCTTTGCACAGACATGACCATCACATGGCGGCCAATATGGTCTACCAAACGAACAATGGGATACGTTCACGAGGGGAAATCAGTTGTCGAAAGACTGGGGGAGGCAGGCGACCCGGTAAAGGCGTGAAGAATCGGGGTAATAAAATGTGGTGAGCATTTCTTTTGCATAAAATGCAAATGCATAGCTTGGGGGGGGGCAGAAGTAATCTCTTCTCGAAATTGGGATAAGCAAGATGCAAAAAAGGGTAACAAAATGTGGGAAGATCGATTGGCAAAGGGACAGTCATGACATTCATCGGCCGGTGTTCGTGAGGTAGTGAATCGACTGATACCAACGGCCCGGCTGGAATTTATTCCAAAATCCTGGCATTTGTTCCTCGCTGTTCGGGTCGCCCGGCTTCTAAAAAATTGTTGTTTTTTTTGGTAGCTGATCGAGTCGGAAAGCTAGTAGTGCAGAAACTAAATAACGTCGAGTGCCAATTGATTATTGCAAGAAATTCGGAAGCCGAACTTTTTGCTGATAAAACGAATAACGTGTCGCTAGTAACGTGCCATAAACAAAATTGTGCATAAAATCTGCTCTGCTTTGCAAGAAGCAAGGAGAAGCGAAATTTCGAGGCTAGAAAATGTGTAGCGAGCAAAGAAGAGCAGATTTCCGTTATAGTGTTGCTTACAAATTACCCCGATTATAATCGTGCCCGGGGCTGCCGTCTAAATAATTCGCGGGTTGATTTTGGATCCAATGAAGCCAAGTATGTATTCGCCCACCATGAATGCAAGATCGGGGCCCATCGGTGTGACGGGCAGCGGCTTGAAGGTGTGACGTTGCCTGGGCGTGGTTTTTCTGGGCGCTTTTGTACTGAAATCAATTAAATATATTTATATACTGTACTGAAAAAATTCATTATATTAGTGTTGACGAACGTGGGAATGGTCTGCTCTGGCTCCTCTTCCGTTTCCTCCTCTTCTGGTAGACTCGTCGGAGGCGTTGTGGAGCGTTTGGCTGAAAAATGTCTAGTAAAAAGTAACAAAAAATAAAAGTTCTAGTCGAGAAAAAGTCGTACTCGGCGCCGCTGTGCTCGCCGTCGTCTCTAGCCGCTCCACAGTGGCCACTGTCTGCGGCTCGCCGATGTGTGTCGTTTCGCTGTCGGGTGTCTCCTAAAAAATAGTTAAACCTTGCAAACGCAAAATTAGTCTAGGTGCAAAAGCTGGAAGAAACGGTGCTGGGCCCTTGGGGCCTCGGGAGAGACGATACGTTTTTTGAGTTGATTAAAGCTGTTGGGAAATCAGAGGTATCTGTCTTCGCACCCAGCGTCAATCTTTCAGCGTTACTTTTCCACCCCCGTTTTTTAAGAATAAAGCCGTTTTGGGGAACATTTAGGAAACAAAGGATGGGGTTTGAAAGCAAAGGACGAGAAGCTGGGCATGGGTTTTTTGCATTACCATCTTCGACATCCTAGGCCGCTTCGTCGGTAAGCGTACTTTGTAGTTGGCCTTTGGGAGGGGCCTTCTGGCCTTCTTGCCCTGATTTCGACATTTTTATAAGAATTAATTTATTTATCTTTTTATGAGAAGCTCCGTTTGGAAAAAAGGGAAAACTAAAAATTCACTGGCCTCAATTAATTGACCAAAAATTTAATATTTTTCGCGACCAACCTGTGTATTCTCGTCAACCGCCGGCTCCTCATTTTCTTCGACGACGAGCCGGTTGCTTGGGGATGCCGTGGTCAAAAGCCGCTGCCAAAACGGGATATATTTCGGCGTCGCCTTTCCCTTGGCGCTAACGGTGAATCTAAAAATCAAAATACATAGAGGTTTTTGTAAACCGACTTGTCCCAAATATTTGCGCGTTCAGTCGTCGTCCGTCTAGCCGGCACACGGGTGGCCAGCTCCTGAAAACTTGGGTTTACTAGTGAATCCAAATACTAACAGGTTCTGTCTCTTCCTCGACCTCTTCTACCGTCTCTTCTGGAGGCGGGACGGGCAACGGGGTGGTTGGCTGAAAATTAAAAATTATAGAAAATGGTAAGACCGTAGATAACCCCCTCAGCCCCCCCCCAAGTTTTGTATGGCTTCTCCCCGTTTGTCTACAGGTGTGTAAAGTATACCAAAATGTTCGTCTTGAACTGGTGAGTATTTTGGTATACTTGACAACTCTGTAGGACAACGAGTAGCCGAGATACAGCGGGCGGGGTGGGGGATGGCTGGGAGGGCGTATCTGCAGTTTAGCCTAGAAAAGCAAAGAAAACCCACCTTGTACTTGCGTTGCTTCAGCCTCGGGATAGTCACCTCCTCTTCCTTCTTCTTGTTATTCCGCCCATTCTTGCCAGGCAACTGGAAGCCACCAGCTGGCTTCGTGATCCGCAGTCGAGCCAGCTAAAAGTAATGAATGGAGGAATCTCGCCCGGCTGGTTTCTAGGACCGAAAGCTGGGTTTCGAACAGAACATTCGGCACCTCATGCAACATAGAATTCTATACAAAAAAAAGGGAACGGCAGCCCGAAAATAGATGTTTTATAATCTTTCACCTCGGCTGCCGCGTCTTCGGTAAGGGTGGTTTGGGGCTAAACAGACCAAGTGAAAGCTACCAGGTTGTTCTGGGACTTGATATGGATTTTCTTTATAAACGAGGACTTTATAAGTCCTCGCGTATCTAGTATTTATTACCTTAGTGGTTGTTTCAACATCTGGCTCGTCTTCGATCAATGTCGAGTTCAGGATTCCAGTTTGCGTGTTGCAGACGGCGGTCGCAAAGCATCGGGAGATCATCTGAGGTTAGGAATTCAAAAACGAACGTATCGTGAGCGCACCTGGTGGACGTAAGCCTTGGCCTTGTAGGCGTCCTTTCGGTACTTGGCGATGAAGATGTCGAAAGTGGCTGATTGACGGCAGTACGATGCCTCCGAGGTATCTTGGCATTTGAACACGAGCTTCTCACCTGGAAATTATCAATAAAGTTCTCAAACTCCCCAAGGATCACTGCTGGCTTGCCCTTATTTCACAATCCCTTTAATTCCCAAACCCCATATCCCCTGGAATCTTGAGAACAAAGGTGTCGCCGTTTTCCCGAAAACGTGGTGGGGGGTCTGGAGATGTGGGGGTCCGGGAATAGACGGTGTGGATAGGTGTCAGCCGGAGTCTCGGCCTAGCCTTGCGGGGCCCTTTGAGATCCCTCCTAGGGAAAAGGGCAAACACTTCCATCACAAAACAATGGATAACCAGAGCCAGAGGACGCCTCTCTTTGCAATCGCTCATCACTTTAGACAGTACGGATTTAGAGGAAGAGATCAAAAGTGTCTATAAAATCAATACCTACCCCTCTCGTGACAATAGTTGAAGCACATCGTTCCAAAACCGAGCTGCTGACAGGCGCCGTGTCTCGCTTTGTAGATTGATGCGCATGTTTTCTTGTACTAAAATTCCAAATTGAGAAAAACAGGGTCGCAAAAACCTGGAAATTGCTGCCGACCGGATCCTTGGCCCCGACACGTGGCATAATCCATGTCTTATCGAGGGTCCGCAACAACGAATTCAACCGCTCCACATCCACCGTCTCCGATCGGCCACCTATTAGAAAAATGGCTTATCAAGCTATTGCTTCTTTTTGCCATAAATCAGTGTCTCGTGCCAAAGTAACACGTGCAAGTTATGACATACGAGTTAAGAAGAGAAGGTATGCAAAGGGCATGCAACTATTAACAGAATAGGGGAGATGGTTTCAAAAGAAATACCGTATCCGGTGTTGTAGTTATTCTCGGCGGTCGCTTGAAAGGGACAGAATTGAAGAGAACGGAGGAGATGGACAGAATGGAAGGAAATGGGTAGGGTTTGAGATATGATGCTAAACGGATTGATGAAAAATATAAAAAAATAACAATTGAAAAACTTTAACGGGATTTGCTACCGGATTCTCGAACGTCAGAAACTCGAATTTTCAGTAGCTCGATGTTTTCAGGGTTTTTTCAGGGGTAGGCACAGCTTTTGGTCTACGGAAATTTCGAAATTCTGAAAACTCGACATTTGGAAATTCGATATTTTAAATTTCGAAATTCTAGGGGAATTGGTATTTTTCATAACTCATCCATGACAGAAAGACAGGGTACGAAAGAAGCGGAAATGAAAGAGGAGACTCGAGGATTTTCATACCGGCAGTACTCCGAGCCGCGGCACTTCTTGTGTTTTGTGGGGCTGGTGGGGCGCTTTGGCGGCGTTTCGTCTGCTCGATGGCTTTGTTCACGGCGGCTTGTCGTGATTCTAAAGAATTTATCTGAGAGTTGTCGCAAGAAAAGCTCAAAACTCAATTCCTAGACGTGGAAGCTTTATTAAAATAGTCCAATTTGGCTACCAGGATCAAATGGCGTGCTCTGGTAAACTAGCGGAGTACTGCACTCTTAGCGGGGGGACTAAATTTAGCCTATCACCGCGTGGGGTCGCAATAATGACAGAGACATCATTTATGTAGATTTTATTTTTAGGCTGCTTTAAATTTTACGGTTTTAAAGTACAGAAAGTTCATCAAAAATTATTTAATTTTTGAAGAATTGGTTTTAAAAATGTTCGCAAATGGACACAAATTCCGGTTTTTAAATTATTTCAAAATATTTATAAGAGTTATTAGCCAAAAAAAATCCTAGAACGCTAAAAATACACACAAAAAAAAGCTAAAAATCGCCCTAGGTTGGTATAAACTAGATAGTTTCCCTCCGTTACGCCCGCCCCCAGCCCCGCTAACAGTCCAGTACCACTACTGGCAGGCTCGCTTTAACCTGATACTTCCCGTTTCTTCTCTCCACCCCAAAACCATGCCCGCCATCAACCAACCGGGGAGGAGGAAAACCGTTCATCTTTGAGAGGGCTTTTTCCATGAAATATTGGCTCCGGACAAACAGAACGAGATGCCCTGAAGGCAGATGTGGGAGGACAAGGATGAAGACGACACAATGCCTCCCACCAGTCCATTCCAGAAGAGAAGGATTCTCTTCAGGATTTGAGTGTTGTTTGTCCCATACCGTTCGCCCTGGCTGTGCCCCCGAGGGGTGCCTTTCAGGAAGAGGAGGCTTTTCCTAGGGCTCCTGTCAAATCAGCCAAAATTTGAGGTCCGGAAGCTGATGCACTTTATTATAAAGCTAAAAAAGCGGAAGTGAGCGTAACAAGGAGTCGTAGCTAATTCTATAAAACTTGAAATTCCAAACAGAGCTCAAGGCGTGCAAAGATCACGCTTCGAGAACATGTCTCTCAAAGTGAAATTTTGTAAAACGAACGGGAAAATGAGTAAAATTGATCCTTCAGCGCCAGATGTCAGATGGGCAACGATGATTTATTCGCAAACGCGGGAAACGTGTTGCTCAAGCGCTGTTCTTGCTCCAGTTACTGTAATGTCGTTGCTCCTCTGTCATGGTTCCTAAGCTTTCTTCAATACCACAATCGTTCAGCAGTTTTTGAGTGACCGGAAGCGTTGAAAATTTTAAATTCCATCGAATTATCTATTTAACATCTTCGAACTCCAAAATCACCTAAAAAAAGACGGCTTCTAAGAACAATGGTACTCTTAAGGATTTACAGATGGAGAACTGTGCTGCTTTCGCAAAAATACAATTACGAAATCCCCATACCAACAAAAACCTACAGATCCCAAGAACAATTTCCACTCAAGTGACTTCCTTCTTTTTCGCGCTCTACCCATGTCCATTCTGCTAACCGTCAGGCTGAGGGGTAGAAAGGTGAAACCGAAGAAGTTCCTTGGGGGACCCAACCTCGCCTGGACCCCCCTGGAGGCTCGAGTGGGCACACAAAACACGATAATTGGGACGGGTGCTGAAGCTCCGGGTCGCGCGAAACAACCACCTACAGGGGCAAACGCCACCATGCATCTGGTGAATGGAAAAAGCAAGCGCGTCGCGGAGGAATGCAAGGTTTTTCAAGAGCAAACGCGCGAAAAGAATGTGGGTAGGTCGAATCCGGAGAAAGAAAATCAAAAATACTATTGTCTCGGAAAAGCGGAAACGCAGAAAAAGAGAAAAATTGGCTAGAAAAGAAGCCTTTAGAACCTTGGCAAACGGCCAGAATATGTTTGCGAGTTTCCGAGAAATCGTGAGTGAAAAAGAGAAACGAAGTAAACATGAAGCCCGGGCAATCAAAATACGTACGGAGTAGCGGAGCGGAATAAAAGCGACTCACCAAGTCCAGGCGTAGCAAGACAAGCCGAAATAAGTAGAAGCGAAGAAACGGCTAGCCGTATCGGACCCATCCTTGAGACCGATCGGGTGGCTGTGGGGGCCGGTGTTGAGGGATACTGTAAAAGTGAGGAATTGAATGGTTCTGGAAAGTAGCGGTTCGGGAAGAAAGCCCCCTTTGATAATAGAAAATCAAGTAAGTCTTCCAGAATAATTTTAATTTAAAAGGGCAAGCTCCTGATAAAGGCTGAAGCTTGAAGAAAAAGAAAAGATGGGCCAGTAATACGGTAGGCGCTGAATCGCATGCCTTCCGGGGTATGCCTGGCATCCAGGAATGAGCCGCCGGCCCCCGGATATTTATCGGAAGCTACGGTGCAACGCCCCAGGGGCCTTCGCAGCTTTTCCTGAAAGGGGTGGAGATAAGGGAGGGGTGGGGCCCGAAGATGGGGCCCAACACCGTCTGTTTTTCCTTTCGCCCGCCTCCCAGGACATGCACGCGTCTTGAGGATCGTCGCGGAACGGGCTCTTTTGCTAAAGGGGGTTCTCTCTAGGGGTGCGAGAAAGGAGATGGGGCTTCAAAGAGGGCGAAAGAGGCGTCGTCAGGTAATTCCTGGGCCATCAGAGCAAATAAGAAGGGGGGGGTTGGCTATCACACCTCCGGCCAGCCTGAACCGGTCAGTGGAGGGAAAGTCATCGATAGAAACCCTAGGATATATAAGATTTTGGTTAAAATTAGATTTTAGGCATAGAAGCTGTAGTTTCTAAAATTAGGCTCGATCTAGTTCTACTTCCGGAATTTGGAAGCTTCTTATAACTAGAGATTATACGCAATAAATCTGAGATCAGGATAGATATAACAAATTTCTAGAAAACTAGAAAACGCCCGATATAAGGTTTTTTGTTATTTTCGTTTCGCATTAAAATTATAATCGCAAATAGGATGCGTAACCTCTCTAAAAACCACAAGGCCTAACCATTTCTGAGTCACCCAAACAACCCTTCAAAAGCCGGATGCATACAATCAGCAGCCTCAAGGAAAAGCCCCCTCGAGAAGCCAGAGACGGCCAAATTTGGGAGAGACGACCACCTTGCCCCTGACCGTTCTTTTACGAAACGCTACAATAGACAACCCCCCTTTCTGGAGGCGCAATGGGCGGCCACTTGGCGCCTCGAGAAATCCGAGATGGCTTGAGGGCCCGACAGCCAATGGGGAAGAACGAGGAAAAACAGTAGAGGGCGGAGAGATGGAGAGATGTAGACGCTTCCCGCTTCAGGCTGAACGGCTCCGGAATCGCCGGAAGCGGACAACTGATCTGGCTGTGGGGGGGGTGATGACGTTGATGAGCTGGACTTCCTCTTGGATAGAATCTAGTGGTATGGTTAACGGAACCTAAGGCTAGATAGATACCTTTTAGGTGTTTTAGATTTCGGCCATCGTGACGAAAGCCATTTCCGCTAATTTTACTTAAAAATCGTCTCGCAAAAAAACTAATTTTCAAAATTCTTTTGTGTATCATTTGGCCTATGTACTGCGGATTAACAGAAGAAAATTTGGTACTGGACTGTTAGCAGGGGGGGGGAACTAATCTTTCCCAGTAAGCCTTTACGGTCCTATAACAAAATATAAACGATTTGTTAGCGTTTCAGAATTTCAGCACACAGTTTTTAAATATGAAAAGCTCATCAAAAAACAAATTAGAAAATGTTCATTTTTACTTTCTAATAAACAGAAAAACAAAAATTAGTTTTCTACCCCCGCTAGCAGTCCAGGAGCGAAATTTTGACCGCGAATTAGATGATGGCTGGCTCGCGGCAAGATGATTTTCCGGAAATGGCTCTGCCGTGATGACCGGAATTCGGAATCTAAAAGATCAAAGAATCTCTAAATCTCTAAACTATTTTTTTTCAGCCCCATACTCTCCCTCTCTACCTCTACAAATTCCGGCAACTCGCCAACCCCAAAAAATTGTTGAAAACCTGTCCTCCAGGGCTGCACATGCCGTGAGGGCATCCAGACGCGGGGTGGCTCGGAGATGTCTATCTAAGGTGGGTGAGGGAATCCATTGGCTCGCGCTCACCAGGCTTCTTCCGCTTTCTTTTCCCCTTCAATCCATAAGTTTCCCAGGTTGGCATCGTACGTCCTTTTCTGGAGCAATTATTGATCTACTTTCTAGGGGGACCTATGGATAGTCGGTCGAAATACTTGGGTCTTTTGGCCCTAACGCTACAGCAAGCTGCGTAAGTTTCTGAGATTCTAGAACCTAAATTTCAGCAACTTCTTCAGAATGCCCCTACTAGTGCGCTATACCCGCCACCGTGCCTCTGAAGAAGTCTTCATTACGACAGTAAACGTGTTTATGATGGACTTGTTCAAAATCTTCGCCTGTACGGCTTTCCTGATCCGGTCCGGAAGCCCCTCTAGGTATGGGAAAAACTCAAAATGATGCTGAATTTGGTTCAGGTTCCTAAAAGACCTCCACCACGCGCTTTGGGTTGATCGTATCGGCTTTCTAAAGGTTGGTTTTCCTAATTTCTCGAGATTTTTGTTAGATCTCGGTCCCGGCTGCGATTTATGTGCTTCAGAATAACCTTTTCTATATTGCTGGATCACATTTGGAGGCGACAACAGTCTATGTGAGTTCAAGGGAAAGTAAAAACTGTTGGTTCTTTCGCATTAACGGGGGACCGAACTTTTGCACAGGTTTAGTAATGTTTAGGAACTAAATAGGAAGTGCTTTAACAGTTTTTTAGTCAAAATAACTATGTTTCAAATAGAACTACTCTAAAAAGTCGAAATTTTGCTCAAAAATCGGCCAGTTTTGATCGAAAAATCTATATTTTGACATTTTTAACGAATTTTGTATCATTTTCACGTTTAGGAATAGCAAAAACCCATTTAGCAACAATTCAGCTATTTATATTTGAGCCTTTAGATTCTAAGAAAAAGTTGTTCCCCGCGAATGCGAAAGAGCCAAACTATTTAGTCTTTACCAACCAGCTAATAAAACTAATCTGCCAATCGTCAAAGTACAAGCCCGGAATTGAACTTTCCGAACTGTATACACGCTTTTTCCGGAACCGCCCAGGGCTCAAATCCGGGGGAGCGACGGTTTTTCCGTTCGTCCAGAAATGCTATCGGGCGGGCGGCTGTCTTTTGGGACCAAAGAGAGGGGGAGGTGGTGTATTTGGTCGGGATAAAATGATCGGACAAACAGGAGCCCTTCTTCCCTGAGGGTAGAGGAAAACGCAAAAGAAAAGCTCGCCCCCCTTCATCCTCTTCAGATCCGCACGAACCCCACACAAGCACATAGAGCCTATATCTCGGCCCTTCTGCACCCGTTCTTTCGAAGAGGCGCCCCCGAATTTGCCACCTTGGATTTGATCGGAAAGGGCGGATATCCGGGACTATATGGGGGACCAAAAGATCGGCTCATTTCTAGGGGTCTGGGCAAAAAACGAAACATATTTTTTGCGAAAGCGCAGGAAAAACAGGGGCTGGTGCGTTAGCGGGGGGGGAGGTTGTCAGTCGCTACTCCTTGCAACCGCTATCTTGATTACGCTGCCAGTATAAAAAAAACAACTTTCGGGCTCCCTCGAATCGGCAGAATCTCAAAAAAAAGCACAGGGGAAAGCTCGAAAGTAACTTAATAGCTCACATTATTAATGGTTATTCTTTTTTACATATTGAAATGCTATTAGCTGTCATTACCCCCCAAAATCTTTTTCATGCTCTATAGGATCGCATTGAAAAACTGCCAAAAAATAGCGAAAACTTGCAAAAAAATCCGGGACAAAAACTCCTCCTATTAACAAACCTTTACGCGTAATATGTCAAAAACTCAACACCTAAAACTTCCAGATATGCTACCAAATGAAAATGTTTACAACCGCGTTCCTAATGCGAGTAATGCTGGGCAAAGTTCTCTCCGGAAGACAATGGATAGCTCTATGCATTTTAGTAGCAGGTAAAGCGGCTCCCAGACCCACCTAGAAATCTCTACTTTCCCATCAATACCCCGCCACCCTGTTTTCAGGTGTCATTGACGTACAACTCGTCTATGCTCCCCCAGCCGAAAGTGGGCCACAATCAGTAGCCGAACAAAACCCGGCTATCGGCTTCTCCGCCGTATTCGCCATGTGCTTCACGTCGGCGTTAGCGGGTACTAAAGTGCCTTCATACTAAACCCAAAATTCAAGGCGTATACATGGAAAAGGTGCTGAAAAGCAGCGAGCAATCGGTGTGCATGCAAAATATTCGAATCTCGTTGTTCAGTCTGCCGATTGGTGCCGCCAGGTAGGGGTTTACTTTTGTTAAACTACCCGCTAAATTCCAGTATGCTGTTCTACGACCGCGAGACTATCATGCAGGATGGTTTCTTTAGAGGGTAAGGCGAAGGTGAAACCGAAAGTATTTTTGAACCGCCAACCAGACAAAAGTTTAAATTTTTAACAATTTTCCAGCTGGGATTTCTGGGTGGTCGTGCTCACGATCTTCAACTCGGTTGGCGGCCTTTTGATCGCGGTGGTCATCAAATATGCTGACAATATTCTAAAGGCTTACGCGCAGGTCAGCTAGGCAAATTCTTCCTAAAAATGATATTTAGAGTATGGCCATCATTGGAGCGGCGGTGGGAAGTTGGCTGCTATTCGATTTTGTGCCGAATATTCAATTTATGTTTGGGGCCAGTCTGGTGGGTCTAAACAAAAGTCGGTCATAAAGCGACCATGAATTTAGGTGATGAGCTCGATCGTCGTCTACTCGCTTTATCCATACCGAGCACCTGCGGTTTTCGATTTGAAAAGTATGGGGCAGCTGCCGGTTGACGTCGTCCAGATCCATCCGGAACGCCTGTTCTTCCCCGATCCGAGACCCCCAAAGAATTAAAAGTGCAATAAATAAACTATTTTTACAGTTATTGGTCGTTATCAAACATCAAAAAACACATTTGGAACAGTTAAGATACCCGTTCATTTTTTCTACACAAATCCTAGTCCCAAACACGCAAAGCTACAGGCTCTCCGCCGTCATAATCAGTATTCCGCCCCTAAAATTGTTCTGGAAAGACGAAGCCGCTCATTCAGTCGCCGTTCATTCCTCCCGACAGCCTCCCAAAATGCCCAGACGCACCCCTCAATACCGCATCCTATTGGGCAACTTCAGAAATGGCATTTCATCAGATGATGCTCTTTCTGCGTTGGCCAATAGGAAGCAATTTCACGGCTATTGCTAAAAATAGGACGCCGAAAAACCAATACCCCTACTGAGCAACGTCCCGAACATGCATTCAGCTTTGGATATACATGTTGAACCTTGCTCCGTAGGGTGGTTACCCGCTCTATGCACAGATGCCCGAAAGTCTGTTCCGCTGCCGACATTTCCGGATTAGCTCTAAAAATACCGTGGGAATGCACCAATCCAGGCTGCAGACACGCTGTGAAAAAGCCACTATAGCCGTTCTGGAAGAAAAGTCTTGACGAAACATCCAAGGTATTAATTCTAACCTAACAAAATTAATTCCCTGCCTTCTTTGTGGTGTCTCGGCACCGCCGCCCGGAAATGTAAATGAGCATCGCGCACCGCGAAAGCTGAATACATCAAAAGTTACAGTAGTTCCCCTAGACCTGAGATTTCAGCGAAAAATCGTATCACTATTGGGCCCTTGCAGTGAACGAACAGAAGTAAAACAAAAATCTGGGGCCTGGGCCCTTTTTATTTGCACCGTCAAAGGCGATTATCTAGATAGTGTGGGCGCTACTAGCGGATCAAATTGTGCCAATTTGGTAGGGCAGGACCAGTATCTAGAGCAATGCCATAGGGCAAGCATTTTCAGTCAAAAATTTCTATCGTTTTCCAAAAGGCCTCTCTTAACTTAAGTCTAGAATGTTTGGTCGAATCGGAAAGGCGTTATGGGAAGCATTGTACGGGCTATATTTCTTCATCTTCGATCGCTTTTTCATCTACCCTATAATGCGAGCCGCATCATCGGTCTGCCAAATCACCTTCATGAATTTGGGATACGCGCTACGAACTGATGAGGAGAAGATTAGGTGAGCCAACTATTTCAATAACCCGGTCTACCTATTCACAGAGACTTTACCGAAAAATGGATACCGACAACAGATGCCGACTACAACCACATCCTTCTCTACGAAAAATGCCTATCCATGCACCCGAGCTACCCAAGTCTGAAGGGGATCTCGCTGCTTGAGATCGGTTGCGGACAGGGCGGAGGGATTTCTTGGCTCAAAAAGTCTGTTGTAGATACCCTGGAAGACTTTTCGTAATCTAGGACCCGGAAAGAATTGAGCGCCCTACGAGGGATCGATCCAGTTGTTGTGGATTCGATGAATGGTACGTGGCAACAACGCAAGAGCTCAAAATGTCAAAAGAAATGGAAACATCCGCAACTACTACTCCTAAGTCTGTTTATTCAGGGATGATTCGCAAAGGGAGTGCTGATGCGCTTCCTCTACAATCAGCTACCGTCGACCTCGTGATCAACGTCGAAAGCAGTCATTTGTATAAAAACCAAGAACGGTTGGTTAAAAGGAAGCACGTTTCGATCCACTCCTAGGTTTTTTGCCGAGGTCTTCCGGGTATTGCGGCCAGGGGGACACCTATGCTGGATAGATCTGAGGCATGACTATGAGGTACAAGACCCGTATACGCAGTCCAAGCTAGCCGGGCTCGTATTAGTGGAATCCGGTAAAATTATCTAAAAAAATCACTACTCAAGGCCTCTATAGAAGATGTCACAGCTCAAGTTGTTGAGGGAATCAAGAAAACCGCCGCAAAGTATGATAAGATGCTAGAAAAGGTTAGCTCGAAAATGGAATAGCGAAGGAGCGGCCAAAACAGGGTGAAGCAAGGATTAAAAGAATTTCAGGCGCCATGGATCGCACGCTTGTTTTCCGGGTCACTTCGCGAAACCTATTGCGCGCCTGGGACTCACTCCTACAACCGCCTAACCACCCGCCAAAAGCTCTACCACTGTGCGTGTTGGCAAAAAGGGGCCCAGTAATAAAAGCAGTTCCTAACCCACGATAGTAAATAAAAACCAGCAAAAGAATCATGGGTAGCAGAGTATTGACTAAAATGAATTGTGCGATGAAATAACGTGCATTTTATTTATGACTAAAGAAAACTTTATTACCCGTATAAGAAAAACGAACACGATACCTAAACTAGTTGAATGACCAAGGAAGCCGCACGATCAGGACGACGCTGCCTTGCATGATCCGCCGGAGCCGGGCACTTTCTTATCTTCGGGGAGTGGCTTCTCGGCTTCTTCCTGAAAGAGAACCATCAAAAGAGTCAGCATCGAAGATAGTTACCTAGTCGCTTTAGAAAAAGAACATAAGTGTTGAAATCATACCTTCAACTCCAATAACTGATGTAGTTGCTCTTCCGAAAACTTCTCAAACTGCCCAGGCTCCATGTTCTTGCCGATCGAATCCTTGAGACCGGTCCCGTGTAGCTGCTTTGAGAGTGTGGCGCAGTATTGCTAAAAATACATAATCGTCAGCAAATACTATCAATACATACCGTCCATTCTTGCAAAAATTCCATCGACTGCGGGGGAACGGAGCTCTTATGCCTAGAATAAGAGGTAAAAATAATAAAGAGAAAAACGAACCTCCTAAATTCATCCTTCACGTACGCATCACCCATAACACGCATTGGAGGCGGCAGACCATAGTGTAATCTAAAAAAGCAAGAGTTCACAGCAAATAAAATTATTACCTTAAAATGTTCTTGTACAAAAAAAGCGGGAAGAGTCTTGGCTCGACCTCAACGGCCTTTTTGGCGGCCAACCACAGGCAGGTTATTCGCATCTGAAAAACATGATAATAGATGAGGGACAGAAAGAAGCCAGGAAATGGAAAACGGTAAATAAGATGTTTCATCAGTTTCCAGCTCTCCGGAAAGGCCCGAAAAGCCAGCGCGTATTCCTATCTTCTGCCGCGCTATGCCTTGGCAATAGGAGCGCCTAGTATAAGTGATACTCATGGTAACGATTCGTAGAAGCCCTATCCAATGTAAATAATCAAAACGATATATAAATCAGTGATTTATTCAAAAAAACTAAGCAAAGATCGCTATCATCGAGATCAGAATTGAGCAGGTTTTTGCTGCCACAACAGCCACCGCATGACCGTCTAGCCGGAAGGCTTCTCGCTGATGTAGTCATGCTCATTTTTTATCTAAGTTTCGTTCCCTTTATTGAAGTGATTAGTTACCGTTTGTGTTATGAAAGCCTGTCCCAAGAAACGCTTCGGCTGTTCCACGCACGACAGATGAAGCTACAAGACAAATGAAGGCCGAAATAAATGGGACCTACCGTTTCATGACACATTGGGATGTATTCTTGGGGAATGAGCCTTGAAAATGCATTCGTGTTAACCGTTTCGACTTACCCATCATCACTCACCAGGTAGGTGCCGTCCGGCAATTCGAAGGAGGGAACCTCGACAAATTCAATTACTTCCTGGAATTTGGCATTTTTAGAAACCGCTTCGTTTAGTTCACTCACCACATTGGCCACATCATACATGTTCATGTCACCGCCGAAACTGTTGTTGCTAATATTGGAAGTAGCCATTCCCTGCATGGCCGAAGTGGACTGTTGGCCCATCTGTGAGCGAATTGCCCTGAATAGGCGTTTACGGTGAACTGCGGCAATCTGCTACTCACGCTATACGCTTTTGGACGGTGGTCCGGGGTACGCCAGTTATATGTGATGCCTTATAACAACTATAGCCATCTATAAATCGAATGAACAAACTTTTTATAATAACTGACCTTTTAAAACCAATTTAATAGCCCGATCAAGTTTTGATACGGTATACCGGCCCCTGGTCACGCGATCTGTAGGCGGCGGTATCGCCGGCTCAAAGACGTACATGACCTATGAGTAATGCGTCTCCTATAGCAATCCAGTTCATATTAGCGGTACGCCCGCTAACCCCGAATAGTTAACAAGTTACAACGTATCGCGGTTGATCATAATATCAGATAGACTGTGGTGCTTAGCCATGTGAATCTGTGTCGTCGTAAAAATGCAACGTTTATTAAATAATCTGTCAAGTTTTAAGCCTCAAACCTGACTTTTAAGCGTTTCTCATTGAAACCTTAGTGTTGAATAAATTATTATTATTAAGTGAAGGGGAAAGACATGCACGCCATTTGAAACAAAACGACAAAACAATGAATCAATGAAAGGCAATGCGGATATGTCTGGGGTACCGGTAGCAAGGCATCCAATGCCAGTAAACAACAAATTTTTTAAACCCTAGTTGGAGAGCCCGCGTAATAACCCTGAAGAGCGAATTATGACAGAGCACATAAAACAAAGAAAACGGGGGTCTTAACGTCGAAAAAAAGGTGATGTGTAACTTTCGTCGATGCTTAGAGTTCGCGGCTAGAGTCGCTGGCGTATCCACCATGTTTCGTAGATGTCGACGCCTGGCGCGGCTAAAAAAACTAAATTTTATTTCATGTAAAGACTGTACCTTCAGAGCGGCACTCCTCTTTCTCTTTTTCGGAGAAGGCGAACCAGGTGTCGATTTGATGCTAGAAGCCAGAATGGTCGAATGCTCACCGCTTGAAGAGGCTGAAAAAAAGGCATAAGTGAAGCCGCAAAGCTGTGCAAATTAAGAAAAGGTTTACCTACCCACGGATGAGCGCTTTGGGGTGACAGAAGCAGTTTTGAGGTCCTTGACGTCAGTCTTTTTGGTGGGCTTCTTCGCGTTGGCCATCGCCCTGCAGTATTGCCGCAGCTGATCGGCTTCTTTTTGCTTCCTGTCGGCGACTGCAGTATCCGAACGCTGACGAAGCTTTTTCATCTGGTCGGAGCTCTATAAGCAAGTACTTGCCATTCAAGGAAATGTACCTGCTCGTTGTCGTCATTGTTTTCAACACCTTCCTCGCCGGAGTCTTCGTCAGCATGGCAATCGCTGCATTCCCAGGTTGCAAACCGCGACTAAAAGTAAGCTATGATAACGTCAAGGTTTCGAAACAGCCTGAAAATGACAGCAAGCAGAATCGCACGAACCTTCTTGGGCTTCTTCTCGAGAGGCGGATTGAGACAGCCAATGTGGGTGAAGAGACGGCAGGCGTCGCAATCAATCATCGAATGCTGATCGGTTTTCTTGTGGCACTTGCTGCACTCGTGCAACACAGCCTTCTTTGGAAAGACCGGTGAAGTGGGAGCCGAGCCCGAAGCTGCAGACTGAGACTTCTTCTTTGGGCTTGCTTTCTTAGCTTCGGACCTTAATCACAACCTAGTTAGCAAATAAGGCTTATACCTCTGTTTGAGCAAATCCTCAAAAGGATTTTTACCCACGTCGATTCCAAAGTTTGCAAGGGTATTGTAAAGCTCCTGGCAGTTCTTGAGATCACTGTCCAAGCGCTTCTCCGCCTCAGTAGCCTAAACACAGATTGCGAATAACGAAAGAACCAGACCAGTTGTGCTTCAGCCTCCAGTTTCTTCAGTTCCTCACGGAGTTGTAGATTGGCTTCCTTCAGCTCCTCGCTGCGCTTCTTTTCTTCAACGAACAGGCGGGCTTCGCGATGATTACAGTATCTAACAACCAGCACGTTTTTTGCGTAAATACGCGTACCCGATGAACTCATCGCTGAATCCGGGCGGCAAAAAAGGCTCTTCTTCGCCGGGTATCTTGAAGCATTCGTTCTCGAATTCCTCCCTGGTCATGTCGAAAAACTTCTCGGCCTGAAAGATATGTACGTTATATTACAATGCTTTACCTTTGCAGCAAAACCCTCAACCACCCTCATAGATGTCTGCAACGGGCGAATCTGCTTCTGCTTGTTCTCGCGCTAAATTTCTGTCCAAATCAAACAAAAACAAGCTTACCTCATCAAAAGCGTCACCCGGCCAGGTGATCGAAGAACCGATGAGCGACTTGTGCAACTTTTCAAGTCGATCCAGGTTGCGTTTGCGAAACCGCTCCTGACGCTCGTCGAGTTTCTGAGAAAAACAATCTTGCGTTGCGCACAAGAAATAAACCTTGCGGCGAAGACCGAGACGCCTCTTTTCCTCGTACTGAATAAACTCTTTGTGGCTAAAAACGAGATTCATTCACAAAATTTGCCTTACGCCAAGCGCTTCCTTTTGACAGCCTCTTCTTGGGAATGCTGCTTGCAATGTACCAAGAATATATCTTCGGCAGTGTCTTCAGCGGCCTGTCCATCGTTGTACACCAGGAGACCCAGCCTAAAAACGACTATAATTCTCCAATACAAAACCAACCTTTGTGCGCAAGTCGGATGAAAGTATTGCTTGCACCAGCCAGCATCACATTGCCGCGAGATGCCAACACGAGCCTCCAGACGCGACGGGCAGCCGCTACATACCTAAGCACTAGGTTTCAAGGCCAAAATACTTTAAACACGAACCTTCTTTCCAAAATTTTTGGAAAAATCGATCTCCATGTAGCTGATCGGAGTCAGCAAATCAGGGTCACCATACGTGCATCCAGGAGTGTACATAGAGCAGAGCGAATGAACCCATTGTCCACCAATATCTGAAATCAACAATTGGTCAATTTTATGCACAATATATACCGGTCCTTTTGAAGGCGCCGTAGCGGCTCGGGCAGAGCTCGCAATATGGAGCCTCGACCTTTCCGTAGAGGCATGGCTCGCAGAACCAAGGCTCTAAAAACAGAATACTTCGAGGAATCAGTGCACAAACCGGTGGTAGCCGCGCTGTGGGTGGAGTCAGTGTCATCCACAATCTCGGATCCATAGCACACTTCGTGAACGGCCACTCCACACCTGGGACATGTTTTAGAAAAGATCAGCGATCTTACCTATCGCACAGCATGACCTCGTCTTTAGCAGCGGGGCGCCACAGATTCAGGCAAACGGAGCAGATTGGTGGCTTCTAAAATCCAGCCGGAATTAGATTATTTCGCCGATATACCGAAGCAAAGACGGCTGAGCCATTCAGGACATTTCCATTGACAAGTTCCGAATCGCCCTGCAGATCAGACACATCATTATCGTCCGACTCCTCGGGATCGTCAGTGCCAGAAGAACACGAGTCGTCCGAACCCGAGCCCGAGTGTCCGTCATCTAAACAAGACAAAATACCATGTTAAGCTTGAAAATACTTTTGAAGTCCTGATCCTCCTCTTCATCATCGACGATAGCTCCAAGGTCGCCTGAGAGCACGGCCGACGATGGCTTGATCATACGCTTGCCCGGGCCTCGATTACCTAGACAGTTTATTAAACCAACCAAGTAATAAATAACTTACCAACAACCTTCAGGAAATCAAATTTGGCTTCCTCACTGGCACCCGGCATTTCTTAATTTGAAGGTGCCACCTGAAAGCTAGGTCATAGATAACACTCTCAAACATTATGTAAACGAAAGAGAATTTTTCCGAGGTTCTCAGAAAGATAAGGTTATATAGATAAATACCGATGAAAATCAATTTTACCGCTGAATTTTTTCAAGAATTTGCGGGGTTAGTTTGTCCTTTTAAAACCCATGTAAAGCACATAATAATGATTTTCAACAAAACTGCGGAATAAACCATGGCGAAAGGCACCAAATTCCTGGAAAGATGTCCACGGCTACCGGCATATCGCTATAAGGAGAATGGGGAGCAATTTAGAAATTAACTTTCTAACGGCAGCTGGGAAGGGACTGCACGCAACGGACCCGTAACGCCGCTGGGGACGGAGGGATTAGATTGGGTAATGGGTTCGGAGCGGCCAAAAAAAAGCGGATAAACAGCATTGGAGAAAATCGATCGATAAGTCATGTCTGGAGAGAATGTAAAAGGGTAGGCTGTTTATACAATCGGTGATCGAAAAATACAATCTGTCAGTGGCAACAAGTGAGGCATGGCCTACTGTAACATCTGCTCCGGGTGCTTTATTAGTGTTCTATACCTTTAAAGAGATAGATAAGTAAGGGAGGTTGATAAATTCAAAAAAATCGAGAGCTGGGAGGGCAGATACGAAGCGGAATTGGTTGCTCACGCTCATGAGAGAAGCCCGCAGGTACCAGGTAAAAACACACAAAACAAACTCTTTTTTTCAGACGAAGATGGTCAATAAGGGCTGCTTCATCCAAGACTGGACAGCGGCGGAGGTCAGATTTGAGTAGAAGTTCTCCAAATTACAAACTAATGTTGGAGCCCCCACCTCAGCCTGGATATTACTCGCCACTGGCCTCGAATCGCTTCTATTTGTGCGCCGAAGACATGTGTAATGCCGATGAAATAACGGCGAAGAATTCCATCGCCAATTGCAGGCCAAATTATCCACCGTTTCTCGGGAATCGTCAGAAGACATGGGATGATGTCCGGCAAGGTGTGTAATGCAAAAACGTAAACTTATTACCGCAAAAAGCAGTAGAAACCAGTTACAAAAAAGCTAACACTCTGCCCTCGTTTCAGCTCTAGCCAATGGAAGCTACTCCCTCAATTGCAAATCTGATGCCTCGACGTCAACTCTACTGCCAGAAGCCGAAGAACGCGACAGTGACGCCACCACTATCGCGCTGGTTGTAATAACAACCACTAATGCTCCACGAAAACTGCTTATCCTACTCTTTTCTATGATAATGCGATCAGTTTTTTGGTGCTAATAAATGTAGTTGGGGTATACGATCTCAAGTCAAAATACGAAACTGAAAGTCTAAGAAAAACAACTGAAAACTAGTTGCAAATCTCAGGTTGTCTATCCGTATAAACGTTTTAAAAAAGGAAAGTTTTCGGTTTCTTGATCCTCAAATTCCACATGGATACTATAGACGCGTCCTAAAAGGGCGTGCGTCGACCGTAACGGCAGGCCTTCGGCGAGGGCTCGCAGAATTTCGCCATTTTCCAGTTTTTGGTTTTCTTTATTTCAGTTTTTCGTCAGTTTCTTAGTATTTTCTTTTCGTTTCTTACAGTTCTCTTTCAACCTTCTGAATTTGCTCGATCTTGCTCTTTCCTAAAACCCAGTCCGAAATTTGGGGGAAATTGACTTTACAGTAACTAAATAAAATGTGGATTTTTCGACTGGGATCGATAGATTTTGAGTTCTTGCATTTTCAGTTGCAAAAACTATTGCGACTCGCTTCTAAGCAAAGTTATAATGATTTTACAGTGGTTCAGACGGTCACTTCAAAAAAATTGAATTGTTCCATTTACAGTTTCGCGTTTTTACATTCCAATTCCGTACGTGGGGCTGGTTCCATTCTAGAATAGTGTTTTGTGTTCTTGTCTGTTCTATTGTGTGTTTTAGTTTGTGCTTCACACAACATAGATTTGTTTCAGCAATGGGTACCCTCGCCGCGTCGAGTCGGACCCGAATGCACGGCAGGGACAGCAACAAGCGCCACGCCGACCCATCCGAATTAACGCCGAAGAAATCGGTACTCAATCATTTGTGTTATAAAACCTTTTCCTAGAAACCAACGCCCACAACTTCGAGCGCTTCGTCGTCTTCCCAAGTCACGGCCAAGAAACTCAACGGTATCTTTTTGAGAACCTTCAATGTTTTAAATTCGCTTGCTTGCCGTTTAATTTGCACGTTTTAGCACCAGGTGACAATGATGCCGCCAAATTACTGATGGAGCATCTGAAGCCAGTACTCAAGGAGCTCTGGGATCTCGACGAAGCCACCCACTTCCATAAGTTTCGCAAGCCGAACGCTGTGTCCGAAACGGTACGCTTTTAATTTTTACCAGTGTTTAAACTGCTCTCTGGCTGTGTCTATTCTTGTTTTTCAGGGTGATGCGCTAATCATGAAGGAGCCGATGGATTTGTCGATAATCGGCGTGAAGCTGAAGTCTGGCTGCTACACAACGCCGTGGCGATTCTGCGAGGATTTTTGGCTGATGTGGGACAATTCGTGGCTGGCAAACCGCAAAGGATCAAACATGTACAAGCTGACTTCGCAGGTATTTTTAAAATAAGTATTTTATGTTGTTTTCCAGCTCGACAAGGCCTTCACCGATCTAAAGGGCCCCGTCATGGAACGCCTGGGATATTGTTGTGCGAATCGCCTCTCATACACGGGACTGGCAATCGAATGTGATGGACGGACGCGCTGCCGGATTCGCTGGGACACTCCTTATATGACGTAAGGGTTTTTGTTACGTGTTAGTTATCTTTTCTTTAGTTGCATAATGCCCGGATTGCCAGCCAGCCTCGCCAAGAAGGAAAGATGGAATTTCTGTGTTCCCTGCTTCAACACAATGCCGGCGGGCGGCATTCGAGCATCCGAAAGTGACCCGCGGATTATACGAAAGGTACTAACGGTTTCCTCCCTTTTATTCTTTCACCAGATGGTTACAGTCGCTTCGCGACTGCAACCATCTGGGCTTCGGGCTACCCTACATGTCCCACTCTACCACATCCTTTCCCACCTCCATCAATACCCCCCATAGCCGAAATCCCGTTCAAAAACTACCTAGATACCTTCCTGATGGTTTCAGATACCCCCCATGGCTGAAATCCCCTTCAAAAACTACCTAGATACCTTCCTGATGGCTTCAGATACCCCCCATGGCTGAAATCCCCTTCAAAAACTACCTAGATACCTTCCTGATGGCTTCAGATACCCCCCATGGCTGAAATCCCCTTCAAAAACTACCTAAATACCTTCCTGATGGCTACAGATACCCCCCATGGCTGAAATCCCCTTCAAAAACTACCTAAATACCTTCCTGATGGCTACAGATACCCCCATGGCTGAAATCCCCTTCAAAAACTACCTAAATACCTTCCTGATGGCTTTAGATACCTCCCCTAGCCAAAATCCCGTTTAAAAAACGAAAATAACGACCGACCGGATGGAATTAGAGAAAAAAAGAAATGAAATCCCCCGTGAAAATTTTCATCCACGAAACGCGCGCGACCTGGCTCACTATGTCCAAAATCAGCCCAACCTCCGTCCCCCACCCTTTTACTAAGGAGAAAACTTTCAAAGTTAATTTTAATAAGTTAAACTAAAACTTTTTCATAATTTTTTTATCAGTTTAGGGGTTTCTGAGGGCGCTCTATCCGAATCCGAAGAGAGCTAAGCTCTAGCTCCTTTCCCCTTCGAGTTGAATTCGGCTTCAGACACACGGACGGACGGACGTCTTAACTTTTTTATTATAGTTGATAGGAAAACTTTGAGAAGACGAGAAACGCCGAGCTCGTGCCCGAGCCCTTTGAAGTCTGCAAGCTATGTGCAAGGAGCTGGCATCGCATCTGCGCCAACTACGATAGCAGGGTGGGGCATTTTTGTCGTCTTTTCTTTGACTTTAGCGGCTCTTTTTAGTTTAGTTTTTGCCTTTAGGTGTTCACCGATGGCTTTACGTGCCCAACCTGTCGCCAAGAACTATCCATCCCGAAGCCAATCAACAAGTTCACTGCCAGGCAACTCCCCGAATCCGAGCTCAGCAAGCACATCGAGCTGCGCGTCAAGACATTTTTAGCCGAGAAAAAGTCTGGCGCCGATGTGATCATCCGCGTCCATTCTGTGCAAGATACGAAGCTGGTGCTCAAGGAGGAATTGGTTGCAAAGTTGGTTATCATTTGATGTTTACCTTTTTCAGATGGGTTTTTAGTCTTTTATGAAATCCTGCTTTTTAGATATGGCCATCGGGGACTACCTGCGGAAATTCCCTACAAATCTAAGTCGATCTTCGCCTACCAGACGATCGACGGCGACGAGGTGTGCTTTTTCGCCTTCTACGTCCAGGAATACAACGAGAATTCGGGCGCAAATAATCAAAGGTATATTTTCGTTTTTTTTTCGCTTTACTTTGGTTTAGACGCATTTACATCGCCTACCTGGACTCGGTGAACGTGTTCCGTCCACGAACTCTCCGCACCGGCGTCTACCAGCAGATCCTCCTCGGCTATCTGGAGTACGCGAAGCAGCTCGGCTACATCATGGCGCATATCTGGGCGGCACCCCCGGGAAATGGCGACGACTACATCTTCCATTGCCACCCGCCCTCCCAACAAATGCCGACAAACAAAAGGCTTCAGGTTTGACTGCTGATTTTGTGAACTTCTTCTTTTTATAGAGCTGGTATCGGCGATTGCTCGAAAAAGGCAAGAAAACTGGGATCGTGGTCGGCTTCAGAGACGTGTTGGCACAGGTCCTTTTATTTATCGGATTAGTTTATGGTTTCATTTGCAGACATACGCTGACGATGTTCTATCGCCGATAGAAATGCCGCTTTTCGATGGTGATTTCTTACCGGACGTTATACAATACTGCATCGATCCCGAGAAGGAGCCTGCCCACCCTAAAGCTGTTGTGCAGAAGAAACGGAGCAAGTAACAGTTTTACTTGTTTTTTTTGCTGCCTTGACGTTGATGAGACCATTTCTAACGCCTAGTTTCAGGCAAAAGCCGTCCAAGAAGACCAAACCGGGCCAACGCCTGTACGCCCGGCTCCAGAAGCACAAGGACGACTTCTTCGTCGTGCGCCTGCGTCCGGAAGACGAGAAGCTCGTGCCGACCATCAACGATCCGGACCCGGCGACCGAGCGCAACCTGGTGGACTGGCGAGAAAATTTCCTGCACCACGCGCGCGACCACCACTGGGAGTTTCGCAGCTTGAGAAGGTATTTTTTATCTAAGAGTATTGTTTCGTTGGTGTTTTTTGCAATATGCAGGCATCGATATTTTTTCTCTATAGCCCGAGATTGTAGCGTAGTGGTGAGCATTTTAACGACTTTTTGTACGTGTTAGCTATATTTTAGGTCGAAAAACTGGTTTAGAAAACCTGTGAAACCGTTTGAAATTAGATTTTAGGCTCTATTTAGAAAAAAAACGAGCAGATATCCCTGATCATGTAGTTGTAAATATTTTAATAGTTTTTCTTGGAAATGTTAGCCGTAGCGGGAGTAGAAGACGCATAGATTAGAAACGTTAGAAAACAATTTGCAATTATATTTTAGGCTTGATTGTAGAAAAATGCGTTTTCCTTTTTCAGGGCCAAATACTCTACGCTGTGCCTCGGCCATGCGCTGCACACGGGCACCGGTCGTTTGTCCGAATTCACGTGCGACGTCTGCCAAGCGGCCGCCGCGTGGCACTGCTACGATTGCAAGGTATTTTTTTAGAAATATACCTTGATATCGTTTGGCAGGACTTTGATCTTTGCGACGCGTGCCGAAAGACGGTTCACCACCCGCACGCGCTGGTCAAGATTGATAGCAACAACAACAATGAGGTAAATTTCGTAAAGTTTAGCGTTACTTGATAGATCGTCGTGTTAAAATGTGATTGTAATCTTATAATACATCTGCTGATTTTTCTAAATTGAATTTTTCAGGAACCAAGCCCAGCCACCCTCAACAGCCTCGCCATACTCGAGCATGGCAGCAGCTGCAAAACGGTCCCCTGTACTCGATGCGGATCGGTGAAGAAATTGATTGAGCATGGAAAGGTATAATTGATACAGCTTTCAAGATTAAGGCGTAGTTTAGCGCTGCCCGACACGCTCAACGTGCTACGTCTGCATGAACATCCTGCAGTTGTGCGTGTTGCATGCGAAGCGCTGCAAGACTCCAGATTGCCAGGTGGGTATCTCTCTCTCTGCTCTCTTCTCTTCCAACGCTCTTCTTAAAATTTCTTTTCCAGGTCTACCACTGCTCGTACATCAAAGACAAGCAACGACGAATGAGGGAGGCAAATTCGCGCACGATCACGGATGACTTTATCCCATGAACCCCTTAACTATGATTAAACTTTCTAAATGTTTTATTAACCTGCATTCGCATCGATAGATCTAGCTTTTCGTTATGTATTTTTGCATGAACTGACCTCATCTCGTTGTCATAATCCTACATTGTATTGCTTTTTGTTGTAATCGTTGAATAAATTTCAGATGTTTTGGTGGAATTAGAATTTCTGAATTTTGTGTGCATGAACAGCAGCTGAAGATTGTGAAAGGCTAGGTTTTTTGGTTCAACGATGCCAGCGGAGAGTTCTTGCGAACAGCCAGCTGAAACCGTGGTAGTCCCGCCATCCCGCGTGCTTGTTTTGGGAAAGAGGTCCTTTTTTGGGAAACAGCTGCAGCAGTGAGTCCAATTTCCTGGAGTAGTTACCACCTGGTAACAGTGTAGTCAACAAAACTGGAGGAGGAAGAAGCCGACTTTCTGGGCCCACATAATGGCGCTGCCTCGGTACTTTCCAGTCTTTCTTCAGCTAATTCCGCCTATGTTATGCCTAACATGCGTGGAGATCTCAAAGTCGCCATACGTTAATGATAGGTAAGATAAATTGAGAATAGCTAATCCTAGAAGAAAAAAAGAAGAGTGGAGTAGCAGGAAGCAAAAAAAGGTTTTCCTAGATATTTGCTAAATTCATACGAATTCAATAATTTGACAGGATTTGCTTATAGAACTACAAAGTCTGCCTAAAATATAGGATTTTTAAGGTTAAAATTAAATCTTAATTTTCTTGATTTTGCTGCTCAAGATTTTTAAAGAATTACGAAGAACTTATAACAGTTTCGGATTCAAAATGTTAGAAGGCGCCACATAGCTCTTCATTAGGCCGTGGAAAAGAGATTTATTAAGCAAACCCACAACATGCGAAGGCGGCATGTGTTGGGTGATGTTTATGCAGCACGACAATCGAACGTACCGCCGATGTATCTTTTTCTTTTCCTGAGCCGGTTTGTCGTTTGGACTTTTTCGACAACAACCCGTCGAATTTGGGGTGGCTCTGTATGTGCAAGTAAGTCATAGCCAGCAGCTTCCTGGTACACATAATACCGCTACACGAAAAATTATGATTCACGCTTTAAAATACTTTTAGTCACGCGGATAAGTGCAACGCGGGTTCTCCCGTATTCACCTCCGGCCCGGAAAACGTCACTTCAAGCCGTACACCTGCCGTTACCGGAAAGAAACTTACCCACCACCGATTTCCGGCCCACGAATTTATGTTACACTTATGACGTGCGTCTACTTTTTCGTTATTTGGCTGCTATTTAGCTGTTGAAAGCTGTTGAAATTGAATAATGGCATTCAGCTCGGCACCTCTTCGCAAGTGGCCCCTGATGTCACCGTGCTTCCGGACCCGAGCAAGACACACCTCGTCTCACCTCACCCCCAATTCCCAAAATTTGTTGCGTTTTCTGAGTTTCGTTCAACTCCTCACTGCCCGGCCGCGTTAAACCGGCCGTTTTTAGGGCCATTAGGCCCGTCGATTGTAATGTGTTGGAAATGCGATCGGCAGAGCACGTGGTTTTGCCCTGCTGCTTTTTCGTCTTCTTCTTCCCGGTGTTCGGGGGATAGGTGGAGGAAGGGTGCTGGATGAGGGGACCAGCTGACTGTTTGGCCAGGCTCATCCCTCCCCATAGCCTCAACCCAGGGCCATGCACAAGCAAAAAAGAGGAGGGGGTAAGCCATGGAAAAACCACTTTTCTCTAGGATGGACCACGCGTCAACTGGACTCGAGTGAAGCACTCGGGGGGGGTAGAAAAATTTCGAATTGGAAGGTAGGTTGCGAAGAGTATTAGGGGAACCGGACCTAGGTAGACTGAGATGAGCGTCTGAAAAAAATTGACACCTGTTCTGGGCATCATCTGGTAGGCGTGTTTTAATGTGACAAGCTCGTCTTTCATATTAAGGGGGACCGAAATTTTTTCAGGAAGTTGGGAACAGCCGAACTTATAGCAATTTTTTAACAGCGTGTTTGGCGAAAAAACAACTATGTTTCAACTAAAAACTACCAAACTAAACTACCATCTAAAACCTTAAAAAAAATGTTGACAAAGTCGAGATTTTGGCCAAAAAACGGCCTTTTTTGGTCGAAAAGTCGATGATTTTTGTAGTTTTCAGTGAAAAGTTACGTTTTTACGTTTAGGAGTAATAAAAATAGTTCTAACTAGACTTTTCTCTTTGATAGGGTACTCCGCACCAATCCAAAAACCCTTTCACTATACGGTCCTCGCCTCAATCCCCCAACTCTCGCCATCACCCATTTTACAGCCACCGGTTTTGCAGGCGCGGATTCGTCAGCGGAGAGGGCCCAGGGCCCCTGGTTCGTCCGTTTTCTTGCCCCCCCCCAAACCTCGGACCCTCCCCTCCTCTCACAAACAACCCCTCAGCTTTCCAGAAGCTTTCCCCTCCTCTCATCCCATCATCCTGCTGTCCATATATCCTTCCTCCTCCTCCTCCTTCCTCTCTATTTCCATTTTATTTTCTGTCTCTGGCCCCTCCCCTTCTTCGACTCTCAGACCTATATAACCGGGCACTCATCCGTATTGTCGCAAAGAGCGTCATCTATCCCTCAGCACTCGTGAACTGCTTTTGAGATTACTTTCGTTTCAGAAGCTAGGGAAAGGCTAGTTGGGTTTTTGTTTGGTGCTAAAATCGACATAATTACTCATTTGGGGCTTGTCTTCTATACGACATCCTTATAGTAACCGATTTTTCAGCATTTATCTGGTGACAACAAAGGATGCCGAGCGTTTTTGAGGTAATCTGCGACTCCTTTACCTAAACTATCCCAACTTTTAGCTCGAGGTCTCCCTGTACAAAGATGCGAAAGATGCTCTCAATTTGAAAGGAGTTGACACGCCTGAAGGCCTCTTGGATAGAACCACCTTCCACGAGGAATGGAAAACGGATCTGTATTTAAAGGTTAGCTACCAATTCTTTTAAATCACGTTTCAAAGGAACGTAAAAGTCAGAGGATACAGCAACCCACTTCCGAAATCACCCTCAAAACCCGAAACCATCCTAAAACCTAAAAACAATCTAATTCAGTACCGGCCTCGCACAAAATGCCGCCAATAAGCGGCTACCAGGACCCAACAGAAATTGCAAAACAGAAGTGAGCTTGTGTGTTTGTCATGCTCGTGTCCCTATATCCGCATTCACGCATTCGAAGTCACAGGCGCTTTTGATGTGAATACACTGGAACGTCTCACGATTGTTATTTAGGACTTCTACACGAAGGTTGAAGACCCAGCTATGCGGATGGTGTTGACATTTCTGCCAATGGTCGCCTCGCGGATCGGGCCGGTGAAGAGGATTCTGGATTTTGCAGCTGGTCCGACGATTCATGTATCTGTATGCTTCAGGCATACCGCTGAAGAGGTGGGATAATTCTGGGCCCTCATTTCGCAGTTTTCAGATCTACTTGGCCGACTATTTGCCACAGAATCGAAAGGCATTGCAGGAATGGCGGGATGAAAAGATGGATTTTGATTGGTTGGTCATTGGAAAGAGCTCAAAACCGCAAAATATTAGGTCAACCCCGCTTAAAATTATCGCAACTCAAGAGGGTGGCAGCTGGAATAATATTAATGAGATGGAGCCGGCAGCGCGGAAAAAGGTGTGGAAAGAGGATTGTTATTATAAAGTTAAGTTTCTAGGTAAAAGACGTGTTCCACTGTGATTGCTTCGAGGACCCGGCTGTGAAGTGTTCGGAGGATCTGCAGGGAACATTTGATGTAGGTTAAAAGCGCAGATGTTCTTCAAAGGTTACTGTATTCGGTACTGGGCTATTATCAGGGGGGTAAACAAAATTTTCCCGGTAATGTGTACAGTCAAATAACAAATATTACATTTTTTATGCATTTTACAGGGTTTTTAGAGATAAGAAGCTCATAAAAACTTATAAATTTTCGAAATATTTTGATTTTTAGTCAAAAAGTATGAAAAATGACAAAAAAACCAAGATTTTCGAATTTTCTAAAATTTCGGGGAAACATTTAAACCTGTTTAAAAGATTTTTGTGGCTGCTAGCAATCCAAAACTACGAAAAACATTATAAAATAAAGTTTTTGATTGTAAGTAATTCTTAGGCCCTGGTGACAATCTTCTGCGTTGAATATTGCTGCAACGATTTCGACGAGTATAAAAAAGCCATCAAGAACATGGCGCGCCAGATTCGACCTGGAGGTCATCTGGTGATGGGCGGCGTCTTTGAAGAGACATGGTGCTGCTTCGGAGGGCGGAATTTCACTTGCCTCTACATCACCCAGGTATTCAAAACCGTCTATAGTAAAAAACGGACACAATTTCCAGGACATGATGATGGAGGCGTTCAGTGAAGCCGGCCTCTCCGTCGAGGGAGATCGCAGTTGCATTCTCTATGAGGTCAACGGCATGTACATGGTTATCGCGCGGAAAGCGGAATAATATTTTGTTGAAAGCCATTGAGATCAAAGTGGTAGAATCAGATCCTACAACATCCGCCGTCTATTGTTATTTATTTGAGCTTCCCCCTCCTTGTACAGTATCCCACCCGGCTTTCCTGAAATGTTCGGTTCTAGGTACCAGTGCCTTGAATAGTTTGTATTTTGATGCATAAAGGGTTGAGACTACAAACTACAGTGTTCATAGACATCAAACTACAGAGATCACTGGGGGTTTGGGAATGAATTCCGAGGATGGTTCGGTAGCGATCAGTGAACGTTGGGGTGCTGTCTGCGGGTATTTGACGCAGTTATGCTTTGGTGATAAGACGCGAGAATCTTGTGCTGGGCACGGGACCGGAAACGAAATGTGATGTCCTTTGCTATTTTGAGAAGGTTGTGGTTTTGGACTTTGATTAAGGATGTTTCTAGATAGCCTAGTTTATAAAAGAATCCACAGAATACAGCGTTCCCCAAAAAATCGACCCTCTCCTGCCGTTTTTTAAGCTCTCAATTTTTGGTACTGGCCTGTTAGCGGGGGGGGGGGCGTTGTTTTAGCTCTATTTTTATAGCGTTTTTAGTATTTGATGATCGCTAGAAACCTACAAAAATATTTGAGGCATTTTGAAAATTCGAAAATGCTGACTTTTTGGCAATTTTTCATAAGTCTTGGGCGAAAAAGCAAAAAGTTGCTTTAAGGTTTTATGAGTTTTTATGTCTAAAAACGGTATAACATGCTATAAAAATGGTCTATATTTTGTAATAGGATTACTGGGAAAAACTAGTTCCTCATGCTAAACCCCCCCCCCCCGCTAATAGTCCAGTACCGATTTTTTCTAGCACCCTTTAGAAAATGCGTCTCGTTACGCTCTATTTTTTAAGGTATGATTCTAATGAAACCAAATTCTCCATAAACCGTCGCCACACATCCGCTGCAAATCCATTTTTGGCACGAAATCCGTGGTGCCCTGTCCATGACATATCAGTGGCTGTCTCTGTGTTCGTACCACCCTCCAAAAACACGGAGAAGAAGCCCCGCCGCTTATCGGCGCCCTTTTGAATATAAGTTGACTGGTTGCCCCCGGACCCTGGATTGTCGACCCCAACATTTTCAAGACCCCCAAATCCCAAGGTTAAATTCTGCCCCAATACTTTAATTCGATAATTAATTATTCCACAATTTAGATGATGAGCGGAAGTTGGTGGGTACTTTCGGGGATGCTGTTGCTTTCCGTGGTGTCTTCCTACAGCACCCGAGTCCAGGGAATAGCGGTTCGGGGTCGATTCCTTTGCGGTCGTGAGCCACTTGCACATGCGACCGTCAAAATTATCGACAAAGATTCTGGTATGTTTTTTATAAATATATAGTATGCTGTAAGGTCCTAAATCACAACAATTCTAATTTACAGCCCAATAGCTACAGTGGTTTCCAGCTATTCCAAAACCAAACTTTCTTTTCGTCCCATCGGAATTGGCCCTTTCAATATCCAGTCAAAATAAATAAATAAAAATACTGAAATTAATAAAAAACTAAAAACACTTTTCTTGTCCAAGAAATTTTCCTAGCAAAAAAGTAACAAAATCACGCTGAATTTTTACCTCAAAATTCCAGGTCGTGATCCTGATGACCTACTCGGTGAAGTACTCACCGATTCGGATGGACGATTCTCATTGTCGGGTAGGTCGGTCCTGCTCAGAAAATTTACCCTACCCCAGGCGCCACACGAGAAGATGGAGACATTGAAGCCGCCATTAAAGTATACCATGATTGCAATGATGAGCATACGGTAGTAAAATACCTCACTACGACAAGTACACTATTCTAGCCGTGCCAACGCAAGATGATGTGGGACATTCCGCAGCGATACAACAACAATGGAACCGTCTCGGAATGGTGGGGAGCAAGATGAGGAGATATTTTCAATTGGTTCAGGTTCGAGATCGGGGAGATCAACCTGGAGCTCGGGTTCCGGAGCGAGGAACGAGACTGTAGGCATAAGAAGCGTCATCTTCGGGGAGGGCGATCACTTCACCATCATCACAAGTCTCCAAACTGGTAGTCAGGGCCGATGGGGGAAATTTGGCAAACAGCAAAGTGTTGTATGTACAATTGTATATTATGTGATTTGTCAGGAGCTAAGGGTTTTGGCTTGCGAATGCCTTTAATTCTGGTCTTTTGGAGACATTCCCATCCGGGTGTGGCCGGGCTGGAGGGCTGGAAAGGCGGAAATGGGCATCCCGTGGTGAGACCACCCTAGACGAAACTCTGGGTGGTCCCCCATGTAGGTCGATGGACCACACGCCGTCTGATAGGGAAAGTACTGCTGAAAGGGCTAGTAATTTCAATTATATTACATTAAATTATGCTATTTTTCATATTAGATTTTTAAGGTTTAATCAAATTATATTCTAGCAGTGAAAGCGACTTAAAGATCGCCAAAAACTCCAATTTTCCTAGACACCCAAATTTCGGTCAAGAAATTCAGACCGTTGCTCCCGAAAAACTCGAATTAGTACCAACAAATGGCTGTTTTTCCACCCGAGAAAATTAGTGCTTTCAACCCTACGTGCCATCCCCCAAAGCACGCTAAAATTCGTCGTTTTTGTTGATTTACTCCTGGGGGCCCGAGTCTATGATTTTGAGCCTACCGGATGTTGTGCCATAATACAAAGATCTTATTGGTGTCTAATAAATTGTTTTTTGCCGGCTACTGTATGGGACCACAGGAATATCATGTATTACACCTCACGCCCCGAAATCTTGGCGGTCTAAGGGCTAGGCAACGCGGCGCTCCTATCGACTCAAAAATGTATGGGGCTAAAACTTGGAAGGCTTATATCTTGAAAGATATGGCCGATCTCAAAAAACGCGAATTCCAGTCTTGTAGAAGGGAACATGGCGATTCTAATGATACCAAGCACTAACAAAACTGAATTTAGAAAGTATGCTAACGAAGGCGGTTTTGGTGGGCGACTTTGTGAAAAGTGGTATTTCGGAGGGCTAACATGCTGTCTTTGGTATCATTCGAACCGTAAAATTTTACTCTGCAATAATTAATATTGGCTTTTCAATATTAAGTCGGTTTGGAAAGGTTATAAGAGTTTAAACCTTTTGACTCGCGCTACGCCCGGCTCCAATTGACGCTTTTGCCCCTCCCGGCAAATTGCCGTTTTTGGCCTGTTTGATTGGGCGTGACCTATAAGCCTATCCGGGGATTTGGCCCACGCCGCAGACTTTCCGCTGTGGAAAAAGTTTATTGTACCAAATTTTTTGAAATCGAAATTTTACCCCTAAAAGCAAATTTTCAGCCAATTGTGACGTTGCCATCGGATTGTCCGTAACAAAATTGACCTAGCTTCGATGTGTCATAAAATTTGGGCCTGTGGCTTTCAAACATCAAACGATTTCCCCAGGCGGCTTTTTTTGACCGCTACTGTACGCCCGGCCGGGTGGCCTGATGGGCCCCCAATCAGACATCACGCAGTTCCTCCGGCCCGGGTCGGCGTTATTACTTACCTTTCAGCCCCATTTTTTTCACGCTGACCACCAAAAGCATCGTCTGTGGCGCGGCCATGTCCAGCTGAGCATCCAATAGTCATCAGGGGATCCAAACGAACCTTCGGCTTCAAAGGCCCCTTTTGCTTCCTAGTTTTTTTTTTAGTTTTCTGGCTGGCGGGTTTATGATTTTTGGAGATTTCTAGGTTTTTTGGTCTGGGTTAACTTCGGAGCTTTTGCTCGTGATACCTCATACTCGCGTGACCTTTGCTTTTGGCAAAGAACACCTTATGAATCTTATAAACCTTATTTTCAGGGGGACCCATTCGCTTTCATAGGAATTGGTGGTACTAAATTTTTAGGTGACCATAGCTCCACTGCTTTGGGCTTCGAATTAGCTTCGTAAAGGTTTAGCTGAATTTATCTCCATTTATTTTAGTTTATGAGCTGGATATTGCGCTAGATTCACCGCGAAAAACTGACCGAAACGTCCCCGCGTGACCTTTTTTTACTGATATCTTTCTTCTGAGCGGCTTCCCCCAGTCCAATGGTTTTTATGGACTTTGGTTGATTTTCTTTTCAACTGCCTGTTCCGATGTTCTCTTACCTGTTTGCCTGCGCTTTTCTATGCAACTTTTTCAGCTTTGGGCATGTTGACGAGACTCGCTGGACAGACGGTCCGCCACGGATCCGGCGTCCCGGACCACCTCGAGGAACATTCAGCCAAAGTGCACGCAGGTAAATTTTGGGCGAAATCAGTAAAAGGTTTGTGCGCATTATCGGGGGTCAAACTTTTTTAGTATGCGATTTATCATGTAGTACTTTTTTGCTGGAAACGCTGCTAAAATACTCTCTATTAAGTCAGTAGATATTTATGTACTTGCATAGAAAATTTGTCGTCGTCCCGATAATGCGACAGAACTCAGTAAAAATTAGCCTCTAAACGTTTTTACTGAAAGAGTATTTGCTCGCCAAGTGACGATATTACTATTTTTGACATCAGTGAATTTTTGGAAAAAGCAATGAAAACCTTTCATACCATTTGAAAAACCCATTTCTCTAAAGTTTTTATGTCACTGCCTGTCAGGGGTGGGGGAGGGCGTGGCCTAGTGGTCTAAGGCGCCAGTCCCAACTTCAGGCAGAGGGTGCTGGTTCGGTTCCTCTGACCGACAGAAGCCCGTTAGGGTTTTGCACTTTTTTGCAAAAGGTACAGAAGGGGATCTAAAACCGATCTAAAGAGAAGCCCAAGCGGAAAATAAAAAGTTTTGCTATTTCCCGGGCTCTAAAGAAGAAATTCTCTCAGATGGTGCCGATTCGCTCAATAACGGAATATCATAATAACAAAGACATGTACTGCCCAAATTAGCTCCAATTCAATGATTTCAAGCCCCTTCATCCGTACAAAGCTGAAAACTTTGACTAGCTTCAGTTGTTCAATTATTAGGATCTCTCATTCAGCACCTTTTTACTTCCCAGGACCGCAGAAGTACCCAATTTGACAGTACCTATTCTTTTCCGTTGAATATCGAAGAAAAAACCCGGAAGCCGCATTCCGGCTAAACGCAAAGAAAAACGCGGCGCACAAAGCTCGTATTTTCGCAATTTTTCCGGCTTAAATCCTAGATAAATCCTTATTTTCACGCTAAATCACCCTTAAAACCCCTCCCATAATGTGCGCAAGAGTCTTCTCTATATTTCGTATCGGTGGACTCCCCACAACAACGTCGTTTTCGAAAGTTATAGGCATTTGAAGTTGAAAATTTGTGAGTTTTTTTTGGCCCCTTTCTTTGCCTCTCTCTCGAAAAATCATGGATCGGTAGGCAAGCATAGTGTGCGCGCGGGCATAGGAACGCTACGGAGCGACCCCACCTCTCATGAGCGCGTCTCTGAATATCTGACAGCCAGTGATGTTTTAGAGCTTCATCGCATTTCAGCTCTTCATCAACGACGAGTTCATGAACGCGAAGAGCGGCAAATCGTTCGAGACCCAGGACCCGGCCACCGGCAACAAAATCGCTGATGTCGCCGAGGGGGGACCGCGCCGATGTTCATGCCGCCGTGAAGGTATCAAAAATGATCACTATTTGCTATTATTGGTTGTCAAAAATTCCATATATTTTTCAGGCCGTCCCAGCAAGCCTTCCGTCTCGGCTCGCCGTGGCGCCGGATGGACGCCGCGCAGCGCGGTGCTGATCCAACGCCTGGCCAACCTAATGGAGCGCGATCGCCAGATTTTGGCTGTAATTTAGTGCTTATTTTAACTTATAATTTCTCTTTAGTCGCTGGAGACGCTCGACACCGGCAAGCCGCACTCCGTCTCATACGCCGCCGACCTGGGACTGTCGATTGCTGGCATGAGGTTGGGCCTAGCTTGTTTGACTTAGTTTATGACGTATTTTCAAGGTATTACGGCGGATGAGCCAACAAGAACCACGGTAAGAAGACCCCCGATCGCCAGCGACCATTTCACCTGCACGCGCCATGAGCCCGTTCGCGCTTGCGGTCAGTTTATCCCGGTGAGATTTGCTCGAAAATTTCTGATAAATTAAAGGTGCTTGTGCATTATCGGAGGGATGTAATTGTTTTTTCTTTGGGTTGAATTTTCAATTATAAAGAGTGGAGGCGTTTCTAAATGTTTACTTTCTGGACGTGAAAACGAAAAAATGTCACACATCGTTTTTCGATCCAATATGGCCGATTTTTTACCAAAATTTTGACCTTTTCAAACTTTCTTTTAGTTTTCAGAGAGTTTTTCTAGTTGCAATATAGTTATTTGTTACTAAAACACTATTCAAACAATTCCTATTCAGTTACTAGACATTTCTAGGATTATGCGAAAAACCCACCCCCCGTCCCGAATAATGCGGAAGAACCATTAAATAAATTATGATCATAAAATCTTCTTTTTGCAGTGGAACTTTCAACTTCTGATGCAGGCGGGAAGCTGGGCACCGCTTTGGCTGTGGGCAACACTGTCGTGCTGAAGGTATTAAGATTTCGAAATTCTTGGATAATAAGTTTTAGATAGCCGAGCAGATGCCGCTTTCCGCCCTGCTCTTTGACCTCCTTCCTTCGTGAGGTATCCAGCTAAAAAACTTTAAAAAATGGTTTTCAGGCTGGTTTCCCAGAGGGTGTTGGCAACATCCTGTCCGGCTTCGGGCCGACATCCGCTGCAGTTGTGGCACAGCACATGGGCATTGACAAGGTTTGCTTTAGAAAGTTTAACGGCTCAAGACGGTTTTTTAGGCATTCACCGGATCCACCGAAATTGGACGGCTGGTGATGAAGGAGGCGCAACAGCATCAAGACAGCAACATCAAAAAGTATAATTTTAGGTAGTAAAAAATTATATCCATCTAGGTTCACGGTCGATCTGGGCGGAAAGGCGCCGAACATCATCTTCGCCGACGCCAACCTCGACGAGGCCGTCGAGCAAGCCCACCGCGAGCTCTTCTTCCACCAAAGCCAATGCTGCGGCGACGCAATTCGCACTTTTGTTGAGGGCATGGTAAGGCTTGCAGCGTTGCACAATGGATTTTATCGTTGTATCAATAAATTTATTTCTAGTTTTTTTCATTATTAGATTGAAAAAACTTCCCACACGTTTTGTATGATGAATTGTGTCACTGAAAATAGTTTCCAGGTCTACGACGAGTTCGTGGCGCGCAGCAGGGAGTTGGCGCGGAAGCGCGTCGTCGGCGACCCCTTCGACCTCGAGTCCGACCAGGGTCCACAGGTTTTCAGATCTTCCTCGTAATAAATGAACCGTTTTCTCAGATCGACGGCAACCAGGGCAACACCGTCCTCAAGTTCATCGAGGCCGGCAAGCGCGAGGGTTTAATTGGTAAATTTTCTTGATTTCTTGTTTTATATCAATGCTTTGTTGCAACCGGTAAGAAAAAAAAGCTGATTGTTTCTATGTTTTTGCGGGGTTTTTTATTTACGTTTTCTAGGTGTCCGGCTGCAAGAAGGTCGGCGATAAGGGCCACTCCGTCGAGCCCACCATTTTCGCCAACGTCAATGACGACATGACGATCGCGCAGGAGGAGGTGAGCACGTTGGGGTCGCCTCTCTTTATCCCGGATTCCCTAGATTTTCGGCCCGGTGATGTCGGTGATCCGATTCGACTCGATGGAGGATCTCGTCGAGAAGGCCAACAACACCATCTACGGCCTGGCCGCCGCCGTCATGACCAAGGACATCGATCGGGCCCTCTACGTTGCCAACAACATTCGCGCCGGATCTGTATGGTAAGCTATGTATACTTTTCGGGAAAGCGGTAATTCCGTGCGGCCTATAGCGAAATATAAACCGTTTTATTGTATTTTATACGGTTCAGTCAAAATGTCCGAAAATTTTTGATTTTTTTGTTCAAAAAGTATGACAATTTTAAATATTTTTAGGGCTTTCTAACAGCCAAAATCTCCTTTTATCTGGTTTTTATAAATTTTATTTCAGGGTCAACTGCTACGACGTGTTTGACGCGGCGGCTCCATTCGGCGGTTACAAGCAGTCTGGTGAGGGATTTTCACGAGCTACTAATTAGGAAATTGTATCTAGTAATTTACTTTTTTCAGGTATCGGCCGCGAGTTGGGCGAGTACGGGCTGGAGGCGTACACCGAGGTCAAGACCGTCACGATCAAGGTGCCGCAGAAGAACTCGTAGGCGAAAACCAGAAGAAGAAGCATCTCTCCATTTGTGCAACCCGCCCGACCCTGTTCCACCATCCCTCGTTGTGAATCTATTCGCATTTATGTGCATTTTTTTGGAGAATCTGATAAACTTTTTGAAAATGCGGAGTTTCGAAATCTCTTTGGAAAGTTTTTTCGTTGTTTGAAAAGTTATACTTTATTGCAACAATTTGTAGAATTTGTAGAAATTACATAACAGAAGATATCTTGTAACGCAAATAGTCAATGCCACCGAGATCACAATCGAAATATGCTAACAATAGACAGCAAGTCGTGACTAAAATTTTAGCAATTCAAGGCCAGGCAACCGCCATTGAATCTCGGTGGCCAGCGTGTTGATCGTGGCCGGGAGGGTCTTGAGGCGCTGCTTGACTTGATAGTGGAGATCGGGGCGCGTCATGAGCAGGAACTCGGCGGGGATCAGCTGCACGTCTTGGCGATCGCGATATTCGACGGTAACGAACGGGCCGAGCTCAGCGCGCGCGATGCGCTTGATGAATGACGGCTGGAAAATTGGGTTTAGAAAGATTTCATAAAGCAAAAAAAAACCGAAAACGGGGGAATCCGTATTTTTTCTCTAGAAGTTCAGATATACACAGTAAAGTTACAGCTAGTATTTAACCTTTAGCAAAAAGCGCCGAGATTTCTCGAATTCTATTGCAAAATTTAGATTCCACGAAAAAGCTTGTCGCCGATTTCACCAAAAAAAAACGTAATTACCTCATAGCCCAGCGCGATGCCGCAAGAATCCCACTTTGTGATCAGCGTCTCGCCAGGTTCGGGGATCGGCAGATCGGGGAGAGTGGACCACTAAAAAAACAAATTAAAAACTGCAAAGAACGCTCACTAGTCGTCGACTAAGCAGCCGATCACGATGGCGGATCGAGACGACGGTGCGACAGTTATAGGGCTAAAAATAAAAGAAATAACCGAAAAGTTGAATATCAGACCTTGTTGTCTTCCTCCTCGTCCTCTAACAGCAGATCCGGGTCGAGGCCCAGCGTTTTTGGGTCGATGCGTTTGTAGGGTTTCGGTGGCGGCTTGTTGGGGTCAACCTGAAAAAGAAAATGCATAGGCAAAACACCTATACAAACACACGTTTAAAAAGGTCAAAAAAGAACAGAAACTCGCCTTTTCCCAAGCCAGCAGCGCCATGATGTTAGGAACCCAGCCCCCGAACTTGGGCGTCTCCACCGGCGCTTCTTCTTGGGCAGCTTGTTGCGGCTCTTCGGCGTCTTTCTGCGGCGGGTCTGGCATCTCTTCCGGCGAAGCCTCGACGATTTCGAGCATCGGAGTGGCTGATGGGCTGCGGCGTGCGCGCTTGACTGCCGACGGATCGGGCGAGGGTTCCCTGAAATTTGAAAAATAAGACATAAGCTATACATTTTCAATAAAATCAAACAAGAAAATCTAAAATATCGCCAGAAAAGTCCAACCGTTCGAAGGTCGTCAGCTTTTTCTTCTCTTTTGTTACCGCCTCATCAAGCTCCAGTTGCTTGCCAGCCTTCTTCTTTTCTTTGTCTTGTTTCTTGGTCGAAGGCCCCGCTTCACCGTCTCGCCGCGACTTTCGGCCGGCTTCCTTTTCGGCTTTCTTCTTGGCCTTGGCTTGCCTTCTCACTTCATCCTCATCCTCTCCTTCTGTCGATCCCTCATCATCCGCTTGGCTTCCACGCGTCGTTTCCAGCTCCCAGCGCGGCCAGAAATCCTAAAAACACTTTTTATATGAAATATCACGAAGGTCCAGAACCATTGAAAATCAAACGCACCACTTCCAGGGTCTCCTTGACTTCGGCCTGCAGGTCCATAAAATGGTTTCGCTTGTTCGGGTGACAGTTCTGAACAAAAATTTTGATACAAAAAAGCCGGTAACCTTGAGTTTATTTTCGACTTTGTCTTCGATGCGCTCCCAATAGCCCTTGAGAGTATCAACGAAGCTCTGAAAAGCCGAATATAGTAAGAAACGGACATTATGAACAAGGTAAGGGCTTGATCTAAAAATAGTTTTTACAGTTATCGATAAAAAGAGAAGTTTTTAGGCCGGAAAATGAAAATAAAAATGGAATCCCGGGGAAGAAAGAAGAGGGGCCCTGCCTGACGTACATACGGTGGTAGGGCGCAGTTTTAGATACCTACAGGCCCTGAATAATATAAAGCCCTGCTAAACTACTCTGCTGGCATGACACGGGTGTAGCACGGGCCCAGAAACGAGCGTGGCTCGTGTAGATTATACCGCGAGGGTTCAGCCGTGGCACGGCCGTGCCTGGGGGCCCGGCTGTGGCTCGGCCCGTGCCACAACCGTGTGGGCCCCCGGAAGCACGACCATGCCTTGAGCACCATTCTGGTGCTCCGGCTGGCCCTGCGGACACCCACTCGGTTGTAATTACCAGATATAAAGGGTTATATAACCCAGAATTCAAAGTACATATACAACCATTTAGTTACAAGTTAAAATTCATGTTAAAACAAAAAAAAACAGAAAAAATCACACAAAGAAGGTTAGCAGTACTTTTTTTCTTTTTTGTGCTTCCCGCGGCTCGAACACGCGTCCCACTTCATCCCGAATGCCGCTGAAGTCTAAAAAGAAAATAAATTGCTACATGCGAATTTTTAATAGAATTTTTATTCCTACAACATTTATTAAACTGAATATAGCTATCTATCCTCTATAAACGATCTATCTATACTTTCTAAACTGCTAAATTACTAAAATTTCGCTAGAGCCATACGTTGCAGCTAAAAAATTATAAAGACATTTAATTTCAGCGCGAAAAAATTTCATTGGAAGTTATTATTAAAAAAAACTCGTCAAAAATCACTTATGAAAACGGCGCGTTAGCAATTTAGGGTACTGGACTCTTATCGCGGGTTACGAAAGCGTTAGCGGGGGGCGAATGAAGTTGATTTTATAATTTTATCTCCAATCACTAAAGTTTTATGCAAAAGTTATGGAAAATACCAAACAATCGGAAACGGCCGAACAAAAAGTAAAGACGTCAAAATCCCCGTCCCTCGTCTTTCACCCATGTTTTTTTTTCACTTTACGTGTTTATCATTTTTTGCCTACGTTATATTACCCGGTTGAATAAACCATTCATATATAAAACGGGACTTAAAGATACTATTGATCATTTTTATCGTTAAAACTAACATTGAGCGCGCAGAATTTGTCATAGCGTCCTCATTAGACATAGAAAAATTATTCCATTAATTCCGTTTCCTTGCTAATTCATTTAACCTTTTAAAAAGACAATTCTGACCTGTAAATAGGTCGAATCCGTTGTCTTTTTTCTGGCTGGTCGGCGACTGGCAGCTCCTCGCTGTCGAGGCGCTCTGGTCTCTTGCGTGTTCCTAAAAAAAGCAATTAAATTAAGAAATACATGGACAAACATTGCACAAAACAAAATAGAAATATTCATACCTGCTCCCGAGAACTATATCGTGCATCATTGCCTGGCCAGCTCGCGGAACTAAAGCAACTCCATAGCATTTCACGATTTTTTAGGTAAAAAGGTTTTATTTTCTAGCCGAAAAACTTTTAATATATTACAAACCTTTAGAAAACTCGGCTTTTTCGACAAAACCTATGCAAGATGGCCAAAACTGGTTAAAAACTTCAGATTTTTAAGTTCTAACAAAGTTTCGTAGGTTACAATGATCGGGAAGTACCAAAAACAGTTTTTAAGTATATTTGAATTATTACTGTACAGCATAGGCTCAATTTAAAAATTTTGCTTTTCCCCCTGCTAACCTGGAAGCACCAGCAAAAGGAAAAAGCTTTGCAAAAAAAGAAAACTCACACTCTCATTCGCACGGCGAAGCCAGAAACCATCGCAAAACGCCCATAATTGCCGTGGCATCCCGAGCTGCCTAAAGTTACCAACCAAAGAAAGATACCTTTTTTCTCAAGCATTCCGGCCATGGAAGTCGCGAAGTCGCTGTAGCAGCACGTCGCCGGCAAAGCCTGGGTAAGGTAAAGTAAAGTAGGAAAAAGGATACCTTGACCAGCGTAGAAATAAGGCCACACAACTTTCAAACATTCCAGATGCACATTGTCGCACCGCCGGTGGTCTAAGTGTAAAAAATCGGAAATATACCTGAAAGCGCTTCTGAAGTATCCACACCACTGAGCATTGATCGCGAACACGATTCGCTTCCTCATCGTTGACCATTTCCTAGAAACAAACATTATAAAAAAGCCTTAGAAATACAACGAAAACAAAAACCGGAATAGTTTCTTACACTGTCTTTGCATCAAACACATTCCCGGCCGCCGCCTTCTTCGGTGGAACCTCCAGAACCTCCAGAAACGACGACGGCCAAGGAGCTTCTTTGCTAGTTATCTAAATGAAATTTGGGCTTTAAAGCGAAGGTTACCGATTAGAATAGGTGGTGGTTGCTTTCGTGTCACAAAGACACTCACACGGGATGAAATACAAGTTATTTTGAGAAGAAAAACGCCTATAATAGTAAAGAAAACTATAAAAACACTTAATTTATTTGACAAAGTTAGAGCATTTTGTCTAAAAATGTATTGCCGAGAGTGCGTGTGATTCATATGTCAATAGTAACTCTGTACTGCTGAGCCTCAGCCGTGTATGGTCACGGAGGCATTCGGGTGTGGCACGAGCCCGAAATGGGCCATTTTTCGGCCCGTTCGGCTGTGCCACGGAGTTTTCCGACGTATTCGGTTGTGGCTCGGGATTTCTGCGTGCCACACCCGTGCCATGCCAGCAGAGTAATCGAAATATAACAAAAATCATAAAAATTTAATAAATAGAAGTTTGTAGGAGTAATCAAATCATAATCTAATCGAGCGGACTTGTTCATGCTATTCAGTAAACTGTGGTAGTTTCTAAGTGTCTTGATAACGATAACTTTCTCCTATAAATCCCGAATTGCCTAGTAAGGTAGTAAAAAGTATTTTACCATTTTTTTTGGTAAGACTCAACTATACTTCAAGTGGAAAACCAATTCAAAAAGCACTGAACATTTTTGAAAAAGGAAAAAACTTCGAAGCAAGGAAGTCTGGGACTTTTGATGAGTTAGGGAGGCCTCAAGGGTATCAAAAGGAAGCTCTCGGAGTGCGCTATTAGACCAGTGGCAAAGAATACTGTTTGGTTTAACTAGCCGTCAAAAGGAGCGTTCGGAAAATCGGCAGTTTTTTAAGGAATAATTCGAGATAAAATTTTCTTGCGATCCGGTCGTCCTGCTATTTTGTAATTAGTAATAATTAGTCAAATGCTACCCGTTCACAGAAAAAATAGAAAGATCGCAATTAAAAAGTTTTTGGCAAAGTGCCCAGTCGTCGAAAATGCACAGAATTACCGGGATATGGTATACTTTATTGCATATGAAACTTTGCTAAGGCCCATTCTATACAAACAATATCTCAAACTAGGTTAGGCAAGCATGTTTTATGGACAATTTGAAAAACGAGTTTTCTGGAATGTTGTAGTCGACTTTGTAAAATGCTATAAACATCGGTTATATTTGCTGGGGAAAATTAGTTCCCCCTGCTAACAGTTCAGTCCCTAAAATCTCACGAATCCGTGTTTTCTCTGTAATTAGACGCCATCCAAAAACACTTTTTTTGCCCGGCTCCTGTCCGGCAGCGTGCTTCCAAGTTAGTGGGTTGCCTCAGACGCGAGCTAACAAAGCATTTATTCCTCGCAAAATAATTGGACTCGGCGGAATTGACACCGAAATAGTGGAAGTGTATTGGATGTAATTCATGACTTGGGCGGGTCACGGTAGCCGACGGATCATCCCTGAAGTCGCCTATTTTCGGCCCCAAGTCCAGCCGAGGTCATGCCATTCCGGGTTTTTCTTCATCGGCTGAAGGGAGCGCAGCATGCGGACGCGCTGAAAAATATAGCTATTAATCCAAATTTTTATACATCTTCATCTCCATAAATCTAGCAAAAAAACGATGATGATTTCCAAATGTCTACATCGAAGCCCCTGGAATGTAATCTTCATTCTAATTGGAAATATCTACGCCGGATTTTTTGTTCTCTGGATTAGTGTGAGCCGATCAACAATTATTACCGACCATGTTGGGATCGCTGCGTTTCCCCCAGGCCCAGCCCAAATCCTCCCACTCCGGCTGCACATCGCGCTTGTTCAGCCCTTCCTCACCTAAAAATCATCAAAATCAAGTTATAAAGTCTAAAATTCGTTATCAAATGCTCTGAAATTAGGTCCATAATAAGTTACAGCTCCCTAAAAATAAAATAATCTTAATGGAAATACTATATTTCTATCACCCACCTCTGAACGGGACGGCCAATGCAAAAGCCAGCAGTGAGCACAGCAGCACCATCACCAAGGAGCGCATCGTTTTCTGCTAGAAAAGCTTCGCTCTCACTTTAAAATTAGCGACTTCAAGGCTTGAGAAAGAGAATGGTATTTTAGAACCGGCTCCAAGAAAAAATTCTAAACTCTCGAGTTCAAACCCAAGTAGACAGATGATCTCCACATCTGAATATGACTGGAATCAGAAGCCATACGAGGCCATATTGGTGTACTAGCCACGCCCCTTTTCTACTCCCGACACCCCCTCATTAAGGTAATGAACAGAATTCAACAGACTTTTTTAGAGCAGAAAAACGCCTTGAAACAAAGTAGCACCGCCTCCCACCCGACGCCGTCGAGCACGTCACGAAGCGCAGCAATTTTTCGAAAGTTAGCTCATCTTTAACCCAACCCGTCCAATTGAATAGTACAAAATACCAGCAAAACTTCTGCATTTCCCAGTCCAAAGCTTCCCTTTAATAGCCCAATACCTTGAGAAAACATTAAAAACACCCCCAAAATCTGCAGCCTATAGCCCAACGCAGGCCCGTGCCCAAAATGGGTCATTTCGTGCAAAAAAATTCAAAATGTGATGTGCTTTGCGGGCTCCGGAGGCGGGGAAATACTATGGGAAACGCGGGCTTTTTCGTGTTCTGCGCAAAATCTCGGGAACATTTTCGTTGTGCGTAGGTAAGTATGGGACTGATGGGAGTCATTCTCCAAGCAAAAAGGCTCGTCTCGAAATTTTTGGGCTTTGTAAGGATCAGAAGTGGCGGCGAGGTTTTATCCGACTCGCTAGGCATGTCGTGTCGATAAATCGCGCCTATAGGTGATGAAGTTCCGCTGGGCCAGCGCGTCGACACCCGAAAATATTGAGGCACGCAATCTGAGATCAAAGAAGTATTGTAGTAGTAAAACTGGACGTAGATGCCCCGAAAATGGTCGTGTTTCATGTGGTGAACTCGGTATGGGACGAAAGTCAACTAAAAATTGCGGGACTGGACTGTTAGCGGGGGAGGGGACTTTTAGCAGGAAATCACTAATTTTCGTCTTTTCGATTAAAGTAGATAAATTATTTGACAGGTTTTTCGAAGTTTTTGATTGCTGAAAATACCTAAAAATTTCGAAAATTTCGACCTATTTTGGTCATTTTTTCATACTTTTGAACAAAAAGCCAAAATTTCGAAATTTGTAATGATTTGATGAGTTTTTATATCTAAAAACTGTAAAAAATACTATAAATAAGATTCATGCTTCGTTATATGAAAGTACGGGATTACTTGGAAAATTTTGTTTGCCCCTGCCAAACCCCCTCCCCCCGCTAACAGCCAGGTACCAGAATTGGGCCCTGGGAGCTTGCCAAATCTACCGAAAAACACATTTGCCACGACAGTTTCAAAACCAAAATCCTACGCTGGCACCTCCCTTCAAAATCCAAGACCTCGGCTGCTGGCACATCCGAAAAAAAATCAGCTTCCAATTAGCGCCACTCCAATCCCGACGCCCTTGCGCTATTCATATGACTCCAATTGGCCCCTCCTTTCATTTCGCAAGAGCTTCGACTTCGGCTCGCCCCGTCTATTATGCACCGTCGAAATTGGGGCGCGTGTCTAATCATTTTCTGAATACATCGGCGCGCGAAAGTGACTGCCAATTACCCGAGGCGATAATTAAGGTGTCCTGATATACGAATGTCATCATGCGAAAGCGCGATTTCAAACAAACCTAGCCTGGGGGAAAAAGCTGTACATGTGGGGCTTGCCTAAGATATAATTGGCCAGGGAGGTACCGATATTTTTGTAAAAAATGGGCATAGTAGTGGCGCAGGAGAACGGGATCAGCTGGAGAAGAATAGGCTTCTGCCAATGCATCAAAAAAATAGAGATGATATGGCGCGGAGTGCCATAAAGAGATGGCATAATGCCTCAAAATGAATACAATACGGGTCTTAAATTTACAAGACAACAGCGCTCTACAAATAATAATTCGGAGTTGAAAAACGTTACTTGCTGATGACGTATTTTACTATCGACGTCTGCCGCGCCTTAGCCGTGCACGGGCCGAGCATGGCTAGCGCACGGCGCGCGCTCGGCGGGTCAGTGGCGCCCCTCTCCCCCAGCCGAGGGCAATCCATGCGCGGCGCGAGCATGGCAACTGCGTGGCCAGTCCGCGGCAAGTGCTCGCGCACGGCGCGTCCGTGGCTGGAGCATGGCGCGTGCACGGCAGTCGCAGGGGCCGCGCGGTCATGGCACGGATTTTCCCTTCCGTGTCACTGGTACTCCCGCCTGTATTTCTTTTTATCTTTTGGTCAAACTGCAAAGAAATGCTTTATTTAATTCCGTGGACGCTTGTTTTTAGACCGTATTGTTCCACCCGACACCTATCGACGCCGGTATGTTCGGATGATGTACAGTGCAAACCTGCAAATTTTTTGAGATTCTCTTGACTCATTTTTGAAAACCTTTTCTTGCAATCAGTTTAGCAAACAGGTTTTTTCAAGATATTTCTAGCTCCCCTTATTGCGCGGTTTTAGATTAGTGACCTTAGCTTAACTATGGCTTTTGTCTCTGTTGATTAGCTTAGCAGCCCTCTCTCTCTCTTCGCAAGCATGCCTTCATAAAAAACCACTTCCCGGCGAGCTTGATATGCTTGTTCTTGAATCTAGACGGTTTATATCTGCGTGTTCTTTCTATTAGCCTAGCATCCCTCGCTCCTTCTATGCATGCGCCCCTACACACAGTTGGCAGGCCGATTCGCGCTTCGCTTCGCCGAAATCTACGTCGAATGCGATTTGGCGACGGCGTAGGCGAGAAATTCGCGGCGCCAACGTGTCGATCGGTTAAAGGAGGCGACGGTTCGACGGGTCCACGAGGCACTCGAGATCCCGGAAGGCGCATTTCGCTATAATGGTAGCAATTTCGAAGATTTGCTGGCATTTTTAAGACGGCTGGACGCGAAAGCGCCACTTTTGAGACCGGAACCTACTTCTGCCACTGTTTCGAGCCCTAGCCCCGATTTCCCGCTTGATGCACTGTCGCGAAACGCCGTTGCCGACTTGAAGCGGCAGATGCCCGCCTTTGACAGCCGTTTGATGAGCCGCATTCGGCTGACTCACACTCTCGCGCCGCAGGCTTAAAGATTACTTCTGAAATTCATGTTTCCTAGAGGAGGTCCAGTGGAAAAGGGCCGCGAAACGGTCATTTTCCACTGGTACTTTTATAAGTTAAGTTGCCGCAATGTCGCAGTGGTTACTTTACTTGTATAGCATCTCGCAGCAGCAATGCGACGCGATATAACACAACCCCGGCCCTGGGCTCTCCCTCTTCGCGCCTTCTCTCCCTCGGTTTGATGCAGGCCGATGGCCGGTTTCCAACACGTAATTCGTGGCACTGACTTACGTGTCAGAATATGCTAATAAAAACAGGCAACAGTGAATATCAGCAAGCCTCGGAGTTCATTCCTGGTGGGGCGGGGAAATTGGGCACCGGGATGTACAATAGTAACCAGTACTTGCCTAAATTGATCCCGCAATAAGTGCTACAAATACAAATTCCCAGATTAGATATCACAACGCCTGCCCGGCACGGCGATGATAGGCCTGTCTTTTTTGATACCAACCAGACTCCGAGATACTTTGATTTCGTCATTATTGCACAACTTGTGCGCAAAATGCCTTCTCTTTAGCAATATAATAAGACTATGAGTTTTGATTGTGCAAAGCTGGCGCGGCATGTCTTTAAAAGGTAACGACAGTGGCATGGCACAACCGTGTACTTTATCATTTCCCGTATCCAGTGGTCTTTATTTTCTAGTTTTGCGAGGCCCTTAGAAGGTGGCCACGGTTGTCAGCCCTCTTTCCTAAGTGCCCGTTAGTATATTTGCTTTTCCGTATATCTTTCTTTCTCGCCGGTTTATTCCCGAATGTACGCATTAGTTTTAGATGGAGGAAGTCAACGGGGAGGTGGTGAATCAAGGAATAGGCGTCAAGCCAAGCGGGTCGAAGATGCCGGAAAAGGCGGAAGCACTCACCGGGCTTTATGGTATGACTATATATGTTTTCGTTAATGTAAAGCCTAGATGATGACGACGATGTGGAGGCGGTCGAGGGGATGGACGCCCTGTTTCTCGTCAGAAAGAACCCTGAAGAGGTAAGGATGAAGGAAGAGATCGAGGCTTGCTTGGCCTGAATTCGTTCCGTAGTTGGGCTTGAAACCGGCTTTCGGGGGCAATTTTTGTTCGCGGTGGGAAGAAAAAGCATCACCCCTCATAATTTGTAAAATCTCTATTTTCTAGCTCGAGAAGTACAAGATGCATCTGATCGAATGTCTAAGGACTGATGAGGGGGAGACCATTGTGGAAGTTGGTTGCCCGCTGGATCCGAAGGCACCAAAAGGTTTGCTGTTATGGTGTCTATCAACCTTTTATAGGGTTGGATCCGAAAGAGCTGGAAATCGCCGTTGAGACCTTCCAAAACCTGCTTTTGGAGATCGAAGCAGTGCCAACCAAAATCGTGACAAGGCCGGCTGGGACAAAGTCTACGGAGGTTTGTATTAGAGTATTATGCGGGAATTTTCTTTAGGTGTATCTTGTTCGTGAAAAGCCAAGCGATGTTGACTTCTTGGAGGTATACTTCGGCCTTTTGATAATATTTTTCTTGTTTAGCTTCGTGTGGCTGTCGTGGGAAACGTCGACGCCGGCAAATCGACGCTTCTGGGCGTCCTCACCCATTCTACTCTTGACGATGGCCGTGGATTGGCCAGAACCAAGTTATTCAGGTAAATTCCGTTTTCACCTTTGTAACAATGTAGAATTAAGATTATCCCTTAAGCGCACTGACACCTGATTTTAGGCACAAACACGAGTTCGAGTCAGGTCGTACTTCGTCGGTGGGCAACGACATCCTGGGATTCGGAGTCCATGGCGAGGTCGTGAATAATCCTGACCCCCACAACGGCCATCTTGACTGGGTGGAGATCACTCGCAATAGCAGCAAGGTGACTTTTTGCGTCGTATAGGCTTCTGATGTCCTTACTTGCCCTTTTCATGCTGGTATTTAGGTGTGTACCTTCATAGATTTGGCCGGGCACGAGAAGTACCTCAAAACGACCATTTTCGGAATGACCGGACATGTTCCTGACTACACGATGCTGATGGTTTGTATTGGGTGGTTTCAACGATCAGTGTTCTTTTTCAGATCGGCGCTAACATGGGCATTATTGGAACAACGAAGGAACATCTGTCTTTGGTATTTTTGTTTCAAGTAGTTTTTCACTTTCGTTGTAGGCTCTTTCTCTCTCGGTGCCCGTCTTCATTGTGGTGACCAAAACGGATATGTGCCCTCCACAGATCCTCGCCGAAACTATGCGCAACATAGGACGTCTTGTGAAAAGTAATGGTTTCCACTCGTTTTTCATGTTTAGAAGTCAAAAGGATCTGACACCTGTGATTTAACCTTTCTTTTTAAGGTGCTGGGTCGAAGAAGATGCCAGTGCTTGTCCGCAACACCAACGATGTCGTCCATTCAGCCGTAAACTTCCCCAATAAACGGTAAATTTTCTATAGCTTTCGAGCCTTTGTTTAAGTGTTTGCCCGATCTTCCAAGTTTCGAACGTTAACGGCACCAACCTTGATCTTCTGACGCTGTTCTTGAATATCGTCCCCGTGCGTCGTCTTCGTTCCGAACATGATCCAGCACATTTCCAGGTATTATTATGAATTTACGACAACTCATAACGTTTTCTAGATTGACGACGTCTATTGGGTCGAAGGCGTTGGAACGGTCGTATCTGGCACGATGTTGGCCGGTACGGTTAAGGTATTTTCTTGGTCTTGAGGCACAGTTTTATCCCTTTTCAGGTTAATGACAACCTGCTGCTCGGCCCCAACTCGTTGGGTCAATTTACGCCGCTGGCCGTCAAGTCCATTCATCGTAAACGTCTTCCGGTCACTTCTGTCCGTTCCGGGCAGACCGCTAGCTTTGCGCTTAGGTATATTTATCCGAGTTTAAATTCATATCAACTCTAGAAAAATTACCAAACGTGACGTGCGCAAAGGAATGGTAATGGTTGACCCTCGAGTTGAACCCGTGGCGAGCCTTCAGTTCGAAGCGGACGTATGATCGACATGTTAAACATACCTTACCTGCTTCTAGATCCTGATCCTTCACCATCCGACTACCATCAAGGCTAACTATCAGGCAATGTTGCACATCGGCAGCATTCGCCAGACAGCCACTCTCATGCATATGACCAAGGTTGCTCAGGTTTTCGGAAATCTGAACAAAGTTTTTCAGGAAGTGCTGCGAACTGGGGAGCGAGACCGCGTCACCTTCCAATTCATCAAATTCCCGGAATTCATACGCCCAGGAACTAAAATGGTATTCCGCGAGGGGCGCACCAAGGCTGTCGGCACCATTGTGAAGGCGATCCCCCAAGAGTCGGCGATCGCGCCGAAGAAAAAAGTCACCCGTGATAAGAGGACCAGTGAGTATTATTATGTTCTACAAACTCGCATTTCTTAGACAACAACCGCAGCACTGGGCCTAAGCCGCCGAATGGAAAGCCGAAGACTCCCACTTCCACTTCGGCTTCCGCTTCTTCTTCCAAAGAGAACTAATGCCTCTACAAGTTTGCGTTTCTTTCGTGACCTCACAAAATTATTTAACCTGTACTCATTGTTTTTTATGCGTATGCGTGTTTTTTAACCATAAGGTACGAAAGTTAACTACATACCGGTTGTCTCTCAGGGTACATATCATTTGTTTCATTGTTTGATCGTTGTTTTGCTTTTTTTTGATAAACTTATTAACCATGAAAGGAGAAACCAAGTGAAACGTATCCGTTAGAGGCTTTAGAATTGCACGACGGTGCATTGCAAATCGTCGAACAGTACAGATCGAACTTTTATCGAATTACAGGAACAATAGGTATTGAGAATCAGGTAAAATTGCACTAGCGGAATTATACGGGGCCGACCAAAAATGGACGAAAAGCTCAGATTATTATATGACGGCCCGCGCGAAATGAGATCAATGTTAGCTTGCTATCAGGAATATACATGGTTAAAAAATATTGTGCGGTAAGTTATATTATGCGTAAGGACACTAACGGATGAGCTCTGACGACGGCAAGCGATAAAACAGACACAAAGCGGGGCGAGTAAGGCTCGAATGCATAACATATTAGACATACTGAAAGCCTTCAGTATCAACATGACCGGTAAGAAAGCAAATATCACAATCCGCGGGAACGAGAGTTCCTGACGGCACGGAATCCTCGCTGCTCCAACGCCTCGTCGTTGATTCGTTGCGCCGGCTTTTCAGGATCAGCATCCTGAAAACAAGCTTTATTTGTAACCCAGCCAGGAGTACCTGTCGTTCCCAATCACTTTGTATACCCTGGAGGTATCATGTAGGTGTTGAGTGGTTTCCTGTTCCGACAGCGATCTCCCCTAAATTGGAAATAATCGAAATACTTTAAGCATACCTCGACGCCGTGAGCGTGGAATACCAAGAACGAATCAGAAAGTACGACTAGCTTCTTGATCACAAAGTCGAATTTGAACAACGAGGGTCCATTCGGGAATGCGGGACGGGATACACCATTGAGATCGGTGACGACAACCTAAACAGCCTTCGTTAGGGAAATAAAGAAAATCCATACATATGAGGAAAAGGCGAAAATAACTCGATCACGCTCCAACTGGGCCATATCAACCACTTCAAGCCGACCATCAATGTCGCCGACTTCAAGTGTAGTCTCGGGATCGATCATCTGTAACAAAGATCGTCGTACAGGGATGACTGGACGAACTTGGGAATCTCATTAAAACCAGGAAGCTACCTTGCTATTATCCCCAAAGCTAACGTAATCGAAGGTGAAATTCTCCAAACCACATCTCTTGACGCCGATGCAAACTTGAGGAAAGTCAGACCGCGTGTTCAACAACTAAAAAAGTTTAAACAGCTGCGAAAATCCAAGTTACCTGGAAAGGGTGCAAATGCATCCTCCCCGGCCAGACCTGGCAAGAGCGCACGCTGAGAAATTTGTTTTGCGGATCGTACCTAAAGGATACCAGAGATTGAAATACGAGAACGTGAATACCATTGATAAAGCCAGACGGATGAGGGCAGTGTAACAGCCAAATAGAGGTGACTGGAGCGAAGCCCTATCCCGGGCTGAACGCAACATTGCAAGCAGTCCCTGCAAAAAATTTCCGTAGTCCAGCATGTGGGCAAATGCTCACTTCGTTTCCGGGAGGCGTACTCCGGAGCTGAGAGACTTTTCGAACAGTTTGATAGGCATTTTTCGGAACGACTTGCTGAGCTTCACGGCAAACTTCTTGGCAGTTAATGCCAATAAATCGTGCCGATATAGATATGTGGTCTTGCCCTAGAAAACACATTAGTTCAGCGAAACCCTGCCAGACCTGCATCGCCATCATGATGTCTTTGTGTATGTGCATCCAGAGGCAGCGACGATGGTCAAGCTAAGAAATTGATATGCGAAGGGACCAAAGATGCGAACCTGAACGAGGCGAGCATCATGCAAGTTACCCAAATCCATAGCGAAAATGCCTTCTTCAGCACCGATCAGCAAAAATTCACCGTTGGTCGTGGGATTAATCCAGGAAGCCTAAAAGTACGAGTGAGAATAGAAATATTCTGCTTACCCCACAGTGCACATCTAGGGATACGTTATGGAGAAGCTGGGAAAAGCAGGCGCCCATGTAGACCTGAAAACGAAACTATGAAACTTCTAAAAAAACAACCTTGGGAGTCAATGGAAGACCGAACAGTGTCACAGGGCGTGGTTTCTCGGATGCGTCGCTGCGAAAGCTGACCTGAAACGATTCTGAAGATGAAACCATAAAAAAACTCACGTTTCTCTCTTCAGTACTGGAGGCTCTCCCAAGCATAGGTCCATTGGCGTAAGCGGGTTTGACTAAATCGTTTTATCCGAAGCGGTTGGGGTGAAATACCTTTTATGGTGCGAAGGTCCCGATGATCTTGAAATGAGTTGACTTTGTCCTGCAGCAATGGCCCACCTCCTAGAACATCAGGCATCGGGAGGTAGTCCTGAAAGTTGGTAAAGCAAAAGAACGCCATTTTTACTCTGTCAGACAGCGACCCATCCGAGATGTTCGGCGGATCTGGTGGGCGGAACTTCGGGCGGCCGCCAATGCGCTGGCCCTCCAGGATGTCAGCCAACCTATCGCACTTATTAAAAATACGGCCCAGAAATTACCTAAAGCTCGGAGAAGGCCCTGAGCGCTGCAGGTCGTCATCATCGTCAATCTGGGGGAAAACTGGTGGAGGTAGAAAAAATGACGTACCTCTTCACTTTCACACAGCCTGACCTCCGAGTAGTTGGCATTGAATCCCGAGCTCGTGTTGTTGACCCTATCAAGCAAATCTCGCGTCATTCGAGAGCTCAAGTAACCGCTCAGCAATGGATGGCTCTAAACCAGTTTCACAGACGAGAAATGTTAGATACCGCCAATAGCTTTTCGGGCAAGGGCCTCTTCTTCGGATTCTTTGTCAAACACTGCTTGATGAAGTCGTGGAACTGGCTCGACCTATAATTTGCATATGTAGAAGGTGAAACCTCTGGCCAAGACCCAAAGGTCAAATTCTTTCAATGGGATACCATTTGCACGACTCCTTGAGCGACGGGGATTTGTAGGTGCTTTTCGTCATCAGGTAGAGCACCTAAACCAAAAAGTTAAAAAGCGAAATCATCTAGACCTGCATGGGGTGCAAGTCGTAAAAAGGCGGCTGACATTCTGCCAATTCGATGGCTGTTATCCCCATCGCCCAAACGTCACATTGGACGCCATAGCCGCCTCTTTTCTCAACGGAAGCCACCTGAAGAAAATACGCACTAAGTCCCGGAAAGCTATAATGATCAACAAACGGTTTGGGCTTGAGTGAAACATACTTCCGGGGCCATCCAATACGGCGTTCCAATGAAGGACTTGCGTTTGCCGATCGTCGCAGTGATTTGAGCGGCCACGCCGAAATCAGCTAACAAACCGTTGTGAAGGAGATAGAAATCGTACCGAGTTTGACATCGCCATGCTGCGTCAAGAGAACGTTTGCTCCCTTTATGTCGCGATGCACCTTGCCCATCTTGTGAAGATAGTCAAGCCCCTTCAACGTCTCACGGCAAACGAAGGCTATCTGCAGCTCCGAAAGAGGGCCAGTCACTAAAAACATAAACTCAAACGCGAATCAACAATCCCACTCTGATAAATATCCTGCAGCGAGCCACCCCCACAATACTCCATCACGATCCATAGACGGTCTCTGCGAAGATAGCTAAAAACAAGGCGTTTGAAAGCTATCAATAACTCACCTTCCATAATAGGCAATTATATTAGGATGAATGCAATCACGAATCATCATTATTTCTTGTTGGATAACCGAAAAATTGTCGCCAGCCTCCAGCTTTACAACCTTCACGGCAGAAAAGTCTCCGTTCCTATAAACAAGAATAAATAGAAGAAGGGGCTATACCGGATATGACGAGCTTTGTAGACTTCCCCATAGGTTCCGGCGCCGACACGTTGTAGCAATGCATAATCGTCGCTTGGGTCAGCCCGCTTGATGACGTCGGAGCTCATGTATACCGGAAGTAGACCGGCTGAAAAGATAGGAAATGCAACAATTAAAGAAGAACAAGAAGCATCTTGGCCCTAGCTTGAAAATATCAAAGAAAGACGACAACTGAGATGAGAACCAATTATAAGACTTCAAAATGAAAATGAGAAAAACGAGTTCCTTGCATGACACGCCTCCTCATGTTTTGACTAGTAACGAAAAGAATTTTGGAATGAGGCTGCAATAGGTAAACAGAGCTCGGATTCAAGTTGGAGTCAGGGTAGAACCAGAAACGAATAACATTTTTTGTGATTAGATAGCAGTTTATTTATTTTTATTTAGAAAGGGCGGAATTTTCAACAACCTGAAAGCATTGGGCGGAGACCGAGCGGAAAGCGATGAGCATCGGAGCCTATTTTGCGCCCTACCACTGTAACATGCCCCTGACTCGTCTGCGTCTTTGCACTGGCGCCCTCTCTCGCTCAGGTGCCCTTCTGAAAGCACGCCAATCAATGTGTTTTCGAAAAGTGTAGATGCGTAAAGCAAAAACACTTTTTATCGTAGATTTTACATACTTTTCATAGACGCTTTAAGTTTCTGCTGCTTGAAAACCCTTGCTCGAGAAATTCTAGACATTATTTTCCAGGTTCGCGACGATGGTCGACCATAAGACTTTGGAAGCCAAGCGTCGTGCCGCGCAGCAGAAGGCTTCCCAGATGATTAAATTGGTTAGTACATTTTGTTAGTCAGATCTATCTGACCTTTTTAGGCGCCCCACCTGACTGAAAACGGCACGATTGCACCCGGCACTTCGTTATGGTCCGATCCGTTGTTTCCTGCACAAACCCACAAGAACGAAGATCCTCGGATTAAACTATCGTCTTATAATGTTCGGTATGATCGGTACGTCGTACATATATTTCTGTTTTAGGCCGCTATATAGCCAAGTCAACATCGACAGCGACAAATGGTTATTGACGATGGAAGAAGAGGGCCGCTCTAAACTAGAATGCACGCCCAGCCAGAAGGATGGAGTCAGCACCGAAATGGAGGCTGTATGCCTACTATGGTCATCGTTGTGATTTCTTTTTTAGGAAATCCGGCTGCTCGGCTGTGAACTCATTCAATCGGGCTCGATTCTTCTGAAATTGCCCCAGACCGCTGCCGCGACCGGACAAATTCTCTTTCAGCGCTTCTATTATTTGAAGAGCTTCGCAAAGTTTCACTTTGAGGTATGATAACTTTGTAAAACGCTATGCCGTTTAGCATACGGTTATGGCATGTCTCCTGTTGGCATCGAAGATCGAGGAAGCCCCACGCAGACCTCGCTGCGTCGTTAATGTATTTCACCGCCTTGAAAAGCTGCATCGCTTCCGTCAAGCCGGCGGTCGTATAACGAAGTAAGAGCTGTCCTTATTTAAAATGCTCGTAAAATATTTAACGGACCAATTCCCCTTTCAGCGCAGTGTAAACAACACTAGGTGTTTCGATGACGGCCACATTGCATAAGCCCGGTTAAAACATGTATTTTCGGGCTTGCCCAACTTTTTGGAAAGTTACAACATGAGCATCTTCATGCATTTAATGACAGAATTTCTTTCGGGGGGAAGTCTGCCGGTTCGTAGCCTTTTCTAAGAGCTCGTGGAAATCAAAATTTTGTGTGTCGGGGGTTTACTGAAAATGGACCTACTTTTCTTGAGCTTATTCTCGAACCGGGGTTGATGCTATGGTTTTCGGAATTGAAAGGAAAAAGAATACCTACATTCATTTGATCTCAGCGTATTACAAATCATCGATGATTTGCATCGTGCATCGTCATATCTTTTATGACTGCAATAACAGTTTTTCTACAGGTGCCATGTGACGGAGAAAGGCACACATCGGCTCTCGTCAATCGTCTGACAATAGCCAGTGATCGTGGTTGACACGTTGGCATATGTCTGAAGCTGGCCCAATACTACAAATGTTTCCTTGGCCTCCGTCTCGAAGGCTCTGAGATGCCGTGCCTTCCCATGTGTACGGGATCCGCTGACATGCCCACTTCGACAGGTTACTTTGGAACTTATGTCTATGGTATTTCACGCATCTCAAAAACTATGTTTTAATTAAATGCCAAGAGGAGGTGCAGTCCAACTGGCTGGCTTCCTTGAACTTTATTATAGCTTTTTTTCCTTGGCTTTTGGATGAAACCATCATCCATTATACTTTCACAGCTCTCTTCCCGCTTTTTTTTCGTGGTATTTTGCTTCCGGCTGCCCATAGTTTTTAGTTACGAAGGTGATTCTGGCACTGATTTACCTTTATGAGTTGTCCTCAACAATGCAGGCAGTAACAGGGGGGGTTTAGATATGACCTAAAATATTTTTACACGAAAAAAATCGGATAGGGTAAGGGAGGCCAATGACAAAACAAGCTAAACATTCCCCATATGGTTATAATGTTCTCAAGGTCATTATTGTTCACTTTGTATTCCAACTTTTGACGTTTTTGTTTCGATGCGTGAACTGCCATAGCGTAGTCGAAGTGGGCGGGGCTGGGTTAGGTGTGCGCTTACAAAAGGGGGGATTGGTCCGAGTATTAAAAAGCTTCCTATTATTCGGGGCAAAACTTTTATAGCAATCTTGGTTTAGGGAGATTACCGCCAAGATGAAGCCGCGCCCGCTGGATGCAAGCTATGTTAACCTGAAAATGCAGGTCGGTGTGGTTTGGAGATGGTTGATCTCATTCTTTAGGCAATCAAAGCCGAACGGAGGCTGTTGGCGGCTCTCGGCTTCGTCGTTCACGTGCGTCATCCCCATAAACTTATCTTTGCGTACGCAAATCTCCTGAATATCGTGGACAACTTCGAGCTGATGCAAAAGGCCTGGTGCGTTTTTCTGGTATCTTCCATGACCTGTAGGGACCTATATGTTTCAAATAAAATCAAACAATCTGTTTCCTTTTAGGTCGTATATGAATGACGGGCTCCGCACCGATATTTTTGTACGATATCAAGCCGAAACGATCGCTTCCGCCTGCGTGTACCTGGCATCCCGAACTGTCGATCCGAAAGTGAAGCTGCCTTCGACTCCTGTACCTTGGTACGCCATTTCGCAAATAATTCATTGCTCTTATTTTAGGTACGAGCTCTTCGATGCAAAAGAGGAGGACGTGCAGAGGATTGCCACCGTACTTTTGCAGATGTATGCAAGGAGAAAGGTAGCCTTTTTCTAGTTAGAATATTCAGAAATCATGCAGTACCCTCAATCTCATAATTCTGTTCCAGTCACCAAATTGGACTGACATCAATACCAAGCTCGACCTCATCCGATTCCCAGAAGGCCTCGAGAAAGACAAGGAGAATTCTGTGCGTCCGGTCTCTCCCAACGCTGAAAAGAACAGAAATGGCAGAGGTAAGGTTTAAATTTTTGGATGTGTAGTTTTGGGTATTGCAGATCGTAGGAGAGATGATCGGAGGAGCGGTCGTAGCAGATCTCGTAGCCGCAGCAGAAGGTACGTTCGAAATTTTTTATAATACTGTGATTTAGGCGCGACAGTGGACGGCGACGTGACGATGACCGCAGGGACGGTAAAACGCGTGATTCACGTGGCGCGGCCGGCGATGATCGACCACCGCGAGCAGGGCCATGGGGAGATGATCAGCGACGCCGTCAATATGGAGATGAACGTCCACGTGGAACCTGGGACGAACGTAGATCTGACAGCCGTGGAGCTACAAAGAAAGATCGCCCACGGGGTGACGGTGAACGTCGTCGCGATGATCGTGATGACCGCGATCGGCGGGATGATCGCCGAGCTGAAGCCAAGGTAACCCCATTGTCATGTATGTTTCATTTCATGTTTTTTTTTTCAGAAACGGGAGAAGGAGGTGCGTTCGGCGCTGAATAGCCGCGGTGACAGGAACTCGACATCCCCAAGCCGGCACAATAGAAAGCGCTAGTTCTTCGTTGGAATCTTTAGTTTGTTTTTTATGATGGGTAAACCTCGTGATTGTATTTTTGAGCGCGTTTGGCTCCTCCGATATCATATTGGCACGCGGTACGTTAGGTCTTAACCTTCCAATCTTAGAAAAATCCCTTTTTGTTTAGCGATTTCCTACCTCAACCATGCCTTGTTTCCTCCATATTATAAGCTTTGTATTATACTCGGTGATTTCAATAAACGTTTGCAATTCCGCGTTTGAAAAGTGGTGCGGATCACAATGGGAGAATGAACATAGCAACTGCCATAGAACCATGGACATTATGAGGACGCTTGATTAGGCATAGGGAAGGCGGAGATAATGGGCTGCATATATGGGTGGTGGTGCTCCGTCGTTTTCTGCTTTATTAGCCATTCGTCTAATGGCCATGTTCAGCCACACGGCTGAACCCATGGCTTTTCTCAGCAGTCATGTTTTTTGAACAGCTGTATTTTCTTGCTTATCAGCAACAGAATTGGGATAGGGTTCCTTGAAGATAAAAGCTGTAACCGCAACGTGTTTTTCGTCATCCAAATTTCCGCGAGAAGTGGTTGGGCCGGCAAGGGGCCCGTTGTCCTTCGAGCCGACATTTCTCCGGGGATTTGGCGACAAAGAAACGCGAAGGCGGAGACGACGAACACCTCTGGGATCATGGCGGCCTTCTCTTAGCCTGCCGTCAACTGACTTCTTCAAAGAACAATTTCTCTACCACTAGTTCTAGGGACTATAGGTTGGCTCTAGTCTATCCTTTCTATTCAGATTTGTCGATTTGATGGTAACCGAGCTGCCACCTCCACCACCTCACCTTCATCTTTCGTAATCTGGCGCCACGTGAAAACACATTTCTTAGGGGAGAATTTATGGTAATGCTATTTATCCTATTCTTGGGGGTTCGAATATCACGGCGAAAAGTTGAACAACAGGGCGGAAGAACCCGAAAAAGTGCATTGGTGTTTGGGCCTCCGGCGGGTCCCGGGTCGGGCATCTATCAACGCGGCGTACGGCTAGATTTCCGAAGCCTCAGACGTTGTTGTTAGGTCACGGTGTTGCCATTCTGGCCCGAGCACTAAAGCTAGATTTTAGCCTGCCAAAAATTGATGGTAACCTGTTCATACCGTGACCTTTTTCCTACTCTGTCTTTCTCCAGCTAGAAGGCTAATTCTCGTAGCCGTCTCCTTTTTTCTCTCTAGCGTAGGGATGCGCATCCGCCTTATTTTCGGGCGATTTCCTGCCCTGCCGGGGGCTCTTCTTTGCGGTCAGCCCAGTAAGTAAGACAATACGGCCTCCGGGCTTCTTCCCCTCTTTTCCGTAGTTTTAGGCTGCTTCCTGGATCGCGTGTGGGCTATCGCGATTTACATTTTTATTGCTCTCAGGGTTCGTTTTTAAGCTCCCGGAAGCGCAGGTCAGGCGGGCTGCAGCCATTTTTTTGCATATAAAGTAAGATAATTGTGAAATATAGGCTTCTGGCGAGACTTTAGGGGAATTCTATTCTGCAATTGACCATTCATTTTTCGATCCTGGCGTTTTGAAACATGTTTTTAAGAGATACTGATCCCTCGCAAGTGGAACGTTCCTAAATTGAACCCCCTGTGGATGACAGCAACCCGCAAAAAAGAGAACGCCCACACGTAACGGATTAACCCCTGTTTCTCGCGCTTTTCCTAGGGCTTCAATCCACCAAAGATTTCTGGATTCATTTTCGGGGTAGAAACGTGTTATTGAAGGAATATTGGGGTGAGCAGTATTACTGCCCGGCTCTGGAATGGCCTGGTATGATGAACGGGTTCCGGGGTGAAGAATTGCCCTCGCTGGTCCCGACACGAGACACCCCTCGTGCCCGTATTTTCCTTTTTTATTTATTTCCATTACGATCGTATTCATGTAATCTACAAGCGGCTCTTTCCAAAGCGCTTCGGGAGTTTTTAGCGGACTTTTTTAGGCCCGTCGGGTGCTGGACTGTTAGCAAGGGGAAGCCGATTTTTGTTTTCCGTCTATACTTACGGTTAATAATAGATAACGTATTTTTATATTGTGTTGAGCGGTTTTTCATTGCTAGAAAGTTACAAAAATCTTCGAAAATTCGAAAAATCTGACCATTTTTGGTCATTTTCCAGACATTTTTTGGATTTTATGAGCTTTTTATATCCAAAAACTGTATAGATAGTTTATATTTAGTGAAAAAGTGGTTAATTTTGTTATAGGACAGTACAGGCTTACTGAGAAAAGTTAGTTTCCCTAAAAAATCCCCCTTCTAACACTCCAGTAACGCCGGCCGTCGTGGGGTCCAAAAAACTCTTCTGAAATGCTAAATGGAGGCACTGGGTCTGTGAGGGTAGATACTTCCGGGAATGGCCGTGTATTTAGAGGTAGAAGTTGAAGGGTGGAGGGAAGAGTGGTGAGTGACACTCCTGTCCGCCCTCATCGCTTCAGGGCTCTGAAGGCTGGGCCGTTCCCTAGGCTAAGGTACTCGAGGCGGGTGAGGAGGAGGAGGAGCGTGGGCTCACACACAACTTTTGAATAACCCATCCTACACACAAAAAGAAAAAGCCTGTAGCGGATGCTGGGGGGTATTTTTGGAGGGTTTTTAGGGCTGTTAGGAAATGGGTCTCACGCTGTTTTAATGCGTTAATTATAGACATTTAAACGCTAAAAACTACTTTTCCTTAAAAGTATGCTCTGATATTCTCAATTAAGATTTACGATGTATTATTTGATGTTTAATCTATAGTTTATTATTATAAAACGTAGCTTTTTGCGAAATTTCCTAATTACCATTTTTCAGTCTTGTTTTTCACCTACGACTTTTCTAGTTCATTTTCCAATTGATGCAACTTCATGACCCACCGGAAGCCATAGAAAAGCCTCCACTCCTTCCTGCACCTCATCCCATATTCTATACGCCCCAATAAAATATCATGAACCTAGCCTTCATCTGCGTGGCCCAGCTCAAAACTTCTCAGAGATCTCGAGCTCCCACCTCAAACTCCCCAGTTTCTAACTTTTGCGTGCAATCAACGGATTCCCATCGCCGGCCGAAGGGTGGTCGCCATGGAATTTCTAATTCTCGCGTGCGCCCACGCCGGATTTTCCGGTCAAAAATTTTGGAAATGAGCGAATGAATGGGGGGAACCGGGAAGAAGCCGGCGGGCTAGACTCCCGCCAATGTTGTTGCAGATTTTGGGATTTCGATCTTGTTCTTTGCAGCTGTGACTTCACTAAAGCTTTTGTGAAATTTATGATTCCCAAAAAGGTGATTTTAGAAATCCTATGATGCTGACTCGGGTTCATGCAGTTTTGTTTTTCAGCTTCTTTATGATCGAGGTAAGCTTTCGGGCACTGGACTGATATCAGGGGGGGGGGGGTTTAGCCTAGTGCTCCTCAGACCCACTAATACTGTCTACGGCAACTTATAAGCTATTTTCCGAGAATTTTACACAGTTTGTCGATAGAAAAAGCTCATCAAAAACTACTTTCGGCCAAAAAAGTAAACATTTTCGAATTTTCAAGCATTTCTAGAAGATTTTTTGTACCTTTATAGCAAACAGAAACTACAAAAACATTAGGAAAATAGTGTATTTGCTATTAACAGGTTGTATTAGACGGCAAAACAAAAATGAGTACCCCCGGCTAACAATCCAGTTCCAAATCTCCTTCAGATTTTAAAATACTTCTCTAGATCGTCTACGCCCACCAAAAGCAGCTACTAAATTTTTTATTTAAGGAATATAAAAAGGTAAGACTAAAGATCTGTACATATCCAAGCTTTAGGAGTTACGCCCGGTCCTCGACGAGCGGTCAGGCCCCACGAACGTGACCGTGCAACTTTATTTCAAGCAAATTCAGAAGGTTAAGGAAAACGATCAGATTATAACACTCTATTGTTGGTTGGAAGAGGTTGATTTTCGAATAAAATTCGACTTTCTGGTTTAGTATTGGACGGACGAATTTCTAAAATGGGACCCAAGCGATTTTGGGGGAATTACAAAGCTTCACGTGCCATCGGAGATGATTTGGAGGCCGGATTTGCTTGTGTACAACAAGTAAAAAACTATAACTATTTTGATTGTAATGATTTTAGTGCAAATATGAATGTGAAGGAGAACGAGATGCAGACAAATGTGCTCATCGATCATTCAGGAAAAATCTCTTTATTCCGAGCGATTATTACTGACGTGACATGTGACATGATGTTGGATCGATTTCCGTTTGATCAGGTGGGTTTTTGAAAAGTACTATCTGTAAAAATAGAATCTTTTTATAGAATTTTGTACATTTTATCGAAAATTGCATTTTTAGTTTTTGTAATTTTTTAGTTGAAAATTCGACAATTATTTTTGCGATTAATATTATGATAATTTTACGTTATTTTCATACAGTACTAACTTTCAGCAAATCTGCTTCATCATGTTCGCCTCGTGGTCGTACGACGGGTCGCAGATAATGCTCCAGACGGCCGAGGAGCCGACAGCCGATCCGTCAGCCAACCGGTACCCCTCATCAAAAGCCGCCCCACCCCCGGAATCCCCGTAAAACGCGCCCCCTGGCTACCGTACCCATATCTCCCCGTTTCAGATCTGACGACAGGCCACTGTGGTCAGTGGATGGCGATTTTGAGCATGATAAACACCTATTTAGTGGGCTTGCGGGGGAGGTTAAAGGGATGGTAGAGGTGTGTTTATGGATTTTTTTACGTGTAGCGATCGTAATCTATCTATTACGCAATGAAAACCATATCTAAAAACTCCATGATCATACCTTGTCCATCCCTTTAAGGGGATTCTCTATGCGTAGCGTCTACGTTGCGGCCTCCCTCCCCAAGCAAGCCCGCCACCCTAATCCTTGGAATGGCCCGAAATATAACGACCATCCCACGACGCTTAACCCCCGTTTATTTAATTATTCCATCTTTCCTTGTACTAGCTGATCTGGGAACTGTCGTTTGGTTGATTTTGGAACGATAATTTTGCGAAAACTAAGTTTATTATTTAATTTCAGGACGAATCTGGCGGCGCTCACCCACTATATTCCGAACATGGAGTGGACGCTGATTGATTTCAAGTTTCGCAGCAATTTGAAGTGGGTTTTTGGGGTTTGAAGGGATTCAGTCGGTATCGAGGACCCTACCTTTCCCACAGGTGACCGATTGTATATGCATTCGGCTACACCACATATAACTGCCCCCCAGCCGGCCTTGGCTTACTGTATCTCCACTACCCATTGTCTTATCTGGTTGGAAGTCTATAAAAAAAAACTCGCCAGAGCAAGACAAGCATTTTGATATACGTTACACGCCTGTAGACAAACGGGGAGCCGAGATACAGTAGGCGAGGGCAGGCTGACGGAGTATCTGCACCGTGACAATCCCTTAAAAATTCCAGATACTACGAATGCTGCCCGAACCCATACCCCGACATCTCCTACTTCTTTGCAATTAAACGCAACCCGTCATACTACCTGTTCACCCTGATCATCCCGTCGGCATTCATCACTATCGTTACCGTCATCGGATTCTTTACTCCGCACTCTTCGACTGGGGAGAATACCGAAAAGGTTGGAAATTACATAAAAATCATTAAAAAAATATATGGATGTAAAAATGACAACTATGATATTATCAGGTATCCCTCGGTGTTACAGCTCTACTATCACTGGCAATTATTTGTAAGTTTAAAAGCGTTTTTCAATATAAGCTGCCTCTTTTAGTGATGATGGTGTCGGATAAACTACCAGCTACCTCAAACGCCGTTCCATTGCTGGGTAACCGTGTGGTTTGTAGCCCAAATTCAAATTCCAGGCCAATACTACATCGGGTTGATATTTATCATGTTTCTCGCCACCTATTGTACGACAATTACGTTGAGTATCCAGATGCAGGTGAGTGATTGGCGGGTATTGGACTGGTGGCGGGGGGAAGCTAATTTTCTATAAACCATTTTTATAGAAGTTTACACAGTTCTTAGTAAAAAACGTTATGAAAAACGTAGAAAATTTTCGTAAATTTTTAACTTTTTGGTCAAAATTTATGAAAAAATGCCGAAAAATGACGAAATTTTCGAGTGTCCAAAATCGTTAGATGATTTTTGGTAACTTTCTAGCAATCAAAAACTACAAGCAATGTTAGAAAATACACCATTTATTATTAACAGGTATTTATAGACGAAAAAACAAAATTCAGTTTCCCATTGCTAAAACCCAGTACCTGAATGGTAGTGTATTGGTTGTGAGCGTTGGTGTTAGCCGTACTATCCGGGTTCGATCCCTTTCGTTGTCAAATTTTTTGCTTTTTAACTAACCCATTTTAACACGTTATTTAGGGCAATGCCGGTCGGCCAATCTCCAAAAGAATCCGCCAATTCCTGCTGAACATCCGAATGAACCGCAGCTCCTTTGTCCAATGGTGTGTCCAAGCGGAGCGTCACGGAATTCGGTTACTTTTTTAGGTTTTTTGGAAGGGAACTGATGAACACGCAGGAAAGCATCAAAATGCGGCTGAAGAAATACGTAGGTTTTTACCGGATTTTTATGCTAAAAATACGTATTCGAAAAGATATACCTTAAAACGTTGTCTTTTACTGTAGCAATTACAGAGGCTTTCGGATTTCGACCAGGTATTCTGGGGGATATTTTATGTTTTACAATGATAGTTATTGTATTATGTTGGCTTGGAGATGATCTTTGAGTTGCGGAGATATATAGTTGTCAATAGTAATTCACAAAACCTGGCTTCAATTTGGTTTGCTTGGCTGATTCCTTTTGTTTAACGATATTCAGGCTTCCGGTTGGTCCGGGATCCCGGTGATTGGCGTTTTCAGGATAAATTGAACGAGCTGAAGAAGATGTTCGCCACCGGGTTCGTCGAATTCCAGCAGAAATTGCTGCAGAACGGCTCGACGACGTCGTGCCATACGGAAGATGGGGGATTGGGGAGGAGACAGCGGGAAGAGGTGTGTCGCGGTGGTTTAGGGGGTATTTGGAAGTGGAAAAGAGACTTTAGAAACCTTGTAACTAAGCTTATTTACCATATATATAGTAAAATTGTTTAAAAAAAACATTTTTGCCAAGCTAAAATTTGATTTTAACACTTTTACATATATAAGATTATTTAAAAAGCACAATTATTTTGGACCGTACGCAAATTTGAGTTTCAAACTTATTTTTTTTCAAGCAACTCTTATAACTGATTTTATTTACTAAATAATTTTAATAAATTTGAACAGCATCACGGATTTTTTGAAGTTAAATAAGCATAATTTAGTCATTTTAACGTTAATATCGCCCTATCGTTTTTTAGTCAAACGATCCACGCGGCGTATTACCGTCCCCTCTGCGACATAAAGATACCGAATTGCACGGCATTGTTCTGGAGGTTTGCCCAATTTTCCGCTTCTCCTACCGTACCCCCAGGTGTTGACTTCCGTGAACTCAATACGCCAAGATTTGACAAGTCACGAGCATTTACGGCGCATCCGGAAAGAGTGGCAGATGTTGGCAAGGTTAGATTTGCTAGATCTTCTAAGTTATCTAAATAAATTTAAATTTAAATAGCGAAAATATATTTCAGAATGCTCGAGAAAATCATCATGTGGTTCTTCATCATGTTTACAGTGATTTTTGCGGCAATTATGTTGTATGATACGCAGGTGAGCGAAAAACGCTTTGCAAGATTCTTTTCTCCTTGATTTGAGGAACTAAAATATTTTTCAGGAGCTTCCGCTGATTACCGACGAGTTTATGGCAGAAAAGGCAAAGAAAGCATAAATTGTACATACGATTTTAATAAATTTTTGGGGTATTACATTACGGTAATTGTTTTTGTGTCATTTTAAAAGGTTTTGAAAAAATATTGTGGAAAACTGGGTGTATTTTAGTTTATTTCCCGAAATTTTTGTTGTTTTTGCGTATTATGGGCATTTTTGAGCCCAAGATGGGAGCTAGGAGCTGGGAGCAAAACTTGCTATTCGCAACGCAGCGCTTCAGTGGCACGCTCTAAGTTTTCTCTAAAATGTACGTTGAAAATTTTTTGTTTTGTGTATTTCTGCAAATTTTGGAGCTCTACATGGGAGCTAGAGGCTAGGAGCAAAAAAAGCCAACCACAACACGCGACGCATACGCTATGCTCTAATTTTTCTCTAAAAAGCTCATTGAATTTTCCTTGTTTTGTGCATTTTTGTGTATTTCTGTGAATTTAGCTGAATTAAGCTCTAGCTGGGAGCTAGAAGCTGAGAGCAAATAGCAGGAGCCGGGAGCTCAACAAGTTTCCTCCAAAAATCTCCTGCATTTTTCGTCTCATAAAACCAGAAGAACGAACACAGTTTATTATCTAAACAGACCGGGGGGAGCTGTGGATCAGTAGTGGGTGTTGAAAGAAACCGGAAGGAAAGGTAGGGCTGGGGGCAACAACTTTGAAGTATAAAAATGAAAGATTACATTTTTGTTGTAATGGCCACCAACACAATGGAGGCGGGCTGCGAAGAGTTCGGTGGTCAATGGGGGGAAGGTACACAAAAATACGCATTAAACGAACGATCGAAAAATCGTAGACTACAGCTAATCGGCGGCTACCGTATACCAGTAAAGCACAATATAGGGGTGTTGAAAAAGGGAAGGGGTATTCTACGCGAGGACTAAGATCACCGGAAGTGGCGGAAAATCGGGTTTCAGTGTTTAGGTTAGGCTTAGGCGTAGGCTTAAGCTTAGCCTCTGGATTTCTGGCTGGGGCGCAAAATAGGAACCCGCTTTTCGGTTGTGGGGTCGGGGGCAAAGAAACACTAATGTGGAAATGACTAAAATAGGGCTAAAGTGGCTCTAGCCTGCAAAAAACAGTAGGTACTGTACATCCATCACCGGGGGTATTCATCGAAAAATCGGTCACACAAAAATAATGCAGTAAAAATCACTAGACATCAACTACTAATGAAGAGCATGGGTGGGCGCTTTTCATGGTTATACTGTATAGAAATGGACTAATAATGTTAAAATAATTTAGCTAAAAATAAAATAGTTACGTAATAAAACTGATTACGAGGTTTTGCATCCAAAAAACAACTAGTTACGCATCAAAAAGGCTCTAAGAGCGTTTCGAAATAAACTAGTCATGCTATGAACAGGCCCTAAAAGCGTTATGTTGCGAGATTTAACTAGTTACGCAATGAAAAACATTATAAAACCCTTAGATTCAGAAATTCAAATAGTTATGCAATTAAAAACTCCCTTAAAAGCGTTATACTCTAAAATACAACCAGTTACACCATGAAAAACGCCCAAATAAACACAAAAGTACACACCGAAACTCTTAACGCCGCGCGCCCACGTGCTGGAGTGGATGGGGGAAAATATACGGTTTTGCACGGGGCCCAGTTTCGGAAGGGGATGGGAAGCGGAGGCGAAATATTGCAAAAATTCGCATGGGGGGCTGTGGGGGGGCAATAAATTATCGGTGGAGCAGCATGAAAGTACGGTATTTTGGGAGTGGTTTAGGGCGGCCGGGGGTGGGGGAAATGACCAGGGTGGGGCAGCTGATTTGCATATGAGATGGGGGGTGAAGTGGTCGATTTTGGGCGCAGGTTAGCATAAGTTCTTTGCGGAAAAACTGCCCTAAAAACCGGAAACGTCACCCTCCAAAAGCCAGGAAAGACATTTCATGTGTTGTGAAAGGGTACGGGGTAATGGGTGGGGGTTTTTCGGGGGTTTGGGGACGGACATGAATACTAGCGGAGTGTCGCGGAACTTTGTTACATGAAAGCTTTGCGGTGAGTATATATTTACAGGGAGTGTGAAGGGAATACGGTAGAAATAGTGTGTTTTTTGAAAGAAACATGGGCATCGGGGGCGGGTAGCTATCACATGCTAAACGGGGGGGTTTGGAAAACGGCTAAACGGAAACTGGGTTTTTGAGGGGTTTATTTGAATTTTAATAGTTGAAACTAAATTTTCTAAACTTCAAAAAAACTATTAAAATCTTTAAACTCCTCAATCTAGAAAAAAATCACTATCCAAAAGACTAGTACTAGCGGGTGGAAGACATCGGGCCAAATTTTCTCACAGATATTCTTGTATTTTTGGGATTAAGATTGGCGCTAAGGCTAGAAGAAACGAATCGACAGGTGGGGGCCAGGGGGTAATCACTATCCGAAATCGACTAACAAAATATCAAAACACACACATGCAATTACATTGAAATTGGGTACATTGAAAGAGCGGGGGGTATACGGTAGTTGGATGGGGTGGAGAAAGCGCAGTATGTTGAGAGTAGAAATATTGCAGAAAGACGGATGGTAGGTGGAGGGCGATGGGCTAAGCCACGGAGATTGTTGCCTCGGATTCCTGGAAATAGAAGTATATACAAGATGAAATTCGAAAATTGTGACTTTTTGGTCAAAACGGTATGAAAAATGACCAAAAAACAAAATTTCCGACTTGGCAAAAATGTTTCAAGTTTTTTTGTAACTTTTTAGCAATCAAAAACTACGAAAAATATTACGGAATACACTATATATTATCAGCAGGTTGGTAAAGAAGGAAAAATAATGATAAGATCCCCTTGCTAAAAATCCTCTCCCCCTGCTAACAGTCCAGTACCATAAATTTAAAGACTTTTTATTACCTATTTTTGTTAAAAATTGACATCGATTGGACCAAAAATGGCCAAAACAAGTAAAAATCGTTACCTGTTTGCAGGTCATCGGCGATTGATCTTGGGCAGCTCCTTGATTGCTAGCATCGCTCCCTTCCGATTCGTCTTCCATCTCGTCGTCCTCACCGGAGAAGTCGTCACGGCTCGAATCTTCTTGATGACGTCCCACCATCCCTCCATCGGCTCCGGCGCCCGGCGTCGAGACGTTCAGCGCCTGAATTCATCTTTATTACCTCTAAACGCCTAGAAGCCCACCTGCAGCCAGTTAAGCACATTGATATTGCTTTGCGTGACAGCAGCCGACTGGGTGACCGGTGTAGAGAGGGCCAGAAGCGACGTCGCTTCCGCCAGGGTCGATGGTGTCACCTAGGAATAAGGAAAGCCCTGCCCCATCCACACAGCCATCCCGGCACTACGTCTTTTGATACATTAAAGGCGTTGTGAAGGGGCGGATAGTGGTGGGGGTGGGGGCTAATGATATGCTGGATGCTCACCTTGGATGAGATATCGGTACGACCGGATGAGGAGTTGACGACGCATTTGCGCATGTGTTTCTCGAGGGTCGAGTGGACGGTGAATGGCATTTGGCAGATGTAGCAGTGGAACGTCTCCTGGAAGTTTTGGGAATTGAATTGAAGCGATGGCAAGTTCTTAAGGAACCATTGAAGTCAAACCTTTCCCTGTTGACCATGGGTTCTCATGTGGCGGGTCAGTTTGCTGCTCTGGGCACAGGCATATGGGCAGAGTTGGCATTTGTACGGCTTCTCCCCGGTGTGGGACCGCAGATGGACGATCAGGTTCGAGCGGTTGGTGAAGACCTAGAAAAAAAATATGGTAGTCCATTTAAATCGGTCGCGAAAAACGGATACAGTATGCTCCAAAAGCGGAAAAATTCGGATCGTAACGTATTTGGTCAAAATTTGAAATGTATCGTAAAGGAACATCGAAATTAAGAAAACTATTAATAATAATTTTTAACTTATATTTTTTTGTGAGATCCAGTTTATTTAAATTCCATCTATTAAAAACCAACCTTGCTACAGTACTGGCAGCGCTCCTTGCGGATATTCGTAGCTCGACGGGCAGCCGGCTCGGCAAGGTCATTGTCATCAACAACAATCAGTTCATCATCATGTCGAGCCTTCTTGACTGATGGTGGGGTCATCGACAGCGAATGGGTCCTCGGGCGAACGGATGCTGATCTCGGGGTGGAGAAGTCAGGACCCGACACATCGGTGATGAGCGGCGTCTTCGGGCCGGTTGGCGGAAGCATCGATAGCGTGGGGGTGGTCACCGTTGGGGTAGTGGGGTGGACGATTGACGGCTAAACGAGGTAATTAGATCAATTTGTAAATTTAATAATTGTTGTTTTTTTCGTGAAGGTTTTATGCGTTTTGGCGGCGAAATTACTTTTTTACTATTTTTAAATGGAAATACAATATATAAACAGGATTTTCAAACTCCCTAGCCTTTTAAAGATACCTGAAAAATCTGCTGCGACACCGAGGTGTTATTCGACGATTGAACGGATTGAGAGAGTCCAAGAAGCGCAGCAGCAGCCGTCGAGTGTTGATGCAATTGTGTCAGTGACAATTGTGAATAATAGTCCTGCATCGCGTTCAGAACGCTCGGTTGCATCCAGAGTGACTTAAAAATTCAGGTTACTTATTTACCAAATTCCTAATTCCTAACCCCAAGTTGTCCGGTGGCCTGCGGGTTGGCGGTGAGCTGGGCGGTGACAAGGCTATTGGATTGGCTTTTCTTGCCGGTTGGTGTAAATGCCGATACCCCGTGTTCATCATCAGTTCCGTCGTGTGGCAGGAGTCTGAAGCTTCTGAATTTTTCTAATGGAATATTGAGGTTTTTTTGATACCTGATGGATGGCTTCTCCTCTGGATCCTGCGCTTTTTCCGCACACTCCTTTAGCCGATCGCTGAAGCACGAGGACAGTGGGAATGGGCCTGGTTTCGGGTTGTGGATTTTGGAAGGTCCTGGAAATCGCGGTTGTTGCTACAATTTTGACATACTAAGGCTTACCAGGCTTATCGTCATCCCTTCTGAACGTCTCGCGCATGCTGACGGAGCTGTCGGAGTTGTTGGAAGCTGGGGAGGAGGTGACCGAGAGCGGATATTCAATGTCGCCAATATCCTCGGCACAGACGCGGAGTCCGTGCTCGCTGTAGCAGTGCTTCAGCAGGGCCCAGATGTCGCCACAACGGCGCTTACACGCCGCGCAGGTGACTGGATGACGTCCATGCTCCAGATCTACAAAAAAGTGATATTTTGTACATTTAAAGCATTTTTAATAACAATTTTATAATCGCAGGGTGTGTTTCCTAAAGCGCGGATTAGTTCCGCCTGGGGGAAAGAGGGCCTGTCCTCTTCCGATCAGATCGGCGCTTTGGCTCATTGGTTTTGTGCTCGCTTCCCGCCCAGAAGGCCCGGGCTCGACCCCCACCGGTGACAAAACTTTTTGCTTTTTCGTCAAAAGCTGAGAATTCAAAGTTTCTTCAAGTAATTTTTGTTAGCTTGTCACTACGTTTCCAAACATTTCCGAAACCGGACACCATTCGCTTTCTTTCTATGAACCCCTAGCTGTTGACAGTCGACCCCCCGTGACAGATAAATACACAGGCAGACATACAGACACCGTCACTTCCTGTACCCCACAGCCCCTGCCGACCGGCTCACACTTTGGTGTACCATGGCGGGGCCCTCGACCCCGTGGCCCCGGCACTAAGACCCAAAAACCGGTCCGAGACACAACCCCCCGGCTTCTACTCGTCAAAGATCGACACGGCACTTCCGGGGTCTTTTCGGGGGTCGATGACAAACTTGTTGGCAACACTACCAGTTTTCTAGGGGGAATTCAGAAAAACTGGAGTGAGTTTGGGTAGGTAGAACGACAGGAGTTCGCTATCATTTTTTGAGATTCGTGTTGTCGAAATTTCATTTTGTAGAAAATTCATAGCACTGAAATTTCAGTTTTGTAACTGTTGAACCTCAATAACCGAGGCGAAAAGGCATTGAAATGTCGACAAAATGAAATGTCGAAAAAGTGATTTTCGACAAAATACCAATAAGCCAAAGACAGGTACTTTTCTGGGCCCAGAACTAGAAAAAATTGCAGGATTCTTTACAGGTCTTCTAGGCTAACCAGCAGAGATCTTTAAGGAAGATTTTGAAATCTAGATACTCCATTGGAACCCCAGCTAAAGCAAACGAGCAGAGATGATTTAGGAACTATTTTTCGTCAGTGGAGAAAAATTTTACATTCAATCGATTGAAACAATCAGAATTTTTCCGTTTTTTTGTTCTAAAAAATCCATTCCCCCAGCCCTGACCACAACAGCAAGCTGCCAATGGTGAGCCCGGGCGTGAGCTTTGCAAAAACAAAAAAAATGGGGGAAGGGAACGGCGCTGGGGAGCTCTGTTTGTCCAAATGGCCAGGGATGTTGAAAACATTTTTGTTAGCGGTGGGATCAGTATGGCCAACGGTCAGCTGGATCGTTGAAAATATAGTAATTGGTTTTATAAAAATAAAAATAAAATTTTTCCTCGAAGGATCCGGGTGTTCACTGCTTCTAAAGAGGCCTAGGCCTAAGAAAAATACCAAGCGAAGCCTAAAGCCAAACCTAAAAACTAAGCCTAAGTCTAAGCCTGAGCTTAACCTTCCATTTTACGAAGTTACTCTGATTCCGAAAAGATCTCCGCTAGGATCTTGCTAGCAGCTTATTCAAGGGCCTTTGCTAGCTGCCCCCATTAACAAAAATTACCTCTAAATTTTTCTAATTTATTCAGCCCCCCCCATTTTCCAAGCCAATCTACTCGGGTAGAGCCTGTGTGTGGCACCGGGGGGTTGAGAGTTGGGACCTGTCCCAGTCCCCCCTCCCGCTATTATGCGCCCCCATTGGCAAACACCGTATCCCCCCATGGGTCCCCCGGGTTGGTTGGTGGGGGCACGTGGATCATGCTTTCCGTCTTTCCTTCTTTTTCTATCTCTAACTCTCTGCCCAACCCTTCAACAAGCGATCGGCACGGACCCTCGGCTTCTATGCTCTAGGAGGTCAACATCGGCACACGCGCACCAGCTGATGGTCAATATTTCGTATGGGGGTGGCGTTATGAAATTTGGAGGATTGGGAGTTTCAGGGTTTTGGGTAATATTTCCTGCTAAACTAGCTAGTGAGCTGGACAAAATTTGATAAAACCGAGTCCAGCAGAACCGGGGGTGAGCGATTTTTTGGGGATGGCAGTAGGCCAACTGTGGCATTCTGGCAGGGGTGATAAAGATAGCGTAAAAGTGCAGGGGTCCTCTTACCGAGCTCTCGGTGCTGCTGCTCGGTCTCCATATGGTGGGGGTAATTGAGGAGCATGGGGTTTGCGGAGGCCGAGCGGAGACGATTCTGAAATATTTTAATGTTGAGGAATTTCGAGCTTTCTTTTACTCTCTCTCTCTCTCTCTCTCTCTCCCTCTCTCTCTCTCCATCTTTCCCTCTCTCTAGCCTGTTTTCTTTCTCACTCGCTCTTTCGCGTTCGCTGTCTCTCTAGCTGGTCTCTCTCTCTCTCTCTCTCTCTCTCTCTCTCTCTCTCTCACTCGCTCTTCCTTCATACCTGATTGAAATTCCTTCGTCTTGTCGGGCGCTCAAAATTCTGCGGCGATCCGATCATCTCATCTGACGGCGTCTGCTTCCCGCCACAATGTGATATCTAAAATAGTTTTTAAAAGATGAATAAAATATTAAAAATCATATTAAAATAAATTTAAATAATAAACTATCTAAAATACCTTGTGCTCAATAAAGGTGGTGAAGCGGGAGATGGGGAAATTTGTGTGGCAGTCGCCACAGACGATCGAGTCGCCCTGCTCTCTGGAGCTGTCGCGGGACATCGGGGAGTCGGAGGCCTAAAATTTGTTGTTTTTTTTGGGCATGAGGCATGCATTAATAGCTTCATAAACAATAGTTTAATTCGTAGAAAAACTTTTCCATACTTTTAGCTCTAAATCAACCTCTGCAGCCGACTCCACACCCGAGTCCGATGAAGCCATCGGGGTGCCGCCTGGAAAAATTGGTTCAAAATTTATAATAATTTTTAAGGTACAGTAATGCCTGGAAAATGAAAATACCGTACCGTGATGGGTGCTATGGGGGCTGCTGTGGCCTGTGGGGGCCGGCCCGCTTCTCCTCTGCTCCGCGTGCTCTTGTGGCTGCTGATGGGAGGTGCTCATTTACACGCCACACTGAAAGTTTGGATTTTACATCTTGAAAAATAATTAATTAGAAAAAACCTTAAGAAAATAAATATTATCTCGAAAAAGTACCCTAATTAAAAATATTTTGATTACCAAATAATAGGTTACTTAACAACGAATAAAAATTGTTTTTGTGAAAAATTAAGTACGATTTGTGGTAGAATTAATCTGTTTCCGCCTTATTTATTAGTTAAAATGGACCAAAATGCACTAAATCACCTTCTAGTGCAAATTTTGCCATAATTTGCTATATACAACCAAATGTAGGTTTTGCGGAAAATGAGAAAATCCATAAAGCTTCCCAGGCTTCACAATTACTTTAATTAAACTCCAAAAAATCTTAAACTTAAATCGGTGAAAAATTTTATAAATCAACAGAATATAAATTTTTACGTAGCTATCCAATTCAACGATATCGATAAAACCAACAGATCCATAGCCCTCCCAGCCTTCACAAACCCTTTAAACCCCGCATAAAAACCATTTTTCACTCACCTCACTACTGTCACTGTCCTCTATTGCGCCGGTCGACGACACAAATCTTCTACGGTTTCTGGGGGGAGGCACACACAAAAATTGTCGAATATAGAAAATAGCGGAATATAGATTTGTAGACTACGGTAGATTATTGGAGAGGCACAACACACAGAATAAATGAGGGGGGTCACCGGGACGGAATATAGCTGTTCACTGGGTGGGGGAAGGCGAAGCACCGGGTTCAGTCGCGTAGACCTTAAAAGTAATTGAACATAAAAATCAAAATTTTCCGATTAATATAAAAAATGTAGATATGATGAATTTATATATAAAAATATTAATATAACAAGAAAGTTACCTTTTTTCTTCGCTATCCCATTTGCCGACGGGCCGGAGATGTGCAGGCGGGAGGCCGAGGCGCTCCCGGGTTGGATGGGGTTGAGCACACCTGGAATATAGAAATATTAGATTATTTATAATTTAATGGAAATAGGAATGATATGGAAAATATGTAAATATAATAGCGAATAAGCCAATAAAAATAAGTTTGACTTTTTTGATCGAAAATTGACGAAATCAGCCTAAAAACGATATTTTGTAAATTTTTATTTCTGTTTTTTTCTGGAATTTTTACGGTATTCTATTTTTAGAAAAATAATACTATATATTTATTACTTCATCATCCTCTTAAAGAAACAGACACCAAAATCCCAAATTTCCGACCCCCAAAATCCCATGTAAACACCCCCGAAATTTCGACACCTGCAACATATTGCTGCAACCGGTGACAAAAAAAAGAGTGAAGCCCAGAAAGAGAACGAGAGTGAGCAAGCGAAAAAGAGCAAACCGAGTCCACGGACAGGACTCGACTAGCCTCAAAACCCCCCCCGTCCGGACCAACACCTGTGATAAGCACCCACCCCCCACGGCCATCACGGGACGAAATTCGGCACCCCAAAAAAAAGAAAAGAAATTCAGACGTTTTTCTGCCAGGGCCAACCTCTCCCCCAAAAAAGCAGGGGGAACGAGATAACGGGGAGGGCCAGAATAGACAGAATAACGACACAAAGCCAAGGGCTCGAATTCGGAAGACAAAGGGAAGGGGGGGGGAGGGATTCACGACCATTCTTGATACCATGATATGCCTTTTGGACACAATGGACAGCCGTTTTTTAGGGAGGGGGGGGGGGGGAAGAGACTGGCTGGTCTGCCCTTTTTGAAATGAGATAGAAGGCGGGTGATTTGAGAATTAACGGATTCTGGGGGAAATTGTTGTCTTGAAGGTTCCTTTAAGGCGTTGTAAAAAACGTTGATTGAAAAATCGCAAAAAAGATAACAAGACAAGATAAATGTTGAAAATTTGTCGATTGGAATAAAACGTAGTTTATAGGAAGTTTGCCTTCAATGTCCCTTAAAACAACATATCTATAAAGAATCCTACAAGAAATAAAACGAATAAACTACAAGAAAATTGCGTGGTGGAGTTTTTCGGCATTTTGGCCTTGCATGATCTTTTAAAATCAAATAAATACGACCAAATCCAATTACGAAATAAAAACGAGCAAGCAATAAATTTCGCAAGCCGGCAATTGGAATCCAGCGTAGCGCAACGTAAATTAGCAAAAACCGCTGAACGACGATAGGAAAAATCAAACAAGGTTTCAAAGCAAGTTCCAGAGATAAAATCCAAAAATCCCAGCAAATCCACGCCTTGACAACCCCTTTAACCCACCCCAAACCCTTCCAAGCAAAAGCTATAACCCGAAAACTATCATGAGGCCGGATGTGTGCATGTGCACAGTTGTTAGCCTCGGCTCAAAAAACTAGAGGCCCCTGCTGCCAAGAGGCCTTCGATGTGTGTATGCGTGTGTGTGTGTGTATGTGTGTGTGTGTGTGTGTGTGGGCATTGGGTGGGGGAGTGTGGCCCCCCTAGGTCCAATAGGGCCAGAGAAAGGGCCCAACCCGGAGAGCCACCAGACATAGAGACCCAGGGATACACATCAGCGAAAAAAAAACCAAAAAACGACGGGGGCTTGGGGCCGGCTTTCAGAGGTTGGGGGGGGGGGAAGACAGAGACGAAGCTAGGGCCCAGGGGGAAGGGCCCTAAGAGTCTTCTCTTTAGATTGAGGCTATGGGGGCCTGGGTCAGCTGATCCATCCCATCCGTGGTCAGCCCGGGCTCAGCGCGCACCTCGCATGTTTTCCGTTTTTTGCCTCCCCATCCCCCTGCCGCAGCCATGAAAATCTTTCTTTCCACTTTGGCTGGCCGGGCATGCGGTTGTGGGCAATCGGCCAGCCGAGGAGGGGAGAGCGAGAGAAAGTTGAGAGAGTGAGAGGGAGAGGGAGATAGGGAGCAAGAGTGAGAGCATGAGGGTAGAAAGGGAATTTCGGAATGGTGTGTGGCTCGGGATCGACTGGGATACCGGCTGAGGGGAGTAATCGGGAAGTTTTGTGGAAGAAACAGTAGTGAAAAGTGAAAGGATGAGTGCCGGGCAGCCGGTGCGGGGATTTTGGTCAGTTTTGCTAAAACGAGACATGGGAGATTGGGAATGGAATTCGTAGTTTCAATGGGCCAAAAATTCATCGTTAAACCTTCATCCAAAAAAGAAATAAAATTAGTAAAGAGTGTAATTAATTAAAGTAAATCCAAGAAAAGTAACAGCTCTAAGAAGAAATGTAAGGAATGTCAGCAATATAGCTGAAAAATGGCGCATCAATATACGAATCTAATTTAATCCCCATTAAAGTATCAAAAGCTAATAACCAGGATCTGCCAACCATCCCCCCAACAAATGGAATGCAAAAGCCACAAAAAAATTGCCGTCAGCCGCCCGCAGCCCGCCGGGGACAATGGCCCTTTTGCCAGAATCCTGAAAACAGCCCGACGACGGGAGAAACGGTATTGAAACAGGCGCTAGCCCCCCCATCCACCCTAAAAGGCGGTGGAAAAAGCACAATGGATGCGACGACGACGAAGGCAAAACATACAAACATACATACAAATACAGAGCGAGAGAGAGAGAGAGAGACGGCGTGAAAAAACGGGGGACCTAGGGGGGATGAAGCCACGGCCACACACACCGCCACGGCACCCCCCTCAGGGGGGCAGTGTAAATAGGAGCGGGCGGACACGCGGACACGGAATCCAGAGAGAGAGAGAGACGCGGACAAACATAAAAGACAGACAGATGCGTGTGCCCGCGTGACGTCGCTAGCGGATCCCACGGGGCAGCCAGACGAGTGGACACTGTCTGCTGTCGACCACCCACGATGGTGGTGGAGGATATGTTAGACTTGTGAGTCCCTTCAGGGAGAGTATTAAATGAAGAAAAATTTGTGATTTAAAAATCTGGATTTGCATAGCTCCAAAGTATTGGCGTGGTTTAAAGGGTCAGCCGAGACCACTTTTTAAAAAAATACGAAATAAAATTTAATAAGACTTAAAGAACTCGTAAATTCCATCCATAAAACAGGATTTTCTTAAATTTTATACCTATTTTATACCAAAAAAATCTCAACACAGTATACAAAAAGAGAAAACGAACGAATCATAAAGTTAATTATGCAAATACACTAGGAAGTTTCAGCTAATAGGTTTTGTTTGCCTTACATGGCACTTTAAAACATAGTAACTAAACGCTAAGTATAATTTAAGCCAAAACCTTAAGCCCAAGCCCAAAGAAAAGTAAAAAAACGCGCAGACACGCGTGCAAAAAAAGTGACCGGGGGATGACCGGCGGGGGTGGCGGGCGCGGGCGCGGAAAAACCCGATGTTGCGGGGGGTGCAGGCGGAGCAGCGGGCGGCTACGCGACGATCCGATGACCGGTGCGCGGGCGCGCTGTGGCCCTTCTGAAGGGGGGGAGATGACGACATCAAGACTGGTCACTCTGGGGCACACGCAGTGGGCACACATCAAAAGTGCAGAAGAGGTTCCGTACGGTTGGGTGGGTATTTTATAGAAAAAAAGATGCAAATGGGATTTTGTATTGGGTTAAAAAGATAAATTGTTAGGTATCGTATCTTCAATGGATACAGTCTGTATAAAATTTAGCGTTTTAGCGACGATTTAAGATACGTAAAAACTAAGCAAAGATATGACATTTTAATATGTTTAAGGGATCTCTAAAAGCAAGTGAAGATAGCTCTAGGGAATATTTAATGTAATATCGGTATATTTAAAGGTACACTAAGGTCTCGTTGGTTTGGTTACCGGCCGGTAACGGTCCGCGGGATAGCAAGCCGGGTTACGGTAGGTGCTCGCCGCGGAGCAAAACCGAACCCCGCCCCCCGCGGGCGCGCCATAGACCAATAGGCCAGGGGGGGGAAGGGAAGGGAAGGGGGAAAAGGGGCGGGCGTCGGGCAGGGGGCCGGATTTCTGACCGCGAACTGACTTTTTGCATGAGATTTTAGTGTACCTTTAAGGCAACAACGTTTTAATACGGTACTAAAAGACCATTGGAGGCAACTGCAAAATTTTCAAGAAACAGCGAATGAAAGCG